AAAAAAAGAGAGAGAGAGGGACTAAATAGAAGTAAAGAGAGACAGACAGAAAGGATTTCGATAGTCATGTATACATAAGACGGTTGTTGTCAGCTAATAAAGAGATGCAGCTTCAATGTAAAACTCTTATTTCTACCGTACAAGTCAACCATTCCAAGTTTTAAAATTCAGAAAGGGGCAAAATATGTAAAACTTTAATTTTATTTTTCAGGTCCATTTTCTGATGCAGATCGTGTTAGCCATTCTGAGAGCTTAATCCTTCCATCTATCAAAGATTTGATTTAAGCTGCCTGATTTATGAAACTGGCTCTTGTTGTATGTCTTCTTTTGATTTGCATAAGATAAGACAATGTTACCACTAGTGCTTCCAACACTTTTGTCTTGCGCACAAAAGATGCCATCTCTGCTGCACCAATTACCAGTGTCTGATCCAATAGTATATGGCTTGGTGTTAAAGCTTCCTGAATACCCTTTGCTAGTATAGAACTGATAGGCAACGTAATCAAATAAGCCACCTGCGTTCTTGTATTCATAGTCGAATGTGATATCAGAGCAATACACGTAACTTGCAAGCAAGAATGCCCAGATGGCAAACACAGACTGTATTTTCATTAACATGATTTTAAAGAACAGATACAAAAACTATAATAGAAAGAGAAAAGCTTAATTCTTTTTTATATTTTATATTCTCTTTTTTGTCAGAATAAAGAAAATAGAAACGAGGGAAGACTCTTAATTATTTTTATATTGGTGCATCTCTTTACACGATTAATATGTCCAAAAAAAAACGAGAATAGCTGGCGTGCATGTCTACATTCGGTATGTTTTGACCAAAGACATTTGTACACAAAAAAAAGAAATAATGATCACCTTTTTAACTCTTTGTGTGGAACATAGTATTACACAGATATGCAACCAATCAAAATCCGCTAATGTCAATTTCGACAACAGCAACTGAATTTTGGGAGAACAGGACCAACTCTGGGTGCATTTTTCGATCTGAAGCAGTTGCCCATTCTGCCTACAGACTTCTATGAAGCTCTCATCAATCAGTATATTTCCGCTATTGAAACAGTCCAGTGTTTCAGGGAGCCATAAATGGGATTACCATTGCTTTGGATTGCGCGCAGATTCTCGTACAACTGCCTGCAGCATTGGTGTAACAGTTGGATAATCGGTACTCCTACGTTACCTCCTACCAGTTCCATATATCGTATTTCACTGGAAAAGTTAGCTTGAATGAGATCAGACAGTTTAACTCCTCACTTATGGCTGAGGCGCTCTCTCCCTTTCTCACTATAGTATAGTTATTCATGTGAGTTTATATCGTGATCCTGTTAGTTGTCTTTTCTTCAGTAAAGGTTACACACCTATTGATACTGCACGTGAAGACCGTACCATCCTCCCTTTCGGTCATGAAATTGATTTAACGAATCAATGACTTATGTACATTTCGTGAAGAGGAATGGCATCTCGTTGTTATCACTGCCACAAATCCCAAGCCATACGAAAGGAAACTGTCCTTGCCTGTCTTAACAACGAATCAAGACTTGTTATAACTGAGAGATTCAGGGCACTTGATTCGAGATTGCTCCAAACGTAATACTGCCACTGTGGGCGAGAGATGCATTTGCTACAATAATACGTTGTCTGCCGTTCCCACGTCGTCTTCATCATTAAATTTAACTTCTCCGTCCAAACAGAGTGCTACATTACCAGCACCTCGTTTCATCTGTTGTATCCAAGACTTTGCAACAATCTATTACTGGGATTACGAAGGTAATAGCCAGCATCGAATCACCTACATTTGTTACTACCACTACTACTGTCGTCCCTGAGGAGGATGACGATGCTGATGATCCAGATCACGTTCCTTCAAACACCCCATCAGTATCTGATGAGTCCGAGACAGATTTTGATGCTATATCAATCGAGTTATAGTAGAGACGAGACATCGAAGACGACTTCTGTCTCCCTATGAGGTATATAAAAAAAGATGTTACTCTCACTCATCTCACAAACGTACATATGCTTATACACATTTGAAGGAGGATTTTGCGTAAGTTGTACGCACATATGTCTTGATTATCTCTTCATTTCCTAGTGAATCTTTTCTTTTTCCTACTGTTTTTACGTAACAACAAAACAATAAAATAAACAAACACCAAAAAATCGAATTAACAGTATTTCTTTATATGGAAATTGTTGTTGTTTTTATGCTATATTTTTTTAAACTGTCCATCTTGGGTATATCTACTTCTTTCTACTTTCAATCATGAGCCAAGTTGATAAAATGTGGTTATATAAGCATCCTCAAGGTTTAAAGGCTTTAGAATCTGTAATGATCAAATATTGCATATGTGCATAAATATTGATTATTGTGTAGGAATTGGACCAATTACGAAAGAGAAGATATAACCGATCCAACAAGTTTAAAAGAGGACAAGATATAAATACATCAAGCAAGGAAACACCTAAAGCAATAATAGATACGCCAAAACATACTTTGGTAAGTAGTCCCCTCCCTTCTTCATCAAGACAGATACTCATATCCGTATGCATATGCATATAGTCTACATTCGAATCGTGTTCCCAAAAAGGTAAACGATGATCTTCGATGTATGCAACAGCTGACACATCTTATCCCATAGACACACCAACTCTGCAACGAAAAGAGGTGCAGGATAAAAAGATCCATCCTACATTTATTCAAATACCAAAGGTAATATATTCTTTGTCTTGTTCATATATGTTTCTTATATAAAAAAAGCCTTGTACAATAGATGAAAAAGAATCCAAAGTGAATAGCAATAATAAAGTGTACCTACCTCAACTTTCTCCAGAACTCAAATTTACTGAAACTGAAGACTCAATTGAACCTACGAAGCAACGACCTCCCACAAAAAAGCGAGTATCATTTAGTGAACAGCTGACGTTTATTATTCCTACACATGATGAACCTAAAGAAGAACAGACTGACGTAAATGAATATAAGCCAGAGAGAATGGAACCTACGAGGCCGGTTATTGAACGATATGCGCCTCATCAACCGGTTCAAAGAAGGGAGCAGAAAAAGGAACCACAAAGACTACCGAATAGACTACTTGATATATTTCAGCCAAAAAGAGACATCAAGTCTATGTAAATACAAAATAGGAAAATCTCCGAAGTTGGACTATTTTTGTTGTTCTGAAAATAAAAAACACTTTTCTTTATACTTTATAAACCAAAGAAATATGCCCCCTTTATGAGAAAATCGGCTTTCTTCCCTTTCAAACCGAAAATAAATGAACAATACAACTTTTATGCTCAACCAGAAAGATGGTTTGAATGCTCTGTTTGTTCAGCAAGTTTTGTCACTTGCTCAGAATTCAAACAACACACTAAAGTTCATCATGATACTGAAGCTATTGAAGGAGCATGCTGAGAGAAAATGTTTATTCTATTATTGGAGAAACGCTCTATTGGATGCGTCTTTATAAAACGCTCCCAGAAATGCCGGTGTCGTATGCTCTTGTTGGCGGAGATAACGATATGATATCTCAAAGTGTATTCTTCAGAAAATCCCGTTCACAGTCAATCTGCTTCTGAGAAGAACATAACCCTCAAGCCCTCCCCTCCTCTTCGTGAACAGTTTGTTAAATTATCAGACACTAGTGAAGAAACACGTCACCTATCTTTCCAAACAAGGGTAAAGAATGGAAAGCAAAGCCCAATCTCCATACGTACAAATATACAAGGCAGAGCATACAAGGCCAGGACACTCCGAGTGTTTCCCCTTGATGTTGACTTAATGCTTCGGGCTTGTCTGCTGAAAAAGAAAGAGTAGGTCCAAAGTTAACTTTTGGTATGTCTTTCTGGCGTGCGGTCCAGTTATCTCACATGCTCACTGATGCACAAAAACCAACTGGGTCATCGTTGAGTGTCGTTGAAAGATAAATGGCATGGGACTGACTGATGATGAAAAAAATTACCTGCGATCAACCACAAACGATGGAACCATAAAAAGTTGTATTCAATTTCTAGCATGCTAAACCTCCGATGGTCACTCAGTATTCACAGAGCCTTTTTATCCCTTATTTAATACTAATATGCCTTTTACATATTCCATAGGGCATCGTTCGCTTGGTTGTCAACTATTCCGAATCAATCTTCTTTTCTCAATTCGCTTTCGTCGTCTGACAGTATCTGGCCAGCTCTTATATGTCTTGAACAATAAAGGAATGGCCAGGGAAAATGTTGATGAGCCTCTATATAACCTTTGTATTGTGAACGAAGGCGCTATATGTTAATAACATGTCTCTTGTATTGTTCATTCTTAGAGTATAGATTTAGAGTAAACTCATACGCGATGTGTTGTTGACGATACTCTTTTTAACCACCCAGCTGCTAGTTTGATAGCTGCATCCTTTTGTCCTCTACATTCTTATAAAGTCCACACAGAATGCCAGTTCTTGTAAGAAAAAAATGATGACACTGGTTTTGTCCTTTAATATAAAAAAATGTGTGACTTTTCTTTATATATTTTTTTTTTGGTTTCCCTTTTTTTTTCTTCTTCTCGTAAATACTTATCAACACGCGCTTTTTCTAAAAAGATGTCTTTTACATTTGGCGCACCATCAACTTCAGGCTTTGGCGGCTTTGGAACAACAACAGCAAACACTACTCCTACTAGCGGCGCAGCACCTGCAACCTCTTCATCAGGATTTACATTTAACAACACGGGTGGATTTGGAACCAATACTTCCACCAGTGGCTTTACATTAGGTACATCAGCACCTACCTCAACTGCACCTACCACTGGGTTTAGTTTTACCAACAGCAACAACACACAACAGTCTACGAATACCTTTGGCGCACCAGCATCAACCGCAGGCTTCTCATTTGGCACACCGGCATCAACCACTGGCTTCGGCTTTGGTCAACAACAACAACAACAACAACAACAAAATAAACCTTCCCTCTTTGGAGGATCAGGCTTTGGATCAACAGGACTTGGATCATCCATTCAAACGCTCGGTGGTGACAACAAGTTTGGATCGACATTTGGCATCAACTCGGCTGAACAACAGAAAAAACAAAGAGACCAACAAATCTACAAACTTTTGTGCGATCTTAATCAAGAAGCAGATACTGCAACGACAGGGCGTAAAGGATATGAAGCCAAGAACGTTTGGCAAGCACTGGCTTTACTCAAATCGTACTATGACCCCAAGTCGCCTTATTGTCGTTTCAGGCATTATTTCTATAACGTCGTCAATCCTCAGGAAGTTCATCTCTATCAAAAGCCTGCAGATCATGATCCTGAAGAATGGACAGCAGCACAAAAGGCAAATCCGGATCCCAAGACGTAAGTTTGTTTTTTTATATTTACATGTCTATTCACGTTTTATTAGACTGGTACCTGCTCTGGCTATTGGTTTTGACGATGTACAGAAACGATTGGACATGCAGTCCAAGCTGAGTGAAGCACACAGCGAAAAATTAAAAGAACTTGAACAAGTATTGACCAAGATTCAAACATCTTGTCTGACAGCAACCATTTCAAAGCTCGACGAATGTAAACAAAGACACATGGAATTAGCTCAACGTCTTGTGAAGGTAAACGTCCGTCTCCAAAAGGATTATATGAGCTCAGTCTTTTTTGTATGTAGTTTTTGAAATATGCTCAAGTTTTACGCAATAAGGGCTTGTCTATCACACCAGATGAAGAAGCGATGCGTACTCGCCTAGAGAATATTCAAGAACAGCTACAGAAATCAGAGCTGTTCCGAGGCAAATTGAATCAGTTATGGGCTCAACTGCAATTGATCAAAGAATCAGGGCGAAAATATGGCAAGATAGATGGTGTTGAGGAATGGCATGCGGTGTCAGAACAGCACATGGATGAGATAACAAAGGTAAGATTCCTCCTGTTTGAAAAACAACTTGTACCTGAAGTCTAATGGTCACAAATAGAACCTAAATGAACAAAACAAGGGTATACAACATGTCATCGATATCCTTCATACAGACACGACAGACATTGAAATGCTAAGAAAATAACCCCCCCTTTATTTATATCTTCACGTTTATTCCCCCGTAATTCAATCCATGGGTAATAAAACTTCTTTTCGCGTCCTCAGTTATTTATATTCCTATTGGCTGATTTTCATTATTTAGCATTAATGCACAATAAATTCGGAGGAGGATTTCTGTTTCCAAAAAAAGGGCCACTCCACTTGCTTTTATTTATTTATTGCAACCCATGTCGAGCATCGTTGAGATTATGCGAAAACGTAAGAAACAAAGCAATCAAGTACATAACTCAAAATGATGTTAGGTCTGATGGACTCTATAAGGTCTATTCAACCACCAAGTAAATGGAAAATCATTGTCGTCGATTCCAAAAGTACACACATCCTAAACGCAGCATGCAAGATGTATGACATCTTGGAAGAAAATGTAAGAACTTGTTTACACCATTTTCTTTCATTCTTGACATCTTTTTTACTTTCTAGGTTACACGTACGTCCTTTTGTTTACAATCCACTGCTTTTCTTCTTACTGTTCTTTAGTGGTAGAAAACATTGAGAAAAAGAGACAGCCTTATCCTAGTCTAGAAGCCATTTATTTCTTGACACCTTGTCGAGAATCGATCTATCGCTTGGTCGATGACTTTTCGTCTAAACCACCTACTTATAAAGTAGCACATGTTCACTTTACTGGAGGCAAGTCTTTTTTTTTGTAATGTGTCATTTAGATAACCACTTTCTCTAGGTCTTAGTGACGACCTCTTTGCAGAACTTAATAGAAAGCTAAAATCAAGTGGAGCTGCAGAATATGTTCAAAGTTTAAAAGAACTCTATGTGGACTTTATGGGTAATAAGACAACAGCCAAAAAAAAAAATACAAAGACTGATTATCATTATGATAGTATCTGAATCCCTCGTATTCACAGTTGATCCAGTCACAAGCTTCTTGGCTGCATTTGGTGACTCGTCTCGTCCAGACGAAGCACTAAGACAGACAGCAAAACAAGTAAGAATAGCAAAAAAGCAAGTATATGTAATACTTACAATAGATAGCTGTTATCTGTATGTGCAACTCTAGGAGAAGATCCGATTATTCGATACCAGATACAATCAGAGGGAGGGGACATTCATCCTCAATCACCAGCAAGCAAACTAGCTCAGATCGTCCAACAAGAAGTGGATAACTTTTGTAGATTGAACCCTAATTTTCCTGTAATGCATATTGAACAAGCGCGCTTTACAAAAAGAACTAATTGTCTTTTTTTTAGCCACCACGAAACCCTCCTCAGCCAAGAGCCACTCTCTTGATCCTCGATCGATCCATTGACCCTGTAGCACCACTACTCCACGAATTCACGTACCAGGCAATGATCAACGACCTGCTCCCGGTTCAAGAAACAGATAATCATGTCGGCATAAAATACACATACGAGTTTCATCAAGCAGATGGGACACTGGGGTCTCAAGAAGTCACTCTGGATGAAGAAGATAATGTGTACAAGTCGATTCGACATATGCATATCGCTCAATGTTCAGATTACTTGATTGAAAAGTTTAACGAGTTTTTGTCAGAAAACAAGTCATCCAACGAACCCAAGACGACGGCAAAGAGTTTAAAAGAAATGAAGGACAAGTTAACTAATTTACCGCAATATCAGGATATGAAGTCCAAGGTAATACAACGTGTATAGAATGCATTCAACAAAGGCTGATGGTTTATTGTAGTATTCTGCTCATTTGAGTATTGCTCAAGAATGTATGTCGTATTTTGAAAGACACAAGTTGAACTCGGTTGGTAATTTGGAACAGGTCATAAAAATACGCATTGTAAAAAGACAAAAGTTTAACATCTATATAGAATATGGCAACGGGTGAAACAGCAGATGGAGAAATACCCAAGACGATCGTACTTGACATGGTCCCTCTTTTAGATGATCCTCATATTAGGTAGACTCTCATCAATTCAGTACATTCACTAAACATTATGTTGTAGCCCTGTAGATAAGGCACGGTTACTTATGTTGTACATCATTTGGAAAGAAGGCGGTATTTTCGAAGACGATAAGCGGAAATTAATGGAACATGCCAAATTAAAGGGAGAACTGCGTGATGCTATAAATAATCTCCCATTGATAGGTGTCAAACTGACACGAGTCCGTCGACAAGAAAAGTCATCATTTATTAAAAAGAGAAGAGAGAGACATAGAAGAAATAAGGATGAAGAACAACCTTATGAACTTTCTCGTTATGTACCTGTGGTCAAAAAGATCATGGAGGTAACAGAAAAAAAATCAATAGAACGATGCATCATGACACTCCCTTTATATTAGACTCATTTCTCAAGTGCTTTGGAAGCAAAGCAATTTGGTTATACGAGACAATCAGATATGGATCCAGTAGAGGAAACGAGTTCACCTGGGAGTTTACCAGCCAGTGGTGTTTCACTACGAAGCACAAAACCAACATGGGCCAAAAAGAATAATCCGGTAAGTAAAGTGTGGTCATGTTTTTTGAATACGTGTCTTATATACATATAGGGTTCTCCTCGGCCATCCAATGGTGCCAAATTGATTATCTTTATTGTTGGTGGAGCGACATATTCTGAAATACGGTCTGTGTATGAAGTAGCCGAAGCATATCATCGTGACGTTTTCATTGGCACAACAGAGCTTTTACGTCCTGCAGCCTTTGTCGAACACCTGAGCAACCTGCGTCGTCCTGTGCCGACACCAACTGCCTTGATCGCGCCTTATGTACCACCACAGAAGCCAGTGGAAGTCAGTAAGGCAACCTCACTCATGTCTCATATGCACATCGGAAGCTCTCCACAACTGAGCAGCAAGAGCTCAAGCCTGTCGCTATCCACCATTGCATCCGACACAAAGTCATCAGTGATGACAGAAGAAAAGAAGAAGAAGAAAGGATTAAAGCGATTGTTTGGATAGAATAAAGATAGAATTTTTTTTTACTTCTTTTTCATTTTTGGTGCACCCAAATTCTTTGGTAAATACTTATCAGCAGAAATGATGACAGCAATAACAATGTGTCCGATGAAGCCTACACTCTTGTAGGCTGCCCATGCTCGGCCGACCTTCAAGAGCTCGAATCCGACGATACCATATGCACATGTTGCCTGGCAGGCTGCCCAGGCAACCAACTTCCAGAGATAAAAGTAAATCTCGTTTTGTTTGGTGTAAGGTTGAACATGCGGCAGTAATCGTCGACGGAGGATGGATTCACAGAGGACAAAGAGGAATTCAAGAAAGAAGGTCAGGAAATACATCCAGTGGAATCCGTGCCAGATGGCCAAGAATGCCAATGTACCAAATTGCGATGCGAGCTTGCTACCGAGGAACTTGAGTCGTTTAAAGACGTAATATTTGGACCAAAGGTTCGTGTTGATGTTGAATGAGCCAATGATATGATCGATCGATGTGGCTGTTTCAAACGTGCCAGGGAGTGTATTGGCCAGTCCACGGAACTGGGCGAGTCCAGTCATGTCAAATCCTTCATATGAAATACCAAAGGCGGCGATTGTACCTGAATTTTTTTGTGTGAGACCCCAAATCCCCACATACACTCTTGATCACACGTTTTTTTACCTTCAGTCAATAACCAGATACCGATATACTTATTGTATGCAAATTTGCCAGCAACTACAAATACAAACGCACGCTTCAAAAGGCATAATGAGCGATACTCGTCAGTTAGCAGGTACGACGTGTTGTACCTGGTGCCGATCGTTTGTTGTAAGCCGAGATAGACAGCTGCCAGGAGCACACATCGTATGATGTAAGCGATCTGTGCTCTCTCCTTTTCCTCGTGTTCTTCCGCATTGAGCTGTCGTTCATCATCGTTCAACCACTTTCTGTACAGTGAAAATGAAAATTGAGGACCGACAAGGAAAGCAGCCGGAAAGTGAGCATAGGCAAACACTTCTTTCAGGTCTGGTAAATCAGTCAGGGGCGTGTCTGCTCTAAATGACAGAGGTAAGACGACAGGTGGCTTTGCCTTCTCGGTGCTTCTAATCGCAGCCTGGGTGTGATCTTCGTTCTTGTCGGCCTGTTTCTCTGTAGGTGCACCAGCGACAGTGAACTTTTTGCGTCCGTCGTAGTAATCAAAACCGAAACCCATCATACGAAGACAGAGAATACATTGTGACATGGTCCAGGTAATATCGTAGTCATCGGTTTGCATGTAATAATATCCGACCAGCAAGTAGAGTGCATTGAATCCCCAGACAGTCATGAGGGCTAACTTGCGATCATTCATTTGTTCACCAAGAATGAAGCAGAGTCCATAGGATACCGCTGTGGTCACAAGTGAATGGTAAATGTGGAATCCATTAAAGAAAAAGCTCAAGGCAAGTCCAGCAAAGAGAATGTATTGATTTCTATCTTCACGTGTTGACTTTAGTGAATCTTGGCTAAGGTATAATTTTTTGTAATAAAAGGCGGAAGGATAGGCAAGAAGAATGGTTGATAAGAGCCGTAATGTAGGTTCTGGTAACCCAATTACCCTGGAGAGTAATGCTGTAATTATGTTCATTGTCAGAACAAAACAACCAGGAAAGAGGCGTTACTGCTTCTTTTGTAATTAAAAAAAAAGACTGCTTCCTAAAATGGGTAATTATGTAATCGTGAATTTATCCCATTTAGTGCCTCCTTTTGAGCTTTGGACTCTTTGTCATTGTGAATTAACAAGACTATTTCTGAGTTGGGAGAAGGCTTGTTTGATAGTATACAGATTGTCACATGATGTAAGAATGATTATTGTAAGCGAAAAATATAATGCCTACATTTGTATTACAAACACTGTTTGTTATTTTATTGTACACAACTAGTGGCAGCCGTGTAAGGTGCATTTGCGTATAGTAGTAAAAATACACAAAATCTCGGCATCGAACTTGCAAGTCATCTATAATACCAAGGGCGAGCATACATACCTTCATTCCACCAACGAGATGATTTTAAGATCTTTCAAGAAATCATTATACACAATGTTTGTTTTTAATATTCAATTTCTTACCAACAGCTCGAAACCCTATGGCCACATTCAAATTGTACTGCTTTGCAGAATATGGCAGTATGATACAGGCTGACAACTGCACTTCTTGACTCTTTTATTTCATCAATGACATTTGTGCAAGGAATGCTGTCATCACTGTATACTTTGACAATGTGTCAGAGAGGCTACCGTTGATCAAGCACCCTATATTGAAAATCTTGCTTGATTTAGTAGTATTGTATCCCTGTCCAGTTACTGATTGGACATTTAAACATTTGTGGCTTACTATGGTTTGTGACAACCATCGTATTTTACGTTAAGACATATTGCTCTAGCAAATGATTCTTCAAAGCGCATGAGAGGCTTTTTACAAAGTATGTGAATCACTACCCTTCAGAAAGCTTTATGATGCCGTCTTTGCTTCGCTACGAAAGGAAATATAGAGTGGAACTGCCTCTTAAAGATTATAGTTAGTCTCTTTAAATAGCACTTTTTCTATTATGACGGTTAAAATAAGATTTATAGCAAACTACTTCGTTTCTTACGTATTCTTCTTCTTGATGATGTGCTGTAAAAGATAGTGCTGTATTTCGACATTTTTTGGGTTTTGCTATTTGTATAGCACAACTACTCAACACTTGCCCAATATGTGATGTAAGCAATTCAATGAACAGCATACAGTACCAGACAAACCACACCTGCACAATGTACAACACTGAAGTATAAGAGAAGTGTATGTCGATGAGTCTGTAATAACCTCTTTATTAAGATCACGACTAAAGAGCTCATTATTACAGGATCGTTTTTCTTATGAACCACACCTTGAAGCATAGATTCCGGTCCGAGCGCTTAGGGACCACACCCTGAGCGACGGGGTTCATCTTAAAATAGTAAGCGTGTAGGCCGATGCCGTTAAGGACCGCGCCTAAAGCGGATTATTCTTCCAAAATGAGTAAGATCCTTAACGACATCGGCCTACATACTTACTCTTTTAAGATGAACACCAAATCTCGCTTTTGACCAAACCTCTTTGATGAGGTTGAGGAATGGTGAGTATGGTGGCAAGCATACACATTTATACCTTTGTTTTTCAATAACGCTTCGAACTGTTGCTGGCTTGCGAATGGGAGCATTGTCTATTATTAAATAAAGTCCTTTGAGATTCTTTTTGTCCAAAACATCAAGCACATTGTTTATACAACTCAAATAATGTTCGGTTCTTGTTCTAATTCTTGCTGTGGTGTCCACCAATTTACCGTCTGCTCTTCTTCTCTTAATACCAGAAACTGTAACAGGTTTTCTTAAAGAAATATCAACGACGCCTTGCGATAAAATAGCTCCAAGTACCATGATAGATATTGGTACAACCATTTTTCTGTTCAGACATATGAAAGGATGAATAATTATCAGATAAGGAACGGGTAAAAGTAATACTGAACCATAAAAGGATGCATGCCGAGAGTAAAGGTAATCAGGAGTAGTTTGAAACTAAACACATGGACATGTCTAAACATTATTCCATCTTCTTTAAGCAAAGTAAAAAGTTACAGTAATATTAGGATAACACTCTGCTCATAACACCTTCCTTTGATTCGCACACCTTTTCTTTTATCTAAAATAAGCAAAAATTACAGTTTATTGCCTTTACACGTGGATTTGTAATCGATTATGACGGCTATTGTTTTTACAAGATTCCCAAAATCATTATGTGTGGATATAAATGTATGTGTATGTATATGTGTGTATTTGTGTTTGCATGTAAAGTTTGTATAAATATAAATAAGTCTATTATATTACATTAAGATAAGCAATGATAATGTCTCCATCCATTAGACAAGGCACCATCAACGCATAATTCTACATTCTTCATCCAAGTCGACTCTAACACTTGGTCTACTTTCCATCGAGTCTTGGGGTCTGGATCCATCATGCCAGCCAAACATTCTCTGATATGATGATCAGACAACTTGAACTCATCCCAGAATGGGCAATCAGCGGGATCTCCTTCTTGACGTTGTTGAACGTACTGACCATAAGCGCTATCACCGCCATCAGCGGCAGCAGCAGCAACAGAGGCAGGAGATCCGGAAATAGCCCCAGGAGGGGGACTGGAGGAAGGTTTACCCGTGAAAAAAGCGGCATTGAAAGGGAGTTTTTGAAACCGGATACAGAAATACGTGATGGCTGCACTCCAAATATCCAAGGCTTGACCATCATAGCCATCGTCATCGTTCTTGAGCGACCAAATCTCAGGAGACCAGAAGGGCTCAGATCCGCACCATTTGTAGCACATATGAGATTCCTTTTCAAAGCATGTCTGCACAACAGATGCCACACCAAAGTCGGCAATCTTTAAGGTGCCACCTTTTGTCAAGATGAGATTTTCCGGTTTGATATCTCTATGAGCAATACCGAGATGATGAAGGTGCTGTAAACCAAGCATCAGCTGTTTGAACAGACAATCGCATTCTCCGACCGGTAAGTTAGATTTTTCAAACAAGAGGTTAAACAAGTCACCACCTTCGCACTAAATAAAGAAATGAGAGATCAGCGGTACGATAGAGATAAATATCTTACATATTCCATAACAGTACACCATCTATCATATTCATCTACCACAAGATCCATCGTCTCGACTACATGTAAATGTCCACTGACAGTTTTACTGATACAATATTCATTATGCATACGCTTCAGATACTCTTTTTCGTCCTCATCCTTTGTCCTCTTTCTGAACTCTTTGACTGCCAAGACACTTCCATCTTTAGGTGATTTGACGAGTCGTATGACAGCTGTTGCGCCACTTGCGATGTTATTTTTATTGGTGGCTCCTGTTCCCTTGGTATTCGATTTCTTTATCGGCTTCACGTATTCTCCATATTTCTCATGAAGTCTTGGTACATTGTTAACAGGACTGTGATGATGATCAGCCGGATGAAAATGCTTTTTGGTCCAAGTGGCAGGGCTAGAGATAAAGCTACCAATGGATCGTCCGAGACGATGGTGAGACGATGGTGATGGTGATATCGACATGTCATGATGATTATCGATACTCTTTGAGCTTTGAGCGCTCGTACTATCTTGTCTATTCAAAGGAGAGGGCGGTGGTGATGATGATATTGTTCTTGATGTATTATTAGTCATCTTCAATCGTTGATTATTGTGATTATTAAATAGTGATCCTAATCGACTTGGTTTCTTTATTGAAAGTGCTGATACTGTTGACGTTGATGAAGATGGAGATACCATTTGATCTGATAAAGCACTGTTCCATGAAGTGGACTTTGGTTCTATTTTAGACATTGCTGCCATTTTAAATAATCAAAAGAAAAGAAAAGAGAGAGAGAAATGAGATGAAGAAAAAGACGAAAAAAAGTATATCCTTTTTATAGGAATTACATTATTCCTAAAATGAAACTTTTTTTTTTTTTTTCTCTAGTGATGGGTTTAAAATATTGCTCCCTCTCTCTTACTCTTCTTTCTTTGTATGTTTGTGTCTGTCTCATTTCTTCGTTCCACTTCCCCGCGCTTAGCTTATAATCACAGCTTGTCATTGGCTCAGCTAAACGTCACTTTTTCGACAATGACGTTGAAGACAAGGAGTAATATTCTCTCTTCCAGGGAAAATTAGCGGGAAAAGTCTTCGGAATTAGAATTCAATTCTGATTCTCAGTTGGCCTCGATCCCTGGGGAGGAAAGGGGGAGTTTAATAATTAGATTGACTTGAGTCATTGTTAAACAGAAACATGTTTTAAGCTGGTTCATCAACAGACGTCATGTCTCTATTTTGGCAATAAACAAAAATGTCAAGCTTATTTTATTGTTGTCAAAAGCCATATCTGTTTTGATAGATTGATTGTTCAGGAGAAATCAACAGTCAAGAAACGACAGTCTCCATAGAAACAGACTACATTACAAAAACAAAAAAAGAAACTACTAAGCTCCGATGACCTTGCTTTAATTACACTTTAAATACAAACAATGTTAGTTTTTTTTTTCGAGATGTTTAGACAATTTTACTGTAAAAATCTGAATTCCTTTAACAGGAAAACCGTGTTCGATACGACGATGTGATAAAAACAAAGTTATTTGCTTTTACAAAATGCTTGTGGCCGACCGCGGCCACTGATGACTTCTTTTGAAATCTTGAAAATATTCTTCGATACATTGACACCGTGTTGCCATATCATTCCACAACTTTGGCAAGCGAGAACGCTGTTCAGCCCAATGAATGCTTGAGCAAAGGACATTTCGTTACAAGAATAGCAGATCTGTATTTACAAACTGTTAAATTTAGCTAGAAGATAAAATTATCTTGATATCTTGTACCTTTGATGTGCGAAATTCATTAACATAAGTGAGCAAAAGATCACCAGATCTCTGTCTGTTTTTAAGTTGTCTGCAAAGCGCTCCAGTAACACCGGTTCTATGGCCTTTAAAACTAACAAAGTCTTTTCCGAACATTCCGTTGCCAAAAGAAATGATAGGTAGCTTGTTTTTAGCCTGATAAAATTGCTCTGGCTTCTAGTATCTAATAAAACAACGGATGAATATATAATATAATAACTTTAATTGCTTATGAACCTATGTTGTGCTTTTTTGTGCTGTATTCTTACTGCTATCATTCTTTATGGTATCTTTACTTGATCTTTTCTTCCTTCTTTTCTTCTTTGCCTTCTTTCGCTTTGACTTTTTGTACTTTTTTCCGCCATCTATCAAAATATTCACCATTTTTGCTCTCGCTCTTTGGACACCTTGATACAAATGAAACCAGTTTTCACCTGTTGAACTATTGTTGAATGCCAGTATATAAGCCTTCAGACTCAATTCTGACTAAAAAAATACCTGTCGAAATTCAAAAAATCCTTGGCAGATTTCCTTTTTGAAAAAGTATCCTTTAGTCTGTCAGCCTAAAAATACAGGTAACCTCAACAGCGAAATAAGGGCACGTCAAGATGGGATACATTTTTTGCGAACAGAATTGAAAAATGTCTTGAAAGAACGCAAAGACTACCTCTTGCAAAGCAACATCAATGAAGAGAAAAAAAATGGATTAATAAGCATGCTGAACCATTACAGCAGCAAGAAACCGAGCATAACAACCAGTTGCACCAAAGGATAGAACAGATAAAGACACGTAAAGCTGAATTCAATGTAATATTACGCAGAATGAAAGAGGAATTATCAACGGAAAGAACAAAACCTATCTTAAGCGAAAACAACTGACTACTTCGTCCAATAGGAATAAAGAGGAACAAAGAGTGCGTATTATCACACAAGATGCATTCAAGTGTGTCGACAGAGTAGAAAGTATGAAGATATATAATTGCTTATTAAAATCGGGCAAAATTGCATTTTCGGGCACTGATAATGGTCTTGTCACTATGACAGAAACTGTTGGTTTTGATATGGAATGACTTAAGTTCCATCTTGATCTATATAACAAGTACTCTGCTTTAGAAAACATGTCAGAAAAAGGTAATGCTGATACTGATATAGTGGATCGTGCTGTTATTAACATTAATGTGCTCAATAATTACGTTTCAGAACAAGAAGCAAGTGAATTTACTATTCAAATGTCCCCATGCATGGAGTTACCGAAGCCATACAAGGTCCATGCATCTGAAGTTGACTATAAAAACGGTGCACAAAAATATAGAAAACAGCTTAAACGTGCTAAAAACATTACTGATATAGGACGACAAGTGATGGAATCGGGACCCTTTTAAGCAAAGTTGATACGACTAGTGCTAGAAATCTTGAACATTTAAATGAATTACATAATACATACATTGAACATAAACACATTATATGAAACTTCTACTACTCGCCAAGTCGACTGAAGCAAAAAAGGGCTTACGAGTTACAAAAACGCAAATATACTGCTAGACTTTGCTCAGATGAACGCAGATATGCTACATCTTCTAGAAAGATGAAGCCTATCATGTTTGTTGGTGATCGTGGTTTAGGTAAAGTTCATGAATCAAAGAATACACGCGATACGGTAGTCATTGGAAACCTTTGGAGCATAGTCTGTATACCTCTGTATGTATAACGAACGAACACAATACTTCCCAAACGCAAAATAACAGTTACTAAGAAACATATAAAAATAAACAAGGTTCATCAAACGTTGATCATGACTTTATTTTTGGATTGAATACCAAGATTTTCTGCACGACACCAAATTCAAAACCAACGGCTTTACTTTCTGGAATGACAGTTGAATCAGTCCGAAAATATTTCTCAGTTATCTGAATTTAAATTGTCTATATTGTTTTCCATGATTACACGAATATCAAAGTTGATTCCGGCCCGCACCAAGCCTTCCTTACTGTGTCCATGCCCTTTTGTAGGATCCTTCTGATGGCCCACTTTGACCCTTCCCTTTTTTTGTAACATCCATCTGGTAAATAAAGCATCCATCATCCATTCATGTACATAGATAACTGACAAACTCTATAGCCATGAAAGACATCTACAAGCACGACGAACTCGAAATCCCTGAAGGTGTTAAGGTTAACATCAAGTCCCGTGTTGTCACCGTTGAAGGTCCTCGCGGTACTCTCACCAAGAACTTGCGCCATTTGGCTATTGAAATCACCGTCGTTGGCAAAAAGATTCGTTTCGTCGTTCACCACGGTCTTCGTAAGCACGTTGCTTGTATTCGTACTGTCCGTTCTTTGGTCAACAACATGATCATTGGTGTCACCAAGGGCTTCCAATACAAGATGCGTTATGTGTATGCTCACTTTCCCATCAATGTGATCATTAGTGATGCTGGCGATGCTGTTGAAATCCGTAACTTCTTGGGTCAAAAGGTTGCTTTCCATGTCAAGATGCGTGAAGGTGTCAAGGTTGAAGCCTCCAAGGCTCAAAAGGATGAACTTCTCTTGACTGGTAACTCTTTGGAAGCTGTCTCTCAATCTGCTGCTGATATCCAACAATCTTGTCTTGTCAAGAACAAGGATATCCGTAAGTTCTTGGACGGTATCTACGTCTCTGAACGCAACGTCTTAGAATCTGCTTAAATTGGCAGAATATGTTAATAAAGATACACAACGGTCCAGGGAAGACGGCAGGAGCCTTCCCACCCCTCTTTTTCTAATTGATTTTTGTGTGTTCTCGGGGGCATACACACACACATACGTACAGAGGGGCATTTAACCAAGTTTTCATAAGGTCATGAGTCAATGTGTGTATTTGTATGTCTTCTTTTATTATTGTGCTATTGATATTATAATGTAATAAGAAGTATAATTATTAAGTTTATCGTTTCTTGCCAAACTTGATGCCAAATATCTTTCTCGCTGAGCTACGATCATTAAATGTCGAAGAATGTCTTGAATCTCCATCATAAAAGGTATTATCATCATTCTCTTTTTTAGAGCTGGGTGAAGGATAACCAAGATCACGAGAAGAGGGTGGACGAGTAGTAGAAAGATTGGACCCTGATGTATTACTTTGACTGGTGCCTTGATAAAATGAGGCTGAGGAATCATCTGGTTTGATCGTCAACAGATTGGTCTGTGCGCTTAAGGAATGCATCATCTCTCTTTCCATCGTTTCAAAGGCAGAGGTGAATGTGAATTTACGATCTCGAATTTGAGCTTCGATCTTGATTTCTGTTTGACCAAAGTACATTTTGATGGTCATAAAGATGGGTTGACCCTTTTGGACATCTGGGAACTTGGGCATCTTGATAGGGAATCGAGCTACTTTAAATACTTGAGGATGTGTCGTCAATCGTGGAATAGGTCCATCACCGTCATAGGCAAACAAGTCTATTAAGGGGATATTAATCAAGTGCATGTCAAGTTTATATATTAAATTACCTGTATCTGTATCGTTTGGATAAGCAATCATAAAGTTTTTGGATACACAATAATCTGCGTTGATGGCTTGACCTTTTTGTACATAAACACTAAATCGTTGTTTACAGAATAATCGGTTATCATCCCCCTTAATGCACTGTTCAGGAGGATCGTATCGAGGGTCAAAGACCATGCGAGTTTCGAGACCATAGGTACGTCTGGATACACGTTCAGTCACCATACGAGGATTCAATCCGAAATAGACTGCTCCACGGACGACAGCCAATTCACCACGAGGAGGCACACCGATGAATCCGACGCGAGATTGAAATTCGGCAAGAACACGTCGATAGAGGTATGTCGACTGACCGAATCCACCAACAAGGAAAATAGCGTCTAATTTTGTCTTGGATTGTTGAACCTGTTCTTCGATCAGATCAATTACCTGGTTGATGACAGGCTCAAACACCCTTTGGCGCAATTCATGACATGGAATGTGAAGTGTACCATCTTCAATACCCGCATCTGGATCATCAGCACCTTCAATACCTAAAGCAGCAGGAAGCGCAAGGTATTGATCTTCATCCCCATCAAATTCAGGCTATATTTAAGGGAGCACACATTTAATTGAAGGGGAATATAACAGTTTTTTTATTATTCTCCTTACCTTGATGGTATCAATAAATGTTTCCATCATGGACTCCATAGCCGTATCACTAATCTTGCCGTGATGGTAGAACCGGTCCTTCAAGTACTCTCTCATACGAATATCCAAAAAGGTTGAACCACAAGAATCACCCGATCCTTTGGTTACTTCCTTTAATGCCCTTCTTTCTCCAGAATCATCAATTTCAAACACGATCAAGTCAACAGTACCTCCACCAGCATCACAGATCAAGAATCGCTGTCCATGGCCAAGATTGAATTGATCGCACTTCTTTTCACAATAGAGCGCAGCTGCTTCTGGTTCGCTGATCAACATCAGTCGGCTGGGGTGGTCCCATCGATTGATAATACCGGCTCTAATGGCTGCCTCTCGCATCGTAGCCTTTGCTTGATCGCTCCACATGGCTGGTACCGTCAGACAATAACGGAACTTGCTCTGGTCATAATTATTGGCGAACCCACGTTGAAGGTCTTTACAGACATGATTGTGAAATGCTTCGAGGTAATCTGTAATGGCCTCAAGTGCTGTCAGTCCATTAGGCAAAGGTGGCAAATTAAGATTCTCGTCTAATTGAAGTTTGAATCGAGACAAGAGTTGATCGTTATTGTTTCGTTTCATGGCTAACTTTTTTGCCTCTTGGCCCCAGGCAACGAGTTTAGTTGAGCCGTTTCTATAGAGAGAGAGTGTCGGTGTCTTTGGATAAACATTTTGCTGCTTTGGCCTATTGAGAGTAAGTAAGTGATATACAGTGCTTATGATATTTACCATTTTGTAATATCAATAATTTCATCATTTCCGTCTTTTGAAAATGCATAACAACAACCAGAAAAAGTAGTTCCAAAATCTATTTTTATAATATATAATTAATACTATATTAAACGATGCACTTCGTCGTTAGTTACCTATACCAATAACATAAGAATAGTCTGAAGGGTCAAAAGGAGGTGTGTCCATAGACATCGTATATGTATAAAGAAATAGAAAATGCAGAAAAAGAAAGAAAAGTACAGGAAAAGAAGAAGAAAAAAAAAAGATTTATAATTTGTATATGTTGTTCAGGAGCAGATATTCCAAATTTGTAGCCACTTAAAGATGGTTCCACAGGTACGTCAATTTTTTTTTTTCTCTTTTCTGTTTGTTTTTATACAGTCGTTTTACTCCCAACTTCAACACTTGATGTAGAAGCTTGATTGAGTATTCCCCTCAATAATTATTGGGTTATTTTTAAGAGAAATGGATTTGGCAAGCTTTCTTTTATCAAGTATGCTAAATGATTTCGCATTTTCTTAGTTTAGCTCACTTTTGATGGATGACATTATGACCCAGACACGCATTCATGGCACATTTTTATTTAATAAAACAAGAACTTGACTCTTTGAATTTTTGAGTTAATTTGATAAATCATCTTTATGACGCTTTATATACAAATAAAAGCATGCTTACTTTTCTGTTGCTGTTATAGAAGCGGTTACCAGGTACCTGTAGATGACGAAACGAATGATTATCTTGAATAGGCTTTCTTGTGTTATAAAACAATCTGGATCTCCTACCTCTTTTTTTTGGACTCCTATACACTAGTCATGTTTTCTATATTCGAAATCAAAACTTATTTGTTCCTGAGAGGGGCCATTAGGCACGCAGTACAGTGAGAGTATTTCCTATCAAGTTTAAAAAGATAAAACCAGATAGGATTATTTAAATGAACTTTCTCATTTATCATTAAAGGGATATCCATGCAAAAAGATAATCAAATAGAGAATGGCCAACAATGGAAATATTGATAAATAAACCAGCAAGATACATGACTATTTATGATTTTCCACCCCCTTACACCAGAATCCATCTTTTGAATGCTTTTTTTAGTTTGTTTCAATTTAAACAAGGCTCTAATAGAAGCTAAGCACAGGTTGTCTTAATTATCAAAGACTGATTTCATTAAAAAACTGGTAAAAAACCATTTTATTAACCTGAGTTTTAAATTGCTTTCTTTCTCTCTTTCTTCCCTAAAATGAATAAGGTTAGGACAAACAATACAAAAAGTTTATTTTATTGTTGTTTATAATAATAATATCAGCCAATTGATCCACCCAAGAGAACAAGCAGTCTCTTGTCTTCTTCTAAGCGTGCATCTGTCAGTTCGTTCACAAGGACACTCAGTCGCTTAGGAAAAAGAAATTCGACGATTGAAGAGACCTCATTACCCTTTGAAGATGACCAAGAAGATCTCGAAGAATATGCAGAACCAAAGATACCAAACAAGCTTACATCAGAATACTTTAGTAGATATGAGATAATGACTGAATTGTAAAAATTGTATATACATGCCCTATCACCATTCACTTATTGTTATTACTATTAGTATCAATCTAAGAAACCCAAACCATTGTCCCCTGGGTGTCTATGTGATGCCATCAGCAGAGGATCTCTATGGTATATAATTGAATACAAAAGGCATGATTGTCTAGATCTAATATTTTACTACTTAGTATGGCATGGTGTGTTATTCATACACAAAGGATATTATCGATCTGGCACATTTAGATTTTGTTTAAATATACCAAAGGATTACCCAAACAACCCACCTTCAGTCACTTTCTCCAAAGATGTCTTTCATCCCCTCGTAGATGACTATGGCAATGTTTGTATATCTCAACAGTTTCCTAAATGGAGACCTTATCAAGATTATATATTCCATGTACTTCATTATCTGAAAAATATGTTCAAGAAGGTCGTTCTGGATGGATTGAATGAAAAATATTGCTTAAACAAAGAATCATATAGACTGTAAGTAAAATAATAGATGTTACTCGAATTGACGCAAAATGATAGATACCGTACAGACAAACCCATTTTTCATAAACTAGCACAACAATGTGCTCAACTGTCAATAACAGAATCATTCTTATTCGAACATGTTCCAGAAGATAATATGATTCGGTTTTCACCTTTAAGTGAATCAAAATTTGATGAATTGAAAGCACAAATATTGAGCACTGCCACTGTAAGTTGACTACAAGTTATCATCACCATTTATTAAGCGTTTCTATATAAATAGTCCATATCACCTTCTTCTCCTTTAAATGACGATTTAATATAATGTACAATAAACCTAATCTTGCCCAACTACGCCTTTTGATAGACGAGTAACCACCTTATTCTTGGATCCATGTGGAAATAGATCTCCCCAAGCTGCCTTTCTTGCATCTCGATAAGGCACTTTACCTTGAGACTTGGGAATCACCATGCGTTGAATTTCACCTAATGATCTATTAAAACCCTCGACTCTTTTATTATTTTTTATCTTTACCTTCTTTTGAACAAGCATCCAATACGACATGCTTATTCTTTTTCAATGGAGGCTGTACTAATCTTGGCCAATCATAAGCCTGTGTCTCCATATCGCTTTGTAGAGAAGGTCGTTTGCCTTTGCGAAGGATAACATAACTGTACTTTATATCCTCTATATTATTCTTTGCATGTTTTGTCTTCATCAGGAATGATGGGCGTTGAACTCGTTGAGAATAGTGACACCACATCTGGTTTGGTTTGGATTCTGGCGAGAAGAGCATGGGACAAGGTTTATCATGCGAACACTATTTGAACAAGATCATTAACAACAATTACAAAAAGGGAAATGTATGCTTACAGGGGCAATAACGTGAGCGTCTTGTTCATCTAAAATCCATTGTCTTGCTTTAGCAATATTTTGGAATCCTATGGGTGTGCCTCGATCCATCAGAACCTATATTCAGAAGAGTATTAGCTCCCCTTGCGCGCCCATTTAGTTCTATATGTCTCTTACAAGAATATCGCCTGTTTGAGACCAAAGTTGTTCCACGATTGATTTTTGTAATGCCTCTGATGTGATATCTCCCAAGGTGAAAGCACTTATCACAAGGTCCGTCTTAGGCGCCTGATACATAGGATTAATAGACATATTCCTTTTAAGCATATATATTATCTTACCGTTGGATTATAAGAAAGGTATCGTTTAAATTCTATAGGCTGGCATTTATCCGTTTTTACAGATTCTATTCAAGAATTTATAAGCTATTCATGATCCTCGTTTAACTGCTTACTTTCTAATTGTTCTGCAACATTCAACATGTCTTCTGATAAATCAACCGCTGTACACGCTTCTACATCAAATAATTGCTTTGCAGCCCTTTCGTGAATTAAATGTCAGGCACACATTCATCTCGACCATAAGCTGCAACTTACCAAATAGCTGTACCAGGTCCTGTTCCAAAGTCAAGCATTGATTTAGGACTAAAGCTGGACACTCTACTTTTCACTTCCTTCAAGACATTGTAAATGGCTGCATAATTCCCAGACATGACACTAGCTGTATAAGCAACTGACTCTCTTGGCCCATACGTCAGTTTATGTGGTTCAACTGCTTCTTTTTCATTCTGAGGTTGTCTTCCGGAAGTTGATCGCAAGGCATCAAACAATCGAAGTGAATCGGTACGAATGAGTCGTTTGTCAGGGTAGTGTTCAATAATTTGATCTACTCCTTGAATCAACGATCGAGGAAGTTCTACACAGCCAATACGTTTACGTCCAAAGCTGGCTTCTTCTGATCCTCTTACAACAGGCTCTGAATCAACCGAGATTTCTTGAACAGGGAAATCACTAGGAAAAAAATAATAATATTAGATCCTCTTTTGCCCCTGTGCAAGTAGATCTATCAAGTTTTACCCTTCTAAATCCAGATCAAACGACTGTAACTGTTGTTGATTCAATACAATAGCTCTTTCAGTCTTGACAGAGTAATTTCGTTTAATTGACTGTCTTAAAAGTTGTCTAGTGATCATAATGTAAGTAATATATAAAAAGAAGAAGAAAAAAAAAAAGATTTTGAGTTATGCACCAGTCAAAAATCCCGCGCAGTTGTTATTTTGCTGTGTCAGACTAAAATCCTAAATGAATATAGAATATATATGTATATCACAGCACATAAGATTGCTTGTAAAAGGTAAATGTATGAATGCGTGTTTTATTTCTAATTAGTGGTGATGACGTATTTTTTTATTCTATATTTGAAGAGAAAGGTGCTGGATCTTCTTCCTCTACAATAGGTGATAGCAGACCAGATGGACTCTTTCTATCTAATCTACTCAACCTCAGTGTGTCTACAGAGGGTAGAGAGCTATACACCTTTTTGACCCATTCATTTTCTATCCTAAAGATTACCCAAATCCATCTTCTGAATATTTCCATCAGTTCCAACAAAAAGATACTAGCATCCAACTGTCGAATGAGTAGATGTGAACAGAGTTTGAAGCTCCATGTGATGCGTAATAGAAAATCAATAAATATAGCCAAGGCGTAGTAAACTGGTTGTGAAAAAAAGAGTTGTTTTCTAAAGTGAATTGTCGGTTGCTGTTGTTGATGTTGTTTGGTAAACGTGATGAGATTCCAATCCATGGATACATCCCACCAGAATGAATACATTGAATTAATAAATACAAAAATGACCCTATTTCATATGCATATCAGTCATATAAAGAACTATATAATTGTTTTTTTTTTTAACTCACCAAAATCTAAAGACATGTATCTCATTTAGATACCATGAGTTTGGCACTTGCCCTGATTCGGTGATATACACGTTGGCTTTCTTTTGAATGGCTGAAAAGATAATGGCAGGTATTGAAGTAGCATATTTTAGCGCGTTATATAAATGTCGCTGTTCTCTTGTTTCTATGTATTCTGAAATACATTGCCGTAATCGGATCAAATAAGGAACACTAAAATAGAGTTAATATATCTCTTGGCAATACCCTATACTATATACCTTATGATGAATGGTACAGCCATATCCTTACAGTATATGTTCTCTGTTGTATCCAAGAAATACGTTGAAGGATACCCTGTGACCATGACACAGACTGCAATGAATAGATCACCAAAGACATTAGAGAAACTAGTCAACATATCTGCCAAGATTATGTCTGAGAAAAAGACAGGTGCACGTAAATTAGGCATAAATATCCTCTTTAACATTCTATGGTATCATCAATAGTCTATTATTATTTTGGTGAGCAGCTTTACCTAATAAAGCGTGTGCGTTCCTTTTTATATAATTGACTGGGCCACAATAAGAGAATGAGAGCAAGGATGTATGGAATGATGGCATTAGAAGGTGATGGATTGTACAAGTAATGAGAGACAAGGCATAAAGAGACGATCAAAGACAAGATCCCAGATAAATAGAATATAGGAGTATATAAAGGTGAGTGTTTTTCGTTATTTAATTGTAATATTGAATTCGTGTCTATGCCACATTTCGCTAGGATGAATAGATCTAGAGCCCATCCCCATAAGCCTATTGAAAATAGCACAATAGGTCTATAAGTTATGGGCAAGAGGGTATCATCCATTATCTGATGAATAAATAAAAAAGAGAGAGAGAGGAGGGGAAAATAAAAATAAAAGGGCTTCTATTTTTGGGCCAAGGATAAGTTACACCCTCTTCTATCGCACTTTAAAATATATGCACAAATTATGAAAGAATGTAATGTTTATTTATGATTAAATTTCGTCCATCGTTCGTTTCCTGGCCTTTGGCGGAAAAATTAAAATGGATGGGCTTGAAGCCGTTTCATTCATTTCATCGGCTTCTTGAACAACTATTCCTCGTAAGGAATTCGCTTATTGCTCTTTGCATGCTTGTCCATCAATGCTGTCAGCACAATTGGCCATGGAAGACTATGGCAAAAAAGATAATCCAGGGTTAATATGATATTCAGATGAAACAATGGCAGTATAAAGTATATTTACTTTCCAAAGAAATAGGCTATTTAGTGTTTGCCAGAAGAACTTAAACTAGGCCTTCATCCTTGGGGATGGACAATGGCTTTGGCAGCTTGGCAACAAAAACATTGTCCACTCACTCCAGCTGATACATATAGCCAAAGCTTCCTATAAAGTAAACTTATCAGTTTTAGTTTGCACTATTTGTAAACAACCTTTTCTCCACAACTCAAATTTAACATTTTACTAACCTATAGTCTATACTAATGAGGCTATTGATTCCATTGACTTTTTTTAGTATATTAGCTAAAATAGCTGCACTTGACATGACGCTTTTTCTCTGCTGCTTCAATTATGTCGGCTGGCTGCAGGACGACCGCTTCCCATTCATTGGCAAACATTTCATAAGTGGTTTTCTCGTATGACTTGTCACTATCATGTCCACTTTTCTTCCATATGAATAATTATTTGCCGGGGCGATGATAACTTCAGAGTTAAATATAAAGCTATTCAACATTATTGAATTCCTTGTGCTTTTTGAAATTGGTTCTTCACTCTACGTAATTATATGTCAGTGTTTAAGATTTTTAGAGAAAACATTTATTCAAATATGCGTAAGCTTACTCTTTCAGGCTCACAGTTGTTCCTTTAAAGAGAGTATCAACAAGACACGCAAATCTTTGATATGCAGTGAGCTTGTTATCTATGCCTTTGTAGTCTTCAAAGTGGTAAAATGCTACAGGACAAAAGTATTAACTTGTGAAATTTTAGTGCTCTTCACAAAGAGTGTCAGCTCTCTATGTATATACTCTTAGAAATTTGTGTAGTTCACGCTTATGCCAACTTACTACCAAACTCTTTATCTTGACAAGCTTGTTGAATAAAGCTGTCAAGTTTGTGAGGATTATGATAATAAAACGAATTAAGAGTTAATATAATGTTCAGATGTAATAAAGGTATCATATGAGTATATTAGCCCTTGGTTCCTTTTATTATCATAGTCTTCTATGACTAATTGCTCTGACAACATTGTTGAACAAGCTTGTCAGTATCAACATAAAATAATGTATAAAGGATTTGATGGTAAATTGGTATAAGTGTGAAGTATACAAATTTCTAAAGTTATGCACATATATTATAGAGCTATCTGCTTTTGTTAAAAATACAAAATATCCACGATACAATACGTTCATTCTAGAAAACGCGAACAAGATCACACATTGATCTCGAACACTAAAGGCCAATTCTGCAGAGCCTCTGCACACGTTGTGGGCAACTCGTTTCGCTCGCTACATTCGCAAACTGTGCAAAGACATCTATTTGTGGTATGTGACCATTGCTATTAATTAAATTGACCAACTTGTCATATTTTAATTATGCTATTCTTATAGGAAGCTACGCTTCGGCAGAAAAATACGGAAACGCATCTTCAAGCAGCTGCTCGAATTGGTAAGCAAAGTAAAATATTATAATACAGCAATTTAAACGGAAAAATGATATTGCTTTATAATTAGAAAAAGCTTCTGCAAACAGCTGAATCATCAAGCATTAAGATTCTAAATGCAAATATTGAAAAGATTGGAACAGGCATAGTAGAGGTGCTTAGTGATAATAGCTCTAAGAGCCAAACTAATCCTGAGGATGACAGTAGTACGACAAGTCAAATCAATTTTGTGAATATAAATAATATCGACCAATGCTCGGTGTTTTGTGTGGATTGTGCTAAAGGTAAAAAAAAAAAAAAAAAAAAACTGTGCAAGTTTTACTATATTCACGATGCTTAATTATCATAGTACCCTTTAAATATCTATACAAATTATGAAAAAGAAATGAAGCATCAAATATCAGAAAGGCCAAGCAACTTAATTAGAGAAAAGCTCATGGTATATGGTGCAAAATTACTATTACAAGATAAAAAGCCAGATTTAAAGGATAAAGTATTGAAGTAACTGTCGAATAACAATGTTAATCAATAATACAAGTATAAGCAAGCTATGCATTAACACTGATTCGTATACATGTAGGGCAATGTTGTCTGGCGTTGTGAATTTGATTGAACCAACATTTTAAAAAAGATTCTGGATGGATATGAACTGAAGTTGCTTGAAGAAGATAACTTAATACAATACGAGGGCCTTTCAAGTGAAGACAAACAGCTGTTTAATGATATCACTCAAAGGTAAATACAATAGTAAAACGATATACTCTTTTTAATATCATGTAATTTTATTCTAATACACACTTGTTAGAAAACATACAAAAGTTGTCAGACATGTATTACAATTAAACAAATTTATTCACTGATAACAAAGGCAAGATTTATTTAATGAACACCAATTTCTTCTCTCATAAAGGCATCAGAAGAAGGTTCACGTCCAAGGAAAGCCTTGAGTGAGTCCATGCCATCCCTTATAATAAACAAGTATGAGCATTGTATAAACAAATTGATGCTATTGACTTACCTGCTGCTTCCCTTTTCAAGAATTTCTTTACGATACTGATAACCAGCTTCAGGAGAAAGCGTATTCTTTTCAAACTTGCTATAAAACATATCACTAGAGAATACCTTTGACCAAAGGTAGCCGTAATAACCAGAATCATAGCCACCCATGAGATGTCTAACAGATGTATAAATAAGCTGTGATGTTGTTTTCTTATATATCTTACCCAAATGCAGCTTGGCCATATGTATCCTATTGTTTCACATAATCAGTACATGCACATTCCTCCTCCGCTTATAGTATTTACCTTGGGTGCTTCAATTAATGAGATCTTTTTGCGCAAGTCATTGTAAAGCTTGGTAGAATCAAGGTTTTCGTCTATTCATAGTTAACACACATGTGTTCCCGTACACCAGTACTTTCATATCATTACCTTCAGAAGTATGAAGTGTCATATCAAAAATACCAAAGAACAGTTGACGCAGGTTCTGTGTGGCGGCATCCACGTTCTTGGCCTTGACAATACGTTGAATAATTTCGTCTGGGATAGGCTCACCTGTTTCAAAGTGAGCGCTAATGTGTTTGAGAGACTTGGGGTCGTAGCACCAGTTTTCCAACATCTAAAAAGCATTAAAACCATCTGGTCCAATCTGATAATCGTAGATTTTACCTGGGAAGGAGCTTCAACAAAGTCACCTTCAACGGATGTACCATGGAACCTAGCATACTTTGTTCGACTACACAAATGATGCATTACATGGCCCAATTCATGGAATAAAGTAACAACTTCATCGTGCTTTAATAATGAGGGCTTATCGGCAGTACTAGGAAAAAAGAAGTTAGGTAAAAAAAATAAAAATGCTACATCAAGATGATTACGGCTTAGTAAAGTTGGCAACCATAGCAGCAATAGGTGCAACACGTTCACCATTAGCTGCGATATAAGAAGGCTGGAGTGGAAAGCAAGCAGCGTGAGGATCTGTAGCGAATAAGTAACATATCTTTGTTTTAAACTGATATCTTACATTTGTTGTCACGAGGGAACAAGTCAAGATACATGTATCCAGAGAAGCTTTGATCTTCAACTGCATCCCAGCATTCAAAGAGTTGAACATCAGGGTGCCAGACAACTGCCTTTTCAGCAGGGACCTTTACAAACTTGAGACCCAATACCTTTTCGTAAATCTCCAACATTTCTAAAGAGATTGATAAGATATGCGTATACATGAATAAATAAAACTAGGCTTATACTTTGAATAGTGTTTTCTAAGCTAAAGTATTTCTTTATCTGTTCTTGATCCACAGCATAATCAGTTTCAAGCAGAATACGCTCATAGTAACTGGTATCCCAGCTGTTGAGTTCACCATCAAACGGTTCCCCACGAGCTTCTTTCTCGACCTAATAACCAAACTATGAGACGCTTGTCCCTTTTAAAGGATACTGCATTTACCTTTTTAAGCCCCTTAAGACGTTCAATCTCTTGTTGACCAGGTTCTTTTAATTTACTGACCAAATCATTCAAGAACTAAACATAATAATCAGATAACATCTTTCACTTGTTTCTCCTTTGTATGTCTTACTGATTCAACAGCTTCCACAGTCTTTGCCATCTTGACGTCAAGGACAAAAGCAGCATGGTTCTTAAAGCCTAATAACTTTGCAGCTTGTCTACGAATCTTGACAGCTTGTTCCATCAAAGGAACGTTTTCCTTGTTACGACAAGTGTAAGCAATGTTGTATCGCTTTCTTGTCTCTTCATTTTTACATAGTTTCATTACTGCATTTTTTTACATTAGAGGTGATAATTTCTTAATTTGGAAATATACTACAAACCTGGAAGATAATCTAAATGGTAGGAAATGCGCTACATTAGTGCAACATTCATCAAACAAGGACAGATAGCTTACCGGGATACCTAAGAAGAAAATAAAAGAAATGAGTGACATGCAATAAGTGAAGCACTAAAGACTTACTTCATTGTTAAAACATATTTTGTTACTCCATTTTCTTCAGTTGTCTTTAAACCACCTAAAAACAAGTTTTAATACCATTTCTCTCTCTCTTTTAAGGAAATGACAAACTTGCCTAAAAAGTCATCGTCAAGTCCTTCCAATTCTTCCTACAAAGAAAAAAGGGGGGTTAAGAAACACACAAATTGTTGTATGCAAATTGGTTTACTTTGGTAAACGTGATAGCTTTCAAAAGAGTTAGCATAACAAGAAAAAAACGTAAAGACTTACTTACTGCTATTTTCACGAGCATAGTTCTTGTTGAATTCAATACAGAGTTCACTCAAGTTCTTACGGAGTTTCTTTAATTCATCACGTTGTTCTTGACCAAGATGAAGTCCGTTACGACGGAAGTTTTGTTCCATCTTTTGAAGCATACGAGCATCTTCGGCGTCAAGTTGATCCAAATCCGTCTTGGAAATAAAGCTTTGAACAACAGTATAAAGATCATGACGCATACTCTGTTCAATGTAGAATTGGTCTACTTTTGTTTCTGCTTCAACTGAAGCCTCACGAATGGCAGCATCAGGAGAGAATTGACTAAGTGAACTGACGAGCTGTGCCTTGCCTAAAAGAAATACGCGTTAAAAAGTTGTTAAAATAGTGTAGTATGATGTTACCTGATAATTCATTTGAAATACGAGCCAAAGGGACAACGATGTTTTCATACGTTTGTTCTTCTGGTTTCAAAGCAGCAACTTGGTCATTAACAGCTAATTCTGCTGCAATGATCTCGTCTGTAATCTGAGCAACTTGTTCAGCAGTAATACCAAAGTCAAGGGCAGGTGAAGGGGCAATCTTGGTCATGTTAATAATTATAAAAGAAAAAGAAAAAAAGAAAAAAAAAAGGAATATACGTATTTTATACACAAATTTCAATCGCGCTTCTATTGGTGTATTTCGAGCTGACTGGCATAAAACTTTAATAAGGTACACACACACAAATAACAAATACAATAGTACAAGCAGTAAATATGGATCTAAATTACAATTTTATTTACTCTTCTACTTGTTCATCACTCTGACTGGGAGAATTACCATCCTGCAAAGTCAGATCTCTTGTCTTTTGAGTCAAGTATTGTTCATTCTCCAGACGTTCACGCTCTCGTTCAGTCTCTTCACGATCATATTGTGAAAAGTCAATAGCATCCTCTTCATCGTCATAGGCTTGGGCAAGAGTAGGATTAAAGTCGAATAGATCTCTACCAGACATACCCTGTGATCGACCTGCTTTCATACGAGTTTCCTTTTGCTTACGAGCAGCACTTTCCTCGGCTTCCTTCTTTTCTATTCTGTTCTTCTTCCATTGTTCAAAGCTTTCGAGTGTGACAGGTGTCAAGTTGGGTCCAAGTTTATGGCGCTATATTATTTTGCATAAGAGTCTTTTGTCACTATGGCTTGATTCTTATTACCTCGATTTCTAAAAATTCTTCAAGAGAAATCTCCTCCTTGTCATCTTCTTTAGATTGCTTTGACTTGAGAATAAAACCAGGTGGAAGAGCGTGCCTGTATTTACAAGTGCTACCACCATTAGGACATTCCCAGAACCAACCGTATTTATTTGTCTCGATAGCCTCCAAAAAGTATTTGCATACAATATCTGTAGGTGGTTGCTTTCCGGATTTACTCTTTACTACTTCTTCCAATTTCTGTTGGTCCCATTTATCCATTGTATCTATTGATAACATATAAGTGGCTGTGTTTTTGTTTGAGTGCATCTATTACCCTCGGCTCTGTCATCCGTATACAAGTCCTTCTTTTCAACCTTACGACCCACATTCAAATCGTGAGAAAATTTACACTTGGAACCTTTTTCACAGTGTCCTCCTTTAAAGTAAATACAGAGTACTGTCTTGGGATCAGTTCCGAATGGTACCTTTTGAGGCACTTGAACTGGTTTAAACAGCTCTGCAAACTCATCACGCTTTTGTTTCTCGAGTTCTTTTTTGTCCTTCTTGCCCTAGAAGGAATGGTGAATAAGTGTGTTTTTTTTAGAGATGCCATGATTTACCCCCACTCGTTGGTCAGCGCCTTTAGCTTGATTCTGAACTTGCTGAATATAACGCTGGACCTTGGCTGATTTATTTTTATTTTTCATACCAAAGGTCTTGTCTTCGACGGCCTTTTGCTTTTTTTGCTTTTCAGCCTTGGTCTGTTGCTTCTTGGGAGGCATCTCTTTACTGTTGAAGGGTTGTCTAGCAGCAAAAAAAAAAAAAGAAAATTTTATTTCCATGGCAATAGATCGAAAAAAAAACTGTGACTTGTAGAACAAATAAGGAAACAAACAGCCAACTCTGTATATTGGATACTTCTTTAAATGTTTATTTACTTGTATTGCTGCGGTCCAAAGGTATCCATGACGTTTATTGGTTAAGCATCATTTACATGTATATATATATGTACTACGACAAAAAAAACACTTGCCTATATTATATCATTTGGTATCATTGTTTGGTAACGGTTGACTTCTTTTGCTGCTGTTCTGCTGCAGCACGAGCAATGATTCTTTCTATTTCAGATCTACGCTCGGCTGTTTTAACCCTCTCTTGTTCCAGGTTATAATAATGTCTTAGCAAGAGTGCACTTGCTATGGTTACACCACCCAAGACTACCATGACAACCATCATGTAAATATTTGAGAAATAAACGACATCGTCCACATCATCCAAGGTATTCAACAGCATCACGCGCACTAAAAACTCACTGACAAGGCCAAGCCCCCAAATGCCAGTGAGAGCGCGAAAGAAGTTTCGGAAGGTAGCATAGTGCTCCCAAAACCAGTCCCAGTGCTCCCGTACGGTGTTGGCACTCATACTACTGGAAATGGCAATTTGACGAGCGACATAAAACATAAAGGGGCGTAAGACGTGATGTCCCCAGCACAAAGGGAACATGGTGATCAAGAGCATCAGTCCCATAGCTAAGGTCATGGCAGACTCTCGAAGCAAGTAAAGTTTAGGATCAGATTGAACAAAAGCCAAGAGAGCGGAGACAGCAAAACCCAATAGCATTAAAACGCCCATCATGTCCACCTTACGCTCTCGGTAAGCTTTGATGATCACCATAAGGGCAGTAGGAACCCCAGCTAATAGTAAGGCTAGTAAAGGAGAGACAAAGTTTCGTAAAACATAGTAAATGATGATTGGCACGACGAGTTCAAACAGCATATGCATAGCCATACTAAAGAAGGCTCGTAGGATAGATCGTCGATTGGGAATAGAAGACTTGAAGAAAGTTGGTACTCTTTGAACCCCTCGAGGCGGCTTCTGTTGACTCAACAGTGGTGTCGTAACATTGCTACTACTTGATTGTCGACTCATTCAAAACAAAATAAAGGGAGAAAGAGAAAAAAAAGGCACAATTTGTATGTCAGCCTTTTTATGCGGTCATTTAATAAAACTTTTTATGTAAATATCTCTTTTTTTCTTTTTCTTTTTTTATACACAATAATCAGCAACATGGCCGGCACTAAAAGAAAAGCAGAAACAGAAATTCCAATCATGGATGAGAATGATTTATTGAAAATCACGCCTTTAGGAGCTGGTAATGAAGTAGGACGTTCTTCCATTTTGATGGAATACAAGGGAAAAACGATTTTGGTAAGTAAAAAGAATGACTCTGGATTCGGGTCGTATTTGAAAGTGGTTTATTCTATTATAAAATAAAGAGTGTGCTTTTTTGTCTTTAGAACTTGTTTTTAATTGCTTTTTCTTTTTGTTGTATCTGTAGCTTGATGCTGGTATTCACCCTGCTTATAACGGACTGGCTTCTCTTCCCTTTTTTGATGAAATGGATCCTGCTAGTATTGATGTCTTGTTGGTCACTCAGTATGTATGCCTTTCATATTGTTGATTCTGTGACTTATCTTTTGCAGCTTTCACGTAGATCATGCAGCCTCAGTACCCTATTTAATGGAAAAGGTGAATGATTTTAAAAGCAGGAGACAATTACTCATATATCGTTATAGACATCGTTCAAGGGTCGTGTATTTATGACACATCCAACTAAAGCAATTTACAAGTGGCTATTAAGCGATTACTTGCGAGTAAGCCATATTGGTGACGAAGATCAGCTGTACACAGAAGAGGACTTGATTAATTCATTTCATCGAATTGAAGCGATTGATTATCATCAACAGGTGGAGGTAGAAGGTATCAAGTTTACTGCATACAACGCTGGGCACGTTCTTGGCGCAGCTATGTTCTTGATTGAGATAGCTGGTGTAAAGGTACTCTACACGGGTGATTACTCTCGAGAGGAGGACCGTCACTTGATGGCAGCCGAGAAACCTGAAGGATCGGTGGATGTGTTGATCACAGAAAGTACTTACGGTGTTCAAAGCCATGAACCACGTTTAGCCAAAGAGACGCGATTTACATGTAAGACGCACACGCACACATTCAGATCGGCTCTCCCTATTGACTCATTGTTCAGCACTTGTTCACGATATCGTCACACGTGGTGGGCGATGTCTTATGCCAGTGTTTGCTCTTGGTCGTGCACAGGAGCTTTTGCTCATCTTGGACGAATATTGGGAGGCACACCCCGAGTTGGATAATATTCCAATTTATTATGCATCTAGTTTAGCTAAGCGATGTATGGCTGTCTACCAAACATATATCAACATGATGAACGCCCGTATTCGCAAACAGTTTGCCATATCTAATCCATTTATATTTAAGCATATCAGTAATTTAAAGAATGTAGAACAGTTTGAAGATTCTGGTCCATGTGTCATGATGGCAAGCCCTGGTATGCTTCAAGTAAGTGTAGTAAGAGTATAACAACAAAGACTTACCCTAGATTTAATTACAAAAGAATGGCTTATCAAGAGAACTATTTGAACGTTGGGCACCTGATAAAAAGAACGGCTTGGTCATTACGGGTTATTGTGTTGAAAATACACCAGCAAGAGTGAGTGATACATATACATATACTAAATAACCATGTATTGACATAATCACTAGCAAGCAATGAATGAACCTTCTGATTTTCAAGCAATGGACGGTCGAAAGATTCCATTAAGGATGTCTGTAGATTACATATCATTTTCTGCTCACGTAGACTTTACACAGAACAGCAAGTTTATCGATGAAATCAAAGCGCCTCATGTGGTAAGATGATGCTATAGACATAATTACATAAACTAAGTATTTTCAGATATTAGTGCATGGTGAAGCCAATGCCATGTATCGTCTAAAGTCAGCGTTGCAGAGTAAATATTCTGAAAAAGAAGAGAACGTGACGATCTATACACCTAAAAACTGTGACACTGTCAAACTGCACTTCCGTGGAGAAAAGATGGCCAAGGTAAGAGTGCATCATTTGTTTTTTCCTCATTCTAACTATTGTGAATATCTTGCAAAGACTATTGGAAGATTAGCTGCAAAATACCCTACAGAAAATCAGCCCTTGAATGGTGTATTGCTCGTCAAGGACTTTCAATTGAACATAATGAGTCCAGAGGATTTGAACGAACTCGGTGGACTGATAACCACGGTCATCACACAGAGACAAGTAGTGCCTTTTAATGCTGGCGTTGGGTTATTAAAGTGGCATCTTGAAATGGTATTTGGTGAAATGAAAGAAACGGAGCTTTCTGAAGAAAAAGATGGTCAAGAAGGCACAGTGCTCAGAGTGTTTGATACAGTAGACATCAAGAAACTGACATCCAGTCCTAATCATGTTACACTTGAGTGGGTAGGAAATGCCATGAATGATATGGTGGCAGATTCAGTGCTAGCCATTATTTTATCAATCGATAGTTCTCCTGCAAGTGTGAAAGGTAAAAAAAAAAAAAAAAAAAAAAAAAAAAAAAAAAAAAAAAAACAACAATGTTTACTAACACACTCTCTAGTGAGTTCACAACATTGTTCACACGATCATGGCGTCAAGATAGAAGAAATTGAACAAGATGAAAAAGATGAAAAGCAAGATATAGATGCAAAGGAGATCAAGGATGAAAAGATGGTGTCATAAACTTCTTTGAATACAAGTAACATACAAATCAATGAGCCATATCCCAGGCTCACAATAAAAGTCATTGTAATCTCAGTGGCCCCCTGTGGCGCAGTTTCATTATCCCGCATAAATCCTTTTTAATAAAAAAAATTCTTTTTTCGTTAAAAATGAATACATTCAAGTCTTATGGCGAACGCGCTAAACAACACAGCAATGCATGTGCTCGTACTCTCCTAGAGCTCATGGAGCGTAAACAAACCAACTTGTCCGTTGCCGTTGACGTAACCACCAAGAAAGAATTACTCTCTATTGCTGATGCTGTTGGACCTTATGTTTGCGTGTTAAAGGTAAAAAAAAAAAAAAAAAACAAGAGGATTGATTTAAAACACTTAATAAATTTATAAAGACCCACATTGATATTGTTGAAGACTTTGATACCGACTTGATTCAACAATTACAAGAATTAGCAAAGAAACACGACTTTTTATTCTTTGAAGACCGTAAATTTGCTGATATTGGTAAAAGGGTCTTTCAGAGAAAAAGGAGGAAAGGGTTATTCAATACTATAGTTAGGCAATACGGTAAAGCATCAGTATGCCAACGGTATTTACAAGATTGCTTCTTGGTCACATATCACCAACGCACACACCGTCCCTGGCGAAGGCATCATCAAGGGACTCGCCGAAGTCGGTCTTCCCTTGGGCCGTGGCCTGCTCTTACTCGCCGAGATGTCTTCCAAGGGCGCACTCACAAAGGGTAGCTACACGACTGAATCTGTCGAGATGGCACGTCGCAATAAGGATTTTGTTTTTGGATTTATTGCTCAACACAAAATGAACGAGTTTGATGACGAAGACTTTATCGTCATGTCACCCGGTGTTGGCTTGGACGTCAAGGGAGATGGATTAGGTCAGCAGTATAGAACCCCTCGTGAAGTGATTGTCGAAAGTGGTGGAGATGTGATCATTGTCGGTCGTGGTATTTATGGTCAACCTGATAAGGTTGTTGAACAGGCTCAGAGATACCGTCAAGCTGGTTGGGAGGCCTATCTTGAAAGACTTGCCTCAAAGCAATAAATCATTTTTTATTATTATAGATATAAGAAAAAAGGCAAATTATGTGTGTATGTGTGTATATTATTAGTTACCAGTTAGACGTGTTTTGTGACCAATCAGCAATATAAGAAAAGTTTTGAAACTCTTGTTGCTCGACACGAGATAATGGATTATTGATAGGAGTCAACGCTGGACGTTCACGAGTAAATTCTTCATCAAAGTTTGATGTATCCAATGGTCCATTGATCGTAGGGCAGAATGGAGGAGGAACACGTTTGGCGAGCATATCTTCCCAGTTGACGCCATGGAAGAATGGATGTTCTTTAATCTCTGCAGCGTCGGATGGGCCAGCACCCAATCTCTTCTTTGGATCTCGCGTCAGTAACTATAATAAAAGTCAGTCAAAACAACAATACGATACTTGTCAACTTCTTACTCTTTGACAAATCGAAACAGAATCTCTCGACATGTTGACTGGATATAAAATTTCATCTTCTAAAATTGCATCAAATATTTCATCTTCATCTTCACCTCTGAAGGGTGATTGTCCCAACAACATTTCATACACCAAGACACCAAATGCCCACCAGTCGACCGCACGACCGTATTTCTGTTCCAGCAAGATTTCAGGTGCCATAAATTCAGGTGTACCACAGAAAGTACCTGTTGTGTTGCCGTACCACATGTTTTCTTTACAAAGACCATAGTCTGCCACCTTGATATGTCCGTCCAATCCCAACATGATGTTATCCAGTTTCAAATCTCGATAAATAATACCTTGGGTGTGGAAATATTCAAGTGCCAAAAGAACTTCACAAGCATAGAACTTTGCTCGTCGTTCAGAGAATGGTTCGCGTTGAATATGCCACATCAAATCACCACCGCTCACATACTCCATCACAAAGTAAACACGGCTCTCGGTCTGGAAGCATGATTGTAGGCCGATCAAGAAAGGATGTTTCTCACGATTAGCAGCTAAAAAGATACGCTTTTCAGAACGGACGCTATAAATATTGTTTTTAGAACAAGAAGGACGATTTTATATAGAGAGAGAAATACCTTTCGATTTCATCATTGTCGATAATAAATCTTTTTTTCAGTACTTTAACAGCATAGAGCTTTTTGTCATACTTGTCTTCTGCCAACATGACCTTGCCAAAGTTACCTTTACCAAGCACATACAAAAAGTTGAAGTCGTTTAATGTCACACGTCTTTCATTAGGGCGAGGTTGCATTTGCTGTTTTGGAGGCGTCATTGGCTATCGCAGACAAAACAAGTTAGACGAATATTAAACAATCCACTTTTTTTTATACCTTTGGCATTAGATCCACTTGCGGTGAAGGCTGTTGTTGTACGTACATTGGACGCATTTGAGGTGAGCCCCCTCCAGGTCTACCTTGATGATAACGAGGATCATTTGTCTGTAGCGGATAAACTGGAGCGTGTACTGGTAAAGTAGGTGGTTGCTGGGGCCTTCCAACGGTATGTGAAGGTGTCGTAGGAGGGCGTTGTTGGGTAGGAGGCGTCGATGGTTGTTGTGGGAGAGGCTTTTGCTGATTTAGGGATAGATGAGACAAATCGTCCACAGGAGGTTCATTCGAAGCACGTTTGGGTTTATTGGTCGTTGATGAACTTGAAGGGGTTACTGCTGCTTCCAAGGTCTTGCGTTTATTAGCCGCTTTGATCTCTGCTAGCATCTGATTAGCCATCTCCATAGAGAGCCCACAAAAGTCAGGAATAAAGTGTTGACACTTTGTATGACAGGTGACACCACATTCTGTATCGAATGGTTGGTAAAACTTACAAACATATCCAGTTTTCTTTACCTGAACACTTTTTCGCTCCTTTAGAACCAAGAGGAAGCATATAGCCACAATGGCAGCACCAGTTTGCGCCAATATTGGTAATCGGTTCAAATCGATGTGGAATTCTATGGTTAAGCTTTTCTTCGTCCGAGTCCTTGTCGATATTGGCCTTTGAGATACATTTGGTAACTACCTTGGTATAACACTTCTTGTGACAGCTATATTCACAATCTAGCACACGATATTAATAAGCTATCTTTCTACACGTGTCCCTGTTTACCTTCGCATTGGTATCCACTGTTCACCATGAATTCACCACAGAGCGCACACTTCATGATGTTGTAAAATTTCTTTTCGACAAACTGATGACCATTCATCTCATGTACTTCTTCCTTTCTCTGTCTGACGGCACCAGCACGGCCAAGCTTATCTAACGGACGACGGTTGGCTGCTTCACGCACAAAGTTGACCTTTAACAGTATTTCGCCCGAAGGTTCAACGTCAAACCATGCCTGGATACCATCCTCCGTTGACTCTACGCTCTTGGGTTCCTGCTGATCCGGTTTTGGTTCTTCTGGTTCGGCGCCCGCTTGCTTTTGATAGACCTCAGCAGGCACCCATCTGGGATCACTCTCCTGTTGTAATTTCTTTTTACGCAGACCTTCAGCAATATCTGTGATCTTGAGCCAGAAAATACCGATAGGCAAACTTCTCTCAGCCTCTTGATCATAAATAGACACTTCCACTTCAGTTGCCTTGTTGACATGTGTCTCGCATAAATCAAGCCATTTATCGTGACGAGACAGTTTAGAACGAAAGACGACGTTGCCATCGATCTTTACATAAACTATGGTATCTGGTGCTTTAAACATTCTTGTAGGTGCATGTGCAAGTCCTCTCGCCTGAAGAATTTGAAGTTGTAATTTTCCGGTGACGGGTCTTCTTAAGCCAGGTGTCATTCGAGCTGGCGTTGTTTCTATTTCTGTATGAAAAAGAGTATTAACAGGGTGATCATTGGATTGTGAGCTGCTTACCATAATCGTCATCCTCATCTCTTTCACCAATGTAGAGACTCTTGTATTTTCTCAATGCCTTTGTCAACAGGTTCAATTTTTCAATACTTTCATACATTTGGCCCTGCAGCTCTAACCGCCTTCTTCGATCACTTAGCGATGGGTCTCTGTCCATCACATCGGCCATGGTCTTAATACCTGCCAGCACCTTATTTTCTACATCAAGTTTATATTCCAGCTCATGCAGCTTGAGAGAGACTTTGGATTTGTTGTACAAAGTCTCGGTAGTCAATAAGTCTAAGTTATCATAGGAAGTGAGTCTGATTTTTTTTAAATAGTCAACTTTTCTTACCCAATGTAGAATACTTCTTTACTGTCGGATGCTCCACTGATGGATTTGAAGTGGATGTGTGATGAGTGGTATGACTTGAAGTATCTGTCTCAGTTGTATCAGAGTCCTTGCGCGATTCGATTTTCAATAGTTCTTCAGTGAAATAGTCTATAGACTTTTGACATTCCTTTATTTCGTTTTCACATTGAGATAGTGCGTTCTTGTCGGTTAGTAGCGGCCGAAGTTGATATGCTTTGTCACGCATCCGTTCATTGCGTTCTATTTTTTCTTTTAATTCCTTAATCTTGGCATCAAGCTGATCCTATTGGCAAGATTAGTAAGCAGCAGAGATTGCTTTTATCTCTAAACACTTTACTCCCATAGCGAGAAGATAATATAAGAGAGAATATGGGGAAAGAAAGAAAAAAAAAGAAATTAACAAAGGCTCCTTATTACAACTCTTCGGACATTAAAAAGATCAGCATCTCTCTCTCTCTCTCTCTCTCTCTCTTATTAGTACTTCCCCTCTCTCCCCTCTTTTTAGTTGACAATAGAGATGATATTTGATGAGAGAGTAAGCGAGTGATGATGTGTATCACGACTTTTTTTTTCTTTCTGCTGCCAAGTAATGGATTGATTGACGACGACAACAATAACAACAAAAAGTGTTGTCAAGAGTTAAATCAAGCTGTGTACTTGGCTCATATTATTGGCCAATGGAAGTGAACCCTTATTTTATTTTCTCTCACGTTGGGGAGAAAAAGGAGGGGGTATATTTTCTTTTTAGAAAAAATAAAAAAAAGAATGTTCGCCAGTCGACCATTTCCCATGTTGAAGCGAGCCATGTCAACGCTTACACGTATTGGTAAGGCTATAGGAAAATGAGGAAGCAAAAAGCTAATGAGTTCATTAGAAACCAAGGCTGCACCTGCTGCTATTGGTCCTTATGGTATGTTTCAATGCATGTCTATTATCAAGACATAACGCGTATTTTTTATAGCACAGGCTATTAAAGTCAATGGCATGGTCTACACTTCTGGTTCGCTTCCTGTAGTTCCCGAGACAGGTAAATAATTATTACTTATAAATGTCTTTTAACACTGTTTAGGTGATATCGTGGATGGAATCAAAGAACAAACAAAGCAAAGTTTGTTAAATATGTCCAAAGTGCTCGAAGCTTCTGGCTCAAGCTTAGATAAGGTTGTGAAGACGACTGTATTCTTGAAGGATATGAATGAATTTGCACAAATGAATGAAGTGTATTCTACTGTAAGTATTACATCATGTCTTTTGTGTCATTTATCTCTAAAACAAACAAGTTCTTTTCCAAGCATCAACCTGCACGTAGTGCTGTTGAAGTTGCACGTCTTCCTAAAGATGTATCTGTAGAAATTGAATGCGTTGCAGTAGCTGAACAGTAATATGAACACAATAATAAATGGTTTTATTGTTCTTTAAAAGATAGCTGTAGCTCCACCGCTCTAAAGAATGCATAAGAAATTACAATTTTATATAACATGGATATTTATAAATATACCTCGATAGCTTCCATTTCTGCCTCTGTGATCACTGCACGACGGTATTTGGTAGGCAGCTGACCAAACTCAATAGATCCCGAGTTTACTGCTTTATTTACGGAAGCCTGTGGTTCTGCTTGAGCGACATGTTTGACAAGGTTGGGAGGTGTAAGAGGGTGTGGTCCGCTGTGATGAGGTGCATCTTTTAAATGATGAGTCTCGGTTTTTATTTCAGCTGAAGTTCAACCCACCTTTCCAAAGGGTAGCTCTTGGACCAAGGAAGCGAATTAAAGGTTTATGAGCAGCACGTAATGTCAAAGAAGGTTGCATTTTTTTTGTAAAAAGAAAAGGTACGCAGTTGCCCTGCTATTTTAAAAAATATCGACACCCCCAGGTTGTATTATTGTTCGTGACGCTTTAAGCTCAGATGAACACACACACAATGTGCACATACACAACTATTTTTTAAAATAAATTCAAGTAGCCTTTATTCGTTGTCATGGTTTCATCTATCGTGTCAAGAAAGCAATGTGTGCGTGTGTGTATGTATTATCATGGGAGAGCAGTAGAAGTTGGGAGATGAATGATGTATCATTGTCATCCATGTGACTTTTTAAAAAAAAGCCCCCACCTGGGTCCATTCTCTCTCTATCTCTCTTTCTCTTTTTCTTTTTTTTTCTTTTTTGTAACAACCAGAAATAAAAATATAAAAAAAGAAAAAGAAACATAAAATACGTTTAAAACTGAATGACACAGTAAATGGACCCCGAGGAGATTACCCAAGTAAGAAATAAACCTGAATATACAAATGTCTATATACTAACCTCTCTGTAGACCTTGGGTCATCACCAGTTTGATATAAAAAGTAGTAAGGCTAACGAAAAGAAAAAGGTCGACTTTATCTAAAGTATCAATAGATAATTTGGAAAGAAGGACGAGCTTGAAACCTATAGACAATCGTACTCCACGCCTTGATGTAAAATCATCGATATCGACACCTCTCAAACACACAGTGGACGCTCAAGAAAGAATTCAGTTTTTAAGAGAAATGGAAAAGACAAGAGAAGAATTGGCCGAATTTAAACGAAATGTGAATGCGTTGATTGAACAAATGGATGGTATATCAATCGATTTGGTATGCAACGTCTCTTTTGTTTTCTTACAATGAAACTGACACACACTCATTCTACATTAGGAATTATCCAAAGATAGAGTTTGTAAGAGACGCAGAGATGTTGATAAGAGAGTATACTCATTCTATATTTATAGCTGAGATCGAGCAGGATTTAACAGCAACAGAAGAAGTGAATGTGAACCTTCAGGTACTGTTGGAGAAAGCTGTCAAGTCCCAAAAAGAATCCGATGTGTGCGCAACACAAACAATTCGAAACATGTACACGGAATTAGCATCGGTATATTGTATAATGTAAACAAAGATGCATTGACTCATTCTTTGTACATAAAGGTCGTTTACGAAAACAATCAGTTACAAAGTAGACTTGCGTCACTCGAAAGTCATCAAAGAGAACAAGTGGGAAATGTTTATGATATTACGAGAAGAATGCAAGAATATACACACATGCTTGAGCAGGCTCAAGGGACAATTCATATGCTACAAGAACCAAGACTTATAAAGATGTCTTTATCATCAACAGCATCTTCTTCCAGAAGGACCAGTACAGCATCATTTACTGAAGACGATGATGAATCAACCACTAGAAAAGAGACACACATGACAAACAAGACATACATTCAATCGCCACCACTAGGGCCACAACAGTCTTCATTGCTCAAACCACAACAAGGCTTACGGATGCTATTACAGAGTCAAGGAGGATCTGGCCTTGGATCATTAACTAGACGCTAATATCATGCATAAAATACATTCTTTCATGTACAATAATCGATATACACGGCATTAATTCACTCCTTATTTAATAAATATTAAAATTAAGCTTTTTTCATAAACTTTATTCAAAAGTTTTTCGCACGCAATACAAGATCAATCATACTCTTGTTGGTTATCAATCTTTTCAGAGACGACACTTAATACATAAAATGTGCTTGGTATTTTTGAGTATAAGATAAATGTGGTCAGCACTTGTAAGTAACGCATAACTGATTTACTAAACAGTTCTTTATTCATTCTTTTGCTTCTTGTGGACTCTCTTATCGTCATTTGTTGTCTGAAATTATCATTTTTCTGCAATTTATGCATGCAAATAGAGAAAGTGGCTTTTGTCAAGTCACAACGGATATTCAAGTACTTTATGCTTTTTTTATCTTTTTTATTTTATTTTTTTACTTTTTCATAAATATACATTTAGAATGGCACCAATCAAGAGTGAACAAAAGACATTAAAGGATGAATCAGAAGAATACGTCAGCTCTTCTGGTGAAGAAAGCTATGAGAGTGACAATGATTCTAAACAAGAAGATCAAGAATCTGATGAAGATCAAACAAACGATCAAGAAGTCAACACTAAACGTGAACGCGAAGAAGAAGAAGAAGAGACAAAGCCAGTCGAACCTAAACGAGTCAGGATTGAAAAGATTGAGAAAAAAAACTTTGGCCAAGGAGGAACGACGGTATTTGTAGGGCAACTCAACTTTGATGCTAAAGCAGACGATATCCGTCAATACTTTAGTCAGTGTGGGCCTGTGGTTGACGTTCGACTTCGTATGCACCCCAGTGGACAAAAGTCACGAGGCTTTGCTCATGTTGAATTTGCTACAGCTCAAGGAAAGAAGGCTGCTCTCGAACTAGACGGTTCAGAATTCATGGGCCGCACTATTCGTGTAGATAATGCAGAGCCAGCGCAGGCACGCTCGGTTGATACCAATTATGGGCCCAAGACGAATAAAGTGTTTGTGGCTAATCTGAGTTATGATACCGATGAAGATTCACTAAGAGAAGCATTTGGAAAGTTTGGTACAATCATTGGAGATATTGGAATGCCCATTCGCAGAGAGACAGGGCAGATCAAGGGAATTGCCTATATTCAATTTGAAACAGAAGATGAAGCAGAGAAGGCAGTGAAAGAGATGAATGGTATCTATCTGAATGGTCGTCCAATCCGTACAGACTTTAGTGGTGATAGTGATAAAGACCGCTTACACCAACAGCCAGGTAGACCCAAATTTGCAGATCGCTTTGTAGGACGTGGCCAGAAGAAGAATAATAAGCGTGGCACGTGGCGCAAGCACTAATTTACCTTTTCATTTTATCATAATAAACGCATGCACACGCATCTTGTTTATATCTTACAGTTTATTGTCTACAGATATCACCACGAATCATACCAGGTTTCGAAAAAGTGTATATTCACGTCACTTCTTTCCAAATGAGAACATTAAAGTTGCATGACGCGTATCACAATCAAATCTTTTTCACACACTGCAAAAAGAAGAAAAAAAAGGTCGCTTCGGAGACAGTGAAAAGTAACTTGGACTTTCTTCTTTCTTTCTTTTTTTATAACTCTCTCTTTTGGCCCTACACAAACACACATATATACAAGGTAAAGGGGAGAAAAAATCGAAAGTACTGACTTTGCTGTTTACAAATGGTTGTCTTGGTAACACGTGTATCGCGGGTGTAAACAGAGAAAGATGATAAACTGAGCACGGCTGTTTTTGTATCAGATTATTCTATTTTTCTTAGTTTAGTCGTAATAAATATTTATGCCCAAACGAGGTATAGCTTCCATCATGCAAAAAAAACAAAAAAAAAAAACAAAAAAAACAATGAATTACAACTGTGTATGTGCCCCTTAAGCGCGTATATCATAAAATAACAACGTGGCAGGAAAGAATTCTCATGAGCAATCGGATGGAAAGGGTTCGGGATAAACTATGACGTAAAAGGAAAACGGAAAGAATATACAAAGAGTAATCATCATTTGATATTGTAAATAATTGATTGGACAAGAATAACTGCACCATAACATGAATTATATTTTATTAGGTGGAGGGGCTGTGCATACTAAAATAGATTTGTATGTTTATATATCTTTTTGTGTGTGTGTGTGTGTATGATTAATAGATGTATACAACAATTAAATGAATGAAGAGAGAGAAAACATGTCAAAGAGTAATCCAAAGAACCTGTATTGGACTCAATGCATGTATAATATATGTGTGTGAATAAGTATGTATAAGTGTAAAGAAAGGGGGGCATATATAGCACAATTAAAAGAAAGAAAAGAAATAAATAAGATTGGGTATTCGAGATTGGGAAAATGAAAGAGGAAGGGGTAAGTAAATGAATGATTAATTTAACAGACTTTTGATCGACAAACATTCAGGGCGCATATACTCTACTTTGGGCTTCAATAAGCGATAGCTGTTAGTATCCAAGTAGATGTTAGGAGAAGGACTTCTTGGTGGTGAGGAAAAGCCCGAATTAGTTGGAGATAAGGATCCGTCTGATAATGGAGGTGGTGATGGATAGCAATCGGTAATATCATAAACAGCATCAGCTGATTGACGAGTATTCGTTCGATTTATCAATCGTTCAACATGAGCCCGCCTTTGCTGAGCCATCGATCGTCGTCTAGAATGAGGCTTTTGATGGACACGCAAATGACGTCTCAGATTACTAACTACTGTAAAGCGACGGCCACATCCTGGGCTTTGTCTTCTGGTTAATATACATATAAACGATACAACACAGTAATGCTTACATGTCACAGGCATGAGGCTTTTCTCCTGTATGAGTAAGAGTATGAGCACGGAGAGCACTGGGTCGATTGAATGTCTTTTCACACTCATTGCATACATATATCTTTCCAGAAGGCTTCGTCTTTGTCTTGAAGGTGGTTGTAAGGGTTATGTTGATAAATGGCCTTTTCATAGGAGACATGATGAACAAGAATAAAAAAAAATAAAAAGATGAGAAAAGGATAAGGGATAAAAGAAGGAAAACTTTTTTTTTGGCTTGCTTTTTATACTTTTTTTTTGAAATAAAAATAAATAAAAAATATGAAAAATAAGGAAGGTGAGAAGAAATAGAAAGAAAAAACTAAATTGACCCTAAAGGGGAGCAAGCATTAAAATAAGCAACAGGTCTGTATTGATGTGATACCACTTTATCTTTCTTGTCTCTGCCATTCTCTCACACAGACACATCATCACTTTCATTTCCTTAGTTTTGTAAAGTGGTTTATTATTTATGTTATACATAAAAGTATACCAGAATTGGAGACGATGAGAATATCACAGTGTGATGAAACGGAATTTTCTTCTTGGTAAAAATGGTTGGTTCATAACGTATGTCACTCTCTCATTCTCTTCTCTTTTTCTACTTTTGATCATATGCCTGAGCAATAGATTCAAATCGGCATTCGTTACTTTTAGACCACTGCCTCGCGGAGCCTGAAGCCAAGTGTCAAACCAAATAAGGAATAATCTATTTGTACTCACTCGGATCATCCCTCATAATATCTGACAATTATGAACTATAAAAAAGGGGGGAACACAAGAAAACAATTCGGGGGGATCTGAGAGAGAAGAGATCAGTAATGGCCATACTACGCCTTATCGTGATTCCAATGGTCAATCCAGTTTTCCATCATTTATAAATAAGCTTTTTTTCTGGGTGACAATATCTCGATCATCGTATTTCATCTACTCCCCCTCACAAGGTATGACAAATATCATAAAAAATTAACGTTTGATCTTCTATTTCTATGATCACACAGAAATTGAATCCTATTCCTCTCGTTTGTAAAAATAAAGACAGATACCTGTGTAGCAACCACAAGGTTTATTTTTTATTTTTTCAACTGTTTGTAGCACTCAATTTTTATCCATATAAAAATGAAATAAATAAAAAAAAAAGAAATCTATAGAAGTGAGAACTTTGTAAAATTTGCCCCTATGATCAACAGGGAAATAATAGTGGTCAGTACAGATGAGAGCTATACTATGCATATTTACACTTGGAATTGAATACTAGTCATTGATATTCTCATTGTATCTATAAGACGAGGTTGCCAGGAAAACGTCAGACAAACAATATTTGAATATCTGTTGCTAGGACAACAATGTGGAAAAAGACATGAGAGCTAGTCTAAATCAAACAAGGTGATCGAAAAAGTTACTTTATTTGTGAAAGAGAAAGTGAAGAGGCTGTGTAACTATTTGTAAGTCAAATTAGAATTTATTATAAAACCAAAAGAGGAAAATACACTATTTTTTAAAACAAACCTTACAATTAAAAACGGTTGCTGTAAACAGTAAAAAATACGGATAGAAAGAAGCTCATAGAAGTTTTTTATTTCACCCCGATCGAAATGGTTTAGATCGGGAAAATGCACATTTCCCTATTATAACTAGTAACATCCCTTTTTCACATTGCTCATATTTCTTAATTTGTGCACGCTTGGCTTGTTTTTCTACACTGTTTTCTTTGACAAATATGACTAATAAAAGCAGCACAATTAATGCCCCAAATCAAATTTCTGACTTACCCAGAGAACGGACCGTACCATCAGAAAATAGAAAAGCGGTCATTTATCGTTAGTAATACGAGATTTCATTGATCAGAGACCAGAAATCAAACGAATAGGCCTAGACATTTTAGTAACTCTGTCAAAATGAATGCGACCACATACCAGGTCTGTCTGCATTTCCTTTTTATTACTGTTAAATCTGCATCCCTTTCCCCTCTTTGCTACGTTCAAGCAGGATTTACTCTTGGTTTAACTCATAATACAAGAAAGGCATAATGATTTATTTGCTATAAATATGTCTGCAAATGACGTAGCTGGTGGAACGAATAGCTGCAAGTCATGCAAAGAATAAATGTTTTTATTGTGCCTGAGTAAACAGGCACCGAAGCGATTCGTTTTGTATCTTGGTTCTTCCCTTTATGAATTCGAATATGCCGTGCAGAATGTAAATATGCTAAGTGAAAAGCAAAGTACTCACCCTCCCCTCACTTCTTTTCCAATTATGTATAAAGATGCACGAACCGCTTCTTTGCGCTCGAGCCTCATTTTTTGAGCTGCTAACGTGTCTACAGATGATTAAAAACTGCATGGGAGAAAAACTGTATTCTCAGGTTTTCAAAAGTTGCAGAATCATCGCATACCTTTCAGGAGGCCCACTAAAAAAGCATTCCTTTTTATTCCTAAAACGCACTCTACGCATCCATAGCTGTACGTGCTCATACACAAAACTAAATGCCCCTCCGTCTCGCTAAAAGCATGATCAGCAATCAATAACATAAAAAAGATCACTCCTTTTCTTCTAAAACCTTCTTTACTTTTAATACATTTGAATGAAGCTTCGTTTTCTTTTTCCCAACTATGAACAAAAAAGGAAAACGTTTGGATTCATCTTCAGCTGAGTATCCAACCTTTGTCAAAACAGCGCAACATGTATGAAATGTATGTTGATACTATGCTGATGAGTCAATAAGATCTACGCTTGATGAGCTTGTATGGATATCAAAATGTAACGTGCTGGCGTGTTACCTCCTCATTGTCTATTGAGATACGTAATCTCTGGAGGAGTTGTACTTTGAACCTTAAAAAAGCACTAGTCACCATGCATTGTCATCTTTATTTTCTACATCAGCTTTCATTTATCTTTATATATGCACAACACGATTTCTGCGCGCAGCAATGTGCAACCATACACATAACATAACAGTCCAAAAAAAAAAAAAAAAAAAAAAAAAAAAAAAAAAAAAAAAAAAAAAAAAACGGATGCACGGTTAATAAGGAACCGATTTCATCCAATTTTTTCCTTTATATTGATAAAATTGGTAATAAAGGAATAAAAAGTATATTACTATTTTTAGCAGACCTATGTACATGAAACAAGCTATTACCAAAAGTCTCGAATACTGTTTTTCCAAGTCCAAGTTCGACCAAGTACCTGTATATCTGTATTATAAAATGGTCGAGTGAAGTTTGTATTTTGGTCGAAATTGGGCTTCAAAAACTGTAAAGACTCTCAAGTTCGTCTCCTTTACAAAGGTATATTCATTATGGAATAAGGAACACAAGGTTAGAAAAAGCAGATACCTGTTATTATATAACAAGTGTGTAATATCAAGCTATCAGTAATACACTTGTACACTATAAGGCGATTCACATAGCAGCTGCCAAGAGTTGATAACTGTGTCAACTTATTTCCTGAAAAATTACGGATTTACAAAGGGCACACAGGTGTGTAACAGCATAGCTCTCCGCTACCTCTCTACACTGCTTAAGTTTCAAATTTTACGTGCTCCCTTCAAAAAGGAAATAAATTTGCGTGTCCTTTTTCTTCCTACTATGGAAGTATCCCCTCTTGACGGTCCTAGCACTCCCTGACAAAGTACGTAGAGATGATATGCAGAAATATAACATATCCAGAGATAACTGTTGCTAAGAAATAGACATGAACTAGATTCTCTATATCATTCTATTGTTTCCATGATATCACCTATTTCAAAATAATAACTGCGCTTTTAGACTGCCACACAAAAGTGACTTCTCAGCAACGCAGTGACGTTAAATTTACTAAATAAATAAATTATCTTTTTTTTTTCATTTTATCTTTGTAATAATAACCATGTCCAGTCCTGCGGAAGAACCTTTGAAAGAACAAGTTGTCAAGGGAGAAATCGATTCGCTCGAAACTAAAGCACGTTACCTTGGTTACTTGGGTCGTTTACGAACTGCCCTTGTTGCTTCCTCTCGATATTTGGCTTACACCTCTGATGTCGGTGAGGCATTCAGACCGATCGTTCACCCTGCTATTGTTACAGCCGCTTATGGTATCAGCTGGGCTTATTTGGGATTAGATGTGGGTTATGAAGGTTACAAAGCTCATCATGCTGGAGAGGTAAATTCATCAAAAACACAAAGACCAAGTGATGTAATTGAGCTACACTAGGATAACGCCGCAATTGCAACTACAGTTGTCAAGAGAGGTGTATTTCAATCATTAGCGAGTATGGCGTTTCCTATGCTTACCATCCACTCGGTTGTCAAATACAGTGCTTATGGCTTTAAAAATGTCAAAAGTCCCAAGATCAAAGCATGGGGTCCTACTGTGCTAGGTCTTGGCGTGATTCCATTCCTGCCGTTTATCTTTGATGAGCCTATTGAACATATTGTTGATAAGGTATTCAAGCCTATAGAAGACAAGTTTGCTCGAGGACAGGTCGCTAGATTAGGTCACAATAAGGCTGGTGACGATCTGCCCACGGAAACAAAGAAAGATCAATAATTAAGCGTATGCAAAATATCATAAAGGCTTTAAGCTATGTACTTTTTTATTTGATGCATACAAACGATTACTTGCTGTATAAGAAAAAAAAATGAAATTACACACATTTATTCATCGTACTCATCTTCTGCTTCGTACGTATCATCGTCATCATCCTCCTCTTCATTGAATTTGGTGTTGCCGTTGTTGTTATGTTGTAGACTTGTCGATGTGTTGCCTCCCTCGTATCGGCTGGTATGGTTTACGGGTAACACCCCGCCTGGACATAACTCTTCCAGCTTTGCATCAAACAGTTTCTACAGAAAACAATAAGTAACATTTTAGGTTGATACATTTTGGCGAGCTTTACCTGCATCTCATTTGCATCTTCATATACAAACGATCCTTCTTCGTTAAATGTTCTTGCATTATCAAACATGAGGTGAAAGTCATCTCTAAACTGTGCAATTGTTCTGTAATATGTAGAGTTTATACGTCTCTTGATCATATTTAATGATATCGGGTTTTTGATCATTGTGTAGTATAAAGGATAATCTCGTTTGCTGACAAGATCCATAAATAATTCACTTCGACTTCGATAGGTTCTATATGACAGATTAACATCCCTTGACACTATGAGAATGAATATTGCCACTTACTCCTCATCCTCCTCTGTCGCTTCTTCAACCACTTTGTAACACTCATTAAACACTCTCGTCATAGCCTCTCTTATCTGTGGTGTTACTGTGTCTGGTCGATTGAGTTCATCGTCTCTTCTTCCTCGCTTACGTTTTGGCTATATAAAGTATAAGTTATACACAAAACAACCTAATGTGTCCTCTTACCTCTATTTCATTCTTCTTAGGTCGTCCTCTCTTCCTTCCACCTGCTGATTCATCTAGAATATCTTCTTTTCTGCGTCGTCCTGGTCGTCTTGATGCTTCATCAGAATCGTCATCCATTAATTTACCCATTCGCTTCTGTCGTCTTCTCTCTTTCTTTGCAATCAGTTCATCAAGATCGACATTTTCATCCTCTAGCGCCTATATGTTCAAAAAGAGGTGAGTCATGTTTCATATAAATAAAAAGGGGAATATTACATTCAGCCATTGCTCTTCTGTCAAACCGTCATCATAGCGAACAGAGTCTCTAGCACGTTGACCACGGCCAAGTGAATGTGGGTCCTCTTCCAAGGTTTGTATAGGATCATCATTTAGATAGATATCAGGCAACTCATCCTCTGTGATCAATCGTTCAGGTTTGCCACGACGGCCTAGTGCACGCCACTGACGAGTATCATTCTCTTCACGTTCATCATCAATACGATGGAATATAGCTATATCAGATTCGGCACGCTGTAACATTTCATTCAGCTCTTCATCATCAATCTCTTCATTATCGCCTTCATTTTCTTCATCTGCCTTGTCCTCTAACAGCGATCGCAAAAAGGCTTCTCGATCCTCTTCTGTACTACGGTTATCGAATTTACCAGCCTGAATTACTTTGCCATCAATATCCAGTTTATAATTGGCTCGTGCCAAAATGTTTTCTTCCACTGAATTGGTCGATATCAATCTAAAAATACGAACTTCCTTTGTTTGACCAATACGATGGGCACGATCCTGAGCCTGTAAATCTTGATGAGGGTTCCAGTCAGAGTCAAAGATGATGACGGTATCAGCTGTCTGTAAGTTAAGACCGAGACCACCAGCACGAGTCGAAAGCAAAAAGACAAAATATGGAGAGGCAGGATCATTAAAGAGCCTCAGCAACTCTGAACGATCATCTGCTTTAGTTGAACCATCGAGACGCAAGTAACTAAAGCCTCTGTAATTCAAAAAGTCCTCCATGATGCTCATCACTTGTGTCATTTGGAAGAAAATGAGAACACGATGGCCAGTTTGTTGTAACTTGGGAAGCATACGGTCCAAGAGTTCGAATTTACCAGAGACACGATACAGCAAGTCGTTTGACATACCACTTGGGTTAACAAGTGATTCGACTTCTTCAAAGACAAATGGATGGTTACAGATTTTTCGCAGTTGCATGATTGTGTTATTCAAGCCCTTGATGCCTGATTTGCCCCTGCTGCCATCTGATGTGTATAAGGTTCCGTTTCGCTTCATTTGTGCATAAAGATGCTGTTGAAGTGGTGATAATTTACATTTAATGACGCGTTCTACTTTATCTGGTAACTCGGCCTCTACATCTCGCTTTAATCGACGAAGTAAGAAAGGACGAAGTACTTTGTGAAGACGCTTGATAATCAGTAATTGTTCTTCTTCGTTCAATGCTACTTTATCAGCAACACCTTGGTTATTGAAAGGTGTATTGAACCATTCTTCAAAGCTCTTGACACTCTTGAAGATCTTGGGTAATATAAAGTTGAGCAGTGCCCACAGTTCCGGCAAGTTGTTCTATAAAGTCATTAGTATGGCTTGATTTCATTTTTGTATATCTTTAACTACATTACCTGAAGAGGTGTACCAGTTAAAATAAGTCTATAACGGGTATGATAGTACTGTCTCAGAACAACAGTCAATTTGGAATTGGTGTTCTTCATACGATGACCTTCATCAACAATCATATGTAGCCATCTTATCTTACTAAGAACTGGTCTATCCTTAATGATGTACTCAAAGGTTGTCAACAAAACTTGAAAGTCGGTGTAACGGATTTCATTTTGCAATTCTCTACGCACATTAGGCGGTCCTTTATAAACGATCTTCTTGACAGCAGGTGCCCATTTTTCAAATTCAAGAGTCCAGTTGGTAAGAGTACTAAAGTATACAGAATTAAATACACCCTAAAATAAGATAATGCTACTTACGAAAGTGGAACAATGATAAGGAAAGGACCATTTTGTCTCTTCTTTTCAATCAAGTAGGTGATCAAACTGATTGTTTGAATAGTTTTACCCAAACCCATTTCATCAGCAAGGATACCATTGAGGTGGTTATTATAAAGTGATACCATCCATTGAAGACCCTTGAGTTGATAATCCTTCAAGCGACCTCCCACAAGAATATCAGGCTGAGTCACCTCTTCCTTGATACGATGTGTTACTTGGAAATAATCGTTCTTTGCATCTGGATCACTAGCATCCAGATCATTATCGTCGTCCATGATATCTTGTTTGTGAACGGTGTCATTCTGCTGTTCTCTTACAGCTTGAGTAAGTGAATCCAAGAAAGCACCTGTTTGCTTCAATAATTGAGTCAAACGTGTATCCTTGGCTTCATCAATCAACTTCATGTAAGCCTCTTCATCATCAGCCTTCAATGCGCGAATACGTTCCTTGGAGATACGTTCGGCTCGCTTTTGTTCCTCCTTTTCGATATGTTGATGATATTGTAGTACAGCTCTTCCCAACTTATTTTGCTTGGCCTTATAGTTTGATTGGAATGCCAGGAGATTACGACCATGATCGCAAATAGTTTGAAGATAATCCAAGTGCTTCTGCTTTTCACGTCTTTCGCGATCCGTACGCTGCTGTCTTTCGATTTTTTCTGTCATACGGGCTTCTCTCAAAGACTGTTTCTTCATACGACGATAGGCTAATCGGTCTGAAGAGGTCACCAATGTGGTAGAACGCATCATGCCATTGACAATTTCTTCCCGTAATTGTCTTTGCTTGTTAAGGAGCCTAAGCGCCTTTAGTTCCACGATGGCTCTTAGTTTATTGCTGCCCTTTTTGATATCTCCTTCCAGTGTTTGAACCGTGTCTGATAGATTGCTAGGCAGCTTTTCCAGTTCCTGAATACGATGCTGAATTCGTCCCAGGAGTCGACGCTCACGTTCAGATATGATGCTATATGGGTCAACGCCTTGGGGTGTAAGACTGGGAATCAATAGACGTTGTTGACGAGAGGCATGTGAGAATGTCGTGATAGGTTTCTTCAGCAGCTCATATGGAGATGCGTAAGCTGTGTATTCTTTATGAGGTTTGGCAACAACTTCAGAGGATGCTACGACAGGCACAGAGGGTGTCATGCTATTGTTTGTTGCTGCTTGCTGAACAGGTGATTCCAATGTTGAACTGGACGACAAAACAGCCTGTTGAAGATTAAGAGGCAGTGGCATGTTTTTAGATATTAGTTTGTATGCTAATATTTGATATTTTAAAGCAGCTAATTGTGCAGGTGTAAATGTGGATGTTGCATCTATAGTAAAAACATTAGAATAAAAGAACAATCTAGGTATTATGCATATTAATTACCAGTTGATGGCTGTGAAGCAACTGATGGCATAGAGGACATATCTGGCATACGCACTGGTTGCTGCTGTTGTTGCTGATGCAGTTGTTGTTGTTGTTGTTGTTGATTTTGTTGCTGCTGCTGCTGTTGTTGTTGTTGTTGTTGTTGTTGTTGTCTTTGTAAATTTTTTAAAAAGCTCATAATTCGTGCATACTCTGGATTATTGTCTTCCTTTGCGCCTTGAGATTGTAGGAAACGTACGCGCTTTTATAAAGACATGTCAGGTTATGTCAAATGTGGTCTAAAAAATATTTACCTGAACAAGACTTTGTAGCTTTTCCTTATTAAAACCAACCTGGGGATGGCTTGCTAAGGAATTCATCATGTTGTAGAGATTAGACTATATAAAAGAACACGCATAAAAATCAAGCTTTTGAAAGGAAGAGAAAAAAATTTGTGTAATAAAAGAAAGGTCCTTTTACCTTTTTTTTTATGGTTTAAAAGTAAGAAAAAAGGTTGGTATTTTATTCTCAAAGAAAAAAAAAAAAGTGCCCACTCAGCACTCACTTAAATCACCTCAGGATATTCTGATTGGATAAGATAATGATGACGTTGATATTTTCTTTTCGAATCAGAATAGAATAAGATACTTACAAGTGCAAAAGGTCAAACAAGTAGCACTATAGTGCTGGTTAAAGCACTCTATTAAATGCAGCATTCCTTGATCTAATATTGTAGTTATTATTAACATAATCTGCAAGAATTGATCGAACGTTCAATGCTGCGTTGACATCTCGGTTCCAGACTTTTCATTGGATGGAGCTGACAGTATTAAAATAGAATAATTAGTACCTAACTAGTTGTAACTAAGCAAAAATACCTTACCAAGTTTCCACCATGAGCATTACCAGCTGAACACTGTCTACAAAGCTTCAACGGGTATACAATGGGGGCATAGCCTATTTTGTAAATGATTAGGTTAGAACATAAGCTTTAAGCGTTCGAAGCTTGGCACATATACCTATTTGCGTTTTATCGGAACAGAGACTGGATCGATCAATGATGCTATTGTTATCATTTACACACCATTTAACACGATTTTTCACCATACTCTGCCTAATCATCTTTTTTTCTAAGAATTAGATCGAGGTCAATATCTTGTACAGCTATGTATATAAATAATACTTGCATACCTATGATTGCAGTCAAATCCTCTTTCAGGAACAGCAATATCCTCTAAATCGTTTTTACAATGGCTGCAAATTCTTGACGTCCTGTATTCATCAGCTACTATTACTATCCCTTTCTTTGATAAATATCTGCGTAATTTCTACTGCCTGTATTAGATAAAACTGCATATTTTTATAAATTCATTTTGTCTTGGAGGGTGTAGGAGTAAATGAAATAATTCATGGGCAACAGGAAGAAGAGGCGTCGAATATTCAAAGATTGATGATCTGTTTATAATACTATTTGTTGTGAGATTTGCTGAAAATAAAGAAATTACGGTAAGCTATCGTTGATCGAAAAATATTTGCACTTTCTAGCTTATTTACCAATATTAGACATATTTATAGGTGGTCGCGTTTGTGTTTTATATTCCAAGAAAAATCCCTTGAAAACCACAAAGATGTTTCTTCTAACACTTCTAGTCAAATGTAGCCTGACATCTTTACGATATAATATTCATGAGTTGTACGCAATTTAAATGTTTATTCAGTCTTGTAATAACGCTTGTAGTATATGAGCTTGCTAGACGACCATGAAGTGCATCGAGTACAGGTATATCATATAGATATTGACCTATGAAACATAATGAGTGAATGTGAGTGCATATTAAGCGCGTTCCATATATTACCATTGTTTGGATTTTTTCGACAGATGTCAAAAATGTCAAAACAGTTTCTTATACATTCAGTGAAGCCCTATAAAAAATGCACAGTCAGTCAATTCTATTAATAACATTATAACGGAAAATCTATAGACTAAACGTTACAGAACAGAGGACATGTCCTTCACCACGGGCGACGACGCGATAACAATGGCTCCAAAATTTCCTTGACATTACATCTGGATATGTTGTATCCTCTCGAAACTTACTTTCTACCCAGAAACACACGCAGTACAACACTAGATTCATGACATCCCGTCTTAGAACAGAATATTCTTCTGCAATTTTACAGACCTCTTACTATCACGGAAAGATTGTTACATGCTTTTTATGAAATATAAAGAAAACATTGATACTTGCTCGATATTGTTTATAAGGTTGATTTAATAGCGAGCTTAATTTGCATTTTCTTGTAATTTGTCGCACATCACCAGCCATTTTTATAAGTTAACCTCTACTATTGAATTACTTATTGAATATAACTTTAAGCTTAAAAAAGAAATAAAAGGGAAAGAATAAATTAATTCATTTTGTGCAGACATTGACTTCTATATATACTTTGTTCTTTTGGGTTCTCATTATTGTATTCTTTATTCTTTTTTAATGAGTTTACTATACGTTATGGTGACACGGCAAAACTTTGTGCTACTGACAATTTCTTTATTCAAAAGAATAGGGTTAATCAAATACAGTATAGTTTATTCTGAATCAAATCACAAGTAGTTTGCATATAAAAAGAGCACGTAAAGTAGGTACAGTAGAAATTTCCTATAAAACGTTTCTAAAAGCATATACTCAAGGGTAAACATTCTTAAGTTTGTTATATTCGCTTGATTCAAGAGAGTGTACACCATGATATCAACGACTTCATTCAATCCATGGCGATATAATTGCCTTTTGGAACAACACGGGTGATGCTCAAATGGAAATTGAACAAGACTCCTTTTTCAGCTAAGCAAAGTCAAGCATAGGAAACGCATCAAATATATTTTCAGAAAAATACTACGGTTGTAATAGAGCTGGAGAAAACTCTAATCTAGAAATAGAAGAGACCTTAAAAAAAAAAGAAAGCAAACAAATACAGCACTATTTCTATTGCCACAACATCTTTGAAGGAAGTCAAACTTTTCGTGCTGAGGAGAATGATCATGAAAGCGTGAGTGAAGACGTTAAGCAATGGTTTTAAATCCATTTTTTCAAAGCTGTAAGCAACTGCTATGAAAGACGACCAGTTTAAATCTTGTGAGACTGTATATATATATCAAGATATAAAGAGTTTAAAATGCAGCATACTATACACCTTATTAGTAATACGCTTACTTATACAGTCTATCATAGCAATCTCTGCTTATGTACCTCAAATGGCTGAATGTGTTGAAGAACAAGCAATTCCGGAAAAAAGATCTCTTATCCTTTCATTAAAATGGCGTCCAATCACAGCTCTCATGTCTCTTCTACCATAGCTTTCACGTAACTTTTGTAATATAGCTTTCTTCGTATTGTCCGATAAAGGTAAAAAAGAGATATCACCAAAGCTTCCAGTAAGGTGATTATGCTCATTATGAAGCTAAATGGTGACCTGATTAGGTGTTAGGGAATAGCAGGTGACAGTAACATAGCATCTGTAATCGATCTTCTTGCTTGGTTTCTGAATTGGTCGGCTTTTAGATGATTCATCTTCTGTCTGTACACCAGCACGACCCTTATAGGTCCCAGCTCTATGGGATATGTACTTAATTTTCCAAATGATGCTTCTTCTTGTTACACGCTTTGGCATAGGTTGACCTTCTTCGTTTGAAGGCACATCGCCATTCGCCTTTTCCCTATAAATCCAACATACTGCATGATGAGCAGGTGAATTTTCAATGATATTTTTCCAAGAGTCGATGTCAACAGTAATTTCTCTAGGAATGGATGTGTATTGTTCTAAAACTAAGCTTTCAAACATGATTACTATTCTTTAATAAAATGGGAATCAATGAAAGAAAAAGCCAAAGAATTAAAGAAGAATTAAAGGAAAATTAATGATAAGAAAGGGGGCAAAATAAGGACATACGTCCACGTAGTCTACATTACGCAAAATGTGTGAATTTTCAATGATTGAAATGTGCGCAAATCAAAGCACGACCCACCTTAATGAGCAAAGCTACTTGCATATCAATCCATAAAAGAGAGCATGTTTAAAGGGTTTATCCGTAAACTTGTTTCTATTACTTGTGAATAAAGAAATATAATTTATTGGAATAAACAATTGATGACGGTTATTAATGTTGTTGAGCTCACAGGCTTCACACCATCTTATTTCTCCTTCAACAGACTCGCAATATATATACAAAATAGAGAGCACTGGACAAGTACAAATATGCATTTACGGGCACTGTGCAGCTTTAGGTGATAAAGACACTTTTAGCTACAATATACATATATTCATTTAATATGGTAATAGATTGCTTGTTTATACACATTTACAAAAAAATAAAATTGAAAATACAATAAATCCATACACTCAAGCTCAAGGCCGATTGGCACCAACAAAAAGTGCCTGACATCCGACCGTGTGTGTATGTGTCTCCTTGCCGACATTTTTTAAATCCCCGACGCTTTCTCTTAACTATACACTCAACCAGCCAACAATCAATCCTTCCCTTTTATCCATTCATCGACAATGAGGTAAAGCATCCATCCATCCATCCATCCACGTATCCATGCGAGTATCGATTTGTTAACACTTCATCTATTATATAGCAAAGTCAGTGCTGCTGCCGTCAGAGAAATCGTTCAAGCCATCCAAGCTGGTTCTCAAGAAAAGCCCAGAAAGTTTGTTGAAACCGTCGAATTGCAAATCGGTTTGAAGAACTACGATCCTCAACGTGATAAGCGTTTCTCTGGTACCATCAAGCTCCCTCACGTCGCTCGTCCTCGTATGACCGTCTGTGTTCTCGGTGATGCTTTCCACTGTGACCAAGCCAAGGGTGCCGGTATGGAATTCCAATCTGTCGATGACTTGAAGAAGCTCAACAAGAACAAGAAGCTCATCAAGAAGCTCGCCAAGAAGTACGATGCTTTCCTTGCTTCTGAAGCTTTGATCAAGCAAATTCCTCGTCTTCTCGGTCCCGGTCTCCACAAGGTCGGTAAGTTCCCTACTCCCGTCTCTCACAACGACTCCTTGGTTGACAAGGCCAACGAAATCCGTGCCACCATCAAGTTCCAACTTAAGAAGGTTCTCTGTCTTGGTGTTGCTGTCGGTCACCTCGATATGACTGAAGACCAATTGGTTGGTAACATTATGTTGTCCGTCAACTTCCTCGTCTCCTTGTTGAAGAAGCACTGGCAAAACGTCAAGTCCTTGTACTTGAAGTCCACCATGGGTAAGCCTCACCGTTTGTTCTAAGCGGCTTTTCTAGCAACCACTTGTATCATTTAAAATAAAATAACTGCTTGTTCGACTAATATGTGTCCACTACAACGATATATATAGAGAGAGAAAAGAGGGTAGTGTTATACAGTACACGATTCTGTTGAAGATGGTATAAATGTAAATGCTTTTATTATTATCATGAGTCTATGAATGAATGAATTATTATAATATGATTACAAGAGAGGGATCTATAAATATATGGTACACCCAAAGAAGAGATTATGAAATTGTATCGGTGAATCCACGAATCTTTTGACATTCAGCCTTCAAGTTATCAGCGCGAGACGTGTTCCATTCACCAGTAGCAATGAATTGTCTTGCATACCGAAGACACAGCTCTTCTCTGAAGTGTGCATATAACTTCCTATTAAATAAACGCTAATAAAGATGTTAGTTTAAGAAAAGAAAGGGGAGGATCTATTGTCATCTACCTCTTTTCTGCGAGTAGATTCAGGATATGTATGCGATTGATGAATGAGGAAATGATCAGATAATACATAATAATTAATGCCAGAGAGATAAATCTCATATAAGCAAGCTGCCTTGTTAGAGCCGTAACCGATAAAGCGTTCATCGCACCAGGGAGACCCTTGACGTTTAAAGATAACATAGGGCTCATATGAGTGATGATAGTTGACCACTTTATACATGGGAGTAGACGCATCATACCACTTGACGTAATCAGTTGCACCGTGACCCAATTGCCATGCACGGTGAAACATGTCGAGTTTATCTGCAGTAACTTGATCGATAAGATCCTGCTTTGTTCTTGGAAACGTTTTATGATCCATACCATCTTCAAGATCAATATATTCAAAGGCTGGCACCACAAAGGCAGTAAGACCATCGTCAAGCATGTTGAGCCATTCAGGATGTTGAAGAATATCTTGTCGGAAGTTTGTGCAGGGAAAGAAGTCAATGTCGAGCATCATGACATAGTCCGTACGAGCATATAGTTTAGCTACGTTTCTCCACATGTTGAATTGTCGGTCGTACTGATCAGCAATCAAGTGAATGTCGACATATCGTTGCATGTCTTCATTTTCAATGTATACATTAAGCAGTTGTTGCAGAACTAATTCCTTTTCGCCTTTATCGCTTTCATTAATATGAATTGCTGCTGAAATGGGACCTATATATTAAAAAATGAGTAAATGATTGAAATGAGGTCAACAGAGCATACCTTTATAATGGGAAGCAAGTCGGCTCAAAACAGGCAATCGGTCACTGGTGACGATAGTAGAAATTGTAATATCTTTTAGATTGGTTATCTGAGTGGCTTTAACATAATAAGGCAGAATTTTGCTATTGTTGGAACGCATCGTTCCGGAAAACATTTTAGATTGTATCACGTTATCAACTGTCACAAGGGATGAGTGATACAGACTATGCCATGATGACATAAAAAACATACCTTTTGACTTTTCATAAGAGACAGGTCTTTGATGGAGAGGCTTTTCGATGACAATACTTCTTCGGGTAGATCTGGTGGCAGATGAAGGAGATGAAGCTGATTGTTGATACAATTGGTTGGCAGTGTAAGTTAGGGATAGTAGAGCATAAATAATAAGCAAATATTTAAATCCTCTTATAATTGATTTTTGTAAATCAGCCTTCATCTTTTTTTTTAAAAGTGAAAGAAAGACAAAACTAAAGTCAAGGGCTATTTTAAACATCTTTAAGCGGACTTTTATGGGTTAAAAAGGGTATCTGTGTGTTGGTGTAACAAAGTACCTTTAAAAATAATCTCTCTGGTTTAATTTTAGAACTGGTTTCAGGCTCACAATTAAAACAATAAAAAGGGCATCTCATCTATCTTTTTATATATAATTTGTGTATTAACATGACTGCAAAATAAATGACTCTACTACGTCGTCCTTGTTTCCATCAATCCATCGTCTCTACACGAGATGACATTATCACTTGGGTCAATTTAGCCGCTTGGCAGAAACAATAGTCACTTTTGGAGACTTTTGATTCTAAAAAAAGAAGCTGTAGAACTTTTTGTTCAAATAACACTGCCTGAAAGCGAGAGGATATACAATTAGCATTTCTTTGAGGAGGGACCAAGGTTCATTATGTAAATCCAGAAAGTAGGCAGCACTTGATGAAGGTATTCATCGTAGAGATATCACTTGCACCTACTCTTTTTTTGTATGAAAGTGTGGACTTCATTTAGCAAAAAAATTTTAATAATTATAGTTTTATAGTGGAAGATAACTTCCGTTCAAAAGGCAGAGAAGATAGGAATCCGCCATGTTCCAATTCGAAACTGTGGACGACTGCAGTTGTATACCATGAAGCGTCATCGAACACGCACCGCCAGTGGTGTTTCCAGATTGTGACAATACCTACGCCAAAGAAACAAAGAACGTCCGTATCGACTATGTTGCACCTACTTTATTGTTTAAAAGTAAGTTGCAGATGCTGTAGGTCACATGATTAAATCCAAACGCCTTGAACAGGAGTAAAGCTTGGCCTAGTGTAGATGCGTAAACAACCAAAACAGATAGGAAATTTCTTTTACGATTATTTCACTCATTCACAAACATGAACAATTAGGAAGTATTAATCCAACTTTATTTATTCATCCAGATTCAATTGTTGTCGAATAAAAAGAAACTCTTTATTTAACCAACGGTTAAGGGAAGAGATACCTCAGGTTTAACCCTTCGTATAACAGATAAGATTACATTGTGTGTAAGGGATGCCATGTTCCTATTTAAAGAATGCCCTTTATATTACAATTAGCATAACCAAGCAGTAGTCTGTTGCTGGCAGCAAACACGCTTTGAGATATTTCAGGCTGTATATACACACAATGACATATCTCTGTTTCTCTTTCTGATTGTTTCTTTATCGAACAAGAGTCTAGAAATGTCTTGTTAAATACCCAGGCTTATGTTGTTGGTTTAAAGTTGAGATATACAAGATCAGCAAATAGCCTGTAATAGGCGTCGTTTTTTGTCAAATAAGATCCAGCGACTTTTGGACTATTGCTTTAAAAAATCACGTTGAAGAGCTCAAAGTATGGTTTTTATTGCATTCTTATTTTGTCATTTCAATAGCACGCTGTTACTTTGGAATAATAAACCATTGCAAACAATGACTTGATATATAATGAGCTTGGCCTTTTGACAAGATTAACTCGCTCCATAAGATAACCATTTAGTTCTTTATTTCAAAACATACGATAGATAACAAAATACGTTTTGAAAAGTTATTGGATACAAAAATCACCTATTTATATGCATAATAGCAATAACGAAGCTATTGGTATAGAAACGAATGCAGTTGGTCAGAGAGTATTACAACTAAACCTTCCATCATGGTAGAGTAGATGTTTCCTCAGCGGCATAATATGATTAGTTCATGTATATAGCAAAACAATAACATTTTCAAAAACTACTGCTAAGCATAATGATGACATATGAAAAAGGTACCATCATAACAAAAAGAGACAGGGAGCTGTCCTGATACAGCCTCGAGTGCTGATTGGTAACATAAAAAGTGGCAGATGTCACACAGCTAAAGGATGCATATGTGTGCCCCAGAAATACAAGGTGCGCTAAGCAGCGGTCATTTTCTATTTGAAACATTAGGTTAGAGAGCATCTCTCATTTTTTTAGGATTTAAACAGCTGACGTCTGTAAGACCAACCTTGAATGACAGGGTAATCATGAGAGCAACACCCTTTCTTCATGACTAACTGCATACAAGACCAACTTGATGATCCTCAAAAAATGAGTCAATGAGAGTTTATCCGGTACCAACAAACATAATGTATAGGTTAGTACATGACGACTAAAAAAGGAAAGCGCTCTAAACAATAAAAGAAATCGAGAGAAAGATATAAGGATGTAGATCTTTTAGCCTCTTGAGATGCATGAACGGAATATGAGAAACATCTTTTTTTTATTCCCATGACTTGAATCACATACTTTATGGTTGCTGCTGCAGCTCATATTCATCCGGAGCTGTGTTTTATGCTAGCCTCCCTTTAATAATGAGTTATAAAACCCTTTATTAAAGCAACAAACAGATAAAGAATGACAGAGAGACTAAATTATATACATGCATCATGTTGCAAAAGAGCATTTTTCATAAAAAGTCGTTTCGAAAACAAAGAAAAACAAGCATCTTGTATCACTTTCGGGGTATTTTTCTCGAACAGAAACTAAAAAACAAAGAATGAGTAAATAAAGAAATCTGCAGCATGGTCACTAGGATACTAACTCGCTCTCTCTTTTAATAGCTATAAATCCAAGTAAAAAGACTCTTTATTGATGATTGATTCTCTCTCTTTTTCAACTTTTAAACCTAAAACACACTATTTAAAGGAATGATCGACATTTGAAATAAAGAAAAAAAGATCGACGGTTAATCTTTGGATAAATCAAAAAAAAAAATCTTTTTAAGCCCCCCCCCTCCCCACTCTTCTCTCTTTCTCTCTTTCTCCTTTCTTTCTTTTTTCATCTTTTTTAAAAAATGTCTGCTATCTTTTCACCACCACCTTCACCTCCAAGCTATAAAAGACATCGTAGGAGTGATAGTTTCTTACTTGTACAAGAAATAATAAAAGAACAAGAAAAACAAAACTTGAAATCCAATCTGATACGCTACAGTTGTCCAGCCGCAGTCAATAAAGAGAATGACAGTAAGGATGTTATACCACGTAAAAGCAAGTCAAATCATTCTGTCACGTTTACAAATGAACCGCCAACAGTGTTTCATTATATATAAGGGTAAGTCCTTTATTGAAGTGTTTCCAAGTAATCACGAAATAAATCTTCTCTTTCAAGCTTAGATTCAATCGCATGGTATCTTTCATCTTTCTCAAGTATCTTCTTTGCATCTCTCCAACGTATTCCTGGTCGAATTTCCTTTGTCTCCCGTAATAACATCATGTATCCTCCTACTGGGTCCTTCTTCTTTTTACTCAAATGATGTTTCACATAATCCTTAAAAAGTGCCTCTCTTTCTCTTGTACTCGGAATCACTTTAAATCTGGGGTCGTCTTTACATTTACGTCGAAAATCATCAAAATACATCTTTTCTGTCACCTTGGATTCAAGCAATTCTCTAAACTCTTCTTCTGGTTTCTATGATACCTATTAGTCACCTCTGTATACCCCTTCTTCTTTTTTTTTTCTTATTTTACCTTTTTATTCCTTTGTTCATTCTTTAATTTTTCACCTAATTCATGACAATATTTATTAAAGAGCGTCTTTTGCTTATTATTGGGTACGACTATATATATACATGTTAGCCTCCTTTTTGTATCTTAGAGCTAAACTTACGCTCAAATCTTGGATCACTCATTAGCTTTGGATATTCTGTACTATAAACCGCAAAGGGTGAAATATTCCTTTCTTTCAATAATTCATAGAATTGTCTAATCCTTTCTTCCTCTGATATCTCATTCACTTTCTCTTGCTTTATTTCTTTTGGTTGCTCTTCCGGTTGTTCCTCGGTTTGTTCTTCCGGTTCCTCCTCCATCTGTTCTAGTTGCCACATAATATCTTCTTCTGTCATCCTATCAAACAACGTTATAAATACCAGCCTTTCCTTACTCTCTCTTTCTAGTTAATCTTACTCTGTTGGTTCAGCCTTGCCTTCTTCTTTCTTCTCTTCATTCACCTCTTCTTCCTCTTTTTCTTCTTGCTCCATCTTTATCTTTTTTGTCTCTTCTTCTTCCTTTTGCTCTTGTTCTAGTTTACGCTTTTTAGATTCTTCTTCTTTTTGCTCTTTTTCTTCTTTCTCTAATCTCTCCAATTCCTTCATTGGTTCCTCTAATTCCTTTGGCATTTCCCAGACGGATGTCTTGGTTTCTCGATCGTAATAGAATTCATATCCATCATGTGTCAAAACAAATAACCAATGAGTGCCTGGAATCTTTTTTCTTTTTATTACTGTTAGTTCCTGTTTGCTTCCTTTCTCTTTTTTCTTACTTGATCTGCTTCTTTTTTTTCTCTTTTGGTTGTTCTTGTTGCTGTGATTGAGGTGAAACAGCTTGAACAGGAAATGTCCATGTACTTTGCCTTGTCAAAGTATTATACCAATAAGGCTGGCCAGTAGGTGCTTTATACTCTACCCAGCCTGCTGGAAGCACCGGCGTGTAGAAATTAGGATTATAGTACGCGGATTGGTTCATGGGCTCAAAAAAAAAAAGAAAAAGGAAAATTCAGCTTGTTCCAGCTTTGAGCAGCTTTGTGACTTTATCTGTTCAGCTCAAAAAAAAGCCTATATCCCAACAAGATAGAACGAAATGAGCAAAGCTAAACAGTGGCGCTTATTTAAATTATATTGGTGCCTCTCTCTCTCTTGAACAGAATAGTTATTATGGATGTAGTACAGAATGCGATTGTCACATCGCGTGGTGTAGATGAATGGTATCACACCCAACATCATTGTCTTTCTAACTGATAATCCAATCACCGGAAATAAGCAGTCTTTATTTATTTGATACTAGATTATTAAGCATGAAATCCATGGTTGAGGTGGCTGATATGAATAAAGGAGAAAAAGGTGAACGAGACGTTTAACATTGGTTGTCCCTGAATACATTTGACTGCTTAGGAGCAAAGTAGTTCAATTGTCGTAGGTATGATATCAGTTGTAGATCACATTGCTCGCTCAGCCTTACGGAAGGAATATGAATTTATTTTAAGTGAACAATACAACAACATATGATGACTCAATGTCAATTCAGTGCGACAGTGGCACCCTTCTTTTTTTTTGAGAAGATGATGGCCACAGCACATCGGTGAATATATAAATAAACTCCTCTTTCTTTACTGCCACTTTATACAATATGGCTATTCAATGGGTTTATGCTAATGGATCTATATGGACCATCTTTGATAAAAACACGCAGCAGCAAATTGAAGCACTATGGTCAAAGCACACATCAGGTTGGATACAAAGTAGCTCATTCAGAGGGCCCGTGTTTGTAGATACAACCCAAATGGTTCTTATAGCTGATGGATATTCCTGTGCTATTGCTCGAAGAACGACGTAGTAGATGCCGTATAGAAAGAATAAAATGGAAATGTAGATAGATATATATATATATATGCATGCGCTTCAATTGAACGCAACTTTGCTGTAAAATCACTCTTTAAGCTTTTTATATTCTTATATAAATAAACACAATGTTCTTTTTTGAGCTGAATACGCTTGAATAGAACCCTGCTGTGCCACAATCTCATGATGATGATATTATCTTGAACTGTGTACCAAATTACATTCTACTATCCTGAAATAAGAAAAACACCACAAATGCACGAGCACAACGAACCGATGGCTCATTCTCGGAGATATTCCTGCAAACTTGACCTTTAGAAATGAGACTATAGACATGAACACGATATACAACAATATTGTTTAAGCTTCATCTTTCAAGATTAACTGTAGTGCAAGTTAAATGCGTTGAATAATCCTCGTAAACCGGTTTTTCAAAATAAATTGTCAATTTATCATATCTATATAATCCTATTCATTACGAAGAACTTTTTGCTGCTCTACTTTAGTATGAAGTGAAAAAAAGAAAGTTGTAGGCTCTATTCCTTTTAAGAACGAGATGCAACAAGAGGAGAACAGCATAGCATGACGTTCAATTTAATAACAGTCTACTGGTATCAACCATCTCTATTTCTTAACCATATTAATAGGCTCATAATAACCCGTTCATTGAGGCTAAGGTGATGGCTTTCAGAATACACTTTCGTTTGAACTTGAAAGGAACGAATGATAATGTGTAATTATGCTGCGCATCTACTCTAAATAATATCGAAAGGTAGTGCGTCTGTCCCTGATTATTCAAATGATGTCATTTATAATAGAAAGTGTATGCTTGAATAACACAGTGATGCAAACGTTGAAGCTCCATTGATTCTTCCTGTTACTACCCCCGCAGACACTATAGAAAATCTTTGGCTGCGGAATTGCAGTTAATTTTTTACTGGCCTACAAGTACAAAAAATTTGTAAAATAATATAAAAGGTAAAAACGAATTGAACTGAATTATTTTCGCTGGAGAGAGTTTAGGCCTTTTACATTGTAATTCTTTTGCCAGAGTTATGAGTTGACTTACTATAAGGCAAGAGTTTAATTAAAGTTTGGGTTTAAGCAGAGTTTTAAGTAGCATGCGAGAGATACCATTATTAAAAGATTAACTGCTAAGCTTGTAAAAGTGTAAAGGTAAAAGAATAATATAAAAAACTTTTATCTTTACACTATAATCTTGTAGGGCTTGGGTTTGGGTGTGTTGTAAAAGATAATAAAAATAAAAGTTCGTGTGTTTGTAGTCTTTGCAAGGCTTGAGGTTCGTAGCAAAAGTAAAGTTATAATGAAGGTTCGATATGTGACCACCAGATCGTGTAAAGTTGATCAAACTGAGTTGTACAAAGTAAAAAGAATAATAAAGAAGATAGAAAGGTTCCTGAATCCACTTGATCGGATTGTTCAGAAGTAAATAAAGGATAAAAATAAAAAGGAAAAGGTTGTGATTCAAATCGTAAGTGATTTATTGAATGAATTGAGCTTTTGGCAAAAGTACTGCTCTTTTATACTTGTTGATAATATAAGGTTTTATCATTTTAAGTTTGCTGATGTGAGCCAAAGACTTAATAATTTTGGTCATTTGCGTTACAACACCTTTGCAAGCTTAACAATTGATGCTTTAATAATGATTTCTCTCTCGTATACCACTCAAATCTCTAAACGCAAAATTTAGTTAAACTCTTGCCTTACGATTTCGTTTGACTGCTACTGATGAATCAACCTTAGTTGATAAACCAACTAATGACAGGTAAACAATAGCAATAATCCCTAAGTACACACCAGAAATTTCCAAAAATGGAAAATGAAATGCCGTGAGCAGGAATCGAACCTGCGTCGAGGCGGCCACAACGCCACGTACTGCCACTATACTATCACGGCTGATCACGAAAACTCTGATTTTTCAAATTTTATGACATAAATAAATCACATGGTAATCACGTGATAATGTGACATGTAGTTTTTACTGTCACCGCTCTACCGTCGAAACTACGTCTGCTTCATAGAGAATGCTTTGTATGTATGTTTGTCACTTGGGATCATAAAAGCCTCTTTTTCACAATAACAATTATTTGTTGAATACGTTCAAAATTGAGTATGCCCTGTTTTAAGAAGCTTCTGCACTGAATAAAATAGCTTTAAATCTTTAAAAAATTCATTTTGTTTTAATTGAAATATGTATGCAAAAAGGAGAAAGAATCTTGGAATGTTATTACATGATTACAGAACGATAAAGCTTTAATTGTTTGATTTTGATTGTGGACAATAATATCTACAGTTGTATTGTTTTTGAATCTTTACTGAATTTTAAATTTATTCTAAATAGTAGCATTGAATCATAAATAATGTTTAATTCTTTCTCTTCTTGTATGTCTTTTCAGCCTCTTCTCTTTGTCTTTTACTAGCAATAGCCTGTAATTGACGTTTGCCATGGCAGTTGGGGAAATTAGACAAGTCATAGTAGTTGGGAGCAATTTCAAGCAGCCAGTGTGCCTTCACTTCAAGACAAGTTCTAATATAATTTCTTGTAGTCAAGACAAATTCATTATATAGCACCCATTCAGGCTTATGGTCTAAGCAGGATGATGGATGAAGTTGTACGATTTGGTTGTCTTTCACTGTCAAGTAATGTCCACTACGTTCAAGATGAGCAACCTGCATAAAGTATCCAGCAACAATGGCTCTTCTAATGTTGACATAGTATGATTTGTTTTCAAAGTCTGTTGATACTAAGTCCAAGTCATTCTGTTCCATTGTTCTCTTTAGTTGATTTCTAACATTATCTGCAGATTTTAGTGATCTTTGGTTTAAGAAATTTTCATAGCACCAGTTGCTGTCTTCATTATCTGTCATATACATAATTAGTAAGATATACCCAACAATTCACATTTAAACTTACTTGTCTTGTATGCATGATAAGCGTTCAATAATGTAAGATGGTCACCATCTGCGTGTGCAAATTGTGCTTTTGCTTCGTCAGCAGCTTTACGAGCATTATTAGGACGAACAAAGATCTGAGGAACAGAAAGTAATGCAGCAATGGATAATATTTCGTTGGAACAGTTATACTTAGGACTTTCGATCAGCATTTTGGCCAGTTGAGGATCCAAGGGGAAGGCTGACATGAGTTCACCAGTAGGTGTAAGTTCACCATCATCATCAAGAGCTCCCAAGTAGTTCAATAATTCGAGTGCACGCATAAGTGTTTCAGGAGCAGGAGGATCCATAAAGTCGAAGTGGACAAGATCATCAATACCAAGTTTCTTCAGTTGCAAAACAACGTTTCCTAAGTTACTTCTTAAGATTTCAGGGTATGTCTGTTCAATTAATTCTTGATTGAAGGCAGCTTCTGTGTATAATCTGAATGCTTTACCAGGTCTCGTACGACCAGCACGACCAGCACGCTGTTGGGCTGAAGCTTTAGAAATAGGTGAAACTAAAAGGGATTCGACACGGATACGTGGGTTGTATACTTTCTGCTTTGCAAATCCTGGATCAATCACATAAACGATACCATCAATAGTAAGTGATGTTTCAGCAATGTTGGTAGAAACAACAATCTTTCTACCAGGCGCGCCCCCAGGAGTACGTGGAGCAGGTGCACTTTCGAAAATGAGCTGTTGAGCACGAGGAGGCAAAGATGAATAAAGAGGTACGACCTTCAAAGGACCAGCGCCTTGGCTACGGATTAATTCATCACCTTCTGCTCTTATCTTGCTGCATGCTGTTTCAATTTCTTCTTCACCAGTCAAGAACACCAAGATATCACCTTCAGGTTCACTCAAGTGAATTTGAAGTACAGTACGAATGGCAGCTTCAAGATAATCACGTTCTGGTTCAGGTGTATAGTAAATTTCAACAGGGAAAGTTCTACCTGGAACACTCTTTTTATAATGATTAGTTCCAAACTATATCATTCTTTTTTTTTTTTTTTTTTTCAGCTTACCAATAATGGTGCGTCGTCAAAGTACTTTTGAAACTTGCCAGCATCTAATGTGGCAGACATGACAACAACCTGAAGATCCTTTCTCTTCTTGCAGACCTATAATGGTGTAAGAAATAAAGAGAAAATGCCGCTTTTGATTTATGTACCTCTTTCAAAAGACCCATCAATATATCAGTATTAAGCGTACGTTCGTGTGCTTCGTCAAGAATAACAGCAGAGTATCTACTCAGCAAAGGATCTGACATGGCTTCACGCAAAAGCATACCATCTGTCATATACTTCAAAAAGGTACTGGGGCTTGTATTATCTTCAAAACGAATACTGTAACCAACTTCTTCACCAAGCTTGACATCCATCTCATCAGCAACACGTTGAGCAACTGACATTGCAGCAACACGACGAGGTTGAGTACAGGCAATCATTTTCCCTTTAAGATGTGGAAGTTCATCGTAGGCTAAGAATTGTGGAATCCTAAACTAGATTTAGATGATTGATTTATTTTTATAGATCCAAACTTACTGTGTTGTCTTTCCTGAACCAGTTTCACCAACGAGTACAACAAACTGATTCTTATGGACCATGTCTAGGAATTCTTGACGTTGAGAATGAACAGGAAGCTTTCTTCTTCCTTCCAAGATCTTTTGATACTTTGCAGAAAAGGGTTTATTCGTAAATGGATTCAAAGTGCCATTTTCAAGTTTTTCTGCTTGTTCTGCTGTTGTCTTACGAGGCTTCAAACCCATAAAATTTGCGCCCTTGTCCTTTTTTTCAGTGTTCCAGTGAGCAAGATAAGGATTGTCACTCATTATACAAGTTGCAGAACTATTTAAAAAAAAAAAAAGATTTAAAAAGTACGGCTCCTTCAGCTTTAACCGGAATGATAATCCATTCGTCCAATAAAATTTCTTAATTTGTTCGAAGCCACAGAATATATTTTGTCTTTCTGTTCTTAAATTAACAAAGACGTCTGTTTAACAGAGTACTGAAGCATTCTACAGGACGTTTATTATTGACAAACGAATAGTAGGTTGGAAAGATGTAATGTATATGTTCAAATGAGATAGTTTACTATAATCCACTTTTATACCGCAGCAGTGTATTGCCTTGAGCTATGAGGAATATATCTGTTTAGCTGCGGCACAGTGTCAGTCAAGTGCACCCTAAAAGTAGGGAGATTATCATTTTTTTATTGTTGACATGTATTTATACATTAAAGAAACCATTTAAAGAGTCCTTTTCGATATTTTTTTTTTATAAAGATAAATACCAACGTTGTCATCGTTTATAAACAAATACAATGTAGTTACTAATTAAGGGATCTTTAGCGAGTCTAAGAAGTTTTTGTGTGTTTTATGCTGGAATTAGCTTTTGAGTTTAAATTTCCTAAAGTTTAATTTCACCAGGTCACTTTCAATTTCTCTCTTTTTTATTTTTATTTTATAAAAATGTCTCAATCCAACGACGGACTCAAAGTTGTAGACGCTGAACCAGTTCAACAACCAACTCAAAGCACTTCAAGTTCTTTGAACCCAAACGCCATTTTGAACAACACTTTGGATGGATTCGCTCAATTGAGTTCTCGCTTTAACCCTTTTGCTCAGAAGCTCAACAAGGGCATTGGACAAGTCAGACAGGTACTATATACATATATCATCAAAGCTTCAATATACTCATTATTATATAGTATGCTCAAGAAAAGCTGGGAACAGCTGAAAATATTACTGAATTGCCTCAAGAATATAAGGATTTAGAAAGGGTGAGATAAGGAATGATACACACTAAGTTACCTATTGTTCATATATAAATAGCGTTTGGATGCCCTTCGTGATGTACAAACCAATATGCTAAAGATTACTCGCACCTTCAATAACCCATCTTATGATTACCCTGTTCAAGTTCAACAATCTTTGATCAACTTGTCTACTACAGTCACTCGTGAAATCCAACAACTTACGTTAACATCAGCGGCCGATCGTGCTGCTGCTGCTCAACCTCCTACAACAGTTGAAGAGCCAAAGACACTGATGCACGGCCTTGCCCGTGTAGCAGCTCAAGGTGCCCAAGAGGTCGGTGTCGAAGAGCCTTTGGGAACGACTTTATTCAAGTACGCTACAATCACTCAAAAGGTCGCCGATGCTCGCGTCAAGATGGATCAAACCATTGGTGAGAAGTTCAATAAGCCAGTTCAGACTACTCTAAATACAGCTATTGAACAAGCTAACAAGGCAAGACGAAATGTTCAATCTATTCGCTTATCCCTTGATGCTTGTAAAGCCAAATACCGTTCTGCTCGTCCTGAAAAATCAGAAGCTGCTCGTCTGGAAGTTGAACAGGCTGAAGACCAATTTGTGGCTGCAGTTGAAGAGTCCACCAACTTGATGAAGGCTGCTTTGGATAACGTAATTTAATAGATTGATTCTGATCTAATCGTGTACTAACATAACCATTTTATAGCCCGAGTTTTATCGCAATTTAGCTGATTTAGTTGCTGCACAGTTGCAGTACTTTAAGGAAGCTCAGGACCTCTTGTCTGATCTGGCACCTGAATTGGATGAAATTCAAGTCACTCAGGAATCTTTGTACAGAAATAGTCGTGCTTAATGTATTTTACTTAATGATAAATCACGCATTCAATCATTATTGTTGTGTTTCATACGTGTCTTCTTTGAGGGAATGGTATCTGTATCTTTTTACTTTTAGTTGATATGAACAAATGCAATTGTTCAATAATCCCACATACAAGGGCCATGATGGTATAGCACTAAATCGGTCTCTTTTCCCCTTGATCAAATCATATACATATAGAAGCCGGTTCCGTCAGGCAACATCGAATTTTACTGAGACATTTATTTATCTACTCACGACCATTACAAAACCCTCTATAGTACAATCAGAGATTTCGTTGTTACAAACCTTATCAAGAATTGCTATCTGTAGTTTGTTTATTTACAGTAGGATAACTTTCTCTAATTAATCAAACAAATGCATGCCATTTATTTCACCAAGTGTAAACTTTTTTCCCATTTTGTTACTAGAACTATCTGCTTGTGTAGCAGCAGCTTATCTGCTATAGAATCTTTTTGATATGGGCGAACGAGAAACCTTACAAATTCCAAGCATGTCATTCAGTGCGATTAGAGGGCTATTGGTGATATGTTTGCAGTTCAATAAGACTCATTTAAAGTCAAATAGAATAAAGTTTATTTATTTTGGAGGGTTGCTTTCTTCGTATCTTTTTTTGATAATGTGTTCCTCTATGGCCTGCTTCTTTTTAGTTCGATTGCTAGCAAACATTGCTTCTCCAAAAAGAACGTTGTTTTCACCATTAAAAAGTTCATAGAATAACTTGCTGATGTTTGCAGCAGTTCGTTCATTCAGGGTGTTCAGTCTTTCCAAAAATACGACAAACGTGTCTAAATTTGCTACGACAGTCTCCCTTTTGTTAAGTTAATGTGTGTTTCGTGTTTTTCATAAAGATAAGGACTTACCTATTAACAGGAACGTTTTCACGACGAAGCTCTTCATCTCTTAATTGTATTATATATCTATTTAGCTTTCTTTCATACAGTGCTTTGTGTTCTGGTAAACGGGTATGTCGCCTCTTCTTTGCTTCTTTGCTCCAACCCTTGTATTTTTTAATTAATTTTCTTGAAACTTCTTCTATTTCAAGGGGTTCCAAGCCGGAAATGCTCCTATTAGGATCTAACTGCCTTGGCAAGTTGTCATTTTGGTTTTCTTTACGAGCGTGAGGACTTTCAGGAGAAGTATCTAGCGTGCGTGTTTCTGAAGAGGACGAGGGCGTGACGGGCGCCGAGTGTGTTTCTGAAATGGAAGATGGTGCGTCGGGTACATCCGTGTTTCGTGCTTGAGTGGCATTATTCACTTCTTCGGGGCTCAGTCTTGTTTCGAGCTCTGCTGAATGCGTTTCTGAAGAAGACGGTGTATGCGGCTTCGAATAAGTTTCTGGAGAAGTAGACGATGTATGAGGTACCGAAGAGGAAGACGGTGTATGCGGCTTGGAATAAATTTTTGGAGAAGTAGGCGATGTGGGAGGCACTGAACATGCTTCTGAAGAGGAAGACGGCGTATGCGGTTTAGAATAAGCTTCTGGAGAAGAAGGCGGTGTATCATAGGTAGAGCATGTCTCTGAGGAAGCGCTTTGCTTAGGAAGATTAGGTGTCTTTCCTGTTAAATTCTTCTTTTTAAAGTAGCCCTTGCCCTTTTTGAGTAGAGTAATCATTTTATGATGATGAGGAAGAAACAAACAAGCTCTATTCTTATATCTTCTTAAATACCATCCAAAAATAACCTTGTTACACTATGTATCATGGTAGCATCTTGCGATAACTAGTATCGATACCTAAAAATAATGGATATATGAATACTAGTATATTGAGGCTCATTCTGGCACTCGTTATTATTATTTCGATATTTTTAGTTAAACTACCAAAGCCAAGGCTTTACTTTTAGTTAATTGTTACCCTTTGTCAAAACAGATACACTTTTTTTTTCTCATTCCCCTGACTGTGACAAAGGCCGGATTCTACTTTATAGGAACGTGTTTAATGGTCATATTGTAACATTGTACAGTACAAATGTGTTCTTGATCCAAAGCTCATCCAATAAAAATAATTTATATACTGGAGCCACATTTTTGTTTTTTTTATATATACAAATATAAAGAGCTTATAACTAGAAGATCCAATAGGTTTGAATTGAATGGAGCTAAAGATAGCAGATCAAATATCATTGAAAATGCGCAATCTATTATGACTATGCTTAGACATGACCAACCGTCACTGAACAGTTCAAGCACAAGCAATTCATTCTTTACGTTTTAAATAGGGGAAACTAAAGATCAAGACTGAGTATGATAATTTCTTGTTCAGTCAATGGCTTCATGTGGGGTTGCCCTGTGAGTGGTGTAACCTGATTTCACATGAATAAGCATTATTTAATCATTTTCTTTTATTTCCCCTGCTAATTAGGCCATGGCAATGAAGAGAAGGTCAAGTGATTTGGAATTAAAGGAGAGTCAAGGAAAGACAATGGTAGAAAATAAACGACGATCAGCACAGGCACAATCTTGGATCTATGGTTCGACTACTGCAGAAAAAGACATGGATGATAAGCAAGAGGAAGACGATAAGGATACCAAAGGAATAAAAGACGAAAAAAACAACATTCAGAGCAATGAAGCAAGCAGTAGAGGGATATGGTCATGGCTGACATATTCGGCAGAGCCTTCCAACCAGAACAGACAGACCAAAGAGAAGAGCGAGGAACAAAGGAGAGTGAATAATACAGATAAAGAACCACAAGGAACAGGTGGCAAACGACCATTCTACTGGAAGGCATTCTTTACAACTCCAACAACAGAGCCAGAAAATGGAAAGGATACAGTCATTGTTACTGACGACAGTGATGATGATAACTCAATGATAGATGAAACCAAAAAGCAGGAACCAGCTCCTTCTTTATGCAAAAATGCCATCTTACCTACCTTTCAATCTCAATTTGAAGCTAGCAGTGATAGTAGCTTCGTCGCATGGGCGATCAATGCTATAAAGAGCTCAATTTTCACAAGAGCGCCTTCTGTAATTGAATCCATGAAGCAGATGCCAGATGATATAGGTGGAAAAAAGATTGTGATCATTGGTGTCCATGGCTGGTTTCCCATGAAGGTAGGTATATGGCATTAAGATCTTTATGAAAATACTAAGTAGCCCAACCTACAAGCTAGTAAGAAGCATGATCGGTGAACCAACGGGAACTTCACACAAGTTTTGTGAACAGATGACTCTTGCTGTTAAAAAGTACTTTTTAGACAATCACGGTTTGACTATACCCGACAGGTCGATCACTAGTATTTCATTACTCTGGGAAGGAAAGGTTCAAGAAAGAGTAGATAAATTTTATGATCTTATTCAGGCTCAATGGGTAGAAAGTATAAAAGAGGCTGATATCATCTTATGGGCCACTCATTCTCAGGGCACACCTGTGTCGATCATTCTGCTACAGAAGCTAATTGAGTCGTCCATCATTCGACCACATCAACAACCAATGTGCTTGCTAGCAATGGCTGGTATTTCTCATGGACCATTTCCAACCTTGAAAGGAAATCTTTTAGTCAAGGTAAAACATACAAACAAAAAAGAAAAAAAAAGGGCGGATATGAACATACCTTCTATAGTACTTTGAAGCAGACCCGGCTAGAGAATTGTTTGAGTTTATGAACTCGAATTCGGAAGTATCCATCATCTATAGAGAGGCTATGGCATATGTTCTACAGCACGATATCAAGGTCGTACTTGTTGGATCTATGCAAGATCAAGTTGTTCCTCTGTATTCAGCAATCATGTCTGGTCTGTCTCATCCTAATCTACTGCGTGCTATTTATATCGATGGTCACATCTATTCTAAAGATGACTTTTTGATTCGACTTATTGAGTTTGCAATAAGTCTATTAAATATGGGTCTGTCTGATCATGGATTTCTGATTCATATTAGTGAAGCATTAGCTGGCAATCTTTACTCTTTGGAAGGCGGTCATTCAACAATATATGAAGAATTGGATGTATTTACTCTACCACTGCAGTACCTGTTTGAAACACATCCTATTGGCCATAAACAAAAGAAAATACGTATAGAGCAAAAGGTGGAAAGGGCGATGAACGAAGTCAAGGCAAGGCTAGATCCATTCCAAGCGAGATTAAAGTTGAATCCGTTTCATCTACCTTGGGCCATGCGTGGTATTTGGGATGATTCAAGAATATTAAGTAATGAGGCTTTACGTAAAGAGCTAGAGCAACTTCAGGCGTTATTTAATAAATGGAACCCGACAAGTGCCAGGTTAAAGGAGATTAAGTTTCGATTGGAGCCTTTGAAGGCAAGGTTATAAGCAGTACATATATCCACTTTTATCATACATTGTCTATAGAGGAAATAAAAGCATGGGCAGACATAAAAATGTGTCATATATTTTTATTGTTCGTCTTGTTCAAAAAACCAGTCATATTGCAAAATCAGTGCTTCAATCACCTTACTCTGAAGGTCGGATTGCATAATGCCACTTAACTCTCCTTGAACCGGTCGTAAGAGGCTGACTGAAAATATCAAGGCCAAGTTTGAAGCTTCCATCTTATTGATTTCAGAGTATGAGGCAACATGACTAAGATGCCGCATTAAATACTCCAAAACAATAAAATTTGGCTTTGGTAGGCTGTGAAGTACAGATTTGATTTGAAACATGCGTTCTTCATAGTCTGATATTTCTATTCAAAGTAGGTCAGTTTATATATAAAAAAGTCCTTATTCTTATCTTACTTGCTGCTTCCATAAAGTAATCATAATATTCAAATGTCATTAATGGATTGCGAAGTTCACGGAAATAGAGTTTGAGTAAACCAGTTACTGCATTGATATCGTGTTCATCCTTGAATGTGACATGTTCCCCTATTTAACTATGAATAAAAAAAGAATATCTTCCAGGGCTATCACATACTGTCATTAAATGCTGCTTTATATTTTTGTATACTAGACGTTGGTCCAGACAGTCTGTAGATTCCTACTGACTGTAATCCCCTTGCTTCCACTTCTTTTATACATGTTGAAACAATATAGGGTACATCACCATTTTCTTCCATTCGTAAATAACCTCCAAACACACTATTTTCTATCATGCAAATGAGTAATCAATCAGACTAAGCTGTAACTACTATTGATGTACCATCAGGTTGTGATTGAGGGGTAGGCATATATTTTGGTTCCATTTTCTTTGAGTTTGCTTTCGTAAACCAAAATGGTCTCTTTTCTTCTGTATACTGATCTTTCGTCATTTTTCTGTTTACTTTCATATGATTTTCATCGATTGACAGTGATGTTAATAGTCTCATGATTTCTATAGAAAGAAGGTGAGCAAGCAAAAGTATAGGCCTGTTGACTTACCTGTGTCTTGGTTTTGACCTTCTTTACGAGCAATGAGTTCTCTCATGATAGCATCAAGCCAAAGAGAAAAATCTTTATCATTTTCAGTTTGAATGTATAGTTTTACTTTGTGCGGCGTTGATATGATAAATACGTATTTTCTTTTCGTGTCTTGTTTTCCAGCTGGGTCAATATTGCATGAGTGTAAATCGAAGCTGCCAACGGGCAACCGAGCTATTTTCTAAAGATATAGACACATAGATTTAGTAAAAAAGGTTATTTCAATTTTTGATCCTCTTTTTCTTCTCACTTTGCTTTTTCCGTGGCTCTCCTTGTTGTATAAGAGTAAGAATCCATTGGATAATACTGCATAATAAACTTTCCAGGAACTCAATTTACCACCCTCCTCCTTTTCAGAAATCATCTTCATTTGAATGTTTCCTTTATGTCGAATCCATTCTGGTTGCAGTTTATCCAATTCCTATTTAATCTATTAATAATGAGTTGTTTGTTTGTTTATTATTACCAATTTCTTTAGTTCATCAGGCTCCAGCCTAGCTGTTACCGTGGTAACCAAGTCTGTTATATCATCTGGTTTATCCCACCGAGATTCTCCTGTGGATTCATTAAAGTAGTATATGGTTCCATCTTCATCTATTGTTCATCCAATATTTCTTCATTAACCTCTTTCAATTTTTATTAATTGAATGAAGCCTTACTTTACCATATGCAGACTCCCAACCTTCAGGTAATGTTGTTGCCGTTGGTGTTGTTATTGTTGTTGTCTGTTCCTAAGATGGGGTATATTCGTCAGCATGCCCTTTTTTTTTTTTTTTTTTTTCTTTATGTTACATACATCTACTACTAATAAAAATGGTTTAGCATAAAATATATAGTCTCTGTTTCTAGTCTATTTTACCTTCTGTTGTTTCTAGTCTTATTCTATTTGCAGGAAAGAAACCAATTTGGTCATTTAATTCGCCTTTATGTAAATATGTTTAATTAGGGCTCAATTACGTTTATATTCTTATCTAACCTTCCCACCTATTAAAGACATGTTAAATGACATGCTTTAGTTATTCTTATGGATTATTATTACCAGTCATCGTTATGCTTCTCTAATAGCTTAATTCTATCTCCTTGTTTAAAAGATAATTCAAATTCACCTTCTGCTGTGTAATCCCAAACGGCTATAAGATATTGTGTCATTGTTTAAGAAAGAGAGAAAAGAAAGGGCAAAACGCTATTTAAAATAAAAAAATGGCTCGTTTCCAGAATTGGAAATTGATCCCACTATTGAATTTGTTGTTTCTCTTTCTCTTTCTGCTCCCTTCTTTTTTTTTTTGCCTTTCTTTCTTTTTATATATACTTTGACAACATTTTATAAAAGGTTGTCAATATAAAATTTAAAGCCATGAAAAGACTATTATGGCCATTAGTATTGTGCTATTCTATACTGGCTATAGAGGTGCCTACTCTTAGATTAGACGATATTGGTCAATTAGGCTTCATTGGCGATTATGTTGGTATATCCCCATTTGAAGATGCTCGGCAAACTGAATCGATACCCCATAATACTTCAGCACTCTACATTCATCATAACAACCTTTTTACCCTATTTTCAACTATTGACGGCTCTATAGAGGCTTATTGTCAACTAGACAAATCAAATTATATCCTAGGCGGTCAATTTAATACCATTAATCATACACAATATAATAATATAGTTCAACTCAACCTAGATACATTACAACTTGCTCCTTTACAACAAGGATTAAATGGCCCTGTGAGGGCACTTTATTGTTTCAACCAATCCGTTTATGTCGGTGGTGAATTTGATAGACCAATGGGTGATTCAATAGATTACGGCTATACAGCATTATGGCAAGAAAATAAGTGGATACCTTTACCTTGGCAAGGCTTCAATGGTCCAGTATATTCAATTATTCCAATAGAACAATCATCTTCCATTTGGTTTGCTGGTCAATTCAATACAACCAGTGATGGAAAATATACAAATCAATCATATCAACAGTCTGTTGATTTAATATCTTTAGCAGTAAGAAAAAAAAAAAAGTTTATGCCAGGAGGTAAAACTCACCCTTAAAAAAGACTATAACTGCAGGGAATAGTGCGCCCAATACAGATCCAGCTAGTGTCATTTGCTCACAGTCTCCCTGGTTACTACAAGGTGGTAATCCTGGTTACTGGCAAGCTTCGTTTCCATTTCCTATACAACCCTCTCTTTTTCGACTAAAGAATACGAATGTCAATGGAACAGGCACTCGTCAATTTAGCATTATTTCCTTAGGATCCAATGATTACTTCAACCTCTCCTATATAGATTCAGCCACACAGCAGATCCAACATTGTTCAGAAGCTTGTTTACTGTCTAATACGAGCGATTATCAGGATTTTATTGTCTCAACCCCTTTAAGTACTAATGGAATCAGAATAAATATCGACAGTTGGTACGGTTCGCGAGGTGGATTGGGTGGTGTACAAATATTTAGATCAGATACATCACTTCAACCTCACTTGACTTCAAGTAATACCAACGGCAGTTGTTCAAGTACTCCAGAGCCTTCTTCGACATTTGCAACCACTGGCAACTGGACAGAGACTTATGCTTTTGGAACCTATCAAAATTTCCTAACATCAACGTTTCCTGCATCTCAACTTTCTTCTGCAGATGTTTCAGTTACTTATAAACCGTAAGTGAAGACCCCATTATCATCCAGTCACTATTTCTGACTCTTTTTATTTTTAGGTACATTTCAGCACAAGGCATGTATAATGTTTATGCAATTACACCAGGTTGCGTAGGAACTAGCAACTGTAATCAGCGTACCAATGTTGAACTTGCTATCGAACTTACACCTGGCAACCAGCAGCACATATCACTTAGCCAACAGAACTATCAGGATCAAAGAACATTGATATATCAGGGCATCGTCAGCTCATCAACCGGTTCATTTCAACCTACGATCACCCTCAGAGTCAACCCATCCAATATCACACAACCATCATCAGATACAGTCTCCATCATTGCAGATTCTATTGAATTTGTACGAAATGATACCTATCCAACACTTTCGAGTATCTTGCAGTTTTTCCCATCCAATAATTCCTGGTCTGCTTTACCAGGTATATAGCCATGAACGATCACTGCTTTTCATTTGATACTTATGTTTTATAGATCAATTATCTATCGGGTCTACTGTAAGGACGCTAAGCGCACATGGCGATACTGTCTATATTGGTGGTCAATTGACCAATAGCTCTTACAGTAACATCGTATCTTACAATCATCAACAACAAAGATTGATTCCCCCAAGTCAATCAGGATTAAATGGAGTTGTTACATCATCTGTAGTCACAGGATCCAGTAAGTTTTATATATAATTCAATATTCAAACCATGCTCATACAGGTTTTTATGATTTTTAGAGCTCATCGTTGGTGGCAACTTTACTGATACTCAAGTCCCACAAAATGTTGGTTTGAACCATGTTGCTATTTATGATATTGAAGCAGGTACATGGTCCGCAATGGATCAAGTAAGTAAACAATAATAACAAAAAGGGCGCACAATAAACTCACTTGTACAAAAAAAGGGAGTCAATGGTACCGTGACACATTTGTATGCCACAGACAACGAAAATGTTCATCTATCAGGTCAATTCAATTATGCGTCATCCATGCCTGTCTATGGTAATGCTGAATGGAGTCTTTCCAGTAATGCATGGGTGCCCGCTTCCTCCTTTATCCTCGGCCCTGTCACCTATACGATTCCTCTCAACTCTACAGCTAATCTCTACTTTGGAAATATCAAGAATGCTCAAAGCTATTGGGCTATGAATGCAGCATCCATGTCATCATCATCATCAAGTTGGTCCAACTTGATCAGCCAAGCTGACCCAAGTGCAACAGTTCGCTCGGGTATTCTTTGGAAAGACGACGGTGTGATATTAGGTGGATCATTTAACCTGAACCAGACACAGTATCAGGTTGTCATGTACCAGCAAGGAACCTGGCAAGGTTTGTTGCAGGGCATTCAGGGAGATATAAAGACAATGTTGATTATTGATGACAAGCTATTCATGGGCGGTAACTTTACTGGCCCTCGTAATATGAGCAGCTTGGGTGTGTATGATCTAAATAAACGCAGTCTATCAGCCGTTTATGGTTTATATGGTAAGTCAATGAAGAAAGAAAAAATAAAAACGATGGCTTAGCTATTTTGATGTAGATGCCAATCAAAGGCCTGGTCAAGTCAATGTTATTCGCTCCAATGGACAGACCGTCTTTGTGGGTGGTAATTTTGTCTATGCAGGACTATTAAGCTGTGGATATGTCTGTGGTCTATCCATCGATCGTCTTCAATGGGCACAGGTTAGCCAGAATAGCTTGAGTGGCACTGTGAATGATATGGTTGTCCAAAACAATGGAACCATTGTCGTTGTGGGAGATTTAAAGGTTGATAATATACCTACACCTATAGCTCAGCTTGGCAATAATCGATGGACGGCATTTACTGCGAGCGTATCTCAGCCTCAATCACTCTTGTTGACACCAGATGGTAAACAGTATATAGTTTCTGGAAGGTATGTAATAGAACAATTAAGTAGAAAAAATACTTAATATTATGTCTAGGCAACAAAACACAAGCTACATCGGCTCCTGGGATGGTCATCAGTTTACAGCCTTAAATCAGTCGAATCTTGATCCTTCTTCGACAATCCAACAACTACTCTATGTTCCTACATCGTCCAGTACCATGTTAATGGCAGTGGGAGACATGTCTATTGATAACAAGAGCAGTAGCGCTGCACTATATGATGGTTCACAATGGTATCCTACTGTACTCACTGCATCTGCAGATGGATCTGCGGGCAGTGTGAGGCAGTTACTGACTACATCCAACTGCTGCTCCTCTTTACCCGGACGCAAGAGATATCTCTCTATTCCAGCTGTTGTCCTGGTCTCTCTTGGTATTTCGCTAGCGATCTTATTCTGTCTTGTAGCTATTGGCCTCTTGGTCCTGTTCCTTCGACGCCGATATAATAGTCCGACGTACATTCCACCGCCAGAATGGAAGCCACGAGATCAGACCGCGATGGGCTATACAACGGGAGCTACATTACTACCAACTAGTGTGGACATGACAGATGCTCGACAGCGACGATTCTCAAATACAACAACAACGCTAGTGCCATTCAGTGCACTCTTAGCTGCTGCCCTGCGCCACAATGATGAGCAGCCAGCGAGCGAAGAGTCACCCAAGGTGTATTATGCCAAATATCCATTTGAAGCCAAGGAGGTTGGCGAATTAGCATTTGATGCGAATGCACCTATTGTTGTAACGGATATGACAGACAATGTCTGGTGGATGGGATACATAGATGACGGTAAATATATATATATATATAGTCTCTTGAAACTGATCATTTGTATATAGGCTCAGGAAATGCAGTGTCTGGTCTTTTCCCAAGCAATTATGTAACAAAAAGAAAACCAACAGGAATTGAATAGAAATGAAATATATATATATATAATCTTTATTGAATAACTTAATTGATCCATTCATCAAAAGAATGAGGAGCGGTCATGGTATCATTTTGTTGTTGTTGTTGTTGTTGTTTCCCTGAACTAGGTTCGAGCTGTTGAGACTGTACACTTTGTAGTTTATCATAGAGAGCCTGTTGAAAGCGCTCACGGAACATGGGTGAAATGGTCATCAATAAGTTTTCCATTGTTTCAAAATTGTGTTCGAGGTGAGCTTGTACGTTTTGAGCAGTAGATAAAGCAGGGTCGACATTACAAAGTGGTGAACAAGAAGTGACCTAGATTCACTTTTTTTAATTCACTTTCCCTTATATATTTTTTTTTTTTTTGCTTTTTCTCTCATTGTGTTTTTATTACTCTATAACCTTGGTCTGTTACTTCAACAACAATCATCACACCTTCAAGCAAGGTTAAGTCAAGTCTTCCAATATTATTAACCTCGTCTCGAACAAAGACAGTGGCTGAACCTGGAACAATACCATAATCAAATTCTTTTGTAATGGCATCCAGTTCTGCACTCAATGACGAAAATCTCATAAGTTGTATATGTATAAAAAAAAAGAATAAAAAAGAAAAAGGGAAAAAGATGGGGAAAATTAATTTTCCGACATTGTCTCTCTATGCGTGTGCCTGAGTGTGTGTGTGTGTGGGGTATATAAGTTTAGTTTTTCTGAAAGAATTGAAACATGATCTTTCTGACAAAAGAAGATAGCACATCTGGTTCTTCCTGATAGAATGACTATATATAAAGCATATGAGTATATATATATGATAAGAATAGGTCCTTTACCATAATGATACCCATCGCAGTACTGGCCATGAGGACCTCAAAGTATTTCATCTTGAATATCCAATGATGAGAATACGCAATCTGATAGAGGCTATGGACGGCCTTGGGTAAGACATAGAGAGCTAGTTCACTACGTCTCTTTTTGTCTTCGATAAAGATAGACAAGTAAGAGCATATGAAACCAGCGAGGCCATAGAGATATTTAGAATTCCACCGGCCAATGAGACCCGTCTTGAGTAATTGACGATGCATGCAGATCTGGTATTGATATACAGTGACAAATGTTGCCAAAAAGGCACCCGATTTAAGTGTGGCCTTGGTCGTCTTTGAGAGCATGCCAGTAGGGCTGTGGGCGGGTCAATAGATGAAATCAGCCTTTTTATAATCACTTACTCTTTTCGTAAATGTTGGGTTCGAAGAAGTAACATGGGCACAAAGTGAAGTGTACCGTATACAGGTAGGTAGCTCTTGAATACATTGAAAAAACGTTCTATAGCTGTAAGGTTACAGCTATCTACCCAAGGATGAAGAATTTCACTGAGGACAAAAAAAGGCTAAGAAATGTATCCTATGTTTTTCTCTTTTCCTTACCATGGTATCGCCGCTGGGTTCGGATCCAGTTGGCTGATGACTTTGATGGCGTGAGAGGTGGGATGAAGATGTTGAATGGAATCTAGTGCAAGCTTAGGACTCACGGATATTCCACGGACATTAAGGTTATTCAGCATCAATGCCTCTTTTGGACAACGTGCAGCTTGAATCATAAATGCATAAAAATCAGGTGGTAAGGTATCTGGTCTCATCTATCAAAAAAAAGGTCAATTCATGCCACCCATCATCTGTAAGCCTAAATGAATTACCGTGTAGGCATAGAGAACTTGAGCACAGGTAAGGCCAAAGAGCAAAGCATCTCCATTTCTAAAGTAAAAGATATCTCTTGCCTTTCCTGCATTATACACAGCCTGCAATGCTCTACAAACTAATGTTGATTCAATGTCAATTATAAACTCATCATAGTTACCTGACAAACAATTGTTGTGCAATATCGACACGGCGTTCTTTTTTTTCAAAGAGAATGCTTAGACCTGCAATAGCGCCACTGACGAGACCATTGAGACGATCGTCCTTGTTTCGATAAATGCGCATGCCATTATTAATTGATTTCCACAAGAATGAAAATGATCCAAACATGGCAGCGAATCGAAGTGTATCCAGATTTTTAAAGGACGCATGCAGGATCATGGCAAGTGGTGCTCTGAAACATTTTTTTTGGTCATGTAAATGAATGCAAGTTTAAATTATCTCTTACTTTTTTCTCAGGACACGAATAAGGTATAAACAGAAATTGACACCTCCTCTTACTCCATATCCCAAGATAAACGCTCCTAGTTCAATGGTAAGTCCTCCCTTATAAGATATCATAAAGACACTTTACTTGCGCCTCCCTTAAGAGCATGATCTAATACTTGACTATAATTCTTGGGTCTCGGCCAATCTGCTGGATCAAATCTTTCTGAGGGGTTTCTCTTTAATTTCTCAACGAGACGTTGATAAGAAGAGGTTCTCGGTGGCTGTGTTTGAGACATACAAAGAGAGAAAAAAGAAAGAAACAGGACGATGATGAGGACAAGATAAAAAAGGAAGGTGATTTTGGGGCTAGTGACTTGATTTTACCCCAGATTCACGTGCCATGCTCAAGATCAACTCGTCTCTAGTTTATCGATAAGGCGTTTCCATAAAAGGAATGTACGTCTGTTGATGTCACGGGGGGAGGAGGGCACATATACACTTTCTAATACATGTTTGGTTGCATCATTTTATGCATGATGACATTGTAGAGATATTGTATATACACAAAAGGTTGATTTATTAGAATCTATTATAATCAAGAAAGAGGAGGAGGGGGATGAACCAGCAACCCATAAATAGGATGAAATGAAGAATTATGCAGCAATGGTGGATAGAGGTAAACAAAGTTCGGTGATTTGTAGGGTATATGTTAAAGGTGCTGGTGCTAAGGAACTAATGGAATCTGTCTTGAAATAATCTTGTTTTTGTAGTTCTGGAGAAGGTGGAGGTGTAGGTAGTCTAGTTAGCTCTGCTTGCACTTGACATAAATCGTTTTTTATATCCATCTGTATCGTCTTTCCTTCTTTCATGCCTTTTTCTACTGTGATAATAAATGCATTCTTTGAACCATAGTCACTATTGTTCTTCCGTAAGAGTGAACAGTGAATAGGTCTCTTGTGGTCAAACATGGTCTTTATCTTGACTGGATCCATCATGATGGAATAATATGCCATTTTTGACACTGGATCAAATCGAATGGGCTGAGCCATAACTTGGCCAAGATGGATCTGAAATAAATAAGTATAAACAAAAATCATTACAATAATGAATTCGTGCTTACCAGTATGCCCCATTCATCTTTGCTGGATCCTCTTCTGATTCTCCTTTCAATTTCAGATAAAGCATAGGATTGAAGTAATTTACAGGTACGTTCTATGCGCACCAAATCCTTGATGGATAAATAACTTAGGATTTCTGTCAGAATTTCTGAAGGAAGCATCAAATCCATTTTGTAAAATAAATAATAGCGTGTGTATGTGTGTATGAAAAAGAAAGGTAGAAAATAACAGGTTGTATTTATACTAAATCAATTGTCCTATCAAATTATAAACTCCGTTTTCTGTTTATCATATATGGTATACCTTATATATCCATTATAGCTCCGTTTTAAAAATAAAACTTTCCCTTTTAGAGTAATCTTTATGGGTCCTTCCAATCGATAAGACATAATATATACAGAAAAACATAAGCGTCATTCCCCCCTAGCAACTAATCACATTTTATTTTATCCTTTCTGTTTATGGGTATATCACCTTGTTTAATAATAAAAAAAGCACCTTTTAAATACATGATATTTTGTGGGATGACAATAATCTCCACACACCGATACATTTACATAAACACACACACATGCATAAAAAAGCACCCGATCCTAGAGATTATATCTCTTAGACATTGCTGTTATCGGCATTTCAATTTAATGCTATAGCCCAATTCAAGGGTTCTCCTTTTTTTATTATTTTGTTATCGATAAAGAAATAATATGTGTGTTACTTTATACGTCAGGGGTAAATCTCAGCAAGAATAAGGTAAAGCCTTTTTAAGCATCTTTTTCTGTGTATTGTTTACAAACACAGTTCTTGATAATCGGTTTGTTCTTTCAGGTGATAATCCACTGTTCAAATGTCGAAGACCCGCTTGCCATCGTTTATAATTACCATTGGCAGTGGGAAAGAATCTACAGCGGCTTAGTTCAAGGGTTTCTCTATTACATTTTAATTACCTTTTTTTAGCGCCTGAATGACTTTTGAGTTTATATGACATGCCTCTAGATCCAAATGGAATGGCTGACTTGACTGCATTGACTGTTAAGCTGTTATTTCTATTTGTCTAGTGTGTGTGTGTGTTTATGTTCTTTTATACCTAATGTATTCAACATGATGCAAGGAATTAAAAACAAGCTTAGAGAGAGAGAAGGAGAGAGAGTGGAGGGGGGAAAGCAAAAAAATTAAAAAAAGTGACTGGTTTAGCCACACTTATTTTTTTGCTCTCTCTCTCTCTCTCTTTCATTATAATGAACAGCCAAACAGTAGATGCCAACTTGATCAAAAGTCAACTTCAATCGCTTGATCTATTAAAGTAAAGACATGTGTTGGTATACTATTACTTTATATTAAATCATTAAAGACAAAAGACACAGGCATTGATTGATGTAAAGAATACACTTTTATCAAAGACAGAATTATTAGAACAAAAGAAGGGCCTGCTAGAACAAATCAATACAGAAAAACAGCGATTGTCTAAAGAAAAGAGATTATTATTCGATATGCTTCAAAGTATTCAACGTGATTTAGATTCAGTCACGGAAGTAGAGACACAATTGACAAGAGAGCACGAAGAATTAGAAAAGAATGTGGCCAAGTATAGAATAGAACAATATGAACCACTTCAAGGTAAATGATAATACATGTCGATGATCACTATATTAAACTGGTAGAACCAGATGAGGTCAATGAGATACGTGCACAGAGCGGAATGATCAAATTACCGCATATCCAGCAGGAATTGGAGGCACAAATGGCCAAGTAAGGTTTAAACTCCATTTATTGATTTAAATAACATTTCTATATTATTATAGATTATTAGAAGACAGAAGGATGAAATGGCAAGAGTCGAGCAATAGAAGGAGATAACCAAGTAGTACATATGCCATCATTCATGCATTTGGCTTAAATAATTTTTCGCAATCTACTTTTTTTGGTTAACTTTGCTTTTTCCCTTTTTTGTATAATTACCTCTTCTATTTCATCTAAATCCCATCCTAGTTCATTCTTGTTTATTTTCAAATGATGAAGTTCATGCGCTAATGTTCTCAAAACATGATCACTGCATCATAACTATTAGCTTGGGAAGTTTGTATGTTTATTTGTTTTCTCACCTTGCGTGCTGGATCCACACACAGTAGTCATCTAAATAGATTTTACTGTAAATATAATAAACGTCATGGTGGTCAAATATGTATTTCATTTCCAGTAACGCTTTTAATATCGCTCGTTTGCCCAGTTTAAAGAGGATATAGACATCTTGAACGACCTTTTCTGAAAATTCAAAGTGTCGATAGAGTGGATAGATGAGAGATCGTCTAAAGGATGTGATGATGACTTCTTTCAATGTAAAAAATTGCTTTAATAAAGTTTAGTATTTTCATATGCACTTGTTTGTGTGAGAAAAACAATACCTCCAGACAGGACAAGGTTGAACTCAGCTTGCCGATACACCAAGCTGACTCCACATTTCCTTCTCCTTCGGTCATGCGGTGATTATAGCTGTAAGCGAATAAGAGGTCCACAAGACCAAGATAGACGCTTTTTTCATTTGAAACTAAATACTCTTTGCGTGGCAACTGACGCATCATTTCTTCCTCTTGACTCGTAAACGTCATCTTTGCCTCGTCATTTTCCTTTTGCATCCTCTTTAGCTCCTTGGCATACACCGTCTTGTACTTCATCAGCTGTCTAATTTCTTCGTCTTCGGCAAAATCCGTACAATAATGGTCCTCATCAAACTGCTCATTCTCCAACTGCAGACGTTCTTCACGTCGTGACTCGATTGTGGATGTCTCTGGACTCTGAATATCATTAATCTCATTCAATGTCTCTTGAACGTGTGTAAAGTATCCCGTGTATTGCTGATTGAATCCATAATATGTGTGCGTACTCAGTTGCTCCTTGGGTAACTCTTGAGGTATTTCCCAATTAAACTCTTCAGCTTCTTCTATCTCGTCCATGGCACTTTCTTCGCCTACCACCTCAATCATGGGTTTCTTCTTTTTTTCTGCTTCTCCGGTACGTGCCAGTAACTTTGTCAATAGATCCAAGTCGGCAAACTGTTCACCTTTGGTTTCCTTGGAGACTTTGATTGTGAATTGTCCTGCTGAAGGATCATATGTCGCTTTGGATTGATCGTCCTCGATGATGTTTCCAGGAAAATGTAATCTGTGCTGATTGTCAGTATATATATAGTTTAAAAAAGGGTGTTGACATTACCTTAGAAAGTAAGGTCGTAAATAAAATCGAAATTCACTGCCTTCAACATATAAATCTACATCTTGTGCCTTTTTATATTTTTTATATTAGTTTTTAATATAGTGTAATGTATAAACACACAATACCCTAACATGCGGCGTATTGATGGTAATATAAACAAAATTGTCATCTTGATCTACTTTAAATGTAGGTGTGATCATGTCAAGCAGAAAAGAAAAAAATATTAAAATTTTATTTAATAAAACTTTTAATAGTGCCCGAAAGAGCCATAAAGGAAGCAACAAATAACAAAAAGATATTGATCAAGAGTTCTGTTTTGGTCATGGTGTGTCTAAACAGTTTGATATGGCAGACAAGAGGGAAGATACCAGAGATAAAGAAGGAGAAGAAGGCGCCGAGAAGAGATATGACCTGGTCAAAGTTGGGTAGCAATGATACCAAAATCACCATGGTGATGGTCGTCAAGATAATGCTGATCAATTTACCCAAGCGACGAGGTAGACACGTTTGCCAAGTCAAGATGACGGGGTTGAGTGTCAGTCCGTATTTGGCGATGGGGTTGAGAGCGACAAGGTAAACGGCGAGTCGGTTGATGGCTTGGTTATATTGCGGTATGGCCATCAAGTTTTGTGTAATCTCTTGCATCGTGCTAGATCCAAACATGATGTAGCCAGCAGCTGCCACTGTGAGATAGATGATGGATGTCGTCAGATAGGTCACATTTACCATCTTTCTATACTCTTTTGGATGGTCCATATCATGATAGATAGTTGGGAACACAGCATGTCCTGCAAACCCTGCCATGATCAACCCAAAGCTAAGTGGTACATCAAACCAATTGTTTGGTAAAATGGATGTATCCTATAAACAAGGGCGAGTTTGATCTATCTTTCTTTTCTTTTTTTTTAAAAAAAAACTATTTCTTTTTTCTTACCGCTGGTTCTCTTAAACTTCCAGGTGCATCTGCCTTTGTAAAGCCATCATAGAGAATAACAAGCAACAGACTAAACACACTGAGAATGCCAAGCAGGCTGGTATAAGACAGATATCGCACAGGCAAGAGCAAGGTAGGTGTTAGGATGATAAAACTAACCAAGCGCAACCAGACCATGTCATAACCAGGAAATAGAGAAGCAATGCCATCTGTGAGTAATACGACAAGCGCAATGCTTTTGAACGAGTTAAGCACGATGAAGCGAATGATGACTAAAAAGGAAATATATGTCGTTTACCTGCACGTGATGAGTTCTGTTAGGAAAAGAATCGAAATGAATACACGTCCACGCATGCCAAAGGTATATGCACCAATATCACCATATGTCTTTGCTTCTGGGTTCAGATCTAAGCATTTGATCAGTATTTTTGCCGTGTAATTGGTCAAACAGAAGCAAAAGACAAAGATGCCCAGACCAATGACCCATCCTGCGCTCTTTTTTTTAATGTATCATTAAATTTTTGATTTGGAGATCAGTCCATTTTTTATAACATACCTTGAATCCTAAAGGCAAGGCAAGAATGCCTACACCCAAGAGAATATTGATGGAATTGAATACACTTTGCATAAAGGTTGACTTTTTGGGTGAGGTGTGATAACTATCGGCTACTGTCATGATACTATGGTTAGTGGATATCTTGTGCAGTAAAGGAGATTGTTCGTGTGCTTCTTGTGCTGTGATAATAGAATGAGGTCTACTCGAGTATATCGAAAGACCATCTTCTTCATCGTCCGACTATTATTTAAGGTTTTAATTGTTCATGTTAAGGTACATAGTTCAGTGTTACATACTAAACCACCGTCAGACAATACGACGTTCTCTGCCATATGCATCATGGAAGCTCTCGAGTAAGAACTTACGAACGATCGAAATGAGTTGCTCAAGTACGTTGGTCTTTGTTCTGGATGTAAGTTTGTTATGTTGATGGGTATTTGTTGAGACATCAAAAGATAAACAAGAAAGAAAGAAAGAAAAGAAAGTCAAGGAAATTTCCCTTTTTATAAAAATACTTTTTCGTTGTACTTGCTGGGTATAGTCATACTTTAATGCATGAGAAAAATCGTCCGCTAAAGATGACGCCTCTTTAGATAAGATCCTAGGGAGAAAGTGAGTCATGGCTTTTTACAATTGAAACATGTTTTATTGATATTTGCTGGGCCACTCTCTCTCTTTTTTTTTTGTATAATGAAAAGGAAAGTAGAGGGGGGGGGGTATTATTGTAGTTGTAAGCTCTGTTCGTCTGCTATTCTCCTTAAAGTGTCATTGATCTGTGCCTTGACATTCTCTAAATAATGGTCAGATATGTATATGTATATACATAGTGTCTATTTTATTACCCATTTCTTTAACTGCATCCTCATATTCTTGATTTGCCAACTTATTTTCTTCTTCTAATGCTTTCAATATCGCAATTTGTTCTTCTTCTGTTTGTTGTATGCCCGGTAGTACTTCAATAAGCGAGTCAATTTCTTTTGCTTTTTTCACTAAATCGGATACTAATTCATGCATGTTTTCTTTAAATACTTGGGGTTCATCTGCTTGTACTATATAATAACTAGTTATAACTCCAAAGGTTTACTTTTCATTGTTATTACTCTTTGGCTGTGATACGGGTATATCTTTATTCAGCTCTGCCATGGATGATTTTTCATGAACATAATAAATACTGTTTGTAAACATACGTGCCATCTATAATAGTTACTAAGCTAAAAGTTATAAAACATGTATATATATATTTACTGCATCAATAGCATCTTGTAACTGTGTTAATCTATCCATAAAGAAAAAAAAAAGAGAAGAAAGAGCAAATAAAGAGAACTGTGAGGTGACTGTGTTTATATGACGAGCCTTTTATTTTTTTTTTATTTTTTTTTTTTCCTTTTCGTCCTCTCAAAGGTGAGGTTGAATTTTTCCCTTTTTTTAGTTTTCCTCTTTTATTAACTTTTTTTCTTTTTTTATTTCCCAACATAAAAAAAGAGAGAAAAACAGAGGCAGTAAATTGTAAGTTGCTATTACCCTTTTCCATATTAAATTCGACCCCTTCTTCCAAGAAAAGAAAGAAAGAAAGAAAGAAAGAGAAAAGGCAAGATGTAAAAAATAAACCCATGTGTTCATCAAGACATGCAACAAAAAAAAATCTCAACCTTGTAGCGACAAAGAAAGTTTATCTCCCTCTCCTTTACTTCTCTCCTCTTTGCCTTTCATCTCCTCCATCTCTTATTACATCTGCTTTACAGTCTATTATTTTTATATTATATTTCTTCATCAGATTTTGACAACAGTCGGAATGAAGCCAGCAGATGATGCAACTCAGACTTTATTACGCGTACACAAAGAACAGGACAAGCTTATAATACACTTGGGTTTATTTTTTATACTCTTTCTTTTGCTTTTTGTATCATACAAATACACACACACAAAAAAGGGGTTTAATATTACATATAAAAAATTACTAACAAAAATTTTTTTTCTCTCTTTTAGAATCATGGACCTTCCGGATGTTAATGTGGATTCAATTATTGAACGTTTATTAGAAGGTGATTATCGTAATTATGACTACTTTATTCTTATTAACCATCATAAAGTCAGAGGAAATAGACCGGGCAAACAAGTACAGCTAGGAGAACATGAAATCCGATACCTCTGTTTAACTGCTCGTGAGATTTTTATGAGTCAACCTATCCTATTGGATTTAGAAGCACCTATTAAAATCTGCGGTAAACTAAATTATAATCCATGGATGTTTTAGATATTAAAATTGTAATAGGTGATATTCATGGTCAATACTACGATCTCTTAAGATTATTCGAATATGGTGGATTTCCTCCTCAAAGTAACTATTTGTTCATGGGTGATTACGTTGATAGAGGAAAGCAAAGTTTGGAAACAATCTGTTTACTGTTGGCATACAAGATCAAGTATCCTGAAAACTTTTTTATTTTGAGAGGAAATCATGAATGTGCAAGCATTAATCGTATTTATGGTTTTTATGACGAATGTAAGAGAAGATACAACATTAAGTTATGGAAGACCTTCACAGACTGTTTCAACTGCTTACCTATTGCTGCTTTGGTGGACGAAAAGATCTTTTGTATGCATGGTGGCCTCTCTCCTGATTTACAAAGCTTTGAACAAATTCGTAGAGTGATGAGACCTACAGATGTACCTGACACTGGTTTACTCTGTGATTTGCTATGGTCTGATCCCGATAAAGATATCGTCGGATGGAGTGAAAACGACCGTGGTGTCTCATTTACATTTGGTCCGGATATTGTGTCTAAATTCTTACAGAAACATGATATTGATCTTATCTGCAGAGCACATCAAGTAGTTGAAGATGGCTATGAATTCTTCTCAAAGAGACAATTAGTTACCATCTTTTCTGCTCCAAACTATTGTGGTGAATTTGATAATGCAGGTGCAATGATGAGCGTAGACGATTCTTTAATGTGTTCATTCCAGGTAAAAAGGAAATCATGATCCATTGGAGTTTTATTCACTTTCTTTTATTAGATCCTTAAGCCTGCAGAAAAGAGATCGAAATATACTGGATATCCTGGAAATAAAAATCAACCAAGAGGAAAGAAAAAGAATCCATAATGAATACAAGCAAAATTTTTATTTCATCCTTAAAACATATACTTCACGCCATTTCTTCCCCCTTTTTATTATAATAAAGAACAAAAAAATTAAAGGCAACTGGATAAGCATAACCCTCTCCATTTTTATTTTTCTTTAATTGAGTGCAACTTGAACTCGTGCATGTATAAAGCCTTCATGACGTTGATCCCTTCTGTGTTTTAAAAATTTTATACTTTTTAGACTTTAACACTTGCTCACTATGCTTGTGTATAAGACAATGTCTTACACAGCAAAATGAATTACAGAAAAAAAAAATTCCTTTTTTTTTTTTTCTTCTTCTTCTTCTTTTCTCTTTTTAAACTTTTTTTTTCTTTTTTTTTTTCTTGCCTTACTATGTTACCGAATGATTTTAGTAAGCCTAGAACAACTCGGCCTATGTCTGAAATAATAAATCCAGGTCATTTTATAAACGAAGGTAATAATACATAACAGTAAGGAACACTTTACAAAAAATCGATGGAATATAGCTGATATTGCAGGTCGCTGGTTTGAAGACTTGCAAAGATATGAAAACAATCTTGATGAAATGGCCTCTGCTACTTTAGACCAGGTATGTATAAATGACTTTTTTTTTTCTTTTCCTTTTTTTCTTCTTTCTTTCTCCTTTTTACTCATTTACTTCAAGAATTTCAAAGAAGAGATGCAACATGTGGATCAATGGTTTCGATACTTAACTGAAGCAGAAAAGACAGCTACGATGTATACCTTATTGCAACACTCGACTCAAGTACAGGCGAGATTCTTTATCAATCTGTTGCAACAAATGGTCAAACGCGATCCACTCTATTCTCTTTTGACGCCAAATCATGATTCGGATCATCCTTTGGCTAGTGCCATGGCAAAGGCTGAGCTCGAGGCCAGCCAGAGATTGATGTCTGTTTTGCCTTACAAGACAGGTGTTTTGCGTAACACGAACAATCGTCATTCCTTTGCTTTAGGCGATACAGAGGATCGGCTATTTGGATACAGCCTATTAGACGATAATAATGCTAGACGCATTCGACAACAACAACAACAACAGCAACAACAGAGTTTGTTCACGAGTAGCAGGCCTCATTCAGTGATCGAAGGCAGCGACAGTCTGTTTGTTCCAAAATGGAATAGCAATGTAAGGCAGCGAACTAACGTGGTAGGACCGATCGGGACAGAGAGACCCAAGTCAGCGGATATCAGTCAATGGAACTTACCTGGGCAATATTCAGTCTGGAGTCAGATCCAACCGCCTCCTACTGAGGATACTTTCAACAGAAGGACACGCATAAATCAACAACGTACGACTGCTACCAATAATATCCCAGCTGTGCCAGAAACAGCAGAAGATTACCCTATGAAGAATAATGCATCCGATGATGGTCGTCGTAGATCATCATCAGCTACAACAACAACAACAACAACTGCAGGCAAGGAAAGTAGCAGCAATAACAACAAAAAGCCCTCTGAAGTGGTTGACATGGAACTTTTGAAAGGTAAAAAAAAAAATAGAATGATAACGCGTCTCACACTCATAACATATATAATAGATGTACCTGCTTGGCTCAGGAGTCTTCGTTTACATAAATATAATCCTATATTTGGTGATATGCGCTGGCAAGATATGGTCAAGATGTCTGATCAAGAATTACTAAACAAGGGAGTGGCAGCCTTAGGCGCCAGAAGAAAGATGCTTAAAGTATTTGAAAATGTGAAAGCACACTGTGAAGCCAATGTAAGTTATATATCTGAAGCATAAACATACACAATAGACTAATTGGCTTGTAAAAGGATATCGAATACTAAAGGGGTGCATAACTTGCTGAGCAAGAGTCATTTTTTTTTGTCTATTTTTTTGATTGTGTTCTTATTAAAGAGAAGCATTGTTTGTTGCCAACTGGAATATATCAAATGTATATACATATACACACTGATTTATTAAACACACATAAATTAAGCCTTGGTAGCAGCAAGGGCCTTTTGAGTACCCTTCTTGGCGAAACGTTGGTTACGGAGGAACTTGGCGTCCAACTATAAAGTATATCAATGGGTCTAATCTTTATCTCTATGATATTACTTACACTCTTTTGAGCGCGGTACTTGTGAATGACGGGCTTCTTGATACCGTTACGATGGGCCTTCTTGTCTAATTGTCAATTGTCAGTTATTATCATTCTCTCTTTTTTTGTATCATCTGTCATACTTTGGTTGTGGTTGGTGTGGTTCTTTGATTTGGCCATTTTTACGTTTCTACAGGTTGATGGATGGGGTGATGAGTATGGATGAATAGATGGATGGATGGATGCATAAGTGTGTACCTTGGATTAAATCAAGAGAGGGAAAAGAAAGAAGGAATCAGATTGGACGACAAGGTCATGTTCGTATTACTGACCAATCGAATTGGTTTAAAACTCCACCCTTTATAGATCGTGCTTCTTTTTTGGACAACTGTAAGAAAGCAGTTACACACATTGAGTGGATTTTATTTATAGTAATTATTCCTAATAAACTCTTCCCTTCTTTCTCTTTTTCCTTTTTTTTTTCCCCTTCATGTTGATTCCATTCATTACCGTCTTTTTGCTTCTTATTCACTATATCTTGGCTGACAGCCCTAGTGTACTTGCCATCAATGCGCCTCAACCAAATCAACAACTCACGAGTAAAACACATTTCAATCTGACTTATACCATTGTTGGTTCACAAACAAGTAAGAGAGAATAGAAGAAAAAAATGATGTAGAAATACTAAATTTGTTTGTAGCCAATCCACCCTTCAGTGCTTACTATTTTAATTCACTCGCGGCTGAATTTATTTGGAAAGATCGCTCAGGGGGACAGTCTCAATCACTAAAGATCTCCTCTTCACTTGATTGTGCACCTTACCCTGCCGGTCTTCAAAACAAAGTGTACAACCAACAATTTAATGTTCCTAATTGCCACTTCTTTTCTCGTTATCCACCTTCTCAATATGATTTCTCCATTCTCTTCACACCTTATTACGCTCCTCCCACCAACTCATCACCTGCCACTGGCCCCGAACAGCCTCCTGTGTCCGTGCCTGTGACCATTCATGTCAACAATGATACTTTTCCAAAATGTTAAATGTTTATAATAAATTCTATTACACATGGTATCGTCTCATCTTTTCATCTTTTTCTTCATTTCCTCCTTCATTTTCACCCACAACAATCCATTCGACATCACCCGAAAGTAAGGCGTCACTGTAATCAGAAGGGAAATGGTCGTTGATAAAGAATGGTAACAAGAGACGGAATAAGATGCGTACAGATGTTTCTTGCTTTAATCGACCGATCACGTGTCGATTGAGTATACCAGACAGATGGAGGTAGGATATAGGACGGACAGGTACGGGTTGATTCGTCTTGGGATCCGGTGGGTAAATGGTAATTTTGTAGGCTGCATCAATAAATACAAGTGTGCCTGGAGGAGGACTATACCAATAGGGAATACGAGGCACGACATCTAAATAGAAGCATGAGTGGGCTAAATCATTCTTTAGAGAGGAATTTTACCATTATTAAAAGTGTGATTGAATATTTTACAGGTTATCTCAGGTCCAAAGGATCTTCCAAATGCCTCGTCACCAATATTAGGTTGTCCATAGGTATACAAACCAGCAAAATAAGGTATCAATGAACTCTTTGATTGGATCATTTTTGCCAAAAATACTATATATTTATAAGCATTCATGGTTCTAAAGTAGTCCTATTGGTGTTTACCTGTTGCCAAGGCACCACCTAACGAATGGCCAGTGATAAACAGTCTTTTTCTTGTCTCCGATCGCTCCTGCATGACTCTCATAATCCAAGTCTCTGCTTGTGAATAGAGACTATGATATCTTACTTCTGATGTAGCAACCCAGCTAGCATCAATTGGATCAATCACATTTTGGAAAATGTTGAAAGACACCATACGCATGATCTGCATGGTCGCTTTTACGGCTGAGGCAATCGACTGTAACAGAGAGGTATGACTGAGTTCGAGATGGATACGGGTCTCTTCTTCCTGAACATGTGTTGTCGTTGTTGCTCCCATGGCGTCCCAGAAGCCCTTGTGAACTTTACCCATCGGTGTATCGGCCGAGAATATCTCAGTGAGACCAGCGTCAATGTTTGTAACGTAGTTTTGGATATTGAGTGGGTTTGTGCCTCTAAACACCAAGAGGACATCACCTTCCTTTTCGACAACATAGGCACATACGTTCTATAAAGTTCCCATAAGAGACAACATCCATCATATATTATTTATATCTAACCTTGTATCCAATTGGCTTGAACGAGCCAACGACATCAAAGCCAGCCTGTTCGAGCTCATGCTTGACAACGTCAACATCCTCATATGCCAATTTACTAGCTACACAGAGAGTATGAGCCATCGACAACGAGTACTCGGGTCGCTTGAAGCCCTTTTCGGTCTCAAAGGACTTGGAAGACTTGGGTGGATCATGACGATGATGATTACCTAATCTGAAAAATTTGGCGTCACCCACATTAATGACAGCTGTAGCGCGAAAAAAAATGAGTGTTATGACATTATACACACCATTGAATCTTACATAGATGCTTCTTTGTTGCGTGTTGTGGTATAAAAGGATTCAGTAGCTTGCGAATCAGTTGATCGCTCATCAGCAAGACAACAAAGATGACAAAGAAATGGCAACGAACAACAAGATTAATAGCTGGTCCCAAAACTCTATTCTTTGATACTGTTTGTACTATAGGTCGAAGTCTGTTGCTTATCCTGACCAGTGTACGTGATATCAGCGGCATACAGTGTTGAATACATTTGAAGGTGGTATAGAGAAAGAAAGGTGCCAGGAGAATTGAAAGAGAAAGCAGGTAACAGAATAAACTAAGTATCCATCTTCCTTTATAGTTGGCATAGTAACCGATAGCCGCAGGTATGAATGCTAGTATGAATATTACTTCTACAATAAACTGTTTATTCATGAAAGAACAACAATAAAAAAAAGGCAGTGAAATTCATGTGAAGAGGATCTTTTTTCATTTTCTGTACTTGAATTTTTTTCATGTGCTAAACAGAGGTAACACATTTGTGTTTGTCATTGTGATCTGATATGGCATTTCATCTCTTTGCCTAATTCATGTTTGAAATGCGCAAGTTTATTGAAACGAATATACAGGATGATTAAAGTGAGCCTGAGCCCCTTCGTAGCCTTCTGGATAGGTCACCATCAATTTCCAAATCAAACAAACGCCAGATACCATCTTCATCCTGGAAATCATTATGTACAATATTGACCAAGTACCAATGGTCATGAATGTCCAAGATGATCTCGGCTGATGGACTTTTTCTGTCGTAGATCCTGGCCCATTCACTCCATAGCTCAAAAGCTTCGTCTTTCCATGCCATAAAGGCTGTTTCTTCAACAATTGTGGGCTGTATAATTTCTTTTCCAGGGAACACACCCCAAGTGACCGCATTGGGCTCTTTATATACTGTGTTTGTTTTCAATTCTCCCTAGGAAAAAAGTTGAGCTCTATCTATGACCAACCTCAATTTTTGTTTTTCTTACCTTGTAGTTGACAGCAAAATAGGTTATTTCAGGTTCATTGCTCATCTTATCTATCAAAACTTGCAGCTGTTCTGGAGACACAAAGAATTCGATATACGCCTTTTGATAGACGTATCCGTTCCTTGGGCCCCACCCATAGACTGGATCCGAGCTTCTCGCTCCATTCACGGCAGGTTGGGAATTGATGGTGAGATAACCTAGGAAATTGATCGCTGCCAATCGTTGCTTGATAATATCTGTCTCGGGATCCAACTTTTGTGCGCTCCAGGGAAGAGCCTCTAATTTACCTTTACAGTACTTTGCAAAGAGAAGGGCGATATCATCCACGGATTCGGGCGTTCCCCACATTGCCAACTGTTTCTCTGGAGGGTACTTGATGGACACACCCCATCGATCAAATTCACCAAACGCAGGCGAGCGCGCATCACCCCATCGACCATTAGGAAATTCATCCCATGACTCTGTTCGTTGGATATAACTCTGTGTGCGATGTTTCCAAAAAATAGGTCGTACATTTTCCTTGCCACGTGTTGGTGTAAGACTCTACATGAGTGTGATTAGGTCTTTTATAGAATAACATAAAGAGGGTCTTACGGGATTCCAAGGCAGAGGCTTGACATACTCTTGTTCAGGTACAAGGCCTAACTTCTCCAGAATCAAGCGAGAAGATCGTTCGAGATTGAACGTGTAGATGTGAAAACCAGAGATACTTGTCTCTTGCTTGATACGCTTTATAAACTGTATGGTCAAATCAATACCATAATCCTTCACGGCCTGATCATCGTCCTTGACTGTTTCTAGGTCATCCCAGATCTTTTGTGGCACATGGTTCTTGTTGAAGGATATGACGCGAGAGAGACTAGAGTAACTTTGGATGGGAAAAAGCCCAGGTATAATGGGACATTGAATACCGATATCTCGACATCGTTTGACAAAGTCCACAAAGATGTCGACGTCAAAAAAGAGCTGAGTGACAATCAAATCAGCTCCTGCGTCTACTTTTTGTTTAAGTCTCAAAAGGTCATCGTCTTTATCTGGATTGTCAATATGTCCCTCTGGGTGGCCTGTTGTTATATGAGTTGATATACTTTGTTCTTTATGATACAACATACTTGCCTGCAACAGCGATACAGAAATAATCGCCGTATTTGTCACGAATGTATCGAACGAGATCAATAGCATAATTGAATCCGTTCTCACATGATTCCCAGTTTAGCTGACCTTTGGGCGGATCACCACGTAAAGCCAAAATATTTTGACAGCCACATTGTTTAGCTGCCTACACTAATTGTCAATAAACATAAAGTAAAGAGTCGTGTTTTACCTCCAATGCCTTGTCTATTTTTTCTATTGGCATATTGGTACATGTCAAGTGCATCATAGTCTCAAGTCCATACACTGATTGAGTAGTCGCAACTATTTCTGTTGTCAGATCAGCTGAAGATCCGCCTGCTCCCCAAGTGATGTCTATAAATTCTGGGCCAAATCGCTGCATTCGTTCTATACGGTCATATAGATTTTGAACACCCTTAAAATATAGTGAGTATGCTTGTAATAAATGCGTACTACAAGCTTACCATTGCTGTCTTTGGAGGGAAATACTCAAAAGAATAAAACATCCTTCCTTCATCTTCAGCTTTCTTAATCTTGGTTGTAATCTTCATTGTGAGAATATGAAAGAAAAAAGAAATCACCGCTGCATAAGTGGCGTCACATGCCATATTTGGGAGAAGTATTCAGATGTTGAGATTATCTTTATCAGCTCATCTAATTGGATATCCCCATTTGCGCTAATTTAAAATGATCCAAAGCGGCATTATCATTTGTGTGACTTGAAAAGATGTTGATAATCTATAGACAGGCAGTATATAAAAGGGAATCAGCTTCATCTATATTTTGTTAATTATTCTCTTTTCTTCTTCTTTTAAATAACAATGGCTCAATCTAACGGTCTATCATCTAATGGCACTCATCAAGCCAGACCCAAGGAAGGTGTTACTTCTCCATACATGTCTAATGATCCCAATTCAAACGTTGGCAACTTTAAGATTATCGAATCTACCTTAAGAGGTAAGCCTTATTCATATCGCTTGTCACTTTTCTCTAATATCTTTGTTACTTAGAGGGTGAACAATTTGCTAATGCCTTCTTCACTACTGAAAAGAAGATTGGTAAGTCCGTGTGTAAGATCAAAGAATGTGTTTATTAATTATATATGCATAAAGAAATCGCAAAGGCTTTGGACGAAGTAGGTGTTGACTACCTCGAATTGACTTCCCCCGCTGCCTCGGAACAATCCCGTAATGACTGTAAAGTGATTTCTAGCTTGGGTTTGAAGGCCAAGATCTTGACTCACGTTCGTTGCCATATGGATGACGCTAAACTAGCGATCGACACAGGTGTGGACGGACTCGATGTCGTCATTGGTACTTCTAGTTTCCTCCGTGAATTTTCTCATGGCAAAGACATGGAATATATTACCAAGCAAGCTGTCGAAGTGATCAGTTACATCAAGAGCAAGGGTCTCGAAGTTCGTTTTTCCACAGAAGACTCTTTCCGCTCTGATCTCGTTGATTTACTCAGTATTTACAAGGCTGTGGACAAGATTGGTGTCAACCGTGTGGGTATTGCCGATACTGTGGGTTGTGCTAACCCTCGTCAAGTGTACGAATTGGTCAAGACGTTGAGAAGTGTTGTCAGTTGTGATATCGAATGTCACTTCCATAACGATACCGGTTGCGCTATTGCCAATGCTTATGCTGCTCTTGAAGCAGGTGCTACTCACATCGATACATCTGTCCTTGGTATTGGTGAACGTAATGGTATCACTCCCTTGGGTGGCCTCTTGGCCAGAATGTACGTCGGTGACAAGGATTATGTAATGAAGAAGTATGACTTGACCAAGATTCGTGAGGTTGAAAATATCGTTGCTGATGCTGTCGAAGTCACTGTCCCATTCAATAACTACATCACCGGTTACTGTGCCTTCACTCACAAGGCTGGTATTCATGCCAAGGCTATTCTCAATAACCCATCCACTTACGAAATCCTAAACCCTCATGACTTTGGTATGACTCGTTATGTTTCTATTGGTCACCGTTTGACTGGCTGGAACGCAGTCAAGAACCGTGTGGAGCAATTGGATTTGAACCTTACTGATGATGACGCCAAGGCAGTGACGGCCAAGATCAAGGAATTGGCTGATGTTCGTCCTCTATCACTAGATGATGTCGATGTCTTGCTTCGTTCCTATCATCAAGCTAAGGAAGATGGTAATCATACTCACTTTTTAAACAAGATTGAAAAACCAGAACACATAGCTTCTTTCTCATCAGAGGCTGCTATTGCATAAGCACATACATCATTTCCCTAGATCTTTTTTCAAAAAAAAAATGCTTTTTTTTTTCGTAGGCTAACTTGTATACACCCATTATATATATTTCTTTTTTCATTTAACTCTTCTTTGTATAATAAATGATATTATTTATTCCTTTTATATTTATTTAGAATGACAGACAGGTTTAAGCAGATTGGGGCAACAAGGATCATGAGCAGCTAAAAGAAAGTTAGAATATGCCCGCTTATAAAATATAATCATCTTACGTTTATAAGTGCAGTTGTTGGCACATTCATCAGGGCATGGAGGCTTGTTTTCGCTTTGACAAGGAGCAAAGCATTGGACGGAAGGGCATATAGCCTTCAGTAGCTTGGGACAACAAGGATCATTAGCACCTAGTGATGATCTGTCAGCTTTTTTTAAGAAACAAAAAATATCAAAAACATACTCTCATAATAGCAATTAGTGCATTCATCGGGACATGGGGGTTTGTTGTCTTTTGGACATGCAACCAAGCATTGAGGATCCCTTTTTGAATGACTCGCTATGGTTAGTTTTTTTCATATTACAAATAACACTGACACTCACTTTGGGAAGCTGCGATCACCAGGACATTTTGGTGGATGAGTAAAAGGACAAGGTAAGTCAGGATATATACAGTTTTTCTTGCATCGCTCAGGGCTGATAAACAAGTTTAGAAATAAAGAAATAGATGGTTGTATTTTTCTTTACCATGGAACAATCATTTGAATACAGATTTCGCCACTGTCTTTTTTAGCTGTTATGGCGGCTTGGGTAGCAACAACAGCAGTTATAGCAAGAATAAACCAATGGATAAACTTCATCTTTGGAATAAAGAAACATAGAAAAATGAAATGAAAGAGGAGCGTATATATATATATATATATTCGTCATATGCGTGTATACAAAAATAGATACCCTCCCTTTTTTCTTTACGTGGCTATTTTTGTATGCTTGTGTTGTTAATGTCTTCTCCCATTTTGTGATCAACATGCATGTTCTCACGCCACTTGTTAGCATTGGCATAAAAAAAAGTTTATTATGTTACAAGAAATTGAGACCAAAGCCGAATTGAAGTTTAGGCAGCAGTAAGTCGCTCGAAGCGTATTTTATAGGAATACAGTAATTTGCTTCAATTCTGGCAATACTGTGATGTAAAATGAGGCCAAAACCAACAGAAGTACGAGGGTTATTAGCCAACTCATTCAAGCTATCCTTAGTTGTCTTGGTCACAATGCTACCAGCATTTGCAAACGCATGGGCCTTGACGGGTGTATGCTCTAGACCGGGAATAGCACTGATCAAGCTGACACCTGCTGCCCAATAAGCTTGGCCACCGAGTGCGTCATCTAGCGCAAATGGTTATTTTTTTAGCCATGTACCTCTGTTACACTTACTTCCATCTCGTTCACCAATGCCACCCGTCTTGAAGCCTCGCACAGACAATGGACCACCCAAATAGAATCTATCCGTCACGGGTGCATCCTTTGACACGTGGGTCATGAGACCAGCTCGAACTGAGGTGCTCAGAGTCAACAAATCTCGTACGATAGGTTGATGATAGGATCCATTCAGTTCATGCTTCACATAGCTCACATCGCCCTTGTCACTCATGCCAGCTACTTCTTGGAACAGGCTCAAGTAGTGACCGTTCATGGGAAGTAATTGATCATCACGTTCATCTCTAACAAATTGATGAGAGAGAGCATGCTTCTGATGAGAACCAGATTGATGACGCACACTAGATCAACAAAGTTTCAGGGCTGGTTAATAAGGTTCTTGTTTTGAGAATTTTATGATGTCTATTTTTTTCTATTTACGTGCTTGATGCCTGTTGAAGTGCTACAATATCCCTATCAGTTAAGGTATAGGCCACTTGGTGTTCACCAAATTTGTTGAATGCCTAAGTTACATGTTGAATCATTCCGTCTTTCTCTTCTTTCTATTTCTCTCAATTCCTATTATCCTACCTTCACGCGAATACCACAAGACTTGGCTGTTTCTTTAAAGGCATTGATCTGGCTATGATCTCGGATGGAGCCATTGACGAAGAGACCGATCTTGATATTGGCGTCACCTCTAAAAGGCGATTCAATTGCTCCCTAGTACAGTTTTTTTTTCTATTTTATTCCACATGTCTATGTCCTATGATGTTTGGTTACCTCAAAGGCAGCTCTAGTACGATTACCAAATGAAAAACTAGTATACGCCTGTTCTGCACCACCAAAAAGGTTGCGCACACCTGCAGTTCCATTCTATCACGAAATGAAACTGTTATGATGTTGTTGTTATTTTCATACAAGACTTACCAATTCAGCTTGGTTGTCACCCACGTTCACTTTGGTATGAAATATGCCCTTTTCCTTTTCCTTTAATCGAAGTGTGATGTCGACCGTGTCAGGCTGTTGATGGTTTGTGTCCAAGTAAATCTTGATTTCCTCAAATACATCATGATTCTGTAACTGAGAGGCCATCTTTTTGACTTGGTTAATCACTTCTTCAGTTGTCTCAGCCTTGAATGCGTTTGAGGTTATACTGTTGAGGAATGAATGACGTGTCTTGGTTGTTCCAACCACGCGAAGTGCGTTTACACGAAGAGGTGCCTCGGGTGGCGCATTCTATAAAAGGTTTGTTTATTGTTCTTCTATTATTCTTCTTTCTCTTTACATTAAACACAGAAGCGTTGCTTGACATTTTAATAAAGGTGACAACAGTTAAGAAATAATGAAAAAAAAATTTGTTACCCCAGCTTTATGATAAAATAGAATAAAAGCCAATAGAAATACATGCTTTAAATATAAACGTCATTTTATGATAAACCACTTAAATCGCGTTCCAAGTGAGGATCAACCTCAACTGGACTCGCAATCAGTTCATTAGCGTATCCAAAGGTACAGTCAGATCCATTAGCCTTTGTTGGCGTGGTTATACTGGTAGATATTAATTTATGATAATAACATGGATTTATAACTTACCTATGTTGGCGTCTTAGCCCTTTCATGTCAATCTTTAAACTATGTTTTCTCGCCTTAAAGTGTTTAACTTCTTCAATAATTGTTTCTTTCATGTCTTCTATTGTATCCAGTGACTCAAATGAAAAGTCAAATAAGGTGGAATGAGAAGGCTAAGATAATGTTGGTCCAAGTCTTTTCTTTTTAATATATCTTTACCTCATCGTTTGGGTCATGGAATAATTCAAAATAAGGATGCTCCAAGGCTTCTTCTACAGTAATTCTTGATGAAGGATCGAACGTCAATAGTTTCTCTAGTAGATCTAACGCTGATTTTTATAAAAAAAGCAAGTTTAATGCAACACATATTGTTCACTGATCTTTATTACCAGTAGGGCTTGCATTAGGATAAAGTTGACTAAGTGGTATTTTTTGGAATTTTTCCAAGCTTTTGATATATATCTGTGCCTGTATGCAGTATTATATCAACTATCCTAATGGTCAACACCATCATTTATTTACCCTTTCACTTCCCACTCGACTAAGTGTAGCGTCGTCAGGAGTCCCAAGGACATACAGTATCTGATTTAGTTGATCTACGACTATATACCAGTTTAAATCAATCAATCACGTATACACAATCTACTCACAATGTCTTCCCTTAAATAGTGGCTTTCCTCCAAGCAATTCAGCAAACACACACCCCACAGACCACATGTCAACTAGAAAAAAAAAAAGGGATGTCAACAAGCGATTACAAATAAAACTGACTTACTAGCTTTTGTATAGCTCTTGAAACCCAACATGATCTCTGGTGCCCTATACCATCGAGTGGCAACATACTCTGTCATAAACCCTGCATCAGTCTGTCCACTTGAAGGATCAATGTAGCCACGAGCTAACCCAAAATCGCAAATCTAAAAATAAACGTGTTATGGAGAGCAGACCCAGCGAGTTCTATAAATAATATCGTTACCTTTAATTCACACCTTGTGTTGACAAGTAAATTGCCTAATTTAGATAATTTAAGTATGATTCGCTGCAGTAACAAGTGTTGGACATACTTGGTTTCAAATCTCGATGTAAGACCTATGTTTTTGCTAAAGTTACTAAATCCGATCTGTGGATGATAATGCCTATTGCTTACATTGGCACTGTGGATGTATTTGAGTCCACAGCAAGCTTGGTAGATGAAGCTTTGAAAATGTTCATCTGTCAACGGCTGACGAGACTGAATGATTTGGTGAAGATCTGCTTCCATAAGTTCCTGATAGAGATAACTGTTGTTCTAGAGAGTCAATGGGCGTGTTTATGTGCATATGGATCATGGCTGATAATTGTATCTTACATTTCATTAAAGTTGTTATAGTCAACAATGTCTATATCATATAATCCAATGATCTATGTTCAAATCCATAAATATATCTTCTATATATCCACATATATATATTTATTATATGTCAAAGGTGTGTCTATGTACATTTTTATGTCCATTAAAATGTTCCAATAGCTTTACTTCTCGTAAGGCCCTTTTTGTCAATATTGGTCTTTCAAATAATTTGTTGATCTTGACAAGTGATTAGCTTAAGAAGTCTTTTTCCTTTTTGTGTACCTTTTTGATAGCACAGGACACACCTGTCTTTGTATTTACAGCAGCACTAAGTAGTTCTATGAGTTGTCATGGAAACATCATGTATCATTCTATCTATACCATACTATGCCGTATGCACCCTTTCCGATTTCTCTTTCAAAAGCATATTTTTCATATACTTCAAAAGATTGACCGTAACAAGGCAAACTATGGTACTTCATCCAAAAAGAAAGAAAAGTAAAGAAAAAGGAGAAGAAAATGGTCACTGAATCATTTTATACACAGACTTTACCAAATCTTGTTCCTAAAAGAAACACATTCTAGCAGTAACAATAGTATCGTAGTTCTAAATATCCCAATACAAATTTCTCTTTTCTTTCTCCATAATAAAGAGTCTAAATCGTTGTCATCGACTTGATGTTCTTTTCCAATTAATAATCCAACAAACACAACACTTTACCTCTGACGAGAAGGTCAGTTTTGGATACTACAAGACAATGTTCGGTCTGTTGACAGTGATGAAGATGTTTACAGAAAAAGTGGGAATATGCTTCCCTTGATCATCTCAAGAAGTTAAAGTTGCATTTCGTTCATGCTCACAGCAAGTTGCTTTGTACAATAGAAAAGTGTAATGAATGTATGACCTGCTATAAGGTAAAAGCAGCGGACCTTGATGTCGGTTGTGGGCACCGAAAGATTCGAAAGAAGCGCATCTGGCGTTGTTATCCCTGGTCTCACAGTAACAAAAGTAGGAACTAGTTTATCTTATATGGATAATGCACCTATCCATAAGCTAGAAAAAGTTGTTGAAGAAGTAAATAGGAGAGGCAGTAAAATAATATACCTTTCATCTTACTCGCCTTTCTTAAAACCTATTGAAGGGCTTTGAGTCAAGCTGAAGTCGCTCGTACGAAGATCCTTAATAACAAATCGCACGATAAATTGATTGCAAAAGTGCCACTCTTCAGGATTGTCAAGGATGAGTTAGGCATCCTGGATTTTTTTTTTTTTTTGAAGTTGCTTAAATAAAGGAGTGCTTCTTTAATTGAATGTTGTCAAGAGCTAAAAATAATGCCATTGTGACTTGTCGCATTGACTGATAAAATGTAACATTGTGTAAATCAAAGCTTTTTTTTACTTTGCTTTATTTTTATGCGTTTCAAAGCTTCTGCTAATAATCCTGTTGGTCTGTACAGTAAGTTGTAAGCATATTGCAATTATAAACAAGCTTTTAAATTTGCTATTAGAGATTGCTCAAACCTTGGAGAAACTTGGTCCAACTGTGATCATGGCAATGTCAATAGAAACAATCATGTTTATTCGACACAGAGATCATGACGCTGGAATTCAAGCATGGATGTAAATAGATTGTATTTACACATATACATATATATCTTTGCTGATTAACTATATCTTGTAGAAAACTACAGCCAGTAAGAAAGCACTATAGAACACGCATATACAGTATAGCTTATTATTCCTATAGCAATCACTTTTTACAAATTATAGAATTGAAAGTGCCAACAATAATGAAATCAATCTATTCTTTCGTGTGAGCGACTTGCTTTACATTAGCAAAGTCGCGCAGCAAGCAACCAACATCATGATCAACCTGAGATTAAGAGACGGTCAGCCTTATCTCAACTGGAAAATGACGTTACAAGTAAATCAGAAACAATAGTAAATTCATCTGTATCTAACCTTTTATATGAACATAGGATCGAAATGGATCCTCTATGGAATCTGTTCAGGAATTAGGAGTCAGCCTTATCTCTCCAGACAGGATGGTGTACATCAAAGAGCCAAGAACCTTGGGCATTCCACACGTAAAGAAAAAGAAAAAGAAAAAGAGATGAATTGACTATTTAATAGATAAAGGGGGGAAATGAAAACCAATATTTTTTAGACCTATATCCTACTGCCTAATGTATCTACACTTAAACCCGTAGCAGAGAGACTAAAATCACTTTCAAAATATCTCACATTATCTGCCAACATGAACGGTGTCTTTAAGGTGACAATCGAAACAGTAAACTGTGAATGTGAGGCGATATTTGAAGGATTAGAGAACCCTCAGCTAGAAGGACAGCAGCCAAATGAGGATGTAAATGAATTTGCTCATGTACGTATTGCGAGTGACGACTTTGTAAGCTTTTTAAACTGTTATCACTTGGATCCCCAAAACGTGGTTTGTTCGATTACAGACGATCTACAGCTTGTATTCTATGTTTATATGATCATTGATACATATCAAGCACATGAAGCGCCTATTCGCCCTATTCATTCACCACAGACCATCATGACCTGTCATGTTCCTGCTTATTATGAATAAAAAAAAGCGGATGCTGAATTTATATTTCCACGTTTTTCCTTTTTTTGACGACGTCCTCTTCCTTTTTTTTTGGACTGAATATATACCCCTCCTCTCCTTCATTATCTTCATCATGTGTAAACATATTCTTAATGCTCAAGTAAAAGGACTTGCAAGAGTCAAGATGAACAAGACTGACTGATCTATTAGGTTTCTATTCGAGCACCTTGTTGTAAAAAATGGTTTGACTGTGCCGAATGTCATGCTGCAGTTTCAGATCATCCCTTGAGAAAAACAAATGAAATGGTATTTGCTTGTAAAAAGTGCAAGAAGGCTTTTCGTAAAGACATGACGTAAGTAGCTTATACATTAATGACATTTATAACATACTGATGATGTTTTACAAAAGTGATTATGAAGATGAAGATGAATACTGTCCACACTGTGACAACCATTATGTACTAGATGCTGTCACACCTGAGGCCACATTGGGTATTGAAACGGAAGATATTCGTGTAGATAATAGGTAACAGAATACATACTAATGTGTAACTACATGCTTAAAATAATTCCAATAGAGTAATCAGGGATGATCGTGTTAGATCCAAACAAGGGCCCACGAGTATCTTTGATGTTGATGCATCTAATATATTGGGTTAAACATAACTGGGTTATACAAACAAGAGAACATTTTAGAAATAAAAAGGGCATAGTCTATTTCTTTTCTTTCTTTTTTTTCTTCTTCTTTGTAGAAATGATTTGGCGTGCAATGGATAATCACCAACTGATGGAAAGTAAAAGTCACTTGACGGAACAGAATTCGTTATTCATGAACCTTACACCTGAAATACAAAAGAAGAAGGAGCCAAAGCGACTGACGACAGCTTATAAGGTCAATGGCGTCAATATCCTGAACAGGTATATATCATAGACTGAATCTCACCTGAGACTAAACGTCTACACCCAGAAAAAACCTGGACAGCAAGACGGTGATTGAGAGAATACAGAAACGTAGAGAGAATCATAATTATATCGAAAGACGTAGAAGGAATTATATGAATAACACCATTTGGGAGTTATCCAAAGTGATCCCAAACGCATGTGCTCCTGGTCAGAAGCCGAACAAGGCCAACGTTCTGAAGCTGGCATTGGAACATATTTTGGCAAGTTCACGTTTAGGGTTGCATCCGTCTGGTCTAACATAATCCTTTCCTTTTACAGGATTTACAAGCAGAAAATCAAGCAATCAGGCACCAATTAAGACATTATCAACCCTTTCTCCACGATCATACAGATACACAAATGAATATAAATACTAATTTGGACGTATTACATTGCTCAAGTGCAACAAACAGTATTCATAGTAACAATAGTAGTCAAAGTAACAACTATAGTATCCATAGTAACAGCAGCAGTGCAACCAACTCACCATCTGCTCCATCTGAATCCAACTTTCCTTCTATGTCTAAACCCATTCTTCCATTTATAAACTATTATGAAAAACCCTTAAACTATTATTGAAAATTTTTGTATATAATAAATTCATTAGGTTTGCTATATAAGCGTAACATTAAAACCAACCAATAGGAATAATAAAAGCTACGGCGCGCATTCATATCTCCTCTTTTAACTATTTGAGGCAAATACTACTTTTTAAAGCAAAAAAGACCCTAAATAAACATAAAATTTTCATTGTAATACAAATGCTAACAAAAGGCTGCATGTGAAGATATTGCCGTTCTTGACCCAGACGTTGTGTAAAACCTTCAGTTTACTAGAAGGAACTCCTTATTTGGTTAGTATCCGTTGCTAACCATCCCCCTCTCTCTTTTTCTTTTTGTTTGTAAAATAAAATGAGTCTAGATTTGTTTAACCTAAACTAGTACATTTTATGCAAATCTATTTTCTGTACCATGTATCCTATACAACTTACATAGTGGATACACACATATTATAAACACAGAATTAGCAAACCTTCCACAGCATAATAGGATTCACGAACTGTGTCTGGAAGGCAGCAATAGTATTTAGGATGGGATCACAGCATTAGTACATATAAAGAACACCAGGAGTGAAAGTCATTACTGAATAAGACGTCATTATTCAAGTAGCACGACGCAATATGTGTTCAACAGACTTCTACAGAAACGAATGCGTGTAATTCAGTTCAAGGGTGAGAAGCCAGTGCTTTCTATTGTATGTTTAATAAGTCATATCGTGAAAACTTAAAGTATACAGAGGCACTCAGCTCTATCTTCATGCTATGTTCGAGTTTCTCTTCGTCCTTTCTCCTTTGATCTGCTTACCGAGACTTGTTGGGCCAAAGAGCGTAATCCGTAAGGCAATTGTTGCTATCATTGTCATTAGTGCCAAAGTTGAAAGATCCTGGCTTCTTCACATCTTTAATCTCTCTTGATATTTTCTTTAAAAAGATCCGATCTAATTGTTTATCCATTACTACTGCCGATATATTGTTTTTATCATAGTTTCAGTATCCGCCTCTGTGATGAAAATCGAGCTTATCATGTAAATAAATCTTCTTGATCTTGCTGTTTAACACGCTTGAAGTGTCCGTCTCCTGTTATCAGTTACCCCAAATCGAACCATAAAGACGTATAAGCTTTCTAAAGCACCAAAATTTATGCTATTTACGTTTTTATATTGAGCAAAAATTCTACGGAGCTTTGCTGGTAAGCTCTTCAAATTAAATTCGTTTAGTCTATGTTGCCAAGAGTGAATAGTCTAACCGTTTAACCGAAATAAGTTTAATATTTTATGCATTGATGAGTACCGTGATAGATACTGTATAAAGTTCAGACATTGTGCATAGTCTTTAGCTTTTCAAACGAGTGTAATTTGTATTACTTGAACAAGCTGGTTATCTTATAGTTTTCTTATAAGAAGTGCATAGTCAAAATGTACTGGAAGAAGTGTCTGGAAATTGAGATTTTGAGGCATCTATTTATATTCGATATGGGATATGATGAACAAAATGGAATAGAAATTTATTTCTTGTGCCGTCTGCACGTAATGTATAATTAAATAAGACCAACGTTACATTTAGCTTATGAGTATAAGCTTTACAAGGCTTATTTCCCCATCCAACGTGACGACCTGCAGTATTTATAAGCTATTCATTAAACTGCTGCTCATCGTCGAATGTAAGCTTCACTTCTGGTTCAAAATAGTTGGGAAGAAATCTTTGAATATACAAATCATGAAAGCTGTTGCTCATTTTTTTGGAACAGGATGAAAAAGCTTCCCCTATATTTGTAAAGCTTTTTACAAAAAGTGACTGCAAAAATCTTTAGATTTCACACCTCTATATGTTCAGTCTCAGATGATGCGCGATGTCAGACATATGTATAGGTCATCTCTCAATTACTATTTTTTCTTCTCAATTTTACAGTTTTAATTGTCGTCTGTTGGCTCTTATTACTTTAACCAAAGTAGGTTAATCATATTCTCAAAGTCAAATGATATTCATCTCTTTATAGGTTGTCAGCAAGAACATGATTGACTAGGAGGAACTGGATCTTATGGAGCCAGATTCAGACCGACAAAAGAATTTTAAAGGTATGTACAACTGAAAGCATTTTATGGACATTTTCTGAAGAAATTGTTTAGAAATACGTACAATCTGGTATTAACGCAGATGAGGCGAGATATCGAATATTTCACCCTATCAGGAAAACAACCGGAAGTTAGCGTGTTTTACGAGCAGCACATGCAATGTAAGTATCAGCGTCAAATGATATACATCCCAACTTATGTTTACTGTAGATTACCAGCTGCTTACGAGCACAGTGTGTTTTCTATTTCGGAAGCATAGCTAATAACGGACTATGTCCATCCATTTCTGCAAGCCCTTTTTGCTGAATGCAGCCCTCAGACAGTCCCGCATGTATAAGTCAATACGTGCATATAGATGTACGGGTGTCTTTATTAAAGCCTGTGAACTAGTTCTGACAAACTGTTTGGTGACAACATTACAAATAGCACTCGCCCAGACTACAGAGTAGATGTCTATGATGGACCAACCATCGCTTACAGTAATGAAGTAGGCGAGATAAAGACAGCTGGGGCAAGCCGAAACTTAATAAAGAAAGATATCTGCCGCATAGCGTTATACGCAAAAGAACTTGTAGACAGAAGCAATTTGGAAGCAGCAATTGCCTTTCAGACTGTTGGCAAGTGTATTTTATATACTCTTCGATGACGTATCTCAACTTCTAACGTTTTTCAAAAGGACTGAGTATCATTTTTTACGCTGCATCTCTGTCACATAATAGAATATACATTATTTTCAGAAAGAGGTGTCGCGCTGACTTGTCGCTTTTTCGTATAAATTGTATTATAAAATTGCGAAAATGCAACTTTACATTCTGAAAAGGCTGTATTAAGTTGACAACTTGCGAAATACATTCTTTATTAAAAAGAGCTGAATATTATTAAAAAAGACGCGTGCACGTTTTATAGGAGGAGAGATCCTATGGCTGCTATCTATATTAACGTTGTCAGTATAATTTAATGTCGTCAGTGTGATCATTGTTATACTAGTAGCTACTGTAGTTATTATTATAATGTTATTCTCATAAGATACGATAGAGGAATGTAAAGTAGACTGTATGATCTACTGTAAGATGTAAAGTATTAAATTGACTATCTCATCAAACATATCACCCTCCCCCCAGATGGAACATCATCCTTTTCAATAAAGTGGAGTTGAGTTTTATGCAGCTTATGGTATGGTTGCTTGTAATTAACATTTACAGAAACAGTGAAGACTAAAGTACTTCGATATTAACCTTGAGCGTGCACTCTCAAAGCAAAACTGTCCCAATGAATATTTTTAAAATGTGTTCATTTGGCATTATTCTGATGCTTTTCATTAGATGACGGCTGTGAGGAATCAATGGAAACTAAGCTCTGTTAAGTCATTGATAGTAAAATAATTTGCACGTGTTATAGCATCGATTCTCTTTTTGATGTTTGACTGAAATGTCTTGTTCATCAATTACGCCGTTAAAAATCTAGTGGGAGAAAAAGTTACAATGTGAACAAAACACTATGTCGTTAATTATTTAATTTGTTATGTTTACTTCTACGCATATTCGAATTCTCATGTCTCTGTCATTTGACTTTGTCTTACAAAGAATTGGAGTGTGTGTGGAAACGCCCCCCTTATTTTCAAAAATAATCTCAGCTGTCTGGGTCACAATAAGCCACAACCCTTTTTTTTATCTTTGTTCTCCACCTTTAAGTGTGCGTCTGTGTGTGTGCATATTTCTTTTTCCAAAGAGATGACATCGTTTGCAAATTTATTAAGAAATTCACGACTTGCGACTTTTAATAGGTCAATTGACCAAGTATACACAGCACCTTCACATTGTAAACAGATTGGTGACTGGGGCTTAAAACGCAGCTTACCCACTGTCATCCGCACGCCTTACTTGACAGTTCAACAACTTGATACAGCCGAACATCAAACACCATGGCGATCAGGCAGTTCTCAAGTATTATTTATTAAACGCTGGAAAGAGAATTTCCCTAATTCAAAGAAACCAGCACCTCGATCTGATCAAGACAAGTACAACATTGTAAAGATGACCCCTGCCGAATTTAAACGGTTCCTTCAACAATGCGCCAAACGAGCACCCGAGTTCAGACAGCTACTAGAACAAAAAAAGATGGTCCCCGAACAAGTATTTGATTACCTTCAGGTCGCATTCAAAGATAGTCCGGGCGATGCTGTTGTGGGTCCCTTGTATTCAGACTATGAGCAGGCCGAACCTGTCGTCGTCCAGGGACGTATTCTAAATGCAGCAAAACGTAACGGTCATGTCGTGGGTGTGGGTGGTATCACTGCCTTGTTGCCAAAGCGTCATACAGTCTACATGCGTCAGTTGGGTGATCGTCGGGTACGTACCTTTTATGTTGAAGAAGCATCGATCGATGAGGAAGGTAGACCGAGAGTAGTCCTGTCGGCTGCTCCTAAAGATGCTCATGCACATGCTATTACGATCGAGGAAGTGGATGAGACTGCAAAGGAGATGTTCTTGACAAGTAGGCCACCAGCACAGAAAATCATGAGTGATGATCATATAGAGGCGAACCCAAATCATGACTTAATCATGCGTAGAATTATCAATTTAATGGGTAATGCTGAAAATGATAATAAAGATTAAATAGTTAAAACAAACGAGTTCCATCGTCCAGCTGAGCAATCAATCGCCTTTTGATTCACAGACGTGCACTGACGAAAGTAGGCATCATATCCTTCGATAACTGATCGACCGAGTTGACCATATTTGTCTTGTGTAAAAGCAAGAAATGAGAAAAAAAAAAAAAGACATGTATAAAACGTGTGTTTTGAATAACTTACTGCTTCCACAAGACCATACTCTACCTTGGTCTATCTCAAATGAGCTCTTTGTTTAAAGAATACACATAACCAAACTTACCATCCAGTACTAGTGTATGGCATGATCCACAGACAGCCTTGACCGCATTCACTTCGACAGGTTCACCCTGATCATCTAAAAAAACGGCTAGATCCACAATACTATCACTATCTCCTGAACCCAGTCTGCCATCTTTTGATAACCCAAATGTGTACACATCTCCATCAATAATGACAACCGAATGAAATGGTCCGCACGCGAGCGATACTCGATCAAAATAAAGCCCTGAAAAATGATCAATCATCTGCGGTTCTTGTTGTTGTTCCTGATATGGCTCAGTTCCCAGTTGAGAGAATCGGTTTGACCCAATACCGTAGATGCCTTCATCGGTCAGACAGAGCACATGTTGACTCGATCCACAAATAGCTCTGACTTTGGGCAAACCAACAATCGGTTGTTGATCTTGACACAATACTCCCTGTGTACTCAAGACAAAGATCGATCCTTGGCTCCAACAGGCGTCTTGTACATCAGTCCAGTCGTGTCTCTTGCCAGAAGGAGTGATGGTGGTGGAAGTATTGGTATAGGTTATGATACCCATGCACTCATTAGGATCACCAAAGATGGACTGAATCAAATGAGCATTATTCAATAATGGTGTTATATAGTCAGGTTGATATCCCCACACGACAATCTCATCTTTTAAACTATTAAATTACTGCTTATTGTTGTCTTTATTGTTACCATTCACGACAACAATGGCTGTCTCCCAAGAAGTGAATAATATTCTTGTAATGTTTGTTTCTTGTCTAATTTGTTCAAAACCATTGAATCCAAAGGATAAAAGTGCCATTAAAAAATAAAGAAAAAGAAATCACGTGTGATAAATTGAGTTTATTTTAATCCACATTCTTCCACACAGGATTTTCTTCTTCATCTTTATATTGATCATCAAAAGCACCAGCACGATCCTCTTTATCAAACTGAGACACATCGACTGATACATCGCCTTCATCCATATAACTAGCATCGGACATAGCCAAAGTCTTGTCTTGCTCAAACAATTGACGACCTAGATAATAGTCAGTAACAGATCTTTATATATTTGCATATTTTTACCTGTCAGTTTTCCCTTTAGTTCCTTTGCCTTTTGTGCTCTTGCTACAGCATCCTTTTCTGCTATTTCTGCGTCAAACTTCTTTTTCCAATCCAAAAAGCTATCTCTTGTCACTTTGGTGCCTACAAATTTAGCTTGTTCTGCTTCTTCTTCTTTACGTTTCTTTTCCTTGACCAGTTCTTCTTCAGCTCTCTTGACGTCCAAAACGATATTATCTAGTTCTTCCTTGATGATCATCACCAAAGAGAAAACCATGGCCATACCGATCGATTCTTCAGCCTAATATAAATGTATACATGATTTAGCAAGTTTAGATACATATAAAACAACATACAGCCTGTTTGACAGATTGTTCTATTCTCGAAAGATATGATTCTGGCACTTGACCCTGAATAATTTCAATTTCATATTCTGGTAATTCGTCCGGGTAATTGGGTGTATATATCACATGCAATGAAAGTGCGCCTTTTGGATGTTTAATTAGCTGTTCCACATTAATAAACATTTGAGAGGGGGCTTACGTGGATTCTCTAGGTCTTGTTCTTCGGGATATATAGATATTCTAAATTCTGTCTCACTTATACCTATAATAAGAGTAAGTAATATGTTGGCTAATAAAGCATTGTACCTTCGAATTCATCTGGATAAATAGACTGAAGTGCTTCAATTTCATTCTTTTGTTCTTCTAAATAATCTGTCATTTTCTAAAAAAAATAATAGTAAAGAAGTGAAAACTTCTGAAGCGCGTCACAGTAAAAGAACACAAGAGACAACCTTATTTCATTGGCCGCATAACAGAATTGGAGATTGCAGCAGTGTAAAAGGCTGTATAATCCAGAAAATTTTTTCCGTTTTTTTTTTTTTTCTTTCTTTATCTTCATAAAATGAAGTTGAATAACGTCACTAGTTCAGAACTGGAATGGATATCTCAAATGGATGTGGATGTCGAGTGTTCACATACGCGAAAGACGAGTATTATTGGCACTATTGGTAATAAATGTATATATGCATGAATACATACATTATCTTATCTTTAATATAGGACCAAAGACAAACAGTGTCGAAATGATCACTCAGCTTCGAAACGCAGGGTTAAACGTTGTGCGTATGAACTTTTCTCATGGATCATATGAGGTAATAAAGAGCAAACCATACAGAGTAAAGACTAAATAGATCATCAGTATCATCAATCTGTTATCGATAATACGCGCAAGAGTTTTCAATGTAAGCCAAAAAAAAAAAATACTAACCAGAAAAATATACTCATGTTACCCCAAATTAGTATATCCCGGTAGAGCCACTGCCATTGCTCTTGACACAAAGGGACCCGAGATCCGTACTGGTTTGATGAAAGATAACATCGATATTCCCATCAAGGCAGGTCATGAGTTTATCTTGAGTACAGATGAACAGTATAAGGAAAACTGTGACGACAAAGTCATGTACATTGACTACAAGAATTTGCCTCAAGTGATCCAAGTCGATAAACTTGTCTATGTTGATGACGGTATTCTATCTCTTCAAGTCAAGGAAGTCCTTCCGGATGGTGTTCGTGTCGTTGCCTTAAACAACGGTACACTCTCTTCTCGTAAAGGTGTCAATTTGCCAGGAACCGATGTTGATTTGCCTGCGTTATCAGAAAAGGATAAAGCTGATCTCAGATTTGGTGTTCAAAACAAGGTTGATATGATCTTTGCTTCTTTCATTCGTCGTGGACAGGACATCAAGGATATTCGACAAGTCTTGGGTGATGAAGGCAAGGCGATCAAGATCATTGCCAAGATTGAAAATCATCAAGGTGTAGCCAACTTTGATGAGATTCTCGAACAAACTGATGGAGTCATGATTGCTCGTGGTGTAAGACTTGAAAAGGCAAAGGAGTATACATTATCTAATTCTTATTGATGATAGGATATGGGTATCGAAATTCCTTTAGAAAGGGTTTTTATCGCTCAAAAAATGATGATTGCAAAGTGTAATTTGGCTGGTAAGCCTGTTATCTGGTAAGTGTGCATACATATTCGGATGACAAGATGCTTATTCAATGTGAAAAAAAAAAGTGCAACACAAATGCTCGAATCAATGACTGTAAGTGTGCCATCATGTCCTTATCTCATCCGCTCATCTGTAACATATAGTATAACCCTCGTCCAACACGTGCTGAAGTATCTGACGTGGCCAACGCTGTCTTGGACGGAGCTGACTGTGTGATGCTCTCAGGTGAGACTGCCAAGGGTTCATATCCAATTGAAGCAGTTCAAATGATGCATCAAACCTGTCTATTGGCCGAATCGTTCATTTGTTATCCTCGTCTCTTCAACGAAATCCGTTCCTTGACTCCTTTACCCACAAGCACAACCGAAACAATCGCCTGTGCAGCCGTAAATGCAGCACACGAACAAGGAGCCAAGGCTATCATTGTCTTGACGACATCAGGAAAATCTGCAGGATTGATTTCCAAGTATAGACCCAGTGTGCCCATCATCGTAGTCACTCGTAATCCACAAACAGCTCGTCAAGTCCACTTGCACCGTGGATGCTTCCCCTTCCATTATCCAAAGGCTTCATCCAAGGAAGCCTCAGCTCTCAGTGCTTCATATAGCACAGATTATCTTAGTCCCTTAAACCTTGCTCCATGGCAAGATGATGTTGATGCTAGAATTAAATGGGGTAAGTGAATATAAAAAAAGAAAAACATGCTCTAATGTCTTTTGTGTTAGGTATGGAGCAAGCCATCAAGTATGGGTAAGTACATCATATGTTGTAAAGCTCTTGTTTCTCATCTACTTTTTACTAGGTTGGTCGGACATAATGAGTCAGTTGTAGCTATTCAAGGATGGAGAGGTGGATTAGGCAATACAAACACACTACGTATGCTTATGACTCCTTAATTCAATGTAATAAAGAAAAAGAAAAAAAGAGAAAAAGACACCCTTTATATTGCATGTGTGACCGTCTAAAATCGAAAGGACATATTCATCCAGGGCCTTTATATTTCTTTTTTTATTTTTTATTTTGTTCTTATTGTTCTTATGCCTTTACCATTTGGTTTAAAAGCTCCTTCAAAAGGCACACTTATTTTCAGTGGCATTGCTGGTGCGCTCAGTGGAATCATTTACACAAGTAATAAAAATGCAGAAGAATCAAGACGAAAAGTAGCTCAACGTGTTGCTCACCTTGCTGATCGTCCTTGTGGTGTTCATGTAAGAAAAAAGAAAAACAAGAACAAAAGGAACTCACGAATAAGATAGGAAATGCCTAGAAAAGTAACAATTTACATTTCTGCACCACCAGGTGATGGACTTGAAAAGAGTCGAACTTGGTTTAGAGAATATGTCAAAGTAAGAGAATTAGCTTTATGTTGACATGAGGATATTGACATGTTTTGAATAGCCTGTTCTAGTTGCAGGTGCAGTAGATTATGAAGTAAAAGAAGCCAAGGAACCAGGTCAGATTGAGAAGTCGGTTATGGAAGCCATTATCGAACAACGCCGTAAGGCTGAATCATCCATTATGGAAGTAGATGAACAACAACAACAACAACAAGTAGCGAATCCATTTATCGCACCCAATGTTAAAGAGATGATCAGTCAACAATCAAAAAAGAGAAAAGAGACAGATGGTATTCTGGCTATTGGACGAAACGCATATAGAGAAGTATTGAGTGGATTAGCCAAGGGATGTGAAGCTAGTCTCGAACAGAAAATAGAAGAAGAAAATGAAAAAGAGAAGCCTGTTGAGATGGAACAACAAGGTCAAGAGGAACTGATAAGTGAAGACATTCAACAAGTCAATAACGAAGTACAAGACGAAGTACGTTTCTCACTGCCACCCAAGTTTGAGCCTGTGATGTATATTCCACATTTCAATATTATTGGATGGTCCAATATTCCATACAGACTTTATATGTGGTATGCGGATTATAAGCGTATTGAAGAAGTAGGTAAATATACAATTGCAGCAGTCTTGAACCAGACGCGACCGATGGAACCAAGAGATGCAGATAAAGGACAAGAAGAAAAGAAATATTGGATTGGAGATGAAAAAGTAGAAGAATTAAAAAAGAATGATGAACCTATTGTTATTGATGAACGAATTATGGACAAACTTACAACTTATACCAGTGATGAATTGCCTTGAAAATAAAGCATAAAACATATAGACAAAGATTATTTTACTATTTGTTTTATTTTGATGACATAGAAAAGTATATATACAACGCATAAAAAATATATTAATTTGTCTTGTTTATGTGCCCCCTTTCTTTCTTTTCCTATTTTCCCTTATTTTTTTCCTTTTTTTGTTTTTTGTTTTCTCTTTATATATTTATATGCCATTCGAAGATCAACAGTTGAGTATAAGAGTAACTCCTTTTACTGATTCCGGACGAACATTAGTATTTCCAGTGATTGAATGTACTCTGGAAGAGGATCATATCATTAGAGTAGGAAGATATGCAAGTAACAAAAGACAGTCTTCTTCCTTTTGGCCCTTTAGGTCAAAGGTAGTTAGTCGACACCATGCTGAGATATGTACAAAACAAGGACGAGTAAGTTTTATGATAGATGATTTTGAAAGGGAGCTTTATTAAACTGCACAGGTCTATATCCGAGATACCCGATCTTCTTCAGGAACTTTTTTAAATAACAAGCGACTTTGCTCAGCAGGAGAATGTTCAGAACTATTTGAATTAAAAAATAATGATATTGTTCAATTAGGCATAGATTATCAAGGCGGAACAGAAGGTAATATTAACAAGATGGAATACTTTATCTAATGTGATGTAGAGCATTTTCGTTGTGTGAGAATGCGTATTCAATTGATAAAACCCAAGGCTTCTGTGGATAATTTTAAGTAAAATACAAATATTACATAATATATATTTTATTAAACAATACCAGTTTAAAGGCACATGAGTCACTTCAAAATTTGACGACAAGAATACAGACAGAGGATATTCATGTTGATGAATGTTGTATATGCTTATATGCTATAGCACCCTTCCAAGCATTATTTGTAGCACCATGTTCACACAAGTTTCATTACAAGTGCACACGTCCATTGTTGAATAATCATCCTGCGTTTACTTGTCCACTTTGTCGTCATTATTCTGAATTGAATGCTGATGTGTCTGTGGATGTAGAAGAAGTAAGAGGGTCTCATTATTATCAAAGTTATTTAACAATAAAGTTTAGGTCAAAGCCATGTTGAAATCACTAAAGGAGTCTTGAGAGAGATAAAATAAATATTTATGATGACGTTTAATATGTGTGTAGATCATCTTTTATTCTCTGCTAACCCATGTGTTTACAATTAGAGTGAGGCTGTTTCATATTAAATCTTGGGAGATCAGGGGGAGTCAAGATAGAAGAATAGTGGGCAAAGATAGGCCAAGAGTGAGAGAATTGTTGTTATATAAAGAATAAATGCCTCATCTTTTTTTTTTCTTTTTTCTTCTTCTTTAATGACATCCTTTCTTTCCAACAAGCTATTTAAAAAGACAAAGCATAACACAAAAGTACGCTGGTTATCTTTTTGTAAATCCTCTTCTTATCCATTCCAAGAAATGTCATTTCAAGATAAAGACATACGTGCATTTGAAAAATCATTTCAAATAGCAGCTGACGAGGTTAGTCTATACTATTTATAATATATTATATATTTATTATCATCATTAGATGGTTTATGCTATTGAATCGCAAGGTTCGATTTATTATCGAGGTGACTTTTTGGCTGCATCAGAAGCAGTTCATCTTTGCATTGACCAATTTCATGATCTACTACACTCTTTAAAGCCAGATAAATCACATATATTTCAATTGAAATGGTCTGAACCTTTGTTTAAACTTAGGTCTCGACTAGATTCTTTACCTTCGCCTAAAGACAAGGATAACTAGTGTCAATATAAAATGTTGTAAATAGAGAGTATGTACAATAAAGATGATATCACTGTAAGAATAGATGATCTCATAACCAAGGACATCAATATATATTTTATCATGTTTCATTATTGTTTAATGTTGTTCTTTATCTTTAATTGATTGGTTGAAATGATTCACTCTTATAAAGTGAAATAATGATAACCATAGACACTTTAGCATCCTTCTCCCCCTTTTTCCTAATTCAAACTCCAACATTAACCCTTTTCCTGTGTCTGTCTGTCTCTCTTACTTATTTTTTATTCACCGCATTTTTTTTTTTTTCATTTTTTTTTTTTTTTTTTACTTTGTAAATAATAAAGCTCATGTCTAATAGAGAAGGTTGGTGATCACTTCGGCTATCTTATTAACCTTCCTTTAAAAATAACACAACAATAAAAAAGATTCTAGAAGAAACAGATACAACACGTCAAGTAAAAAGAATCGATATAATGACATTAAAGAAAGGTAAATCAATATTCAAAGCTTCTTGTTCTTTACTCATCTTTTCACAAGACCATCCAAATATCATTCACGATACTATACACGCTCTGCTAGTCCCAAGAAATATTATTATGACGATTCACCCCGATCGAGTTCATCTAGGTCTTTGCTTTCAGGTGATGAAATAGAAGGAGATGAAGAAGATCGAAAAGACTATTGTAAAGGTGGATATCATCCTGTACGCGTAGGAGAAAGATATAAAGATGGACAATATGTTGTCTTGAGGAAACTCGGGTGGGGTCATTTTTCAACTGTTTGGCTTGTTCAGGATCAAGAGTAAGAGAGAGAAAAAAATATTAGAATAGGAGGCTTGACTCTTTTTTTTTGGGGTTATAGGACAGGCAACCACTTTGCGATGAAAGTAGTAAAGTCAGCAAAACATTATACAGAGACGGCTAGAGATGAGATCAAGCTACTCGAACGAGTTGCTGAAGCAGATCCTACCTGTGTGGGTGCTCAATATGTGACAGCCATCGTCGATCACTTTATGGTGCAGGGGCCCAATGGGCACCATGTCTGTATGACTTTTGAGGTACTTGGAGAGAACTTATTGTCGTTGATCAAGAAATACAAGAATAGGGGTGTTCCTATCAAGATCGTCAAGCAAATATCCAAACAGGCCCTCCTCGGCCTTGACTATTTGCACAGGAAATGTCGTATCATTCATACCGATCTGAAGCCTGAAAACGTCTTGATGTATATTGAAAATGCTGAAGAGATGCTTAGGAAGTTGAGTTCAAGACCAGATTCGGTAGAGTCAAAGGAAGAGCCTTATAATGATCATAGTAGAGGAAGAAGCCCTGCTCGTAAGTATCGGTCCGTCAAGATGGTGCCCTCTCAACCCTTGTCGTCGGCTGAGGGCAGTTCAAGCAGAGGACGCAGGTCAGATATGTCTAGGTAAGTCATATAGAATGATGAGAAAATATACATATTCAACATGCACATAGATCACGTTCCAACAGTCAAGAAGCTCAGGACTCTGTTAAGGTCAAGATTGCAGATTTAGGTAATGCCTGTTGGGTAGATCATCACTTTACAGAAGACATACAGACACGACAATATCGATCACCCGAGGTTATTATTGGAGGCAAATGGGATGCTGGAGCAGATATGTGGAGTTTGGCTTGTATGGTAAGTTGTTTTCTTTCTTTTAAGGAAGAATTGGTATCAACTTGTGAAATAGATATTTGAATTACTCACAGGAAGCTACCTGTTTGATCCGCGAAGGGGTAAAGGATACAGTCGTGATGATGGTAAGTTGCAAAAAGGAATAAGGAAACAAGGTGTGTCTTATATGATTTATATAGATCATCTCGCGCAAATGATTGAATTGATGGGACCCATGCCAAAAGAATTTGCTCTATCAGGCAAGCATTCTTCCGAGTTCTTCACTCATAAAGGTGCGCTTCGACATATTCACAGATTAAAGTATTGGTCACTGGAAGACGTATTACATGATAAATATGGATACCGTCGAACGGAGGCTGAGGAGATTGCGAGCTTTTTAAATCCGATGCTGGCTTATGAACATAGGGCTACTGCATATGAATTAGTGAACCATCCATGGTTGCATGATGTCGAACCTATTCTACCTGAAGAGCATGCTGATAAACAGAAATGGAACAAAGATTACCCCTGGAGGGATTGGGCAAGAGAAAGAGACATGAAAAGAAGACGTTAGGAATATATTTATAATAAATACATGTAGTTTTTTATTTTTTATTACTATTATTAAACATTATTTATTTTTAAATGAAAACTATTTATAATTGAGGTTTGTTGGATGATGAGGACATGTTGGGCACAGTGTTTGTTGTCAGTTGTACACTGGCTATACTAGGCGATTTCTTGCGGGACTTTTTACGTAATGACATCTTCAAAGTACGAGAAAGACTTTCTGCTCGAGACATACTTGCATTTTCAAACGCATATGAATGAAATGGAGTAGGGTTCCCTGGTGACCCTTCAATCACAGAATTTTTTATCGAAAACGCACGACTCACGGGCGATAACGCTGGGATGGCTGGTAAGCTGGCAATACTAGCCGCAGTGTTCTGTCGCGATAGAGTAGGTGAAATATCATGGTCACTATATGTCGATCTTCTCTGGCTCGTAAATGAGCTTGATTTCGAACCTGGCTTATCTTGGGGCTTCTTTTCTTTAAGCTGTTTGATTTCTTCTGCAAAGTTCTTGTGGAAAACTATATGAATTCAGTCAGTTTCTGTTCTGGTAAATGTAATTTTTTATGCTTACACTCTGTCAACGTAGCATGGAACGGTTTCATCTCGGAGCTGACCAGTTTGCTGTGAGTTCCCAAACACTGTTCGATAATGCGTACCTGATAAAAGAAGTTAGCTTACTTCTCTTTTTTTTTTATTATTATTATCCTTATTACCTGATCATAAATGGCAGCTTGAAGCCTTTCAATCCATGGGTGCATCTCGGGGTGTTTGTTCCAGTATTCTTTACTAAGGAACGCCTTCTTGTATAAAGGAACACCACCATTGACAGGAGCATCAACCGCGCCATTCAACGACATTGAGAATGGATTGATGTTTACTGGCTGAGTGATGGAAGAGGATCTGCGCGTGTTCAAATAGGCAGCGTATTTCTTTTCTAATGAGGCTAATTCTACATTCTTATCTTCCATCGTTTTGACAGCATTCTCTATAGGTGAAACTTCCTTTGCATGAATCGAGATAATACGGGACCTTCTGACAATGGTAGGAAACTGATCTTCGCAAACAAAATCGATCTTTTCCGTCCACAGATTCAAAAAGTCAGATTCAGGCTGCTTGTCATCATCAGACTTGGCTGTTTCCTTGATGATGGGATGAGTGAAAGAGAATCGGGAAACCGAGTTGAACGAGTAGTACTTTTTGACGCTTTCGGGTGCATGTGGGTTGGTCAGACAGGCAATTGAATCTGCATTAGGAATAGGCACAACAGGTGTGATCTGAAGGTACTGACCATCAAGCGATGTTTCGAGTTCCTTGAGCTGATCTTCATTCAATGTAGCCGCATTGGATAGTTTGCTGGGCAGTAATTGAGCATTCGGATGACGATTCTGCATTCGCTCCACAAAGGATGACATCTTTTCCCATTCAAGGCCACGGTAGATGTACTGTTGATTGCGACTGCTTGGTGGAAACCCACGACCATAGAAGCCAACACGAAAGTACTCTGTAAAACAGCGATCCTTTTTCACAACATGTTCAACTAAAGTAGCCTGGCGTTGAAGTATTTCAGAGAGCTTGTTGTAATCATAGATGTTGTTTTCGTATTCATACGCAAGCTCTTTGCACAACTCTACACACAGTTCCCACGCATTTCCTTGCTCAAGATAGGATATCATCTTCATGTACAGTGCTTCCTTTCTGCTAAACGAACTTTGGGCAGGCAAAAAGAGTTCGGGTACTTCTTCCAGCTTGTCCGTTGGGTCCCAGTGAAGAAGGTCTGCATGGAAACGAAGGGTGAGGGCAGCTTCAATATAGTTGCGACTGTCGAGATGTAGCTGTACAAGTTGGTGTACGTACTTGATGTAAATCTCTTCTCGTTCAATCACTTGAATGAATTTCATCAACTTTAATGTCGCCGTAATACGTTCGTCCATAAACTCGTTGTCAGCGGGCAGGCTCCTAATTTGAAGCAAGAGTCCTAAGAACTTGCAGAGGGAATCGACCGATTTCTTTCCGATGGGTATCAGATCTGGTCGTTCATCTGCCTTGAGTCGGTATTCTACAGCATAATCAAGCTCTACAGCCATCTTGCTTTGTATCTGCTCGTCACCTTTATTTTCAGACATGATGAGGCGATCCAGAGTGCTGATCAGTAAGTGCTGAACATGAATCAAGTGGCCGTACGAGTACAGTTCGATAGCAATGATATCAGCAATCACTGAGAAAGCATTGAGGCGTACACGGTCATGGAGCGTCAGACTAACAGAACACATCGGACTGAGTATGTGATAGGAGAGATCAGCCTGGAGAAAGGAGATATCCGTCTTGATATAGTCATCAAAGCTCTCTTCTTCATGGATCGCTGACAGAGGAACTTCATCTGTGGGTCCAATTCTGATACTATGTCGATAATGCGGTTCCTCTTCCGTTCTTCTTGTGGGATCATCAGAAAAGTGACCATGTTCATTTGAAAAGAAGCTCGTGCCGCTAAGGACAGACGACGTAAAATCACCACCAAAGTAGTCGTTCGTCAACGGGATCACTGGCTTGCTATTCCTATTCTGTTGTTGCTCTTCTCCCTCCTGAGGCACCATACGTTTCTCTAAGATCTTTTGTTTCCTTGCAAGTTCCCAAAGGGATAAGAATGTCTTTGCACCCACTTCTCCACGCATATTTCCTGCTATTTTCCAAACCGCTCGTTGCACCTGAGGTGTCAGTTGAGCCACCTCGAGCGCTGGACTGCCAACAACCCGTAAGAAGCCGACAAAATAAACTCGCCAGAGCAAAAGAGTTGATCGCTGCTCGCCAATAGATCGCTGATCTGTTGCTTCCTCAAACTCATCATGGGTGGCATAAGCAGCTTCAGCGGGAATAAATGATGGCAGTTCCAAGATGTCCTTGATGGGCTCAAGAATATGAACAAGTACAATTTGATGAGCAATGATGTTCAAGTTAAGCCAATCCCTTGGGATCTTTCGTGTCTCTCGTGTTCCATCGTCCTCGCTACGGGTCATGCAATCTGTCAACAAACTTGTTTCTTCAAGTAACATCAAGTTGTCACCAAACAAGATAGCCATACAGGTATAAATAACCTTGCGCAAGAACTCGGCTGTTTCTTCAATGCCCTCTTGTTCAATCATCTTTTTCATAAAGTTCAACCACTGCTGCTTGGGTGTCAAGTAAAAGAGTTCTAGCAAGACAACCGTAAGATCCAGCAGACCAGTGCTGATCAGTGCTGCGCATTCGATGTTTGCACCTTGATCGGTCCCATTTGTCTTTGGCTGGAGCGGATACGTACTAGGGAAGGGCGAGGTTGGTGAAGAGTTGAGAGCTTGTAAGACAACCGTAAATTTCGATTTGTCAGCACTGTTGATAGTAGCCTGTCGAAGCGTACTGCTAGTGACACTAGAAGTATTTGTTGCTTCTTGAATATCCGCACCAGGGTTTTTGCTGGTGATTGATCCGCCTCTTTCTCTTTTTACACTGAATGACTGTCTTGAGTGCGGTCTAGAGTTCGGCGACGACTCGTGTGAGGCAGATGGTATATTAGATACATGCAGTGCCTGGATCGTCAGGCGCTGAATATCCTTGTATGCATTCAAAAGCTGAGGCACGAGTTCCAAAGCTGCATCTGTGATGACAACAAGATCATGGTGTGAACTCTCGGGTGAAGCTGAAATCACGTCCTCGTCACCATGACTGGTAGCAAAGGATGTTGGTCGAGAAGGGTAAGTGGATGATGGCGACGTGACGACCGTAAAGATACCAGACGAAGTCATGCCGATCGATCTTCTGACTTTCTCTAATACTTCGCTCATAATCGTGACTGACAGTCTCAAGTTTTCGATCCATTGTGCCCTTGGTAATCTCGTCTGTTGATGATCAACATCAGATTGCTGCTGCTCAATCTGTCGTGCGAATATCACGTCCTTTGCCGTTGTCATGTATGAATTGAGCCACAGGCGGATCCAGCGAAAGACATTCTTGGTAAGCTCCAAGCGGCAACTAGGATCGTTGAAGATCGGACCCTTCACAATGTTCAGAATCATCCCCAATTTAAACCCGACGAGGCGTCCCGTGACGTGCGAGCAGGCGTCAATGAAGCCGATGGCAAGAGAGTTGATCTGTTGTGAAGAAAAGATTTGGTGAAGCTCAACAAGGATATCAGCAAAATGTTGAAGTGCTAAGGTCTGTGTACCAATCATGGTATTAGGCTGATCTGGATCCATGATGGATTGAATGCTCTTTAGTAAATTGTGCACGCCTTCCTTGTACATCTTGTCAACCACCTGACGTTCGTCTGGGTCCTCCTTTTGCTGCTGACACAACCTTGATCGTACGATGAATCTAAAAAGGTAGTCCCAGACTTTCATGCTACTACGAAGCAGTTTGGCCTTTGCCGCATCGCCTGGATTTTCACACAGCCTTTGGAGGCCCTTGAGCAGTTCATCGTATGTCGTCTCGTTGGCGGGCAAATAACTGTAGTTTTGGAGGCTTGAGCTTTGCTGTCGGTATTCTTGAACAGAAAACCTATTTTCTATATAAACATCCAGCACAGGTCTAAAGTTACTGAACCGTCGATCTTGAACAATGCCCAGTAACCAGATGATCGCTGCCAAGACCTGATCGTTTATCTCGCTCACTCTCTTTTCAGTCACAGTCGGCTCATGTTGGTAAACGAGTATATCAAATAGTGCGTCAAATATGTCGCCCAGAAACTTGACAACTTCTACTTCACCAATAAACGTCAGTTCATCCAAAACGGTCATCAGCTCTGCGTTTCCATCGACTCCATCTTCAATCAGCGAACGCCAGTTCAAGAGTTTGACAAGAGTCTTGTTTTGCGTGAATTGGGTAGAACATAAGAAGGTGGATAACGTAATTGTATCACGCAGCATAGAGACCTTTCCAGCCGTTGTCTGTTGCTGTGTCACTGTCGATCCAGATCCAATCGAACTGACTTCGTTCAGGCTTGAGCTACTTGCAAATGCATTTGATGCGATAGATCCTGCCATGCTCTTGAAACTGTTGTTCGAAGGCGAGTTGTGATGATCGAGTCTGGTATGACCATACGGTGACCGTGCCTTGATTCCATGATCTGTCTGCATATTGGAAGGTGCAGTGGACCGGACGAGCCAGGAGACGTTGTCGAGGTACCCCCTGGGGTTAGCCGATACACGATCGTACTTGTACAGATGCAGGGTATGCACTCCGTCTGCAATAAAGTCGCGGTGAAGAGGTGGTAAAAAGAGCGGGAGGAATCCCATTGCAATGATCTTTTCTCCTCCTCCAGAATAAGGAGAGGCGCCAGACTGGTTTTGTGTTTGTGGACCGTTATAGTGGCTACTTCGATGCTTGACTGTCAGATAGATATGTGAACGCTCCCATTGGTGGAGATCGTTCATGTTGATCTTGACTGTCTCGTTCCACGTCGGCCTTAGTTCGTGATAAAAGACCATGCTCTCCCAGTAGGTTACAGGGCGTGCACCGGCCCCTGCAGATATGGCGTTTTCAATGATATCGCCCGTCCGGTTGTCCCTGACGCACATCGTCACCTGAATGTTTCTTGATCTGCCAAATTGAGCTAGGTCGCCCGAGGTCAGCGTCACATAGAGTTCGTTTCGCGTGTCATCGGGAAAGACGGCGTCTGCAAATCCAAGTCTTAATGTGTGTGGAATACCATGTAAGAGAGCAGTATTCGTCTTGAGCACCTCGTCCAAGAAGCCATAGAACGTGCGCAGTGACACTCGAATCATCTCAGCCTTGGGATTCTTTGTAAACTCTTTGGCATTGTTGAAAATGATATCTTCATGAAGCGTGGCATAGCCTGATTCAGATGTTGGTATGAATATGGGCATGCTGTGATCGAGCAGGGAAGGCTGTTGTGCCGCAGGTGCAGCTGACGAAATGGTCGCGGGATCAAACTGAAGAAGGAGAGAGCTTAGCTTGAGGACAGCGCAGCCAAAGGGGCGTCTGCACATGTTGATTGTTGAGTTTGTATTGGGTAGCTTTTGAAAGGACTGATGCTTGTTTCCATGTAAGATGAAAGGTGTATGTGAACTAATACTGCCAAAATACTCCTTGTCTGTGAATTTCATACCTCCTAATCGAACAATATGACAAACAAGATAGACATTATCGAGTAAATCATGTGTACATAGATCCACAAAAAGAGTCTGTAGCCTTCCAATCTGACTCTCATCTTTTGGCATGCCTTGATGGTTCAAGATGACGACAAATCGCTCGGTAAGGTACTTCTTTTCTGAAGCTGAGTAGAGTGCAAAATAAAGCTCGGTATATTCTCCAGGCTGACAAATGTGAGCTACGCAGGCCTTAAACTCAAAATACAAGTGGTAAAACTTGGCACCCTTTTGACTATGTTTTTCGGGTAAGGTTGTTGTTGGCGTTGTCGCAGCTGTACTGTTAGTTGTCGTCGTTGTGGCTGAAGAAGTAACGGAATTGATCGTGCTAAGGGTTACCGCACTAGCGTTAATCATGGCATTATCTTGTTTTAGTGAAGAACTTGAGCTACTTTTTGGCAATAGAGGAGGCATCGATTTGGCTGTGGTCGATGTAGTTGTAGTCACAGCAAATTTCCAATGCATTTTGTAAATAGTGCTCAAGGAAGTGTTTGCTGCGTCTAATAGATAACCCTTTTCAGGGTGACGGATGATCATGTCTTGATTCTGCTCCAAATTGCTAATGACCATACGATAGACTATACCTTTCCGAAGCTTTGAGAGCTCCTCTCTGGATAAGGCTTGGTCTAGCAATTGTCTTCTAGCCTGAAATAAATAATTGATATTGTCCTTGACGATATGAAAGGCATTATAATCTCTTTGCTTTATATATGTGTACAGTAAACTATTCCATTCACTCACACAAGCTGCGATTTCATCTACCAATGGTTCTGAACTTCCCGTGATGGTCGACTGATCGAATCTGGCGAGTGGTAGTGGTGGTGGGGGTATACGAGCATGATTTGGCTTTTTAAAATCAGGTGCTTGGTATTCCAAATTAAGATCACTGAAGCTACCTGGCCGTGGCGGTGTTACATTGTCTGTGATAATATTTAAACTCTGTTTTGTTGACTGAATATAGGATTCTGAAAATGATCTCGGTAAACCATTTGGAATTTCAATCATCGTAGGTGGTCTACTACTTGGTTGTTCGTCAGCATGAGGTTTGAATGGTAGGATGTCAGCTTCGTCTGAACCAATGTCAATATACTCCTTGATTTGGACATGAGAACGAGGAAAACAACCGATCGGTGCGTTATTTGGCTTTTTACCCTCTTCGTATGCGCATAATACGTAACCTCTGTACCATTGACCTTGTTGCTCAATAATGAATAATTCGTCACCTACTTCAAGTGGTATCAAGTGACTATAGTCCTCTATGTTGGCTGAGGCAGGTTGATCTGTAATATTTGAAGATGAGGAAGTGACTGTCGAGGCGTCGTCAATCACTGAATTGGTTGTTGATACGTTGCTAGTTGAATAAGGTCTTATAGGTAATAAAGTAGAGGGAGTGAATGGATAAATAGCAATGCCATGCGCTATCTTCGGTAGTGGTAACCACTTCATAACTATTCAAATATAAATAATTTAATTGGCTGTTCATTGTATTATATGTGCTTATACCGTTTCAATAAAAGGACAATGAATATATAATAAGGACAATTGATCAAGACACACACAAAAGAAAAAAAAGAAAAAAAAAAAAAAGAATAAAGAATAAATAATAAAGAAAAGTGCAGGTTTTATTTGCTGACTTTAAAGACAAGTCTTTTTGTTCAACATGTAAAAGTTGACTGTTTCATCAAATTTAACTTGATTGATTTTCTTTTGCCATTTAATAGCTGGTATTAATTCGACTCTAAACTTACTTAAAGCCTCGGTCATAAATTTATCTTGTGCTGCTTGATTTCTAACTTCACTAATACAAATAATCGTCGTCTTCTCATTTGATAAATAATACATCGTTTCTACTAAATCAATAGCACTCGCTTCTGAGTAAATGCAATCACAAGCCAAGATATAATCAATATCCCCAGTTGATTTAATATAATCCATTTCTTGCTTATTATTCCATAACAAGGGTTCTATCACAATCGTATTCTCATTGGCCTGGTTCTTTCTTCTACCACTAATAGACTTGACAGATATCTGATTGGCTTCTACATTTCTTTCCATCGTATCCACCAACTCTCCAATATCTGTCATCGTTACGTCTTCAATACCGAGCTTATGTAACATTATACCAAGTAACCCAATACCAGACCCCAGCTCAACCCATCGCTTAGAGGAGTCCAAATTGATCAAACCACGTCTATCCTTCTTTTTCTTTAACCTTTCCAAATAAGAGCAAAATATGATAGAACTTAACCAAATGTATCCACCCAAGTAGTTCGAATGAGGGTCTTGTACTAACACAATGTCATAAGAACCAATATGAATTGTCAGCGTGTCAGCCGATTGAAGTTCCCAACGATCTAATTTATGAATCTCTCGTTTAAATGGTTGACCATCTTCCCAACCTTCAATTGTAGCAATGGGTGGCTCCTCTTCTTCAATTCTTTTGCCTTTTACCATGGGCGAAATGTACTGGTTTGTCGTTCATAAAACAAAGGGAAAATTGTCTGTCTTTTAAAAATATATTCTTTATAATAGAGAAGAAAAAAAAAAAGACTTGCCTTTAACACTTTCTCAAACAAGAGAAAAAATGAACGCGTACGCGCGAAAAGCTATGTCTATAGATTTATCAAAGAAGCCCAAAGGAAGCTTGTTACTTAAAATGGACTAGACCATATAATGTACAGAAGGAGAAGCCCTGAACTTTCCTATGGTAACACAGTAAACGTGGTAAGACAGTTTCCATGGTGATGAAAGGAACAATAAAATAAATTGATTTCTATAATGCACACTTGTGATCATTTGCCTATTTTAGAAGCTTTCGATCCATCTTATCCTTCTTTTTTTTTGCCTCATCTTGACTTGCAAGATGGTAAATAAGTTTTGGTTTTCTGTGGTCCAATAGTATCAAAGGGAATATTCTTTACTGCATCACGGTGATCATCCAGGGAACTTATTTTTTTTTTTTTTTGCAGAAAATTTCCGATAACCAAACAAGAACACAGCCACTTTTTTCTTCTTGCAGTGTTCACTTTTTGCAACTAATTAATAAGGACTTTGTCACAAAACATCAAGACTGTCCTTCATTCCTTGTGCAAATGTGTGTCTATATGTATTCAACCCATGATTTTGAGCATTTGAACAAGCAACTTGTAATTAATCAAAAGAGAAGTGTTAAAAACGATATACATGTAGACATAAAAATATAGCCAAATGAGGAATAAGAAGAAAAATAAGTAAACAGGTTCCTACTTGCACCAGAACACAACGTAAACTTAACAGCAGACCCATACTTTTTTTTTTTTTCATGACTCACAGTGAGTAGCCATAAAGTGCTTGCCACGATTCATTCGATCAAGAAACAATACTTGTGATATCAACCATTAAGAGAGAGAGTGTGTGTTATATGTTGATAATTAAGATCAATAAAAGTGACAAACAAGGCCAGGAAAGGCTAAAGGACGGGTTAATGCTGGTGCGTAAAGTTTATTTGCGCAAACAGAAAAAGATGAAAACAGCACCCAAATTTAGCCTTTAGGCTTGTTCATATATGTGCCACTTTGTGTTCCCATTTATTTTAATTGTGAAAGACTTTTCGCATTTTGCTTTTCTTTCTTCTTTTTCTCTTTTCTTTCTAAAATGGCGATGTATAACAACTCAAATTGGGATCAATTTGATCGACTTATATCAGAGGCTTCGAAGCTTAGTTTACTAGACGATGTAAGGAAAAGGAACTACTTAAGAGAAAAAGAATTAATGATTTTATAAGCTTGAACAAGAAAACTATAGAAGGGAATGCATAAGCGATACGGCTTCTATAGACGAATCGAAATGTCCTGGACTGTCTAGAAACTCTACTGTATCTTCCACCAGTACTGCGTCTTCTTCACTATACAAACGTACACTATCAATTAGTAGCAACGTTTCAAGAAATAGCAGCTTAGATTATCATCGATGGCAATCACCATACAAAGAACTTTCCTCTCCGCCATTGACACCTAAATCATTTTACAGCAGTTATTATCAAGCACCAACAAAAGAGCCCAGTCTAATAGAACCAGCAGGCTGTTTTATATCTTGTAAAAGAGAGACAGCCATTGTAGGATCATATGAGAGATTTCATCATTTTGTAGTTCCTGTTTATGCAATGGTAAAAATAAAAGCAAGATATATTTTATATGCATTAAGTATTCTTTACTTTCAAGGCAGGAGAAAGTCATACAAACACAATACAATTGCTATTCAATTACACAAACACCTGCGCAGTAATGTATTGGATGTCCGAATATTTATGCATTAGGACTAAATACCTACAATAGACTTACCAAGGCGATGAAAAGTCATTGACATGGTCGATAGATCAAAACCAATCATTGATAACACTAATACAGTACGTTTATGAGCCTGCAAAGGCTATACCTCAACCTTATCTTGCAGACAATGTGAGAAAGAGACTTGGCTTGACTTCAACACTAGTCATTGTACCTTCTGATGCCATGTAGGTTGTATCGTTTCATTATATATAATACTCATATTCTTAAAAGACATTCTCTCTATACCCTCTTTGACAACTTATCACAATCTATCGAGCAAACTCATATATCGTCTTGTTCCTGGTGGAGCAGAGTCATCCTGGTGATTGACCAAAAGAAATTTCAAAGTGATAGCAGTGTCTATGCGGAACGTAAACTATTTCTAGCCCAAGAAATGCCCAACATCATGCGACGATACAACTTACAAGACCCACTTTCGGTCTTGTTTATCAGTGCATCCACACTACAAGATGTAACAGACACAGCACAAGGAGAACAATATAGACTACACTGCCAGCGTACTCTTTGGCATATGATCGAACGACATTCTCGTTGTAATCGATATACCACATTAAATATACCCCGTGATACAGAAGAACAAGGTGATGATGATGATGATGATGATGATGCCAGCAGTTGTAGTAGTGATGAAGCTTATGCTTTTGCTACTGTCATTCATTATGAAAATGGTGTCCGAAAGAAACCACAAAAGACGTATGCTCAGAGATTTTCATACCAAACTCAAAAACCAAACAGTTATCCTGATAGTGATTAATATATATATATATAGAATATAATGTAAACTATAGTTTATTTGACTAGAACACTAATGAATAAAAAAATAACGCCTTATCCATTTTATACTTGCCGAGGCGTTAAGGAATGCATTGCCGTTATGGATAGCGCATTAAATCCAGGAGTACCGTTGGTCTTTTGTAGGTCTTTCGAAGAGGGGAAGGGCTTTCATTGATATGCTTTGATTTGTAAACAAAGATACTATATATTTTTAATGCACTGCTCACATCGCGATTCTACACCGTATCTTGATCCTCGAGGGCCAATGTATTTGAGAGTATGAAAGCCTTGTTTTGATAAAGTTTTGAACAGCATTAATATCCTTTTTATCAATAATTCCTAGTCTGCTTATTATTTTCATAGTCTTGTTGGAATTGATAGCGATCAAGATGTTTTTAATGATCTGTACTTGCTTGTGCTCAATTTCTTGACAAAAGGAAGCTCTTGTAACTTTCGATAGACATAACTGCTTGATGCTTTGCCTTGAGGTTTCATTTCTTGAATAAGCTTCTTTTGTTTCATTTCCTTCTGTATAAAGTGTGATTATTTTATTTAACGTTGAGGTTTGGCATACAGATTAGCTTCACTTGGTACATCAGCATCACTGGAAGCATTGTACGTTGACTAGAAAGTAAGAAAGCTACTGACAATGGTTTCATACCGTTCAACTCGGCCTACAGTGGATGACCAGACAGACTTAGGATTTATAAGACATTAAGGATATGTCTGAGAGTTCGATCTTCATAAGTAGGGCATACGTAACATGAACCTGGCTGATAGGCTGAAAATGCTGCCCAAAGTTATGTCCTTGATCAAGGCCATCATTTCTATTGTTGCTTCTCAAGATAAGGGCTATATCACGGAAACTTCTATCGCTATATACGATAGGAATGACTGCAACAACTTCTTCCATTGTTGACAAGTTGTCAATGCGTTTATCATCTTTTTGATTAGCCTCGTTTTCATCGTCTGATTCATCTGATGAATTGCTCTTCCCGATACTTCTCACAGGCCCTCGACATCCCGTCACCGCCATCCTACGTTGATACTGGACAACAATTAGGAGCGCCACTACGCTAAGCTCATTCTCTTGGAGTTACTTTTCATGCAACCCCCTTTTGAAGAAGAGGAGTGTCAACCCGCACAACTTTTTTCCGTATTTCAACTTTCCTCATCACTCTCAGTCAGTTCAAACTTGCATCTGGATAAGCCATAGCAGGAATCGATCACCTAGGTCTCCTTTTCCACAATCTGGGACAAGGGACTGTAGTTGACAGTGTTTTTGGAAGCGATGTGGTTTGTATTGGCCGTTGCAACACAGGCATTCATGTAGAAGGCCATGTGGTTTACGGCTCCCAGTTTGTTGAGCCCCATGCTAGCATTATTGTTCCACCAGAACATGTTCCAAGTCTCAGTTTGCTTCTGTCAAACGTCCTCACTTTTTTCTGTCTAATTTTGGCCCTTTGTCTGTATCTCCTGATGCCCGTTCCATTGATACTACCAAGCCCTCACCATGTTCTGCCACTGTTTCACCTGCAAAAACTGACACAGTTCTGCCCGTCGTCTTAAAACTTCACCTTCATCTTTGTGCCTACTCCTCTCTCACCTCCTACCCTGGAGAGAAATATCTCTGATCCAATGCAAGTTGTTCCCACTACACCTTGAATTCTAATACCTTTGGTTGTTTGTGGCTCAATTATCTTTATTTAGTTTATTTTATAAAAGAGTTTAATACTCTAAACTTGATGTAAAATAATGAATAGAGAAACAAGATTAACTCAATAACGTGAGGACTTTATTTACACACGCACATTGAATCTATCATTTGTTGTTCTGACTTGACGACGATGGGTCAGAAAAAGAAGAGAATCCCAAAGGTTGATTGAACTCCGGAGGAAACAAGCTGGTAGAAAAATCCAAGGGGCTGCTTATTAGTCCACCATATAACCCTGGATCACGAGGTTGATCTTGTATTGTGAAGGGAAGTGTCCAATCAGTATTATTCAATGCTAGTGCAGGTCCCTGGCTTGATAGATTTGGAACATGCGATGATTGCTGTTGCTGCTGCTGTTGTTGTTGTTGAAAAAAAAAAGGCGGTGGTGATGAATGAAAAAGTTCAGGTGTCGACTGTCCAACACTGGAGGCTGGATCTCGTTGTCTTTTGATCATATTTGCGTGAATTGTATACAGATCTCGTATCATAAAATACAATCTATCGGCCATAGCCCAATAATTTCTAGCAGACTATGTGTTTATAGGGTTAGTAGACTGATATCGTCAGTAAAATAATCTTGTTACCAATAGAATCTGAAAGTAAATACCCAACGATTGTCTCGCTTCTTCTGCTTCACTTGACTTGGGTGAAAATGAATTACTCACAATCACAGTTGCGACAGTATAAACTAGATAAGTCAAATAAGGTGGCATCATATCTCGGCGGTCACCGATCCTCTTGATCAAAGCAGTAACGTTGTTGACTGAGTTCAAACATTTCCTAACGCTATTCATAACATAAGCTTTTAGTTCAGGCAGAACAACTTCATTATCAATTGTGTCGGCAATGATAAGCGAGGGTCGATGCAATAGGACGATGATTGTGTTATGAAGTACATGTAGCTAATGTCAAGTTAGCATAAATAATGAAGAAAATAAAACACGTACCATAATGAACAGACCCTGTTGAGATGTTTGTGCATAGAAATCATGATTTGCTGATGTGTTCTTTAGTCCTTCTGGTAAATCATTGTACCAATCATCAATCATCTTGTTCAGTTGGTACACTTCTGAATGAGGCTGATATGGATGTGGAGAAATATCTTTACATTTTTTATTTACAAATGCTGTCACTTTTCCCAAGATATTCGATGCTCGTGTAAAATAAGCAAGAAGTTCCAGTGGCATCTTGCTGTTTAAACTCTGACGCTCATCTGGACTACTAAAGCTTCCCAATAGCATACTTTTTGTAGCTTCTGGGATATTTAGATGTAATTGTTGACTACCATCCAATGTCTCTGTGTAATACTGACTTACACCGCAGGATGTACATATCTTGGCAGGTAAAAAAGCTGTACAGAATGTATCTTGTAGAGTGGATGGTCTACCCGTGGCAGCGCTTGAAAATCTATATATATAATAAATCTTCTTTTCCCCTTTTTCAATTTCCTTGTCTTACTTGTCCATTGCGAAAACGGTCCAAAATGCTCTACGTGCGAGTTCCTGTTCAAACAGCTTGTCTAGAGTTGCATTGCCGTCTGTTTGTGTATTCTCATGAAGCCCCAGTTCCATTGACATACGAATGGCCATACCCACATACATCCAACACCTACAAAGTGTTAGTTATGTACATTTATTTTGGTGTTTCTTTTACCTTGGGCCTCTTCCACACCCATATTCATGTAGGGATAACAATGAAATACCTTGTAGGTTCGACAGACAAGGCTCGTCCATTACTTTGATAAGCATCTGTCTCGCCCTTTCCGCATACCGTTCCCCCGCGCGCCACGGAGGATTTTGTTTGATATCGGGCCGCTCTGAAAATCTTTTTCAAAATATATGAGTCAAAGCTCTCTTTCTCTATTAACCCCTTTTTGGTATGTCCTACCTCGCACATGCTGCTGACAAACAAAAGAGTAAGAATTCCGAGCATTTGCCTTCATGAATATCTCTTCTAAACGTCGTTTCATTCATGATGGGACAAAATGGGTGAATATGAGTAAAGAATAGATCTGCAAAATGTTCAAGAATGCTGATAGGTGGTAATCCGTTATTACTATCATCTGAAGAAGAAGAAGAAGAGTATTGGGGTAAAAGCATAGAAGGTGAAGGAAAACTGGACACACTTGAAAATGACGCGGGTGAAGTGGGAAGCTGTTGTTGTTGCTGTTGCTGTTGCTGTTGTTGCTGTTGTTGTTGTTGATCTACAGAATTCTTGTTTGGCCTACCTCTCTTGACACGTGGCTGTTCTTTTTCCTCTTGTTCTTCTGTTTGTTGAGCAGAGTCTGACGATAACAATATCTTTTCCATTTTAGCTAGTCTTTGTTCAAGCATTTCTATATATCCTTGACGTGGTCCTCTCTTTTTGACATGAGTACTGTAAGTGCACTCGTTATTCAGCCGTGCACAATTTCCACATTGAGGCTTTATACCATCGCACCTGATCTATATTTTATTGAATTATTCACTTGCTGCGGAGAGAAAATAAGATAGATACCTTTTTCCTTCTGCATAACTCGCATGCTTGAGTCAATCGTTTTCTTTTATTTTCATTGTCTCCCATTGTTATTTATAGACAACAAACGTCGTCAACACAAGCAAGTGAATAAATTAAATTAAAAAAAGAAAGAGAGAAAGACTTGTGAGTAACATCTCAAAGTGAAAAAGATAGTGAAACCAAATTTTACTAACCGCACTTTTGACATTGCGGGAACTTCGGACTTGTTAATCTTTATCCTTCCTCCCCCATGATGACTTTTTCAAGAGAAAAAGAGAGAGAATGATAGCAAAAGGGAGAGAGGTTTATTATCGTCACATGCCGTATTTTCTTTTTCACTCTTTTTTTTTGTAATTATGACCGATAAGTTCTTGAGCGCCGAGCACCCCCATTTGGAAAGGAGAGTGAAAGGTCAAAGAGGGTCTGGTCAAGGTACTCTTCAATTGCACCAGTCTGCCCATTCATCCGATACGATCTTGCCAATCTCTTGATCCCTTGAATAAGACCTGGTGTACAGACAAAATCATGCAGCTTAATCTCTTTAATCTGTTTCAATCCTCCAAAGAAATCCGTCAGGGCTTCTTCACTATCGACTCTATCTACTACTGGTGGTTTCCATCCTGTGAGTGAGAGGTACTCGAGGTTCCTGGTACATGGTATCATGCAGAGACGCCAGACGTTAGCCGTAAACGAACTGCAGCGATTAAGTGTGAGCGTTGTGAGGCGGATTTGACTGGTCAGCACCTTATATTTCATCAGCAAGTCTTGTTCAACGCTTGTACGTGACGATACCAGTCGTCCGGAATACAACCGAATGAGTGATTCTTCAAAATCATAGACATTCAACAGTTGAAGTGATTTCAGACAAGGTGGGAATATCGGCGCTATCACGTTTCGATTGTGCATGAATGGCATCATGGGTCCTCCGAGGTTACAGGGTCGGTCGAAATGAAGCCGGATATCTTCTAGTTCGAGCAAGTGTGAAAAGATGGACAGATGAATCGTACATCGATCGTCATCTCGTCGTATGTTGTCGCATATCAGTACTTTGACATGATTAAAGAGTTTGGTGATTTTGGAAATATCGTCTATGTACAAGTCAATCAAGTGGATCTTTTTGAGTTGTTTGAATGCAGATAGCCTCGGTAATGTACCGGGCATCATTTTTTGATGTAAAGAAGAGGATGATATTGTAAGTGATTGGATATAAGAGAGCTGAAGGCTAGTTCTATACGGTCGACAGAGTGTCTTTAAATGCTGGTTGAATTCATGTAACTGATAATAGGTATCTTTCCACTAAATAAAAAAAGTGGTTGGATTTACAGACAGATAAAAGCATATAGTTACTTACCAAATGCGGCTGTAGAATGGTTCTTCTCCATCGTCGACAGACGCTTGCTAATGTGGTGAGTGTTTTGGCATCGTTATATTGTGCAAATATGATCATCATACAGTCGGGTGGTAGTCTAAAGATGGGAGTGTCGTTGTCTACAAATAGATCATCGTAGTGTATGGGTTGTGAATGGTATTTTTTATTCGTCTTTTTGGATTGAATCGGTTGTGATGCAGAAATGGGTCTAATGTCGTTGTTTATTGATCTTGGTGTCTATTTCATAATGCTATTGGTTAGACCACAATATTACTGTGAGCTTGCTTCATTCATACCACTTGATCAGAACGACTCTTCAAGGGTTTTATAGTCTTGTCATTGACTTTTCTTGTATCAAAAGTACCTCTACTATTGACATTCTTAGCTTGCAGAGGTACTTGTTTAATCGACATGGACTTGTTTAAAAAGAAAGTCCTTTTTACTCAAACGTGTGTGTGTATGTGTGCGCGCAAAAGAGAGGTCACAGGGGACTTGCAAAACAAAAGAAAAGCGCGTCGCTCTTTAAAGACAGTACACAGAACCCTCTACTTTGTCTATCAACATGAATCCTTTTCTCATTTATCATTTCTCTCCCCCTTCCTCTTTTATTTATGTTCCTTCTCTCACTTTTTGTCTCCCTATTCAAAAAAGTGCTCTGCTTGTGTCTATCACTGGTCGATGGTTGTATAGAGGCTATTGTTTTTATTTATTTTTCTCGAGCTCACTCTTTGCCCTTTCCTCTAAATCAACTGCTGCCAGTGTATTACTTGCATTGACAATTTGAACAATGTTGATAAATTGCTTTCCAAAACAAACGGTGCCTGTGACACCAAGAGCAGCCCACCAATATGCTAATTTTATCATTAGCCACACTCATAAAATAAATAGCCCAACTTACCGTTCAAAGGACCAGAGAAACTTAATATATACAACAAGACAAAAAAGAGTTCGTTACCAGCACACATAAGAAACAAGACGATCTACGGAACATTAGTTTACCCGCTTTTAAATAAAGAAAATAATTGGAACACATACATTATTTGTATAATAGATGCGTAAATACCAGCTTTGTCCCTCGCTAATCTTCTTGTGGCTAGAGGATCCTGAAATCATTGAACTATAGATGTATAAGTATACAATATAAAAGAATGCCTACAAAGTGCTTACCTATACATATGCATATAGTGTGAACTAAAATCAAGTGAAATAAGGAATTGAAATATCAATGTCCACTCAGGATATCGAATGGATAGAAAGCACAAGAGACACGTCGTTGTACATCTACATATAATTAAATACCCTTTTTTTTTTAAACCAACTTTACACTATTACCTGTCGGTGACCATATCCAGTACAGCCCCGAACTTACTACCTAACAGATGTCATTTTCAACAATTATTCGACACTATATATATTTATATATTTGATTACATTGACCAAAATAACGGGCAGCATTTCCATCAACAGCGTCCAATAGACAAGAGATGCAGTATAATGGCACGCATACTTTAGGATGTTCAGGCATATAATACAAGGATATAGAAGCCAAAAGAATTCGCGTATATCCTGTTGCAAGTTAGTATGTGTGTATGTAAGCAAGTCTGTTCTTACCAATAAGATTGGGTATAAATAAAAACACATTGTCTTTTGAAGGTGTCATTACTTTTGCTGTGGAAGTCATACTACGAATAAAAGAGATACAAAGAAAGAGAGAAAAAGAGAAAAAAAGAATGAAAAACCGTAGTTTTAGGCTCCGAATATACCAAGACTTTATCATTGTTCCTCCCTTTCTCTTGTACTCTCCTTTCATCTTGTTCTTTAGATAAAATAGTATCACATGACACATTCTTATTGTCGACATTATAAAGAATAGGTATGAAAAGGAACTTTTTGATGACTAAAATGCATTAATAATGACAGCGGAGGGAATGAGCTTAAACCCCAAGGAAAAAAAAAAAAGACACACAATCAGCCTGTCTCTGACTTTATTATTCCAAGCCAATTATTTTCAAGGCAAATGCACTTTCTTTCTCTCTTTCTTCTCTTTATTATTTTAATTTTTTCCAAGGAAAAAAAACTAAAAGGGTTCACATTAAAATCCCGAATCCTTTTTCTTTTCATTTATTCTCAAAATGACTGAAAAGAAAGAAAAGCTCATTCGAGGTCATCGAAAGGATTCAGTTTTATTTACACTATGTGAATTACAGGATTTGAGGGGTATTTCTTTAAATTATGAATACATGTAAATAAATTAACCCCACAAAAGCCCATCAGAGAACATTTGAAGGTGCTTATTGGCGAACAGCACTTGCTGCCTTTTCAACGGGTCTCTTGATATTAAAAGTATTCACTCGAGAGTTTTACAAGATTGGCATCACATTTTTTGTATTTGGAGTAGCCATGTTGGTGATTGCCCTTTGGAGAAGAAGAACCTCATTTGATGTCTTTGATCCGACTATACCATTCAAGACCAGTGGTGACTGGGTTCTTTTAACGACTGTAGTGACGATGTTTGCCTATATTGTCTTACTCGTCTTACTTTGGAACTTGTCATAAATACCAATGAAAACAACTGAATGATCACATTTTCTATCAAACTAACATTACTCCCACGTGGGTTCAATCATGGCTTGAAAATGGGGAAATAAAGAAAGGGCCAATAAAAGACTGATTGTCATGTCTGTGACGTTTTTGATCCAATCAAGAATCAACAATGAAAAAATAGCATAACAAATTCTTGTATTTCTTTTTTTTTACTCTTTTTCTCTCTCTCTCCCTCTTTTTTTCTCTTTTTCTTTTATTTATTCATCATGCAAACAAAGGAATGTCGTATTTCAGATGTTGAAGACACAGATGAAGAGAGCGAATGGGATTATGAAAGCAGTAGTGAGAACGAAGAAGATTACTCTGAAGAATACAATTACTTTGACCCCACCAAGATTACGACATCATTACCTCTCTTGCCTTTCAAAAATCAAGTGGGTGGGCACGCGTCCTTCTTTCGTTTTTCAAAGCGAGCGATATGTAAACCTGTTTCAGCCAGGGAACAAGAGTTTTATGAGCACATTGACTCTCGGCACCATGAATTGTTGCCCTTCACTTCCCAATATATGGGTGTCTTGAACGTGACCTATCGACATAGCAATTCGAATGATATGCTCGTGCCAGAGGTCCTGTTTGAAAAAAATAAGCATCTCTTGCGTGATTGGCGTGCTTGTGCATATAACAAGAAAAATCGTGATATCAAACGACGACACTCTGGATCATGGGATGATGGTTGTCGGAAGCGATTTCAAGAGCAAGTTCTTCGTGAAGTGTTCTCACCCAAGGCTCTCAAGGAACGATTGATCCAAGCTGAAGATTGGAGACGAAAAGTCAAGGCGAATCAACCGGAATTGATGCATAGCTTTTCAGAACATTTTCCATCTAAACAGCAACAACATTATTCCCTTGTTGAGGGTGGCCGATCGATGCCCAACATATCTGGATTCAAACAGGAAAGCTCAATTGATCAAATGACGATTGAGCCCAGACGGCCGTCGATGATCAATTCGACCGGTTCGTCTCCTCGTTTGCAACATAAAAAGAATTTATCAGAGGATGAGAATATCTTTGTGATGGATGATATTTTGATAGAGAAGAAAAAGACTATCGAATCACCCAAGGCGCCTCCGCCCGTTCTTCAGGTTGATTCGTCTTGTCTTCAGCAGATTCAAGTAGATCAGACGACAGACAATCCATGGTCATTACAGATCTATAATCGTGATCTCCAGCGTATAAAGAGTAGAAAACAGTCAAGTGAACAAAAGTATATACTGATTGAGGACCTGACAGATGGAGTCAAGTATCCTTGTGTGCTCGATCTCAAGATGGGTACTCGTCAGTATGGCGTCTATGCGAGTAGAGAAAAGATGAAGAGCCAGACGATAAAGTGTGAAAAGTCAACAAGTAAAGTGTTGGGTGTTCGTGTGTGTGGTATGCAGGTAATCAGAAAACGAGTGAGTTAAAGGCGTGTATCTAATGATCAACTAGGTTTACAAGACGGATACTAATGAATTTATCTATCAAGATAAATATTATGGCCGTACACTCACTCCCTACACCTTTCGTGATACGCTACAAGCCTATCTTGATAATGGACAAGGCTGTCAAATACAACATATACCCGTGATTATACGCAAACTGAGAAGGTTAGCAAGAATAGTGAAGACGATGTCGGACTATCGATTCTATGCATCCTCTTTACTGATGATCTATGATGGAGATCCGACTAGTTCGCGTAAAGTGGATGTAAGGATTATTGACTTTGCTAATTGTGTAACTGTGGATGAAGTTAAATATCATTATAAAGAATTTACTTATCCACCAAGAAATAAAGGTCCAGATAATGGATACCTTTTAGGCTTAAAGACGTTAGCTCTTTGTTTTGAGTGGATCTATAAAGTTCAAGGTGGATCTCCAGATGATTTATATGTAGAAGGTGATGACGTATTTTGTGATATTTTTGAACCTGCAAATGATGAAATACTGGCTACTCTATTACCTCCCCATTAATTGTATTATATTCTTTTATACTCTGTATTTACCCTCTCCCTTCCCTTCCTTTCTTCTTTTGCTGTATAATAACTCTTTTGATACTAATTACTACTATTATTATATACAAAACTGAAAATATATATATCCTATTGCTCTTTATCATTTCTTACTTTTTGGAGTAAACAAGAGCTCGTAGTGCCTCCCTCTTTATATTGAAAAGTATGGTGATACTTTGTCAAAGATGTCCGAGTTATTTGGTTAATTGATGCAATCAGATCAAAATGAATATGCTATGTTTATTCTTGTCATTCTTGATGACTATTAGAAAGTACGTCATTCTTGTAACCTCTTCACGCGTTCTTGCCGTATAGATAATAAAACATGCAAATGTTATTACAGGGCAATTGTACGTGTTAACATGACTTACTGATGTCAACGACAGATCAAGTAATCAACCATCGCCTGACCAGGAAAAGCTATCATATCTACTTATACCTGCTTGCATCATAAGAGCAATTCCAAACGTGATCGTTTTCTTTTGTAATCTTATTCTCAAGGTTAACGAGAATGAGATAGACTATGTGATTCAGTCATATAGGGAGGTAATACAATGCCCATACTTAATAGATCATACCGGTTACTTGGTTGAAGTTGGCTTATTCCAACTTTATCTTTTGAAAAGAAGTCGTGAGTCCTTTAAGTGGGACATGGGTCACTATGGAATTATATTTCTACAGCCAACAATGAACCATTTGAAATGTGTTTGACTTGGATCAAAGCATGATCATACTGAGTATATCGCTGTATGTATGTACCTTTTAACAGTATGCTGACAAGGAGATTGATCAACCATAGGCTGCTTTATAAAAGAGGACACGTAAACTCCTTCTTCTTCTTCTAAACACGATATCCCAGCTTATATATCTGCTTCATCTTATATTTCTTTCAAATACTTGTAGAAATGGCTTTTATGATACTTCTTTATTGCCTAACAAAAGAACAACGCCCTATGAGCAGAATACGAAGCTATCTGTCTATATTTATGTATTGACCATTATTATCATACAGTGTATAAATTATTAACCAATCATTTTTAGGTTTTATGCCTTTTTATTTGTTTTTCTTTTTCTTTTTTCCTTGTTTTCTCGTAATTAAGCAAAAATGGCAACAGCAAAAAGCGCTTCTTATGACTATTTAATCAAACTCTTACTCATTGGTGACTCTGGTAAACGTTCTCTCTCTTATATTTTATACGTTTAAACGCTGACTATTTGTATAAAAGGTGTTGGTAAAAGTTGTTTATTACTTCGTTTCTCAGATGACTCCTTTACACCTTCTTTTATTACAACCATTGGTATTGATTTCAAGATTCGTACTATTGAACTAGATGGAAAGCGTATAAAGTTACAAATATGGGATACAGCAGGTCAAGAACGATTCCGTACAATTACGACAGGCAAGTATTATTTTAAATATGTGTATCGTATACTAAAATGTATATTTTATAGCTTATTATCGTGGAGCTATGGGTATATTACTAGTCTATGACGTTACGGACGAGCGATCCTTTTCAAGTAAAGAAATTTAGATATTACTTTATACGTTATATTGACTTGCTTTATAGACGTTCGAAATTGGTTTTCCAATATTGAACAGCATGCGAGTGAAGGAGTAAACAAGATTTTGATTGGTAACAAATCGGATATGGAAGAGAAGAGGGTAAATACATTCCCCCGTCTTTTTAAAGACAAGATAATAATCATAATTTAGGTGATTTCGACAAAACAAGGTCAAGAATTAGCTAATGAACTTGGTATTCGGTTTATGGAAACAAGTGCAAAGGCTAATATTGGCGTAGAGGAAGCCTTTTTTGACTTGGCAAGGTAAATATAACTCATTTCCTTCCTATACTTGTGCTAAGCTGTATTATTTAGGGATATCAAGAAGAGATTAATTGATACACAACAACAAGCACAACAGACACGTCAAAGAGAAGAAGTCAAGTTAGATACAGGTCATACAACAAAAACCAACAATTCTGGCGGCTGTTGTTAAATTACTTTCTGCTTTCTTTTTTCCTTTTTTTCTTTTTCTTTTTCTTTTCTTCTTCTTTCACAATTATTATTTTAATAAAATGTCAACCACTGTTGGACATAAACACGTCGGATCCGATGTAGAATTGAGCTATTTACGTGATTTATATTTACCCAAGGAAAAGCATTACGTCGAGCATAAAGATAGCACGATTATCTATCGACATATCTCTTCTTTTCCACCTGTAAAACAACTCAGCCCGTCTGAACGAAAACGGATCTTGGTCACGGGTGGAGCCGGTTTTGTTGGAAGTCACCTTGTCGATCGTTTAATGTGGATGGGACATGAAGTAGTTGTTCTTGACAACTTCTTTACAGGAACCAAACGAAATGTTCAACACTGGATTGGCCATCCTCATTTTGAACTAGTTCGTCATGACGTAGTGGACCCTTTCATGGTAGAAGTATCACAAATCTATCACCTGGCTTGTCCTGCTTCTCCACCTCATTATCAATATAATCCAACAAAAACGGTCAAGACGAGTGTCATGGGCACTATCAACATGCTTGGTTTAGCCAAACGTACAAAAGCTCGATTCTTATTGACGTCCACTTCAGGTAATTGTATAAAAAAGGATATATTATTAAATTCTTATCCCGATCAGAGGTTTATGGGGATCCTGAGGAACATCCACAAAAAGAGACTTATTGGGGACATGTGAATCCAATTGGACCAAGAGCATGTTATGATGAAGGCAAACGAATTGCAGAGACGTTGACTTATTCTTATATGAGACAAGAAGGCGTCGATGTCCGTGTTGCACGTATTTTCAAGTAAGGGAGAGAGAGGGAGAGTATTTATACACCTTGATGATGAACCAACATCATCTGTCTTTATTTGCGTAGTACATTTGGACCACGTATGTCACCAGCAGATGGTAGAGTCGTGAGTAACTTTATCATGCAAGCGATCAGAGGAGAGTCATTGACATTGTATGGAGATGGGGAACAGACAAGATCATTTCAATACGTTCATGATTTAGTAGACGGTCTTATCTTATTGATGAATAGTGATTACAGTGATCCAGTCAATTTGGGAAATCCTGATGAATATACCATTAAAGAATTTGCAAATACCATTCGAGAGATGGTGCTTACACCTCCTCTTTCACCTCATAATGTTGATATCAAGATATTACCTGCAGCGGAAGATGATCCAAAGAAGAGGAAGCCTGATATCACGAGAGCTAAGACTTATCTCGGTTGGGAACCCAAGTTCTCTGTCAAGCATGGTTTACAAGAGACTGTTGACTGGTTCAAATCACAAGTGGCCGAAGGGGCTATCTAAGTTTATCACAAATCTATAAGATCGGATAATAAATAATCCGAAATAACTGTATGTAGCACAAAATATACCAGTGTTTTACCCAAAACTGAGTTTTTTTTTTTTTTCATAATCTTTTTCTCTTTCTGCTCAACAGACCCTTAATCGAATAGAGTTCATTGTCATAGCCTATTTCCATATTCTTTCGTACATCGCGCCTTTCCTAAAGAAAAAATAGACCATGCAGCATGCCTTTGAAGGACAAACTCATTGATCCTGCTCTCCTAAATTGAATTTCTACAAATTAGTATTAACAGAAATCCTCACTGCTACATTTCGAATTTTCTCTTCCTGGTACGAGTTATTACAGAGGAACAAATCATAGCCTCACAACAAAGGATTTGAACTGAAGAGGAAAAAAAAAAAAAAAGAAAGAAGTCGAAAGATCCTTGTACAAGTTGCCTTTAGCTTGATTCCCACTGATAAACCAATATTCCTGTTCTCCTCTCGTACTTATTCTGACAGTAGTCAAACTACGCTTTGGGGTAATTCATCTTTTTCCACTGGTATAATGGGTTGAATTATAATTAGACAATTTCTGAAACATAATCAGATTGCTTTGAATAAGATGGTCTATATGACTAAAGGTGCCTTAAAAAGAGCAACTGAGCATTTAATCGATTTCTGCGTTTTGAACAAAAGGAAAGTGGCTCAAACTGGAGAAAGAATACCATAGATCACTGATATCACAGTCAACGAGATCATCGTATGCACAGCTTACACATACTATTACGAATTATCCAAGATAGATTCGAATAATAAGCTTGATCCTGAGATTATGAGTGAAGACTTGCACAGTTCTTTCTCAAATCCATTACCCTACCGATGAGATATACTGAACAGTCATGAAAGCTTTGTCGCTGGATCAAAGTAAAGATATGCCATCCTTAAGTACAAGATATACTTTATGTTTTCATCTCCATATTAAAGCATAATAGTAAGGGTTCTTCTCAATCTAAACCATCGATATCAAGGCAATAAATAACAGAATAAAGCAAACACTAACGGTATATTCACTCTTCCTATTATCCATATTTTCATCACTCTTTATAATTAAGTAATTAAGATGTACTATTCTCTACCAGTTTTCCAACCAACAGATATTTGGAAGCAAATAGACTCTCCTATTATATACACATAACAGTCAATACCCTCGTGTTGATACAGTCATTCTATGCCTTACCCATTCTCTTAGAGACTCCCATTCATCTGATGTTAAATCCTCTAGTTTATCTATTGGCCCCTTTGGATCAACCATCATGTCATCATCAAATGAGTTCTTTGCTAGTCCACGTGAGGCATCATGTCCTGCAAAGCTGGCGTATGGGCCACCTAAAGACAGCAGAGAGTAAGATGCAGACATCAATAAAGAGACAAAGTTCATTTTTATATATACCTGGTCCATAAAAGCTTCTTCCTTGGCTGACATCATAGACGGAACCATTCACAGCGATGAGAATACGCGTATCGTTTTCCCCTGTGAATGGCAGTAAATCGAGAGGGGTATAATTCTTAAAGACATGCACAGTTGGATGTTTGGGTGGAAGATGTCTTAGCTGTCTAGATAATGTAAAGCATCGTACGAGATAAAGTAGAATCTAAATGTGTGTTATTAGGCCTTAAAATAAAAATAAGGAATCAACACCATTTACAGCAAGTAACGCCCAATTGATTGGATTTTCTAAAGAAAAAGGAAAAGAGTTAAGCCATTGAACTTGTTTTTTATATGCAAAAAAAACCTTTTAGTAGTGTGAGATAAGTGGTTACTATTGACATTGAATAACGAAGACAAAACAAGAGACAACTAATAAGGTAGAAAAAGTTGGGTAGGAGTAGGAGAGGCAATCTCTTGCATGAATGGTCGAACCGGACTATTACCGAACATTGAATGAGCGACAAATTAGGGCGAGAAAGAGATCCGCCCAAAATATTAATCCAGCTACTCATGCCCACACATACACACACAGACAACTTACACACTCACAAATGAGGATAATAATATAATCCTCAATCCATCCATCCAGATCCTTTCTCTTTGCACATTATTAAACATGGCAGCAGTTCAAATCTCCAAGAAGAGAAAGGTATGCCAGCAAATAGATGGATGGAAATATCAATCAGACCATGAATTTAACACTTTTTTATAATAGTTTGTAAGTTGAAATTATATAAAACAGTCAATTCCAGTAAATATGAACAATGCAACTCTGTAGGTCGCCGATGGTGTCTTTTACGCTGAATTGAATGAATTCTTCACTCGTGAACTTGCTGAAGATGGTTATGCCGGTGTCGAAGTTCGTGTGACTCCAGCCCGTACAGAGTAATGATTAATGTCAACAGTAAAGACTTGCAAGAGACTAACAAACAACATCCAATAGAATCATCATCCGTGCCACACACACTCAAAACGTTCTTGGTGAAAAGGGTCGTCGTATTCGTGAATTGACTACTCTTGTTCAAAAACGTTTCAAGTTCCCTGAGAATGCTGTCGAACTCTATGCTGAACGTGTTCAAAACCGTGGTCTCTGTGCCATTGCTCAATGTGAATCTGTCAAGTTCAAGCTTCTCAACGGTTTGGCTGTCCGTCGGTAAGTCATTAAAGTGTTGCTATATGTTTTTCAAAATGTTGATTGTTTCTTAGTGCCTGTTATGGTGTCATTCGTTTCGTTATGGAATCTGGTGCCAAGGGTTGTGAAGTCGTTGTCTCTGGTAAGGTCCGTGCTGCTCGTGCCAAGGCTATGAAGTTCGCTGATGGTTTCATGATTCACTCTGGTAACCCTGCCCGTGAATTCATCACAACTGCCGTTCGTCACGTTGATTTGCGTCAAGGTGTCTTGGGTATCAAGGTCAAGATCATGTTGGATAGCGATCCCACTGGTCGTAACGGTCCTAAGCAAACTCTTCCTGATATTGTTACCATTCTTGAACCCAAGGATGAAACCCCCATCGTCGAACCCTCTGCTCAAGATTTCAGACCTGCCCCTGCTGCTGAAGCTCAAGCTTAAAAGAAATGTTTGTACGGTAGACTTTTTTTTTTTGCTCTCTTCATGTTCTCTCTTTCTGGTTTCGCCGCCTTTTTGTTTATACATAATAAAACGAGTATTATATTTATGCAAACTGTGTTCTTTAGCTTAGAAATTCAAAAGGGGAGATTGAGTCGATTTAGTGAAAAATTATTCATATTGCAAGATTCGCTAAATTTGCGCCATTATTACAATATCAATGGCAATATTAATGAAACGAAGGAGGACGTGGCTATAGATGTTGTAAGTTAGACATAATATATTATACATTTTGCAGTAAAGTTAAAACAGCACACTCGTCTGAACAAGGCTTATATACGACATCGCATTGAATCACGTAATAAGGAGCGACGCAATCTTCGTGTATTAGAGACTGTACATAGATGATGCCAAGAGTAGAATAAACTTGGAAGTGATCAAGATCATGATAGCTCAGATACTGTTCATTCATGTAATCTTCACTCTGTTTCTATGTAGCGCTTTATCAGCAACAAGTATCAATAAGTATAATTTACATTAAAGAAGAAACAGAAGCCTTTATCATCTCGCCTAATCTCTCATGCAACTGCCCAAGGCTAAATGATATTTAAAATGGCCCTAATTCCTTGTTCACAAGTCAGACCATCTTATCTTACTGTCACCTTTTTATTAAGATTACAGAATAAAAGTGTCTTAGAGTATCTTTTTGTGCGCTTTTATATTTATTTTGATAGTGAGGCTATTGCATCTTGAAACATACACGACAGCGACGTACTGCAAAAGACTACGAGGAAAACGCTGTAAGTATATTTTTAAATCCTGAAGCTAACGCATTTCAGAAGCAGTACAACGATATCCAATGCAAGATTTTGGCTTGGTGTGAATTACAGCGACATGATCCTTTCAATCCTAGTCCTGCTGTAGTTATAAACTATCTTGCCTATGGCTATCATTATTTAAGTTGGCTCGCTTGTACTTGTCATACTTATCGTGCTGCCATCTTGAACTTGTACGACAAAGACAAAGCAATCATAGTTGACGATCTACTTTTCATAAGTTCTTTAGCAAGATAAATGCCACTTCTGCTGTATCATTTCATCGTCCAACTTATGATATCTCTCCCATCCTTACGTACATTCGGCAATGGGGATCAAATGAAACTGTCCCCAATCTTAATCGCATAAGGAAAGTTTGTTTTCTTTTAGTCATCACTGGTTTTATCTGCCTTTCGGATATTCACCGCTATGACCTTCTGTAATAACCTCACTATCAAAATTAGAAATAAAAGCACACAAGAAATACTTTGAGACACTTTTATTCTCTAAAAAGACAATAACATAAAAAGAAAATAATAGTGATCTTTGAGAACAAGGAATTGAGGTCGATTTAAATACTTGTTGTAGCTGATCGATGCATGAGATGAGACGAGATAGCAAGAGCTTCAGTTTCCTTTTTAATACAGGTTACAGTTCTTGATCCTTGCTACTGATAAGATCCTAGTCAGAGACAGAGTGAAGATTGCATGAATGAATAGTATGTGAACTATTATAGCTTTGATTAAATTCATATATAATCTACTCTTGACATCATTTTATGCAAAGACTCTAACGTATGAAAGCCGCGTCATTCCTTATTGTGTAATTTAATACCACATCATAGATAAGCCTCGTTTGGGTGAGCGTGCTGCCTCAGCTTTACTGCATAGTTTATCGTATATTATATCTTGCTTGCAACAACAGTATCTTGAAAATTTTGCTGGAGCGAGATGTGACGATCAAGGACCTCCATGGCAATGGCATAGAGGCGCTTGATTATTTGATCATCAGTATTTTTGTGTGGGGTCAAAGTAGCTTCTTGTTCAGTAAGAGAGGGAGATCGCCATTAATGGGTCCAATGATGCGTCGCTCTCATCTATAAAATGTGTGTGCTTAGCAATTAGAAGACATTTCTGCGCTCAATGTTCAAATTGCATGTAGTGTACAAACGGTCTGTTGTCATTTAGCAGGAAATCTTTGCGAAGGCTTGCTGGTTGCACACTTTGGACACAGAAGACAAGCAGGATTGATAGCTGGCTGTATGTTTTCGCAGTATTAAGGCAATACCCAATGCCGCGTTGGATAAAAACTTCGTTCACAACTTGCTGTATTTCGACCACTATTGGTGGCAGGAAATGCTGGATTGATAGTCGAGGAATATAGAGTAGTGCCAACAAAGTCTAATCCGGCTTGCGCATTATGTAGTCTGTACTGGGCTCATCATCTTCGCTAGCACCACTACTGCCATCTTTTGCTTGCTTTTGGTTGCTTGGCTCTGGTTTCTTTATGTTGCGCAGAAGCTCACCATTCGCCCCAAGACAAACGTACAATAGTGAATCAGTCCCCGTTTTACAAAAAGTTTCCCTTCCCCGTATATCTCGCATGCTTTTTTCCTTTATCAAGCTTGCTTAGAAAGCTCATGCGAACCAAAGACAGTTTCAAATATTCCATCTAAATATTTATGCGCAAATGTATCCCCTAACATTCTCTTATCATTGTTGTCGTCCTTCAAGCGACCAACATTGTAATAGAAATGGTATAAAATATGCTGAACAAAAGAACATATTCGATTTTAACGATCTTACAGTGAATGTACTATTTCTGCAGCAAGCAAATCTTCTTCGTCATCTGTTTCTGCTGCTTCCGACAAGCAATGTATTGTTTGGATTTTAATTTCTCTCCAGGACGTTATATCCATCTGTATTGAGCCATGTAAGTACAATATACATACATCATATACGGTAATAAAAGCTTTACCAGAGAGAGGATTGAATACTATTACGCGACGAATTGGTTCAATTGTGAACACAGGCACACAGGTATACAATCATTTATCTCTTTTGTAATTGGAAATATGAAATCCAATGATCTATAACAATGCAGGGTGGAGTGAGCCATTTTCATTTTTTTCCATTCTTTTTCACTTACAAAAGGTCGATATCTAACAATGGTTCATTTTTTTCATGTGATATGGTCAACGAAACTTTTCAATGCTACCATCACGTTAAGTCTGTTCAGGAGCAGATCGATTATGCCCTCGCTACAAGTTACTTATAATTTACTAACAGCTTTTATCAAAGTCTTGATCAATGCAAGTCGACTTTCGTAAAAGTTACCAAGACAAAAAATAAGCTAAAAATCAACTTACAGTACTTCCACTGTCAATTGGACACTTTCTTGAAAACGTTGGTCTCTTTTTTGAGCACCATTTGATCATTTGTTTGAAACCCAATTGGTCTCTTTTTTGAAATTCAATTGGTCCTTTTTGTAAATGTTGTTTATTTGGCCACTTTTTTAAAAAGAAATAAAAAGGTTGAATTATATTTTTGAGATGAACAGTAGGTATAGCTTCACCAATTTACATAAACTTGAATGACTTGTTATAAATTAATAGCTTTATTAAAATTGCTCGATTTGTTTAACCACAGCATCTTTCCAACCTATCAATTTGGGTATTTCTGAAGTGAATTTGACAAGTTGTCGAATCGTTCTGGGAACAATGATTGCTGCATGTTGGATCCTGAACATAGCTTCTTCATGTACCACGAGCTCCTCAAAAAACATCTTATTTTCTATTTTAGTACTATTAGAATATGAATACTCAATTGAAGGAGAAGGGAACTACCATAAAACCTTATGCAAAATATTTGTTTTTTGACATTAACAGGATATCGGTTCATTACATCAATCATCATGCTGTATAGTTTCTTCGCATCGCGTCGTTCTTTTTCTGGAGTAGTAGCGTCATTCACTCCGCCAGAGAACTCAACAAAGCCAGGGGATACTTTGTGATCACCTGTTTTAAACAGTACTCCATCCCACTTTGTTTTATTGGTGCCAAAATATTCTCTTTCAAGCCAACCTAACTCTACAATATCATTCACAGCCAGAAATAGCTGGTTAGTGATGACGATGCTTGTTTGTACTGCTGCTGATCTTTCGAGTATGGTACTATTCAAAGGATTTTTTGGTGATTCAATCAAGTCCAGGCTAAAAGATGTCTTAATAAAAGCAAGGTAATGTGAAACGGTGTGTTAAAAAAAAAAAAAACTTACAAATGCTTAACCATGTTTTCTATTAAGCCAATATCATAATCATTAATGACATTATGGTCTTGCTTATATCCATTTGCGTACAACGTGTTGCGCAGGCTTTTGCAGGAGTAAACTTTAACATCTTTAATTGCTTGGATAAGGTTCTTGGCACTTTCGGTGATTTCTACTTCTTTGACATTTACAGATGATATGATGTTTTCATATTCTTCTTCAGTTGTACACATTTTTAGTATACCCTGTACTGAATCTGATGTTAGATCTATGACATCTAGTTGAGCTAAGCTGTATATAAACTTAGTTAGAATAGTATTCACTGACAAAATTACGGTTACAACTTACTAGTCCGATGCAAGCTCAATTGCTTGCGCCAGCGTTTTTGTCAAACCGTTTGAAGTTGTTAAGCCAGAAGATGTAGCATCAGAAGATGTAACATCAGAAGTAGGACAGTTAGAAGATGAAGATGAGGTACTAAATACCTAGGCATATGATATTGTTAATACTAAAGAAATAACAGGTATTTGTTGTTATCTCTTGCATTGTTGGCTCTTTCAATAAGATTTTGATGCACTAGTCGCTGAATAGAAGAAATAGCAGAACGAGATTCATTGTTAATATCTTCCCTCAAGGTACTGTCTTTTCGGCTTTCCTAGTATTCATGATATTTCTTTCCAAACTCTGTTGAATGAAAACGGCGAGTCTATGATTAAAATAAAAGTTAGTATCTGTCAAAAAATTTGAAATTAGCACAGCATACAGCAAAGGTAGTTTCAGCAGAATGGGCAACATTAGTAACTTTATTACTTTGTTTTGATTGCAGTGTAAGCAGCAAATCCATGTAGTTTGCGTTTGTTGCATCTTCAGTGCTATCGAAATGCTCTGCAAACGAAAAATAGTCCAAGTCAGGTGGTTGTTTTTGGAAACTTGAATCAACCCATGCTAAAAACTTGTAGTCCTTCCTGAGATCATTTATTCTTGTTTTTTTTAATAATTGAGCTTCAGAAGTATCTATCGACTTTCGCTTGCCTCGCATTGTTTAATTGATAAAGAAGATAAGACAAAGTTGACGCGTCTGAGTAAGAGATATATATTGTTAGTATTGTGACGATGCGAAGAAAGATTCTAATACCGATCTTTTCACTGATGACATCAACAATCTACGACATCGAAGTATTACATCACCATCAAAATTATAAACAAGGAATTGTTTTTTTTTTATTTCCATTAGTGTACCAGTAGTCAACTTAACTTACTATAAAATTGTGCACGTTCAACACAGAAGCAATTTGATTGTAGGTTTTGTCCCCTCTGCCAAGTCAATTGGATTCTTAATGGTTAGCCTCTTTCCATTAAAGAATAGGGTCTAGTTGATGTCGTCGTATACGTGAGTTCAACCGCACGTGGGGATGCAGAGAGACTACTGTTGAAAGACAACTTAACTTACTACAAAATTGTGCACGTTCAACACAGAAGCAATTTGATTGTAGGTTTTGTCCCCTCTGCCAAGTCAATTGGATTCTTAATGGTTAGCCTCTTTCCATTAAAGAATAGGGTCTAGTTGATGTCGTCGTATACGTGAGTTCAACCGCACGTGGGGATGCAGAGAGTCTTTCTACACTTTGTACTTTGTTCTGCGATTCATACTGATAAGTATTATATGTACGAAATAGCTTGTGAATGTAACTAATATTCTATATTTTAACTTTATTTTTGGTCGTCTTGTCTGGTCTTACTGTAATCATCTATGCGACACTGGTTTAATTCAAGGGTGTTTTACGTGATTTACAAGGCTTAGAGGTTGAACTTTTGTGCTGTTTTCTAATTAGATCCTTTATGGCAATACCTAGTACTTTTCCCTAACTTCTTCAACAAGTTCTATTAGACAATATCAGCATAGTTTATGATAAATCCTTTATATATGGCAAAAACAAAAGCAATAGCTTGCATTTATTCAACAAAAACAAAAACGCACTTAAACAAATTTCTCTTTAACTTATGAATATTTCCTCATTTTTTCCCCTTAATCAATCCCACTCCAGTGAAAACCAACGACAAATTCCTGTTTACTCAAAATTCTAATTAGTTTCGTAGGAGAGATGTTTTATGATTGGCTTGTCAGAAGTTTGAGCTGGAATACTACCTCCTAAAGTTTAAATTTTAGACTCAAATTATTGTAAGCTTCGTGACATAAAGGTCCTTACTTCAAAAATCATAAAGGCCAGTGAAGCTATATCTACTGTTCATCTCAAAAATATAATTCAACCTTTTTATTTCTTTTTAAAAAAGTGGCCAAATAAACAACATTTACAAAAAGGACCAATTGAATTTCAAAAAAGAGACCAATTGGGTTTCAAACAAATGATCAAATGGTGCTCAAAAAAGAGACCAACGTTTTCAAGAAAGTGTCCAATTGACAGTGGAAGTACTGTATTCTGATTATTGTAGAAACGCTGGGATAAGAATATTACATTAAATATTGATGTTTAGCTACTGAGGCAGAGTATTCGTCAAATTTGACAGAGTTGTCAAATGAAAGAGTAACTACTTCCATTTCAAGTTCAGGATCAGTAGATGTTTCTCTGTTGCTAGCCGACACTAAATGAATCCATATTAAATGTTCTTTATTAGAGAAAAGTGTGCCAAAAGGCCAAGAGCAATTTCTGTATTTGGGCAAATACTTTAAGTCATCAATAGCCATCAAAATCCATGTACCTGGAAATAACAATTGACTTCTCTGGCGTTGAACTCTATGTTATTCAAACCGTTTATCCAGAAGCCCTATTATAATGGTGTTTCTTTCACATCGCTCATGCCTGGATGGTAAAAGACAAAGAATATTTCAATATAAGCAATATGCATCATGATTCAACTGAGTGCAGTAAAGCCATTACCAGTTTAAAGTAGTTAATGTGAGAAAAAAACGTAGCAGAATTTAACAGAAAGCTGCAATCGTTTCTTATTGATTTTAGATCATATACACAGCTAATTTCTTCTCTATACATTCCATACGTCAACAATGACAGCTTCAAACGCTGGATAAGAGCATATCAGCCTGCTATTTGCATTAATATATAGACGAGTAACTGTATTGAAAGCTGGCACAATCAGCTAAAAGCAACATGTTTAACAGAAGAGCAGGCAGACTGATATCATATTAATGAATGATGTTGAAGATTGGAGGAAGAGTATCGCCAAACTTTGATTGCACAAGTGAAAGAGTGCTTAGAATTATAAACGGACACATAGTTTAAGTTTACGTTCTTTCTTGTGCTATCATTCAAAAGATGGTGCTTTTTATATAAATATATACATACAGATTGACATACATCCAATATACGACAGTATTTTATAATAAAAGGATGTCCCTCAGTATATCTAGCAACAGTGTGTATATAATCATAGTAGACTCCTACCTTGTTTTTATAACATCAAGTAGGAATAACAATAGACTAAGGATCACTTAGTAGAAGCACAACGCGTAACCAAAGAAAATGCTCTCTCTTCATTGTTAATAGGAATCAAATTGATAGTTCAACCAAATCGAAAAGATGTATGGATAAACCTAACACACATTGACAATCATCCACCTTTTCTCTCCCCTCATATTTGTACTGCCTGGTTGCTCTGTGTTGATACTATATACATAAGTTCATTATTTATTTCCCCTTTTTTTCTCTATATATTATCTCTAATGTAATAATAAATCTAATATCAATCGTCATCCTCATCGACGCCAAATGGGTTACTGTTTTCTCTGGTAATAGGCTGATATAGCCTTCCTTTTCCTTTATAATCCATATTTACACCCTGCTTCTCAAGTGCGTTCATTATTTTCTGAATGGCTGCTTGATTCTGTAAGCTCAATTCCATAAGTGTATGTAATTGATTGAGTATTTCATCTTCTCCATTTCTTGGTAAAATACCAAATGTGTTATTATGGTCCATGGATACTATAGAAACTCATCATTTGCTACTTCAGTTATACACATTCAATTTATCTTACCTGAAGGACGCCCAGGTTGAAAATCAGATAAGCCGTTACTATTTGAAAATTGTCGCTGTCTCATACTTTCCCACACAATAGTAAAATTTCTTCCGACAATGATCGACGGTAACGCAATAAGCTAAACAACAAGTAAGTACATATAAACAAGACCAGCCATATTACTTACCAGCACACCAAACATCATGGCAGGGAATGTTATGAGTTTACCAATAAATGTAGTTGGCACCATATCACCTAATAAATCATAAATTAAATATAAGCTAAGCCCAGCCATACTAAAACTAAACTAACCGTAACCAGTGGTGGTTATTGTTACTAGCACGAACCAAAACGCAGCTGGGATACTGTCGAATGAACTAGTCATAGTTGTTAATATAGACTAAACTTGTGATAGTTGTATCAAACCTTGGTGCTCCTTCTGAATCGACAAATGTCTGTAATGTTTCATCCCAGATACCTCGTTCAGCAAAGTATAATAATGTTGAAAACAAAACAACACAAGTAACTGTGAAGAAGAAAAGGGCAGAAAGAGCATCTCCTGATCTTCTAAAGGCCATCATCATCACTTCTATTGTCATTACAATCGTATTTGAATATTTATATGATTTGAATAAACGTAATAGTCGAAACAAGCGTAGGATGGTAAATCTAAATTCATAAGTCTGTAGGGATAATCAACCCAATATATTCTTATTTTGATATCTCTTCTTTTATATACATTATTTTACTTCATGTATCTACACTTACTGTATCATGTTTAGCTATCACTTCTATATAGAATGGGATAATTGAGATAAAATCAATAATTGATAATGGAGCTATATGAAATAGAGTCAAAGATTGTCTTTTAATATCTTTTTTTCTTACATAGAAAGAAACGCTTCAACATTCGTAGTGAATCTGAATGAGCAAACATTCTCAGCAAGTATTCCAAAGTAAATAAAGCTACCATGGCAGACTCAAGTTGAAACCTAGCAAGTATGAATATCTTTTAATTTACAATCATCATCTTTACCAAACACGGTTACTCTTTGCAGAACGGAATGTCGGAATGGTTTCAATTGTCGTTGTTACTGCACTAAACACAATCAGCAAAGAGACAATCACGTTTGTCCAAAAGGCGCTATGACTACTCGAAGGCTCCTCTAATAATAAATATAATTTCCTTTTCAAATCGTTCTTTATTTCAGGTATTGTAGGTTCAGTGTCTTCGATGGGAGGATGAGTGACAAGGTTGGCAACTGACGTCCAACCTTCTTCTGCTATTCTTCCCAGCTTACGGTACAGTGGTGGGCTCTGATGAGACCCAGGTTCGGCCATTTCTATAGTTTCAGCCTGAAGTGGTTCTGTCTCTTCTTCATCATTTCTATTTGTTGAACGAAATAAATTCATAAAAAGGGAATAATGAAGAAAAAGAAAACGAAAAATTTATTCTAAAAGTGAAATGTAAATCCTCCTGTGGAACCAAATGGGAATCCATGTCCGCCACCAGCAAAATGAGCAAATGGGTTATCTCCTCCATGGAAGTTGAAAGGGTTCTGTTGATGAGCACCAGCCTCAGGATCAAAGGGATCAAAACCATTATCAAATTGTTCTCGTTTGGCTATTTCGGAAATAAGTTTATGCATCTCTTTTTTTTTTTTTTTTTTTGACTCGAGTGTTACCTGGATCACTAAGTACTTCATAAGCTTGATTGATCTCTGCCATCTTACTTTCTACTTGATCCTTATCGAGATTTCCACTATATTTATCAGGGTGCCATTCATATGCCTTTTTACGATATGCTTTCTTTATTGTCCTTGGATCAGCATCTCTGGATACATCTAATCAAGAAAAAATATATTAGTTATCGCTTCATTCAAAAACGTCACAATGGCTCATATACCTAATATTTTATAATAATCTCTCTTCTTGCTTTGTCGTAATAACTGTTGTGCCTTGTTTAATAACTGTCTGATCCTATGATCTTGCTGCCCGCTGGCTTCATATGCCTTTTCCAAATCATGAACTGCACCTTCAAAATCATTATTGTTTAATTTCAATTCTCCCAAGTGAGCTAATGCGTCTGGATGATCAGGATTGATTTTTAATATAGCTGAGCACCATGTGTCTATCCTTTCTGAATCCTTTTGTTCTGCTGATAACTGACAAGCTAGTTCATAACACGTCAGGTGTAATTTCTTGGGTAAATTCTCAATCTTCATCTCTGCCTTCAATGCCTTGAAAGGTTCATCCAATTCAGACACAAGTCCTTTTTTTGTGCTGGTACCAACAAGGGTATTGAAGGCTGTAGCAAATCGTTGTTGTTGCTTTGCGTCTACTACCTTTTGAAGATCTTTTTGGAACCGCTTGATTTGACGAAATAGAGATTTACATGGTTTATGTTCAGGGTCGTAATGAAGACACTGCTTCACTTGAGCTGTGGCTCTGTCAGGTTCATAAAGGGAATAAAAGTTGAGTTTGGCTAGTTGCAGAATGAGTTCTTGATCAGAAGGGTTGAGATAGCTCACTCGACTATGATATATAATGTTATTGGATCCTTTTTCTTTCTTAATTTTGTTCACCTACGTCAAGTCATTCACTGCTTCTTCAATCTCTCCTTTACCAAAGTGACATTGAGCGCGAAGTGTCCGCCATTGAGAGCGTTGTGGTGAGATCTGAATGACACGAGTGGCATGTTGAATACATTGGTCGTACTGTTTATGAGAAAATGACTCTTGTGCTATTTGACTTGACTTTTCTGCTTCTGATATAGATGATAACTGTTACAAGTTAGTTTTGTCCCCTATTTTATTTTGGCTTGTTCATTACCAATAACTTTGTTGAATCGTCTTGATTAACACCTTCCAAGTCTTGTTTAGCCAACTTGTATTCACCGTCAGCAAGATAAAGTTTGGCTCGTTCTAACAAGGCTTGCTTGAATCCAGGCTTCAAAGTCAATATCTTGGAAAAGTCTTCAATAGCTGGATTGGTTTTGCCAAGCGACAAATAAGCTGTTGCTCTTTTATAGTAAGATATGTAGTCATTAGGATCGTATTCTATATAAGAGTGTGATTAACAGATTATATAGAATATTTATTCCTCTTCTTCTTACGAATAGCTGCATCGTAGCTCAAGATAGCATCGTTGTACTTTCCACTCAACAGATACTGATTTCCTTCCTGAAGGTAGTATTTTGCTCCTCTTTCTTCTGAACCGCTTACATGGTTGCTTAAAAAGAAGGGTATAATAAATGCAAATAGTAAGCGCTTGGGTGATTTCATGATAAAGAGAAAGAAAGAGAAAGAGAAAGAGAAAGAGAAAGAGATAACCTTTTAAAGGGACAGTATCATCGGGTATTGAATTTATTAAATTATCAGCTTCATTCTCGACTGACACGTAAATCCATTAGAGTCGCACGACGAAAAAAAAAAAAAAGATAATTTTCTCTCTTTTTCATTGATGCGAACACTTGTTTTGATTGGCCTTTGTTTTTACTTGATGTTGATGGGCGTCTTGGGATTTGCACCGATTGAATTAAACATCAATGACAAATTACTTCACTTTAGCTTATTCTGTATACTATCCATATTTCTTTATTTCATATGGAATTTGTCCTTGAAGAGAAACTTGATACTTGGCACCACTTCTTTTTTGACATGTGCCATTGGAAGTGAATTCATACAAGGATTATTACCAGTAAGAAATGTATATAAGGTGAAGGAACGAATTAAGCTAACCTTTATTATGATTGTTATTATTAAAGTATAGAAGTTTTGATATCAAAGACATATTAGCAAATATAACAGGTGGAGCCCTGGGATTATCCATATCTTGTTTAGTTGATTACTGTTGTTGTAGAAAGGAGAGTAAAGGAGATTATCAACGAGTGACTGGTGAAGAAGAAATCATGATTGATACATTTATTAATTAAAAGACGATGTGAGCAGCCACGATTCGTTGTAACTCCTAAACGAATAAGTCAACCATATCACATACACACACACCTTTACTTACCTCATCATCCAATGATTCAGTGGGCTGACCAGTGGCTGTTGTTGATGTTGTTGCTGTAGGAGTAGGGCTGGCATCCTCTGTTTTCCCACTTAGGATACGTTTAGCCATAGCCATCGCCAATTCCTTCTGTGCTTGTTCATCCTCTTGTTCATTCTGTGGAGGCGGATGCTGGGGTAAAGGAGTCAAAGGTGGTGACAGAAGCTGCTTTTCCTCTGTAACGATGGGCTCTTGTGAATCCTGCGAGTTGGATCGTTGGTCCCTTTGACGAACAGCAAATGAACTCTGAGGACGGTTCCAGGGATGAAACTCGTATCCACCTTCCTCTTCCCATTTGGTGTTTTCTTTGGTCTTTAAAAAATCAACTCCATGGGCAACAAGTAAATAAAGGTCATCAAAATCTTGTTGCTGTTGACCACGACTGATCTCTTTTGTTATATTAAAGTTATTTGTATTAGTTGTTGTTGTTGTAGTATCGTATTGTTGATTAGAGGATTCGATAGACGAGGCAGTGGTCACAATTGTCTGTTGAGGGTGAATCGAGGATATCTCGGATACCAGGGATACCTTACTAGTGGATATACTTGAGGCCATTGGACTACTATTTGTCGTATCCTCATTGAATGGAGCCATTTCCTGCGGCTGTATATCAGAGGCTTGATCTTGAAGGATCTCTTGCTGCTCAATTTCTTCTTGCTCCTTTTCCGTCTCCTGAACCCCTATTTCTGGCTCTTGCGGCATTTCTCTTTGATCTTGGTCAGTATGTTCATGAGACTCAACCAAGGACACAGTTGACATTTGCTTGTTGAGAGCCTGTGTAGGATCTTCACTCGGTCTTCTTGATAAAGGCGAACATTGATGACTTGCAGCCTCCATTCGGCCTGTAGCATCCTGGGAACCCTGCCTGGACTTGGTTACAAATGAAGAACCTGACGACATGGGGGTGATATCAGATTGAGAAGTAATGATGGTCATTTGTTGTTGCTGTTGTTTTTTGGAGTTATTGCTGGATCCCCAACCAACCAGTCGCTTCAACTGTTGCTTCAAGCTTTCTTTTCTCTTTTCCGCTCCCGGTGGAATTGTGAGAGAAGGTGTATTAGAATTTGATCTTGACATTTGAGTAGAATGTGGCTCCATAAGAGAATCAGAGTCTGTACAGGGAGCAGAAGCACGTCTAGTGAAATTAAATAAAGAAGTAGAAGAAGTAGTAGAATGGGATTGATGTTGTTGTGTATTTAATATACTCCTATCCTCAGAACGTGTTCTTTCACTTTTAGGGGTTGAGTCCATCAAGATATCTAGGATACTCGGTCTTCTAGCCTCTTGCTGTATAAAATGATACTTGCGTCTCTTGCCTGATTTCCGTAGAATGAAGAGTAGTTCGCTTGTGATCGTATTGCTTGATAAGCTTTCAAGGATATTACACACGATTTCATTGGATTCTAATTCGATTTCTATATAATAATATACTCCTTAAGTATCAATGAAACACACACGCACACGCAATCACACTTTTTTGCAGTCTCCTTAAATAATAACTTTATTCCTTTACCTTTTCCATGATGACTTTTTACAGATAATTTATATTTACCCAGTTGCTTGGTGATACTCTTGCCCTCTGCATCAGGCACATGAAACTTCTCGAGAGCCAGCTGGATGACTTGTCCAACAGATGATTCTTGATTGACAGCAATCACTTTATCCATTCGATCCATCTCATGTGGCTTCTTTTGTTTTCGTGTATCTGGATAAAGTGATACTTTGATGTAAACCAAGTTTTCATGGGCCCTTTTGATGCGCCTGTGCAAATAAAATCGAATCACTGAGTCTTCATCGTAATTTGTTTGCTCATAGTTACTAAAGCTACTCGATCGTGGTCTTCTCTGAGTCGTGCCTGAGGACTGAACTGAACTGACAGATTGTTGAGAGATGCGTCGAATGTGAGAGACTGAGGGCATGGGCGTCGTCAGTGAATCGGTGAGTGTTTTGAAAATCGACAATGGTTTATCCTGAGGTAAGAGAATATACTCATCTCCATCCAAGCCCTGAACAGCAACATAGTACTCGATCGTCGCAGAGTGATCCTGTTCTTGTAGTTGAATACCAAACTTATCAATAGCGAGCTGTACCAGTTCTTCAGCAGCTGTTTGATATGAAATCAAAAATGTGTGGAAGAGTGGGCCCTGACCGATATTGCCTGCAAACACTCGGAGTTCCTGTAAAGGGCCATCGTCTGGTGTCTCTTGAGGTATCTCAATCTTTTCTTGTGTGATTGGTTCTATCAGATCATTCTCGTCGTCATCCATCTTCATCTCACAGTATTCACTTTCTTGGTATACTTCCTGTTTTCGCGCATAATCCTCGGTTTGATCTTCTTGATCTATCTCCTCTTCGTCCTCTTCGTCTTCTTCTTCTTCGGATTCAACTTCGTAATGATACACTTTTGAATCATCACTTATAATGACACGACGTACATTTGTTGTCAAAGGATGCATTGTAGTCTGTGATGCAGTGTCCTGCATAGAAGGAGATGTGATCTCGACGTTTCGATGTTTATTTAGTCTTGCCAGTCTCTCATAAGGTGTCTACAAGTAATAGGATGAATGGTTTTTTTTTTTAAAAAAAAAAGAAGACCCTAATGCAATCATAATTACCTCAATGTTCTCTGCTGGTATATAACCCACTTCATTTGTCTTGAGCACTTCGACTAACCACCAGTAAATGTTTGTATCTTCCATCAGAATCAATGCATCACCCTTCACGACAGAGGCTTGACCCTCGACTGTCGCAACAAAGGTATGGAGCGCGTAAACGAGATCAAAGTTGATATTCTCATCAGGGATACTGGGTGAAGAAGACATGGAAGAAGAGGCATCTGTCATCTCATCGTCGTCAGTATCCTCTTCTTCTTCTGAAGTACACTGCTCTTCGTGTATTTCTTCTAGACGCTCCGAATAATGTATTATTGACATGAAAGGGGTTTAAGTTATATAAAAAAAGGAGAAGTTGATATAAAACGAAAATAAAAATAAAAGTAAAAAAGAGAGAAAAAAGAAAAGAGAGAGATGATGAATCGTTTGCTCTGTTTTGTTTGAGAAAAAAAAGGAGATGAAAACTTTATTCTTTTCTCTTTTTGCCCCTTCTCCTTTTCAACAGGGCTTCCACTTAATATACACATGTGTTTTCGTAACTCCCTAAGTACGCCTCCCTTTTTTTTGTTCTTGTATTTTATGGAATGGCTCCATAAGATTTGCTCAAGTTTCTTGATAGACGTCTTTCCGGGTGATGATAATAGGTGCCTACATTGTCCTCTTCCTCTTCCTCATCCGTCTGTCCTCCTTCATCGTATTCAATGGGTGATGTTACCAGCAGCGGCGCGGTTTCGTTTGAATCTTGTTTATTACTCATACCCGTTTCTTCATCCTGTTGAATCTCACGGCTATGGCCAGGATTGGACACAGCTGGACTGGCTTTCATGGGCAGCCAGGGTTGAGGGAGCACGCCGAGTAGTGCAGGATGGCCATACTGTTTCATACCTGTATTTAATATGCCATTTAATAACGTCATCGGTGGTTCTCTGAAGTCCGTATTCTTTCTTGGCTCTGCAACATAATCATCCTCATCCAACACGGTGCGCCTCTTTCTGATCTTGCTTATCTTATCCGCATTGTCATCCGCATGATGAGCCTGCTCCTGTGGCACATGAAGATTCTCTTGCTGAGATGCCTCGCAGGGATGGATGTTGGCTTGATTCACGCTTTGATCGCTGCTAGGTAAATGAACGTTATAATTGCTGCTACTACGACTGCCATGATTCAATATAGGCGCAACTGTCGTCAGTGGACCCAATTTCTCAGAGAGTAGTTGAAGAGGTAAAAACTGTGTGCTCTTTTGGTAGGCCTTGTCCATCATATACTTGTAAATGACTGTCAAAAATAGTAATGGTACACATAAAGCGGCCAAGTAGAATGACTTGTTTAGTGTAAATAAGCCTGCTGATGTCAACTCGAAAATGATCAAGGCGATGATGATACGTGAGAATACCATGGGCCACATTCTACCCGCCACTTCATATGAATGGAAATAGACTAGTGATATATTAGCCGACGCTAATCACTTTATATATAGTAAAAACTTACCATAGAGTAACTGGTACTTGCATACCAAGTACGTCATGGCAAAATAAATAACGCCAAATACAAGAATGAGCGGTGAGATGGTTGAATAGACCAAGACGACGACAAACATGAAAACAGGTACAGGATATCCCCATCCAAAGTTATACATACGTGGTGCGTATACTTCAGCAAAATCACGTGGAGTCTTACACAGGAACCAACAGTAAAATTGTTGGACAAGAATAGGTCCAATCTGTAATAGCTGTATAGGACATCTATTCAACAAGTTAACATGGTCTACTGGTATTACACCCGCTTTTGTTCTTACAGCATGATGCCTTGAAGCACAGTATAATTGATATAGAATGGTGCTACTTCAGGTAATTTAGAAGCAAAGATGTTGGCGATCTTGGTAGGATCTTCAAAAATATCTTTTTGAGACTTGAATAATGTGCTTGCAACAGTGATAAATAACAATACGTTAAAGAATAAAAAGAAGAATTGTCTATCAGATATAAATGAGTTTTCATCCGCTGCTCCATTTGTGTTATATTTGTGTTTACTTTGCAAAACATGATTCTTCTGATTCACTTCTTGTTGTAAATCCTTCAATGACACTTAGACCTAAAATAGAACAACGTCAGTATTAAATAAATAGCGTACGTTAACTTTTACTATTAAAGATAAGAGGCAGGATAGAGAAAAAGATGACGACGCCTAAAGTGGGTATAAATCCAGCTACGATCTGATTCAATATCTTGTTCTTTTCTGCCAACTTCAGTAACCAGGGGAAATACGCCTTGAGCGATTTAGTTGAAGTCAGAGCAGATAGATAATTACAGGGAATAGTCCATGAAAAGACCAAGAATAGCAATATAAACAAGACCAATGCTTTACGTATTAAACGTTCTCTTTGATGCATTGCTATATTTTCCCAAAGAACATCTCTTGGCTCGGGTGCAAGTTGAACACGAAGTCTAAAAGGCGTAGAATCAATCAAGACTTGGGAGGCAACATACTACAAAGTATAAGTCATTGTTCGTTTGTTAAATATTTTATCTTACAGCACTAATCGTTTCTTCAAACGTAATGAATCCAACACTTGTAGGCAAGAATTTACCGACCTTGCGTGCTTTGACAACCAATTCATCTACTTCATTAAACTTGTTTGTATAATAGTCAATCGCATCAACTTTTGCACCACAAAATAGACCCTCGCTCATCAGCGGCCTGTCTCTCCTAATGATCGCTCTACTGCTCGGTCCATCTTCATTCAGCATGTCATCAGAATCATAATTTGGATCAAAACAAGGGTTTCCCAGCCATTTTGTGTACCAGGTCTCTAGTTGTCTCAAGTACTGGGTTCTTTCCTTTATGAATTCCAATAACCGACCTACGTGTCGGATCGTATGAACGGATTCGACTACACCAATGCCCAATTTTTCAAAATACTCTGCTAATTTTCGATCTGACCGTAGATGAGGTGGAATACCTGTGACCAAGAGTGTTCTGGCGGATAATGTCTTTGCCTTTCTCAAGAGAAATTCCCTTCTGATACGAACATAACCACGATAATTTAAGAATGTGAAATAAAAAGTAGCGAATACGAAGAGATACGTAAAGAACAAATAAACCCATAAATAAGATATCGAATGTGAGGTTGTGATGGCTGTCGTAAGCAGACTATGGGTATTGTTTGGGTTTGTACCATTGGCAAAATCGCCGCCCATTTTACTGATAGGGTATAACACGACTGTTCCGAAAAATCCACAAAATGAAAACAATTTGACACTCATCAACAAGAATTGTAACATCTACAAAAAAAGGAGTTTGCAAGTGTTTCAGCTTTTTTTCAATATCTCTCTTTACCACAACAGCATCTAAGCCAACTTTCTCCATAATAACAGAATCAGGTGTTTTCAAAAGGGGTATAATCCACCCAAAGAAACTGGTGGGTAACTGTTCAGGTGCATGTCTATTAAAAAGCGTGGTCAGTAAAGACTTCCTTTTGATTGTTTTACTTACTTTTTCATTCGAAGTCTTGGCGAGTATATGTTGCTCCACCTTTATAAAATATAAGTAAAGTAATCTTGACACTGGCTCATGACTTTACCTGACTCTCAAAAAGCAAAATAGTAAAAAGCAAACAAAGCCAACCGAAGTACATAATATTAACTGTGTTGTAAAACCAGTAGGTGATTTCGCTGTTTGTGCTGGTGATCCAGGAAGTGGTTCTTCGTCTTCCTCACATAAAAACTTGAATATTCCAATACAAGGAAAGCCTGAAGTTGAATTTGTACTGGAAAAGTCGTCATTAGACAGCACTAGTCTTTCCATTTCTAGTGTAGGACAAGTATGAAAAAGAAAGAGAGCGAGAAAAAGAAAGGCTTTATTATTTATCTCATTAGGTTACAAAAGCCTCGGTTCCTATTGGCTAATATATTACAAACAGTAAATAAAAAGCACATTGCATGAAAGCTTTTGTCAGCCAGTAAAAAAAAATCTCATATTTTTATTGTTGTATTTATTTTGAAATTGTGACATTAAAGCGTGTAGGGGATTCCTTAGCATCAGGATCAAGAGGCATACGATTCCAGAAACGTTGGATAATTATACCCTTTTTGAATTGAGATTCTAATCGAGACATATCTGTTGAGATGTAAACACCATATTGTGCAGCTTGTTCATTACTGCCAAAATGACGAACATGAGCCTTTTTGAGAAGCTCGATACCATTACCAGAGACTGCGATAGGTTTACCATGTCGGAAGGCATCCAAGACAAAGACAGAAGGTTCATCATAGGGGAATTCAGGATGAGGTTTAGTCAAAAAGTCAAATGTGTTGTTGAAGCCAGAGGGAATATAGATGGCATCATAGAGAACAGATGAGGTTGTAAGGTAGGTTTCAGTTATGTTCAATCCATCATCACTTTCACCCAACTTTATGCCGACCACATCTACATAAGCATGCTCCTTTGTGAGATAATCACGCATTTGCTCGACTTCGGAAGTGCTGATACCAGGGCCAGTCAATATAGCGACCTTCTTGGCTTTAATGTTATTGGGACGCTTGTAATTGTCAATAGACAAGTTGATGGTTGTCTGATTATGATTTTCAGCCACAGGTTCGGGTTCATGGACACCAATACCTCTAGCTACACGACGAGCCAAGTTATTATCGACGCGGTTCAAAACCTTGATGAAGTTTTCACGAACGAGCATACTAGTACATTTACCAAGTTCAAAACGGAAGTTGTTGACCAATTGTTGCTGTTCGTGAGTTGTTAAGCTGTTGTAGAACAATTGGGCTTGAGAGAAATGGTCAGAGAACTTGCCATGCTTGCCTCTCTGTTTTCTGCCAGAGATCTTTTCGGGGTACTCCAAATAGCCACCTTCTCTTGGACTGACGACCTCGGGGGTATTGTTTTGTAATGCATTAGGATAGTAAGCCACAGGCCCATGATACACGTTGAATTGCATAAAGCCATCACGCTGGTTGTTATGGACGGGTACCAAAGGACGATTAATAGGAAGTTGTAAATAATTGGCACTACCCATTCTGTTGATTTGAGTATCCAAATAACTGAACAAACGGCCTTGTAAGAGAGGATCATCAGTGAATGTAACACCTGAGATAAAATTAGACAGGTCCTTTTCTTTGTATACATTATACTTACCACGAACAACATGACCAGGGTGATAAGTAACTTGCTCAGTTTCTGAAAAAAAGTTGTCAGGGATTCGATTAAGCGTCATTTTGCCAAGTATTGTCACAGGAACCAGGGACTCAGGAATAATCTTGGTAGCATCCAATAAATCAAAGTCAAATTTATCTTGATCTTCTTCATTCACAATCTGAACACCCAATTCATATTCGGGATAATCTCCACGTTGAATAGCAGTGTAGAGATCATTACGATGGAAATCGGTATCCTTACCGTTAATCTTTTGGGCTTCATCCTATGATTCATATAAGTGATGATTGCGCGCAAACATTCAGCTCTCCCAATGCTTACCCATTCTAGATTTGAAAGCCCCTGCAAAGGCTTCCAATGAAATTTCACAAGCACCGTTTTGCCGTGTTCGTTAATGAACCGGAAACTAATATCATTAGAGGATATAACACTTTCAATACCTGCTTCACTTACGTGTGAACGCCAAAACCTTCAACCTGACGGAAACTTCTAGGAGTACCTCTCCCAGACAGAGCCCACATGACGGTATGTATAGTCTCAGTATGTTGACCAAAGAAGTCATAGGCCGTGTTATGAGCAGTAGCAGCTTGAGGAACCTCGGTGTTTTGTTCGGGTTTACCAGCATGAATCAAATCGGGGAATTTGATAGCATCTAAAAAAAGATTTAATTTCTTACCGACCCTTTTTTTTTGGCTTTTGTTGAACAAACCTTGAATGAAGAATGGCGCGATGGCGTTGGCAACTATGAAGAGTAATGAATAAAAATCATCATGATATCATTCAGTGAAACGTTACCTAAATCCCAGTTTCCCTCTTGCGTATAAAATCTTGTAGAAAAACCTCGAACGTCGCGCACACAGTCGGCAGATCCGCGAGAGCCCAGGACAGTAGAGAAACGAACGAAGACGGGTGTCTTGATTGAAGTGTCACGAAGCAATCGAGCAGCAGTCAAGTTGGACCAGTCTCTGTAGGATTGAAAGTAACCATGAACAGCCACTCCGCGTGCATGAACAGCACGTTCAGGGATTCTAACCGGAAAATAAATAAAAAGCCTAATATATTACTTTCCATGCATCCCTTACCTTTCATGATCTAATTGTTATTTTTAAAAATAAAGTTAGCAAAAGTTTGCATATGATAAAGAAGTTCTATTTACCAAAGTGCATAATCTTTTCACGAAGCATAAAGTCTTCAAGGAGAGTAGGTCCTCGATCACCCATTTGTAAACTATCTGTATTGTTAATCTTTACACCAAATTGAGTTGTTTCTTGAGTGCCAGCATCAACGACATGTGCATTGATGTTTGTCACAGGAGCGTCTTGATTATTGTTATTGTCATTATCAGCCCCCAGACTGAGATGACAGCTCAGTAAAATAAGAGATAGAATCCACGCAGGCTTTTTCATAGTTTGGAAATGATAGAAAAGAAATGAATTATAAAAACTAGTTGACTTTATATACACGTCAGAATGCCTATTGTAACACCACTCCTAGTTTAAGGTTGAACAAGTTTACAATCAGTCGGAAACAGATAATGAATGCACAACAATTCTAATTGTCCAATTAAAATTTGGAACAATGCTTAATAAGCTTAGTCAGCTTACACGACATGACTACATGGTTTCAACTGACGCAGACCAGTTTATCATGTTTGATATATTACAGTAAAGAATAGAATAATTTATTGATCATCAATAACAATGTTGGTGGGAGTAGGAGATTCTTCTGCATCAGGGTCCAATGGTAAACGGGTCCAGAATCTTTGAATGATAAGACCCTTTCGGAAATTAGCCTTGAGCTTACCCATGTCCTCTGCAATAAAGACACCATACTTGTTCTCATCCTTCTCAGTGGTGTACAAGGGAACATGAGCGGCCTTCAATAAAGCGACAGCTTTGCCAGCAAGAGCAATAGGTTTACCATGACGGTAAGTATCCAAGATGAAGTTGACAGGCTCTCCATATGGGAAAGCTGGGATGGGTTCCATTAGCTTTTCAAACGTCGTCACTTCACCTGTAGGCACGAAAACACCATCATACATGACGGAGGTCGTGGTCAAGTAGGTTTGTTTGATTGGTAAACCATCAAATTCACCAAGGACAGGACCAATAAAGTCAACAATAGCACCTTGATCGGTAAGGAACTTGTACATATCGTTTGCTTGACAGATATCACTACCAGGGCCAAGCAGGATAGCAACGTTCTTTGCCTTGATATTGTTGGGTCGCTTATAGTTTTCGATAGACAAACCGACAGTTGTCTGTTTCTTGTTTTCATTAGCTGGTCGCTCAGGAGCTTTGACGCCAATGCCATTAGCAACACGGACGGCCAAGTTATGGTCAACATGGTTCAAGAGGTTAACAAAATTTTGTCGGACACGGAGGTCGGTACATTTGCCAAGTTCAAAACGGAAATTGTTGACCGTCTGTTGCTGTTCGTGCGTCGTCAAGCTGTTATAGAACAGCTGAGCGTGGCTGTAAAAGTCAAGTTTCTTGCCGTGCTTGCCTCTTTGTTTAACACCAGCTTGGACCTTTTCAGGATATTCAATGTATCCACCCTCCTTGGCGGTGGTAGGAGCTGGAGTGTTGTCTTGCATAGCATTAGGAAAGTATGTAACAGCGCCCTTATGGACATTAAAGTTCATGAAGCCTTCACGGTTAATGTTGTGAACAGGACAGACAGGACGATTGATAGGAAGTTGATGGAAGTTGACACTGTTCATTCGGTTAATTTGAGTATCCAAATAACTGAAGAGACGGCCTTGTAAGAGAGGATCATCAGAGAAACCAATACCACGAACGATGTGGCCCAGATGGAATGTGACTTGTTCAACTTCACCAAAGAAGTCGTCGGGTGTACGATTCAAGACCATCTTACCAAGTCGTGTGACAGGAATAAGTGATTCGGGAACAATCTTTGTGGCATCCAAAATGTCAAAATCAAATTTATGCTCATCTTCTTCAGGGATTATTTGAACACCCAATTCATATTCGGGAAAAAGGCCCTTTTCGATGGCAGTGTACATGTCGTTACGCATGAAGTCGGGATCCTTGCCGTTGATCTTTTGGGCTTCATCCTACATAATGAATTAAGCTACATATCACACTCTGCAAAATTGACTTACCCATTCAAGGTTGTTAAGACCTGCCAGAGGCTTCCAGTGGAATTTTACAAATACAGATTTACCTTGTGCATTGATCAGACGGAAGCTAAATAGGAGTCATCAGTGTCTATTCTATTGTACTTTTTCTTTGTTACATACGTGTTGACACCAAAACCTTCTACTTGACGGAAACTTCTGGGAGTACCTCTACCAGATAAGACCCAGAGCACAGTATGAATAGTCTCAGGTTGTTGAGAGAAGAAATCGTAAGCAGTGTTATGCGCAGTAGAAGCTTGAGGAACTTCTTTGTTTGGCTCAGGCTTGGTAGCATGAATCACGTCAACGAATTTGCTGGGATCTATGTGCATTACATCATGATGAGTCTGAGTGAACAAATTTTGTGTCTGTTGAAATTACCTTGAACGAAGAAGGGAGCAATGACATTACCGACTACATAAACAAGTGAGTGAAAAAGAAAAACGCTTGAACAATTACCAATTACCTAAATCAAAGTTTCCTTCATCAGTGTAGAAACGCGTAGCAAAACCACGAACGTCACGCACAGTTTCAGGGGAGCCTCTGTTACCGATTACAGTGGAGAAACGGACAAAGGTAGGGGTCTTCTTGTTTGGATTGGTAAGGAAATCAGCACAAGTCAATTCGGACCAGTCCTTATAGGATTGGAAGTAACCGTGAGCACCAAAACCACGGGCATGTACGACACGTTCAGGAATTCTATTATGACGTGTAAGGTTGTACGTTTTAATGCATCATATAACAAATTACCTTTCATGATCTATCAATATAGATATATTAGCTACAGGAGACTAACATTGTTTATCAACTTACCAAAGTGAGTCATCTTTTCACGAAATACAAAGTCTTCCAAAAGAGTTGGTCCACGTTCCCCAACCTGAAGACTGTCTCGACTATCAACTTTTACACCAAACTGAGTAGTTTCTTGTGTTCCATGGCTATTGACTGTATGGTCAATTTTGGTGACAGGAGGTGCATTGCTTTCAACGTGAGAAGGATTAGACATTACTTAATGTAAGTGTTGAATAAAACAAAAAACAAGAAAAAAGAACTACAATTATCAATCGCTTACAGCGGTTTATATAGGCATTTCGTTGAATACGTTATTATGTCAGAGCGATGAAAATTTACACATCATCAAGACATTGGTTTATCCCAAATATAGTAATCAAACCCAGGTATACACAATGACACCAACACCACGTCAAACATAAATACAAAAGAATTGCATAAGCAATCAGCAGTTATTATCTAGATAGATCATTGTTGATTGGGTAAAGGTTAACAGCGGAATCTATGTGCACGCGCGCGTGTAGGTTGATACTTTACACATCGAATATCCTGCGACCCTGTTCGAACAAAGTATCAAAGTCAATGGCCACTAAGTATGTCAGGTCAAGATACCCTTTTTTTATTCAGAATCAACTCAGTCGTGGCCATGGCAACCAATATGAATAGTATTCATGTGGCAGTAAAAATCTGTCTCTGAGTTTGATTTCTATTGTGGTCTATTTTATTGGTCATTACTAGAAATGATGTCTATGCCATTGCCAAAAGACTAGTTTACAAGGAGTTCAGCTAGACCGAAAAAGACGTCATATGCATGTAACTGTTGCAGACAATAGCCAGGAGAAAAAAGTGAAGAGAGGGTAACCCATAAACGGAAGTTTTGGACACACTTGAATCACCATCGAAGTGATGGCATAAGAATCCAAAGAGCCAATCAAAGTGGCTGCACGGTGGCGTCCTCACTGCCAAAGGTTATTCCCCTCGTCAACAAGAGATGCCTTGATAAAATCTTGTAATTTGATCGATGTATGAAAGCAGGATTGAACGAATGTTAATGGCTGCACTGATGTCCCTTTGCCAGACCTGTTATTATTCTCGTTAGGGCTATTTTCGCTTGTTTTATGGATAGGTACTTGCAATATCTTGACCATTAGCAGCTGGACACAGTTTGTAATGCTCCAACTGGTAAATGGCAGGCGGGGGATCTATAGGCATAGCTGAGCACCAATCAAACCTGATTCGATATGTTATACGACTTACTGCTTGGCCTTCTTTCAGAACACTGTGATGTTCGACAGACGACATGATGGTCATCGTCCAAGCATCGCTGCGCAGCATTATTTTGTCCTCCTAGACGTAACTTCCATTTTTCTTTTGAGCATAAAGGAAACTTCAATAATCTGAAAGTCTACTACGTAACTGTATCTACATGCTTGATGAATTTACTTGTGGCTGATTATGATTCTAACTCACTTGTCAACAACACCATGTTGTCTAAGGAGCTATCATCGGGATCTAACTTGTGAAATTGCTCTTTGATATGCTAATTCTAGTATTGATTACAGCACCAGTTATGGATGTCCTCTTCTGTCGTCTTCGTGGCGTCTATGACATCCATAATTGACGTCCCTTCCAAACCAGAAGCAGCAATTTTCAACGTACCTTCCTCCTGTGCCAAATTTCTTCTTTTTCCCTTTTTTTCTTCAAATAACGCCAGGGAATTTTATGTTGTCAAACAAAATAAAATTAGCATACAATATAGTTTTTTATTTGTTTACACTTACATAACTCTTCATGCAGCTTTCTAAACAGCTTCTCAATTGTTTCAAAGCTGGTCAAGCCAGCACTTTCCCTTTCCGAGTTTTTAATTAAATTATACTTCTTTATCACATCAGCTACCAGGAGATATTCCAAGGTGGGATGCTCCTCATCGTCAGTTGACGTACATTTCAACAGACCTTCTACATGAACATCCAAGCGGGCGGCAATGATCCGACAGGTACACGAACTGTATCTGCTGGCATTGGCTCTTGTATAGATAGTCATAGACCCTACATTAACAGTTAGCATCAGTCCTAAGATAGATGATGAGACATATCTTCTACCTGCACACGATCGCCTTCTCTTAGCTTGCTAAACAAGGTGATGATGTTGGCGTGAAACACCTAAAGATTATAGATATTACTGTCGTCTTTTACGAACAAATCCCCACTAAAGGTCTCATCTTCCTTGGCTTTTACTACAGCAGAACGTTGGACTGTTGTGTCAGTACTTTTATCGAGAAGCATGGTGTAAATGGATCATGCTATTTGTACAGCACATTTGCACTGCGTTTTCATAATTAATGACATAAGCAATTCAATTTGCACAGCAAACAGCATATCTATCGTATTTACCTTATAAACACACCATCCTGTAAGAGATTACTTGAAAAACAAAAAGACTGACCACGAAATGCATTATTCTTATAGACGCGTCATGCCCAATTTTCATTAGCCGTGATAATTTCATGCAGTAACCCTGTTTTCTTGTAAAATGAATAATGAGCACTCTCTCGTCTCAACATAATAAAGAGATTATTACAGGCTCATCGACACATGTTTCTCCTATGCTTCAGTGTTGTACATAGCGTTGTATGGATGTGGTTTGTCTGGATGCTACACATTGTGCGTTTAATACAGCCAATGTTATATCACATAGCATTGTCGTTAGACATTCCATTATCGAAAATGGTTGTCCAGTCGTCTTTTTCTTTACTAATGATAACTCAATGATTCCAATCGCACGCTTACTAAGATTTATCAAGAATCTTAGACCTGATCAGCAACTTCCTTGCTTAAAAAAATAACAGTTGACGTTTCCACCACTGAGCATGCAGCCATTACAGAGTCTTTGATTCTGACGTCAGTGCCAACCATATTGTCCATAGAAGCATAATAGCTGCTCTTAAGAGCTTGATGTGTGAAAAGTTCAAGCCAAATGTTCACCTAGAAGTTACTACATATCCCACAGGAGTTTTCAGTACATACGAATTTTACGGCGCACTCTACCCAAAAGCACCTTATTGATGATAACTTCATGCATTGTTCTCCTGCCTACCAACCTCAAATTTTCATCAATATGAAGGTAACAGCTATATTGAGAGTTGACATAAGCAATTAAAGACGAATTATTTAAAAAAAGAGGAATAGAAGGCTGGATCAATTAATATTTTTCTGAGTTGAGGATGTTCATATAGACTTCACGCACACTTTCACAAGGACGATCGCTAATATCGGACGTGTGAGCTCAGAGGCTAGAGAAACAAGAAAGAGAATGATTGCAGCAGAAGAGATCAATGAGCTGTCATTAGAAGGTATGATGCAGAAAGTGTATATTGATGAAGAGGTTTGTTATATTATCAAGTCTTTCACGACGGAAGTTGTATACAATATATCCACTGAGCAAGAAATGATGACTGCGTGCAGTTGTATAGAATTTCAGCGAAATAGGCGTGCTTATAAGCATATGTATTTGTGTTATCGCTTTAATAAAAGCTGTGTGATTTACAGCCAAGGCAGATTGTCACGACAGTAATAAGAGAAACGCTACAGTATATTTACGATATCATCTAGAAATTGACTCTAGCTTGAGAGTTCATACTATAGGTGAGGCAACACTTATTCAGAATACTACGTAAAATAATCATATCGAATCAGTTACTGAGAGCTCTGATGTGCTTCAATCAGAAGTATCATCTGAAGCTGGAGGTAGAAGGAATGGGGTGTTGACAAGCATCACGAATGTATGTAGACAAGCTTTAGAAAGTCGTATACATTTAACTTTTGAAAATAACAGACTGTCACAAATGTATAGCGAACTAAGGCAGTTGGTGTCAGCTAATGAAGAAATTTAATTGACGTCACATCCAATCAAAACTAAGATTACGGTTTGGCGGATAGAGGGAAGCAGGGCCAAGTTAATTCAAAAGTATTTTTTGTATAGTTGCATTACAACATGAGTTTGATCAGTAGTGTCTCAGGCTTTGCTGCTTTTGGTGTTCTTGTCCGTACATATGCACTTGGTCTTCAAAAGCGCCCTATTTTCTCTAGTGAGTAATTACTAAAACGAAAAAAGATAGCAACTGATCACATGCACTAGATCCTAGCGGTCATGCTATAGCTGCCGGTGTCTTTGGTTCAGTTGGATACTTTATGTACTATTTACAAGAAAGACAAGCAGCTGCTATTGCTTCCAAGAAGGAAATCATGCTTCGAAATAGAAAGCGTGCCGAAGAACTTGCAGCTTCAGCTTAAATCAATTGTATAAAATGTCAGCAAAGACCCTCCCCTTTCAATAACAATAAAGAAAGATTCGATGATTTTATGTACACAACTGTAGATAAAGCTTTATTTTATTTACATAAATCAAGACTAGATGAAATCTTCCTCATCATCGTTCCTTAATGTCTTCTTGATCGCCTCTTCTTCAGCTCTAATACGTTCAACTTCTTTTCGGAGCACAGACGTTAGCTTCAAGACATTCTTTTCATATCGAGCAGACACCGGTACGATGGGAATATTTTTAACTTGAGACTGAAGAATTTCTAGGTTTTCTTTGGCAGGATTGACAATATCTGCCTTATTTGCAACAATAAGTGACTGACGCTGAATAAGACCTGGCTTATAAGCCTCTAATTCTTGCTGCAGTATCTTTAGATCATCAAAAGGAGATGGTCCACTGATGTCAATAACATAGACCAACAGCTTTGCACGCTCCACATGACGAAGGAAGGCATGTCCGAGACCAACATTTAGGTGGGCTCCTTCGATCAAGCCAGGAATATCTGCCACTGTCAACTGAAACTGATCTGCGTAATCTACTGTGCCCACAAAGGGGTGGAGAGTCGTAAACGCATAATTTCCTTGCTTGGGGTGAGCGTTTGAAATAGCTCCGAGCAGTGTTGACTTGCCGGCGTTAGGTAAGCCCACGAGGCCGATATCAGCAATTGTCTTGAGTTCCAATTCGATCTGCCTTTCCTCTCCTTTTCGTCCTCGTGTGGCCCATTTGGGAGATCGATTTTCCGTTGTCAGAAAATAAGGGTTACCATATCCGCCTGCTCCTCCCTTACACACTAATACTTCCTGTCCATCTTCTGCTAGGTCTACTTCAATTTTGGTAGGGTTTTCATTACGAAGACGCCATCTGAGGTATCTATCTTCTTCATCCATCAGTCGTTCAGCTTGTTTAAAAAAGTTGACTTTTCCCTCTGGCACTGCTTCCACTTCATCCATGCGTGGATAATATACCCATCTTGCAGCACGACGAGCTTCCTTATCCATAGGCTCTTCCTCTTCCTTCTTTTCAGGCAAAGGAACCTCGCGTACAATTGTTCCCACAGGTACTTGAATCACCAAATCATCTCCTCTCATCCCATGTCTTCCACCACCCATTCCATTATGTCCTCGTTTAGCTGAGCATACGCGTCCAAGTCGTCTGAGTGAGCCTTCGTTTGTAGTGGCTCGAATGATGACATTTCCACCACGTCCACCGTTGCCACCGTTAGGAGGGCCTTTTGGAAGGTATTTCTCTCTCATGAAGGATACACAACCATCTCCCCCGTCTCCACCTTTGGCTCTAAATCGTACAAAGTCGACAAAATGACTATACTGTTCACATAGGCTTTAATTTTATGCGTACAAAATAAAGTATAAAAATATTACCTTGGAAGGACTTTTACGATTCGAATAACTATAAAGCAGGCGAGTTGTGTGAAGTCTGGCCTTTTGTTCAAACTGTGCTCCAAAGCAGCATGATCTAACTGCGGTTAAATGACTTGTTAATGTCAACATTAGAAAAAGGGAGTGAACGGGAGATGAAAAGGACAATAAAAAATTGTTTCAACCAAAAAAGGCAATCGCCTAAAAATAGTAGTCACGTAACCGAGTCCCCCTCATAAATAGCGGAAATGGGGGACAGAGGGATGAATCCTCCTCTTACTAGCCAGGTAAAGAAAAACCCTAATGATACATCCATCCATCCATCTGAACACAACATCCTAGTTCTTTAAACAAGTCCTCGAACAGTTATAAAACATGTCGAAGAGAGAATCCAAGGCCATCTACTTCCAAAAGCTCAACGATTACTTGAACACCTACCAATCCATCTTCATTGTCAATGTTGACAATGTAAGCTCTAACCAAATGCACCAGATCCGTCAATCCCTTCGTGGTGAGGCTACTGTTCTTATGGGTAAGAACACTATGGTTCGTCGTGCTTTGAAGGGCCTTATCACTGCCCGTCCCGAATTCGAAAAGCTCTTGGCTCACGTCAAGGGTAACATCGGTTTCGTCTTCACCAACGGTGACCTCAAGGACATCCGTAACAAGATCGTCTCCAACCGTGTTGCTGCTCCTGCTCGTGCTGGTGCCGTTGCTCCTGGCGATGTCATTGTCCCTGCTGGTAACACTGGTATGGAACCCGGTAAGACCTCTTTCTTCCAAGCCTTGGGTATCCCCACCAAGATTGCTCGTGGTACCATTGAAATTGTCTCTGACGTTCCCTTGGTTACTGCTGGTGAAAAGGTTGGTCCTTCCGAAGCTGCTTTGCTTAACATGTTGAACATCTCTCCCTTCACCTATGGTATGTCCGTTGTTCAAGTTTATGACCACGGTGCTATCTTCTCTCCTGCTGTCTTGGACGTTGAAGAATCTCAATTGGTTGCCAACTTGATGGCTGCTATCCGTGAAGTTGCCTCCATCTCTTTGGCTGTCGGTTACCCCACCGTTGCTTCCGTTCCTCACTCCATCATCAACGGTTATAAGAACTTGTTGGCTGTCTCTGTCGCTTCCGACTACACCTTCGAAGGTTCCGAAAAGATCAAGGAATACCTTGCTAACCCCGAAGCCTTCGCTGTTGCTGCTCCCGCTGCTGCCGCTGCTGCCGACTCTTCTGCCCCTGCTGCTGAAGAAAAGCCTGCTGAAGAAGAAGAATCTGACGATGACATGGGCTTCGGTCTCTTCGATTAAGTTCTGTAATGTACATTCATAATCAAAATCAAATTATTGAAATAAATCTTGATGATTTGCTTTTTGTGTAAAAGCTTTTATTAATATATGGTTTATGTACGATTTTTTCTTGTTTTGTACAATGAGTAAAGTAACAAACAACAATGACATCTTTATATATAAATTTTAGTCGTGTAAATATGGACGTGAGTGATGATCTGAAGAAGGGAAAGGGGTATTGTGTTGCTGTCCTAGATAAGTTCCCCAGTCGTTCCAATTTAGACTAGAAGGGGGTAAGGAAGGTGTGACGGAATGAGGTGAGGGCTGCTGTTGTTGTTGTGGAGATGTATGCGACTGTGGTACCGAGACATAAGATAGAGGATAATTATCGGGGGTGGAAGTCATAATGGGTGATTGATAATTGACATAATTTGGAGTAAAAGAAGAGGACGAGGGTGGATGATAGACCGGATTGGCTGAACGAGGAACTTGAGAATAAACAGTTGGATAAGGATCGTTTATAAAGTGAAGGTTGGATGAAGAGGTGGTTGGAGTAGAAGAGATGGTGGATTTTTCATAGAGGGTATTGTCGTCATCGTTAGGCATAGGATAAAGTGGCTTGGTCGCTTTAGAATAGTACATGACATCAGATGTGTCTTGTAAAGAACCAGTGTTAGCGTACGGTAATAGTTGAACAAGGATGTGAGATGAGTTACCTTGCTCAATTCCTTGATGCAAGTCAGGTGTGATTCCACCGACGATACTGGTGTTCATCATACGTTGATACCAATTTGATTTAGGCATCACGTCATGGCCAATGGAGTTGTCGAATCGTGGCTGGTTACTCTGGTCCGTATTTTCGGGATGTGTCGCCGTAGAGAGTTCAGAATCACTGATAAGATGGCTGTAATCGTCATTTGTTGATAAAGAGATATGATCGAGCTGAATAGAATGAACATCGATGAGCATTTTGAGGATATGATGAGCACGACGAGCGCAGGCCAGCTGTTCTCCGTGTTCCTGAAGAACAGTAACAGAATGGGAAAGACGTCGGAGCCTGAATAGAGAGTCAGGGTTTTTAAGGACAAGAGCGAGATGAATAAGGGAGGATTGAAACATGGAATAGACAAAGAAGGTGGGTAGACATAAAGGAGAATACGAGTCAGGATCATTCATGAGGGATTGCTTTTGCTTGACGATAACCATGATATTATGAGCAGCATTCTCACAAGCTCGACGTGACTCAGTGGCTAGTGCAGTGTTACCAAAAGGCAGTTCTATAAATGGCCTATGTAACAGTAACATCGTCGTATAATAAATTAGCGATAAATTAACTAAATTAAAAAGTAAAATTAGAATAACCAATCAGAAAAATAGCGTAAATGACTAAAATGTATAAATTTACCTTTTTCGGCTTCAGATACAGCATGTGCCTCACCCAAATGTGTGGCTTTCCAATTCTTTAATCTTCGGTCAAGGACAGCGAGAATGGTGGGGTCATCTAAACCTGCATTTGTGTTTGAATGCTTTGATTTGGGTGCATAAAGAGCTTTGAGGATTCTACCGAGTATCTCTGATAATTTAATGAGAGCGATAAAGTGCTGATAAATAGGTGCATCGGATGATACTCGTTGATCATCATAAACTTCATGGGGCACAGGCAAGTCTGTATCAAAATCACGATCAAGGATGGTCAATGGCTTGCCTGCACGAGCACTCATGAAACGATCAAGGATATAGCAGGCGTAGAACACGCGATGTCTTGTCTCAATCTCAGAAGGAGGCAAGTTCCAATTGGAACATGAACGATGCAGGCCAATGTCTTGAGCCATACGAATAGCCTTGCCAAGAGTGTACCACTGTACAGATTCGATGTCTGTTTCGTCCATGTCAAGGTAAAGAGTCATCAGTAAAGCAGCTTGAACATGTCGCAGTCTTGCACGATAAGAATCTTGAAGGCGAAGCATGACCTTTCTAAAATAAGTATTGGCGTAAGCATCCGATTTCTTGAATAGTTTGGGGAAGTGACGTGATGCAAAACGAAAGGCTACAGCTAATACAGCTTGTGCTAGGATATTGCAAGGCTTTAGGTCATACGCTTCAAACCTCGCTTTGTTTACTATGGGTAAAAACTTATGGATATGAGTAAAGTACCTAGAAAGAAAAAGTTAGTCGTGCCTCGTAGTTTATATGTTGAATGACCTACAACTGACAGGCCTTTTGAAGGATGGTATGAGATGGTAGATCATTCTTTGGCAGTTGTGTCAAGTGTTCTTTTTTATGTTGTTGATCAAAGATAGAGCTGGTTAAGGAAAGTCCAACGTCAAGGCGTGTATATTTCCCAGTGATAGATGAAGCATTTGTCTGTACAACGAGAATTTCATTCTGAGGCATGAGCTGAAGAGCAACATCTTTTCTTCCAGGACATTGAACAAATGATTTCGATTTGAAAAGGTCATCATTAAAGAGATGAATACCAGCAGAGATGCCAGTGTATTTAATAGAATCGTAATCTTCTAAATTCAAATTTGCGAGTGTTTCTTCTATTGATGAATGTTGTGGCTGATGATGCTTATTTATTTCTTCTTCATCTTCGTCTCCTGAAGACGTGCTTGTAGATAAATTATCATCGATTATATCATATCTACATTTTTCAATACAAAAATCATTCTCTTCAATCTCTCTGATGGATTTCTTTGTGAGTTGAGTGAGTAATGTTTCCATTTTTTTACATCTTGTTTCTAAATTCTCGACATAGCTATTTAAAGAGTCAATTTCATCTTGGCATTTATATAATTATATATATATATATATATATATTTACACACTGGGTGGTCCTCGTTTCTTTCTTACAGCTAAAAATTCACAAGTAAAACCCCACTAAAAGATGTGAGTCTAGAGAGAACAATAATAATAATAATTATGATCAATTTACTGCTCTGCAATTTGAACAAGGTATCGAATGGTCTGCGTCACAGCGGGCTTTCCTCTTTCTACAGAAATCACAACTTCTTTTGGCCCTTGTCCTTTTAAGGGGTATATTTGATGTATTGTTGTTATTATTCTCAATCGATGAATTGTTTATAGAAGATACAATATTCATGATTGATATTAAAACACAGAAAAGAAAGAGAAAAAAGGGAAAAAAAAGGGAATATTATTTTTATAAATTTATGTGGTAAAATATATATAAAAAGAGAAAGAAAGAGAAAAAAGATAATGTGTGTGTCTGTGTCTGTGTCTGTGTGTGTAATAAATAGCCTTTTTTTATTATTATATTCATCATTATTTTACACGTGCGCACTTTGAATTTTAACGTATTTGGTGCATTTCGTTTTGAAGGTTGTGAAGTAACCTACAGTCCCTTTAATATTTTGTCACTATGGAAACACCTTATTTACCTTAACATCTGTTTATTCTCTTCCTGCTGTTGATGAAGAGCTATTCGGAGTTGATTGTTGTCATTTTCCAAATTCTGTAATTTTGTACTCTGGTCCTTTAGTTTGGCCTATTAAAGAATAGTGTTAAATATAGAAAAAAAATTTTTGCTTCCCTTGTTTGTGTACCTCTGAACTTTCAAATTCAGCAGCCATCCACCTCATTTCAAGGGCCTTTGATTTTAAGGATTCATCCTTCTTTTGGCATTCCGATTCAAGGGCACTCATCTTCTGCTTGTATTCTTCATTTAACTTTTCGATATCCTTTTGTTGTGTAGCCGTAATCGTCTTTAGACGATAAGCAAATCCTTCAATTTCTTTATCTTTCAAGTCAAGTAATTGTTGGAATTGAGTTTGAAGCACCTTGATCTCTTTTTGATGCTGAGATACAATTGACTGTATTTTACTGCTGTCATCAGACTATTACATAACTTTGAATCCACTATTTCTATTTTAATATAGCCATTACTTACCTGGCTCGTCACCATCGTTTCCCCTAATCGTTCCTCTGCTTCTTTGATTTCTTGATCTTTGGCTTGGATCATTTTATCATATGCAATCTTTAACGTGCGTAACTCTTCTTCTATTTTTTCCTTTTCATTTAATTTTGATTTTAATTCATTAATTTCTTGCTCTTTTCCCGTCAGTTCCTTTTCCTATTTAAGGTATTATACTTTACTCACAGATGCTCTATTTTTGCTCTTACCTTTAAGGCAAGTGGCTCACTGACCGCAGTACTCATTGCTTTTTCATGCTCAGCCTTAATAGAGTTTAGCCGCTCTTGGTATTCTTGTTCAAGTTCACTCATCTTTTTGGTCTCTTCCTCTTTCCATTGCATTTGCAAGTCTTCGATTTCCTTTTGCATCTTTTCGGCCACATCTTCATTGCTCTTCACATGATTTTCTGTTTGTAACTGGTATTCTGCTTCCAACGAGGCTAATTTCTCACGGTATTGTAGTTCTAATGCTGCCCTGTCAACCTCAGCCTGCTTTTGGACTGTCTCCACCTGTTCCATTGCTTCCTTCAACTGGGTCTCTAAATTTCTTATTGCCTCTGTGTGTTCAGAGACAAGCTTATCCATTTGCAATTCATAATCTTCTGCAAGTTCAGCCTAGAGTTAGATAAGTAAGTCGTACACGTGAGGTGAACAAGGGACACACAAAAAGCTTATACCTCAATTTGTGATCTGAGTGTTTCTGACTGTAACTTGTGTTTGGCTTGCAACTTGCTGGTAGAAACTTCGTGTTCTCTTTCTATTTCTTGCATTCTAGACTCATGGCTGTTCTTTAATTCTTGTATCATCGATTCGTAACCTTCCTTCAACTCAACCTAAGGCACTTGTGAATACGCTTTTTTGTTTCCCCTCTCTCTTTTTTTTTTTTCTTACCTTGATCTTTTCTGCATCAGACACAGTCTTGGATTCAATCTCTTTCTTGATGTGTTCAACCTTCTCTTCATAATTTGTTTCAAGGCTGGTAATTAATTGTTTATGTTCGGTCATTAATTTCTCTACAGTCGCTTCATGCTCCTTTTGAAGTTTTTCCAAATCCTCATCGTGCTTTTTCTTGAGCAACTCGAGTGCTTCTTGATGAGAGGCTGTTATACTTGCCAATTCTGTAGTCTTTTGAACATCCAGACTCTTTTGCATCTCCTCAATCTGAGAAGCGTGTTGGTTTTCAAGGGCTAAGAGAGCAGCGACATGCTCCTCGCGTAACTTGGTACCCACAGATTCGTGAAACTCTTGTTTTTGTGCCTCCCACGTTTGGTTAAGAGTCTGAATCTCACGGACGTGGGCCTTTGAAAGGGACTCAACCTCGTCCTGGTGCGCCTTTTTCAAAGCTTCCATCTTGTCTTCAATATCCTGTCGAAGTGCAGCCAACTCAGTTTCCTTGGCTTGGTCTCTTTCACGAAGTTCCTGTTCGAGTGCTGTTTTAAGTTTAGTGGCGTAGCTCTCTTCTAATACCTTCAACTCTGACGTATGAGTGGCATTTAGTTTATCTATAGCCTCCTGGTGCAATTTCTCGCCTAATTCGAATCGTTCCTTTTCTTGTGCGTGTTCCAACAGGAGTTTCTCGGTAGCTGCAGCAATCGCCAAGTTTTGTTCAACCTTGAGTTGTTCCACTTCCTGAGCATGTTTGGTCTTGAGTTGCTCAATTTCCTTTTCGTACTTGGTCACTACTTCAGTCAGTTCTGTATCACCCGAATTCTTTAAGGTTTCGATTTGCTGTAATGCGTTACTAAGCTTGTCTTGATGTTTAGCTTCCAGTTCCTGTAGTTGCTTGTTGTGCTCTTCCAAAGCAATATCTTTAGACTTGACATATTCTTCCTTGACCGACAAAAGTGTTTCTTCGTATGCTTTTTCCTTCTCGTTCAGTTTTTGTGCGTGTTGCTCATTAAGTGCACTGATCTCAGCATCATGCTTGGCTGTCAAGGCAGCAATGTCTGATTCTAAACGAGATGCGTGTGCTTTCTCAAGCTCCCTGAGAGCATCCTGTACGTGCTTTTCATTACTACTCTTCAGTTCGTTGATTTCGAGCAAGTGTTCTTGCTTTAATTTTTCAATGATTTCTGCATGTGACTTTTCGAGTTCCTCAATTCGGGATTGCCAGTCCTTCTCAGTCTTGCCATGACCCTGCTTCAAGGACTCGAGCTCCTGAGCATGTGTCTTCTTGAGCTCTTCCATCTCAGCCTCAAACTTGTTCTTCATATCAGAGACATCTGAGTCGCTTTGAGACTTGTAGCGGTTTTCGACAGAAGCCACTGCTTCCTGCAACTGCTCCTCGTGAGATGCCTTGAGTGCTTCAATGGCAGCCTCATGTTCCTTCTTGAGTTGTTCGCTTTGCTGCTTAAGGGCTCCTAATTCCTCTGCGTGGTCTTGTTCCAACTGCTTCATCTTTTCAGTCATTTGTTGTTGTAGTACGAGTATTTGTTCATTCGTATCGTTCGTCTGACCAAGCGTACGAGCCTCTTCCAACTGAGACGTCTGTTTGTCCTTGATCTCCTTGACTGCCTTTTGATGTGCATCTGTTAATTCTTGGATAGCTTTCTGATGCTTTTCCTCAAGGGCCTCTCTGTCACGATCACGTTGAAGGATGTAATCACGCTTCAGCTCGTTTACTTTGGACTCATGCTCGGCTGACAATCGATTCAGTTCTGCTTGATGGACGGCTCTTAGTGCCTCTTCCATTTCTTTACGGATATCGTCCAAATGACCATCACGCTCAGCATCGATGGCCTTTAGCTTCTCCTGATACTCTGCTGCCAGTTTGGTTTGCTTCTCAATTTCCAGCTTGAGTTCGCTTTCGAGTTTTTCCATACCGCTGTTGTGATGAGCCTGAAGTTGCTCAATGGCTTGACGATGACTAGCCGAGAGCTGTTCCATCTTACTTTCGAATTCGGCACGAATCTCTCGCTCAGTCTCTGAACGAGCGTTCACTACAGCCGTCTTTTTGGCCTCGTTCAAAGCTTCAGCATGGGCTTCCTCGAGCTCTTGTATAGCCTGTGCATGCGCTGCTCGGATCTGTTCAATCTCTGAGGAAAGTTTGGTCTCTGCACTAGAGCTTTGGTCGACAAGTGCCTTCGCGTGACTTTCTTCAAGCTGCTTTATTCTTTCTTGATACTCGTTTTCAATACGCGACTATAAAGAAGTCATTAAAGAGAAAAAAAAAGAAAAGGCTTTTTTGTTACCTTTTCTTGCTCCTTGGCCTCCTGAACAAGAGTTTCGTATTCTTTCTCTAAGCGGACCTTTTCCTCTTTATGAGCGTCCTGTAATTTTTGCATTTCTTCTTTGATACGTTCTTGTTGTTCATTCAATGACTGTACAAGTGCCTCATGCTGAGCCTTGGTGTCATTTACTTGTGCTTCATATTCAACCCGAATGGATGTCTATTAAAAGAACAAGAAAATGTGAGCGATTCATTATCTATTTACTCTAATGGAACTTGCCTCGGCTTCTTCCTTCACTCGCTTAATCTCGGCTTCATCAAGAGCCGCCTGAACCTGACTCATCTCAGCCTGATGAGCTTCCTTCAATGTCTCCATTTGACTTTCATAGTTTTCTTGAAGTGCTTTGATTTCAACCTTAAAGAAATCATAAGTAAAAATGGTATTTTTTGGTTTGTTTGTTTACTTTTAGCTCATTGGCAACTTTATCCAGTTCCTCCTGGTGACGACTAATCAATTCATCCAGTTGTGCAGCTGATTGCGTCTTTAATTCTGCCAATTCATTTTCATGCAGACTCTTGGATTCGGCTGACAATTGCTCGAGCTCTTGAATCTTAGCTAGTAAATTTGTCTTTTCTTGTTCGATAGCCTTTTCACTCTCTTCATTAGGCTCTTGTAGCTTCTTGAGTGATTCTTGCAAGGCATTCAGTTGCTGCTCATAATCTTCTTTAAGTGCATTTATTTGAAGTGTATGCTGCTCGTTCAATTGGTTGCTGAGCCCTGTCAAACGAGTTTGATGCGACTTGTGCATGTCCTACATGACGGAATTAAATAAGCACATTCTTTTTTTTGGGATAATCCAATCAAACCTGAACACTTTCTCGAAGTTCATCCATATCCTTTTTGAGTTTAGACACTTCTGTTTCCTTTTCCTTGATATGGCCATGCAAATCCTGCTTCTCTGCTTCCAATTTTTCCCTGACCTTTTCCATATTTTCACGAAGAATTTCCTCTGCCTCTTCTTGCTTTTTGATCAATTCAGCCCTTTCCTCTTCAAATTGAGCAGCGGCTTCCTTTGATTTTTCAAGTTGCTCATCACGGACCTGTTCCAGCTCTTGAATATGTTGCTTTAATTGCTCAATCTCGTTTGACAAAGCCTCAATCTTGGCCTGATGCTCGTTCTCCTCAGCCACTTTACTCTCATCACTGTCATTTTCTTCTTTTGTGCTAGTCGTAGGAGTCACAGCTTCCTCAGGGGTAACCAAGCCAGTTTCGATTTGCTCCAGTCTTGTCTTGAGTGCCTTGAGATCAGCCTCTTTGCTATCAATCTCGGCTTGTTTTTCTGCCAACAGATTTTCCATTTCTTCATTCTAATAATTTTTTTTAGATTGTCTATCTAAATCTACTGGAGCGCAATTTTTTTAAATACCTTTTCCTTTAAGCTCTTTAACTCCGCTATTAATTCAGTGGACTTAGGTGCAGTAGAAGCAGTGGGTGATCGAGCGGTTGAGGAAGATGTCACGGTAGATGCTCTTCGAACAGAGGCAGTTGATGTGATGGAACTAGGACGAACACTTGACGTACGTGTGGTAGAAGCAGTAGGTGAAGTTATCTTTCGAGTAGTGGATGCTGTACCTGCAGTGGCTGCAGATGAGCGAGTAGATGGCACCGCGGTCTTTCTTACAGATGGTGTAGTTGGAGATGTTGCACTGGCTGCAGAAGTTCGTTTGGGCGTAGCTGTGGCTCGTGAGGTTGCTGTTGTTCCTGTAGCTGTGGTTCGTGAGGTTGTTGCTGTTCCTGGAGTCTTTGAAGCACGAACACTTGCAGTAGTAGTAGAACGTGCAGTAGAAGCTGTTGCAGTAGAGGAACGAACGGTTGAGGCCGTGGCTGCTCTTGTAGGCGGCGTCTTGGTAGCTCGTGTTGTTGCTGCTGTTGGTGTCTTGGTAGTTGTGGTCTTTTTAGGTGTCGCAGAAAGACCTGCAGCGGCCAAAGAAGATATACGGTTTTTTACACTTGGTGTCTCAGACATGGATAAATCAGAACCAAGTGCTAAAGTGGATTTTCAAATAAGAGAAAGAGAAAAAGAAATGTAAAAAAAAAAAGACAGATAATATATATATATAAAAGTGCAGCTGTTCCGCTGACAATATGAGGAAGCACGGAATTTAAAATATAAAATAGGGGGAGCACAAAAAAAGACCAGCACTAAACAAGGTTGTTTTGCTTTGGATCAAGATATATGTATTAGATCTTAGGTTATGCCTAACATGGCTATTATTAATACATGTTTAAGAGTTATATTTCCTAAGTATCCGTAACATCGAAAACACTTGTTCCCGTTTAACGTCACTCTGATTTTACTATCATCCAAGTTCAATGAAATGTTTGATACTGATATGGATGAAAAAGAAGATGCGTTCTTCGATGCAATGTTTCATAGAGATATTTTTGCTTTGCTCAGGCTGTTTTTGATCTGCTGCTGCACTAGTCGTTTTTCAAGGCACTACTGATTTATAGAATAAGGGACCAATTTCTCATCTACAGCGTCCATGGCTTCGCCTCCATTCACATTGTAAACATTTCATTGGCCACCTTCTTTTAACAATAAACTATGAAATCAGTTTCACGCAATAGGTGAAATTAATTTTAAACAGCCAGCTTTTTTTTTTTGATAGCCCCTCAGTTTTTACTGTAAGACCCGTTCTTTTCTACTAACTCTACTTTTCAAGTCATCGTACTACAGTAGTTTCTCTGAGCTCTTAGACAATCAGCTACCATCATAATCACTTTCAATTACTGTTTGAAAGCACTTTTTAAGATGAGCTTATCAATTTCCAAATGAGGTGCGTACCGCCTTGAGTGAAGTTTTCGACTTCTTAAGTATTAAAACGAATATAATGGAAAGACCAAGATTATAAAAAGAAAAATACAATGGCTTTACATCAAACAAATAAGCAACTTTCTATTATAAAATAAACAAAGAAAAGAAAGAAAAGATAGAACCAAAAGTTTACTCTCGAAAAAAAAAGAGTTTAGCATGGATTGTTCAATTTGAGTAAGTGAGCAGGATAATCCTGGAATGAGCTTATGGAGAACCAGCGTTCACAGTACGACTTTGTGAGGACAACTGCAGAAAAAATGAGACGTAGTTTCATCAGAGCAACCACAGAATGAACACGACACGGAATGGTGTTGACTTGGAATAAGGGTATGTAAACGTTATTTGCAAGGGATCGTTCGATGTAGCAACCGATATCACGCATTTCGCGCTGCTGGAAGGAGCGGTAGTCGTCAGAAGGCGTCCATGATACAGGAGACGCTACAGGTCCGTATTGTTTCCGTTCCAAGGCTCTTTGTGACAATAAATACTTACGATAAGACTGAGGACGGAGATGAGGACCTAAATTACCCACTCTAGGAATACTGGGTCGACAAAGAGGTGTCAATCTGGTGACCGCATCTAGGTCAGTCGTAGAAGCACTTCCGGAGATGTACAAAGGCAGGAAGACAGAAGACAGTAGAACGTGTCCTTGAAGGAGTAAAGCAGTAGTTTTACGATAAAGCTGTAGAAAGCGAGGATACTCGTTAGCTGTCCGCAGGCGAAGGTTAGCGCAGTCTGAGGGTCATGGATGATAATATCACTGATTAGAATCTTGTGAAATCCTGGATTAGCAGGAGACAGTGTTTGCAGAATGTCGAGCATGTAACAGTGGGAAGGACGTTCAGTGGGACTTATTAAGTCACAGTGGATCGGCATAGCCAAGAAGGCCTTTGCATTCAGGCTAGAGATGCCAGTGTTTCATAAACTATAGCAGTATTGAATATCTAACACTGAATCTATAATATGTATAGTGCATTGAACGGGATATTCTTTATTTCCAAGAAGAATAATAAATATGGAATCGACAAAGAAGTGTATGAACAGATGATAAATGAATTGGAAACTAAATTCGCCCCTTTCTTTGACGAAGCTCAAGTTGATTATTTTCAAATCGGACATCTAAGAAAAGTATACAAGGTATTGTATTGTGATTTTAGCACATGGACATTATTTCTAATCTATTTAATAGACGGCCATGAAAGACGCCAGGTTGGCCAGAAAGATGGCGTTCGATATGGCGTTCGATCTGACAGCTGATTCTCGCAAGCAACTAGAAGCGATGATGAGCGAAGCTGTAGCTAACATGTAAGGTTAAAATGGCTCCATTTAAAGTGAGTAGCTAATTCGTTATAGGATAAGGGAACTGGAATCCGTCTGCGGCTCTCACCATCTAGAAGACAAATTCAGAGCAAGATTTGTCACTCCTCTTCTGTCGTCTTTCTTCAAAGAGACCAAACATTTCGCTTATTTTGGGTAGGTTATTTATACATTTTACAAACTAGGTGAATTAACTTTAAATTTGTATTCATTGTTAGTTCCGACGAAGAAGCATTGGGGAGCAAAACAAGAAAGGGTGGACTAGGCCGTAAGTCAAATGGAGGATATAAGGTCATTTACAACGACTACGAACAGCAAATAATCCACGTTGAAGTCAAGGGTCCTAAAATAGTTACAGAGGATCACATATATCACCCTGATTTTACAAAACTCTGTAACTTGCTGAAGGATGAGATTGACCATTTGCTGTGGAAAGATTGCCCTACCGAAATCCCAGTCTTTGGAATGCTTATTAGCGGTAAGTGAAGGGCTAGGGATATTTTTACACAAGATAAACTGAAAGTTACATTGTAATTAGAACACAAGGCATCGGTATACGCCATGGATTTAGTCTATACACATATGTATAGACTATTTGAGATTGGCGAATTTTTAATTCCTCATTCCAATCTTGATCTAAGTCGTTTGGACCAGTGCTTTAACGTGTTGATCACTCTGAAGGTTAAATTTTAATACCAAATAGATAATTGTATTTGCTTTACTAACTGTCAAGAATATTAGGAATTGGTGGATAAATCCTCCAAACAATGCTTGGAGTTTTTGATGAAAGCCGCCACTCCTGGAACGCCTCCAGCACGAAGGCAGCTTTATGTCAAGTCTTTTAGGAGCCCCCCAAAAAAAGTCCGAATAAAAGCATCTCTTTTGTTAAAAAAAATATATAACATTCGCTATATAAAATGCAGTATTTATTTACAAGTGTTTGTCAAAGAACTGGGAATTAGACGCTTTACAGTTAGAGGTTTTGTTTATATGTGACATAAGAGGGTTTAAAGAACATGGCTTGACAATTGAGCATTGCCTTCATTGTTTAATTTATGTGGAATACACGGTAAGCAGGACCAACCAAGCAGGACCAACCAAGCAGGACCAACCAAGCAGGACCAACCAAAGTGGAATCAATTAAGAAGAATCAACCAAGTAAAGAGACCAAAAAGTAAGCGTATTGGCAGTTGACACAGAGAAATTCCTGAGGCTTGACCGGATATCTTTCCTAGTATATAAGGGCATTAAAGGCTATATTATTTAAGCAAAAGACTAATAGTTTAAATACCCCTTTTTTTTTAAAAAAAAAAAGCAGGTAATGGGGGCTCATCTTCACACTACAGCCAGCAAGGATATATGCCACCTATGAACAGACCTCTCTATGCTCACGCATAGCGAACCCTTTTTTTTATCGCCCTCATAAGCGGTTGAATTGCCTAGTGAGGGTCAAGTCATAGCTATGGCACTGCGGCAACAACCATCAAAATAGCTGTATTCGTCATCTCTGTTGCTATTCAACAACAGCAGATCAAGCCGACCTTGAGTTCACCCATCATATAGGATATATGCCATCTATGAACAGACCTCCCTATGCTCACGCATAGTAATTACAAATTCTGCTCCTCCACTTAATTGTTGGCTCGATTCCCTGGATGGTCCTCAATTAGTTGCAGATGTATATAATAGATCTGTATCTGTATACTCTGAGGCAGCAGGTAATACGCAGTACCTGCCATTTAGATCCGAGATACCTGATACCCTTTAGACCAATCATGTTGTGCCTTAGACAGGTCAACATGCAACGTTGGTACCTGATAGATTGAAAAGAACCATTATATGGGCCTACCCTGTATAAAAAAACGGCGTGAAAGACAGTGGTATTTTATACAAATAAATGGAGCATATGCAGCGGGAATGAAAGGTTGCACCAAGAATTCGAACAGGAGAATTTGATTATTCCGAATCATCATACCTAAAACCTTTCGGGAGAGGATGGGATGAATATACAGTTCATGTTGGCATCTTACACGTAAGGGATGAGAATTGGGGTTCTGAATGGAAAATGTGGAAAGGCGCAATTGAGACAAGGAACGTGTAAGAGTAATGTTAGAAAGAGTACGTACAGCAGCTGATACGGGAAGTTGCAGACAAGTATTGGCATTAGGTACCACAGGCGAGAAATCCATGGGCAGTGGGTCAATCGCATAGAACAATAAATGCAGGGGATTTGTAAACGATCGTAGAGAGGAAGGACGCAAATCGAGGAATAGGAAGGACAAACGGAAGCCATCCACAGGCTATGTTTTTGGTAGTGTGAGGCTGACTGCCTGAAGGTGGGAAAGGAAGCACTCGGCGAGGCGGGGGAAGCACAATCGAGCCTTGAAGCGCTGGTGAGACCCAGAAGGTACATATCAATAACATAAAACTGACTAATCACAATAGTAATTACAAACCCTATAATCATTTTTAATATCTTTCATCTTTATTCTTCCAAATAAAAGAAATATAAAGACTCCTATTGTACTTTCTATCTATTCTCACTACTACTACTACTACTACTACTACTACAGCTATAACAACTACAAACATCGCATTGCTTCTGAATTTGGAGAGGAGGCGATTATCCTCTCATCTGACAACCCTGTCGAACTTGAATGGTTTGTTTCAGTTGCCTAAACATAATGAGTATGATAATATTCTTTTATTCGAACGTTTCTACTTATTTTTACAATGAAAATAAATCTATTACAAAAAAAGAACAAGTTGATTTTTAGCCCGAAAAATGAAATGTCCAGAGGTTTTAGCTGATTATCAATGAAAATATATAAGAAAAAGGCTTTGGGCTAAAGTCTATGTGAGGCTTTTGAGAGTCGGCCTATGATGAAGTCCAACAAAACTATCCAATGTGTAGCGTCAAGCTAAACATGACTTTAAATGTTGCCGTCTTAGACTGTTTCTTTCCAAGGAGAAGAAGAGATAAGAAAGAAATGTTGTTATTGTTGTATTTTAATTTTATGTTATCAGTTTGATCAGCAAAGGTGCAAGATCATTCATGTGTAACTATGATAAATTCATACTTTATACCAGAGAGAATGAACTAGACAGCCTTAGGTTAGGCAGAAAATTTAGTAGTGTAAAATTGTATAGCGTCTCTACATGTAGCGCCCCAAGGAAGCGTCCGTAGCACTAGCCTATTTTTGAGTACATTTTTTGAGTGCACCAAGCATTTGCCAAAATAAAAGGCAATTCAGACTTTTAGTGTTGTGTCAAGCTAATAACACAATTCTTATCAAAATGATTTAATTTATTCTTTAAAATAACTTTACATTTGGTAAACGAGACATGTACAAAGGTAGCTTGTTTTCTTTTGGTGCCCTGCTATGACCAAAATATACTTACCCAGCCCAGTACCATACGTATGCCCAAGTAATGCCTCAGAGTGCTGTATGTTTGTTTGCCAGGATTACCCAATGCGCCTAGACCGTCGTAAAGAAGAATGCTCATGAGCAAATTCACTTGATAAAGAGCAGACGACAATTGTTTGCACCAGACAGTCATTTTACATACCACCATTTCTTCATTCTTCCTTCTCTCTCCACTGTTTCCAAAAAAGATGGTCAAGCAGGTTCACTTTTTCCGCCCTTTATATATCTTCCATCATAATCATGGCGAAAGAACCAGCACACTCGGCAGACTTTTCTACAAGGAGAAAAGCAACTTCCAGAAGAGCAACGGCAAGAATAGGAGTAAGCTTCTTGAGTACTTGGTAAGTAGTCAAAGCCACTTTCTTGGCCAGAGGATGACGAACGACGGGAGAAGCAAAAGAGAAAGCATCAAAAAGACAATTAAAGGTTTTAGACATGAGTTAAAGAAAATAAGAGTGGTTAATAATGGAAAAAAAAAAAAACTAAACAAAAGTGTGCCTCTTTTTATATGCCAAACGGTATAATTTATCAAAAATACAGCATGCGCTTGGCAACTTTTACCCTTTGATAAAATAGCTCCAGGAGCATAAACCTATTTTTATGCAATTAGAATCTTGGTAAACTGTCGTTTAGTCTAATGATAACCTCCCCTTATCCACATATATGTTTATAACTATGATTTCATTTTATTTCAATAAACTATTTAATCAATTATAAGCGTACGTTTATGCAATGTTCAAGAAATTATTTTTGATAGAAAATATTACAATTTAGTAAATACGTGAATATAGCAAGGTGTTTTTATTGTTATTAACTTGGTCTATAAAGTAACTTGATTGGGAGCCGTTGTTCTTTCCAATTCATCTGTTGGCCATAACTCATGTACAACTGCCTTGTTCTCCCTATTCTGTCATCCAAATAGACGACGTTACTGGAATATCAAATGCTTTACTAACAGCAATAATCTGCAAGTGACCAGATTCTCTTTTACATTTCTTGATCAAAACTCGTTTATAGAAACCATTTTATCAATAATGAATGGTTCATTTTCAGCTGAATGAATAAAAAGGTAAACTTGATAAATCGAAAGCGTATGATGATCGCATTATTGATCAGCACAACTGCGGCAGAAATTACCATTGCGATTAACGAGTCTCTTGACATCTCACAGTAGATAACAAAAAAGAATCATAAAGAAGCACAAAGAGTAACGTGTTGAAGTTCGCTCTTCCCGACACTGTCAATAAGTGTTTAAAGGAAAAAGGGTTTTGCTCTTACTTTATGACCTATAAGCCTTTACTTACAAGCATTCACAAGTGCAGCAGAAGCTATTGGGCTACGACGATGGCTTTGGAGGGATTCTCTTGATGTTTTTGTTAAACCTGCAAAATTTAGAGAGCACGAGCCTGTTGTGTACAGAATACCAAACGATTTGCAAGTTTTAAGCCGTTTTTATTTCCTGGCTTAATCTGTGAAAACCAAAATTATACCATGGTCTTATCGTTATGTATGTGAAGCAAGTTAAGCGTTGATAGGCTATCTAGACGGCCATAATGGTATTAGCACTGTTACAGATCTGAAAAAATCAATATAATGACATTAGGATGTTTTCAGTCATTTCTTGTATCAAATAGTGCATTAATAGTTATCTTTATTAAGCGCATATATTAGCTATATGCGCGAGTTGTTTTAAAAAATTCATTAGGTAATTAAAAAGATGAACATGCTTCCAGAGCAATGTTGAGTATTTACAAAAATGCATTTAAGAAAGTTAATTAAGAAGAGTGCCTGATATTCTTACTACTGGCGCTAGACCTTTCAGCAAAGTACGCTACTTCAAGCTCGCCGTCACTGAAATAATAAGAACCTTCATCATTCAAGAAGGAATCATTATCTATTTCTGATAAACGTTGAATAACTGACAAGTCCTTCTAAAAATCACACTTACCTTCTAATTGTTCTTCTAATATCATAAAATGTTTAGGCGTACTGTTTCGGTAGTATGCACTATTTCTTGATAAGCGAGCTTTAAGGGCCAGCGAATCCGTAGACTCATTAGACAAGTGCTCCTGTGAGCTTAGGTCTTGCATGTATATCTTTAGCGTATCTTCTGTAGGAAAGACTTGCTCTCCAGAAGCTTTAGCATTTTCGTTTTCTTGAGGATAACAAGAGTCGGTCCAAAAGATATAGTCAAACTTGACTAGCATCATTCGAAGCATATGAGAAGGAATGGCCAAGGTAGCAGAAAAGACGACACAAATGTTGGACAAAGTCATTTTGTTCTTGTTTGAGTTTTGCACAACGCGGATCAGATGTGCACACAAGAAGCGTAAAAGTGCATAGTTTACAAGTGGGAGAAGTGAGATAAGTCGGCCCAACTCGTGTATTTTTGCCTGTTGATCTGAAGCTTCTACCCAAGCAAATAAGGATGAGGAAAAAAAGCAATAAAAAACGTTCACTTACCACAAGTGCGTAGATACTCGCTCAATAAACTTTCTGTAAAGATGTTTTCTGGAAGTTCACGTAACCACATCTTGAGTAGACCTGCTACAGCATGAAGATCGTGGTGCTGATCTTGGCCTAAAAGATCAACATCGCCTTCTATATAGAAGCTATGCTGTGAGTATAATAATAGTAAAATAAAAGTTTCAAGTACCGTCGCTGAACCTCCTCTTGAGGCCTTTGATCTCCAACACACTTCCACTCATTCTGTATATGCCTTCTTCTTGTAGTGCGCCTTTGATTTCCAAGTACTCTATACAACGATATACAATAGCTGGCAGCATACACTGATCCGAAATCTTTGTTTTATCGGCAACATCTTGCAAAGGAACACCAAAGACGCCATGGGCTGCAGGCGTTGGATTGAGCATAAATTCATGCTCATTCTTTATACTGTTTAGTTCCTTTGGTTTGTAACCAACTGAATGTAGATGCTGTCTAGATGCTATATGAATCCCAATCCCTGTCTGGTCCGAGACTGACGATCTTGGGCTAAGCGGGTCCTTTGATGATGACGAGTTAAGAGAATTACGCATATCTGGTAATTTTTTGTCCACGACTTTAAGGCTTCCTGCAAGTGAAGGCGATGAAATATCCTCACTATCATAACTTAGATCTGAGAGGCCGCTTGCATTCCTTTCACTGTTATACAAATATTGTGATGCATTTCGCAGACTGGTAACCCAATGATCCCTTTCTTCATCAGAATCAGCACAAAGTATGTGCTTGTGCATGTTGTTGCTGGATTTATATTCAAGAAGTACAAACGCGTGGCGGTAATCATCCTGCTGTGATTCATTAGCTGTGTAACACCATATTTGCGAATTCTTCAAGTTGATAGTGCCCAAGAGTTGTCCGTCTTTCTGTTTACGAAGGAGTTAGTAAAAATACAAAGTATGTCATTCGTACTTGCATTTTCATAATATGTCAGTGAGCCATCATTGCATAAGATATAGTATCGTAATATCCAGCCACCGATGTTCTTTCTTTTTTTAGTAAGATATCCTTCTTTAATGCTACATTTCTAGAAAAAGATAATAAGAAAAAAGAGAATAAATCGACAATGACTGTACCTTTTGAGATGCATCTCCAATAATTGAAGAATTAAGAAACTCTAATAGACTTGTTTCGTTTATACATCTTAATGACACTGCATGCTGCAAGTATTCCTCGATAATACGCTATGAGACCCTTTTATCAGAACAATGTACGATTGAGATTTTTTTTTTTATTACCTTTCTTTCGTCCACCTTGGCCGGGGCATGGGCGTTCAGCAATGGCTTTTCTGGCAACTTTTTTAGGAGGCTACCATGAGCTGGATTACTCTCTTTTAACTAAGCATAAACGATTAGAAAGAGCAAACGGTTAAATCAAAGTCAAAACGTACTTGTTTATCCAACATTTGAATGTCATTCAATGTCTTTTCTATTTTCCAAATTTCATTCTTGACATCATTATTTTTCTGATATACGCTAATTGTGAACACAGGTGTCCCTTTGCCTTTTTCGTCAATGAACACAGTGGAACTGACAACATCAATAAAGACATTACATAGGTTGTTAAGGGTTAACTTTTCCAAATGGGTTATCGCCAGAGAATCAAACCGAGGTGTTCGTGGTATGACGGGCGTAGAAGGCTCGCCTCTGGTGTATATGTCTTGTTTATTTTTGGAAATATCAAAATGAGAAGAAGCAGGAGTATGGTTGTACTGATTCTTGTGTATTTCCATATCCGTCCATTTCACGTCGTTTACAGAATTTAAGTTATTGTGTTCAAGTGTAGATGATGAAGGATGGTGGCTGAATACGGATGTTGTGTAAAGTGGTGAACTGATGGATGAAGAAGCAGGCGTGGGTAATTGTGATGATGATGATTGTAATGGTGTGGATGATTCTTTGTTGGTTTTATTAAGCAAGTATCGAGGAGCATAATTGGAAGAGGCCAAGTTCAGGACAGGGGGTCTTTTAACCAAATGGGGCTGATGACTTGTGTATGGGCCCTTTGAATGACTATCCACTTTATTCTCGTTGGAACGAAATGGAGACTTTGGAGGAGGAGTCAATGCTTTTTGGATGACTAAATCTTTATGAAGATCACGCTCTGTAGATTGATGTTGTACAATTCTTTTGTCTGTTTGATGGTCGGCTTCCGGTATATGCCTAACCGAGGCAAGTGCCTGAAGTTGCTTATTGTGTTCTTTTAAGCTTTCGTTCTCACTTGACAAATGCATCAATGACTCCTTTAAACATTTGATGACGCCTTTTTGTTTTTCGATAATTCTGCAATATTGTTCATTCTGTTGGCGATATTTTTCTATTGTCTTGTAATGAGCGATTGAAGGCTGTACTTCTATATCGCCTGATGACATGGTATAATAATGCAAGAAGACTGTATATGAAAATAAATTGATAAAAGAGCGAAAGAAGAGCGACAAAAAAATAGAGACACACCGGAGAAGAAATGAAGTAAAAATCCAGTTGACAAGGAGCGTCGGTAAATGAAATAGTTTATCTTTTTCAGTGAACAATAGAAAATTAAAGTTTATTATTAGTATTGGTAGATTAAAAGTATAGATTTTAAAAGAGAGCATAAGCAGCAACGGCTGTAGATGCCAAAGTAGTTAGAGCGATACCAGAGCTTAATTGAACAGCACCACTTTTTCCAGGATTGGGATTATTCACAGTGATACTAGCAGTGGCAGCTGTTCCACCTAATGGGTTTGATACAGTCCTGTTCTATAGTCAGATCAAAAAACCAAAAAACATATAAACCCCCCCTTACGTGTTTGATTCAGCAGCATTGACGGAAGAGATGACGAGAGCAGTAAGAAGAACAAAAGAGAATTTCATTTTTAGAGAATAATAGTAAAAGGTGGAAAAAAGAGAGAGAGATCAAAAAATGAACCTTTTATACTTTGTTCAGGTTACATCTGAGATGAAGAAGTGTAAGTTTTATTGTCATATGATTGCTATTTTTCATTATTTTTTTCTTTTTCATTTATTCTTGCTTGATCAAATTTACTCTCCGTCATTTTTGACATAAACACACGTTGTCTGTGAGCTTTATTTGTTCTTTTTTACTCAAAATATGCAGAAACTAGTTGCACGAGTTGGTACTTTCAAGCAACCTTATTCACGCTTATTTTACACAAGCTCTGTTCTCTTCAAAAGTGAGCCCATTCGTTGTAAGTCGGCTGTTGATAAATTGCATCATGTTAATCAGTTAAAAAGCACATCCTAATCTGTATGCACACACAATAAATTCAGAGAATAAAACTCAAAAATATGCTATTTCATATGTATCAGATGATGACTTGGGTCAACGTTCAATAGAAGACTACCCAGAATTGATCATTGGCTGGTCTTCTTCAACTGATACATTGAACACAAGGACATTTGTTGAAAATGGAAAATTTGCAGATTTTTTAACAAAGACGCTCAAAGAAAATATTCATAAAGTAAACGATACCAACTTGAAGGCAATGGCAGATTGGCAAAAAGAAGGGTAAAAAATGACAAAGGGGCAAACCTTTTGCATATTCTAATATTGTATTAGTTGGATGCACATTGGTGATGAACGTGATCCACCTGCTTGGGGACGTATTAATTTTCCTGAAGATATCGTTGGTAGTGTTCAGTTAGTGAATGGCGTTATACAAGAAGGAACATATCAACCTATGCCTGCTCATCGTTTGATCTCTGGAAAAGGTATCTTTCAGCTATCAGAGCCATTGACTCAATGTGTTATTCGTGCTGCAAAGGCCAAAGTCTCTCAATAAATATTCCTTTTTTGTAATTGATCAAAATTAAGTCTCAGGACGAAAACGAGTAACAACTCGTGGCTTTTCCTATGTTTGCTGTCCTCTAAACAAGGGCTACTCTTTGGTGTGTTCCCCTTCTTGATCATTAACCATGCAGGCCACTCGAGTGTGTCTTTCACCATTCTTAAAAAATAACGCCATTTTAACAACTGCTTCCAAAAGCAACTTGTGCTGCAGTCAACGATTCATTTCCTTTTCAGCTCGCTTAAATGAAGAAGAAGGATCAAAGACCCCTGAAGTTGAAACAGCTGAATCTACTGAAGAAGTAGAACCTGTCAAACTGTCCCGAAGACGACGTAGATTTCACGAATGGATGAAGGAAGTGGGTTATAAATTCAGTCGTCCTTCAGAGGGTACAACTAACTATCTGGCAACCACAGTAAGATACCCTCTTTCTTTGTGACATCAGTTCTTAATTCTCTCTCTCTTTCTTTTGTTAGCCTTTTCCTAATAACCCTTTATTCCAACCAAGACCTCCTCTTGCTGATGCTACTAAACAAGAAATATATGATCAATATGTCTCTGATCCACAAAATTGGTCAGTTCGCAAACTGGCAACAAAATACAATATCTCTTTAAAACGTGTAGAAGCCATTTTGAAGCTCAAGCAAGTTGAAAAGGATTTAGAAATGAATGTAAATATTCTGTCTTTAATGTTAAATCAAGTATCTTACCATATGCATAGGGAATCCCCTTACAAAGAAAGTTTGCAAAGGGAATGGAACAACTCATGGGCGTAGATAACCGAACTGAATTATTAAAGGAGCCTTTAGTCGATGTATTCCCTAATGTTGGCAAGCCCAAGTTTAAATCATTAAAGGAAGACGCTCACTTTGGACCAGAAGATGCAGCTAAAGTACTTAACCGCATACCTTTCAAGGATTTGGAAAACAGAATGATTGAGCTTGGACAAGCAGATTTCAGCTTACCTAAATCTACAAGTACTAGTCATGAATCTACGAAACCCACAAAGAAATTCGTTATTGTAGATACATCTGCTTAGAATTTAAAAATATTATGTAAAAAAAGTGTCGTCTTGATTTCCACACAATAAATTATACAGGTTTTCTTCAAAAGAGGATAACTGAAAGATTATTATTAAAGTGGTAGTGAGAATAATCTAACTAGAAGATTAATGAATAAAAAATAATATATTATTCGTTTTATACTTACCGAGGCGTTAAGGAATGCACTGCCGTTATGGATAACGCATTAAATCCAGGAGTACCGTTGGTCTTTTGTAAGTCTTTTGAAGAAGGGAAGGACTTTCATTGATATGCTTTGATTTGTAAACAAAGATACCATATATTTTTAATGCACTGCTCACAGGCGATTCTACACCGTACCTTGATCCTCGAGGGCCAATGTATTTGAGAGTATGAAAGCCTTGTCTTGAATTCTTGCTTGTATTGTTTTGATAAAGATTTGAACAGCATTAATATCCTTTTTATCAATACTTCCTAGTTTGCTTGTTATATTCATTGCCTTGTCGGAATTGATAGCGATCAAGATGTTTTTTAATGATCTGTACTTGCTCAATTTCTTGACAAAAGGAAGCTCTTGTAACTTTCGATGGACATAACTGCTTGATGCTTTGTCTTGGGGTTTCATTTCCTTCTGTATAAGGTGTGATTATTTCATATAACATTAAGGTTTGGCATACAGATTGGTTTCACTTGGCACATCAACATCATTGGAAGCATCGTATGTTAATTAGAAAGTAAGAAAGTTATTGACAATGGTTTTATATCGTTCAATTCAGTCTATAGTGGATGCCCAGGTTGACTTGGAATTTATCTTTTGTTGAAAGATATGTTTGGCTGAAGACTTGCACTGTTTGACTGTTAAGCTATCGCCAGAGAAGCAAGGAGAAGCCTTTTCTAATAAGACATTAAGGGTATGTCTGAGGGTTCGATCTTCAAAAAACTTTTCTGCTTCATCCAGATACTCGTTCAAGTCATGAACGCTGAGAAAATATGAGGTGTTTACAACTTTACGATTTTCCAAGCTTAGAATAGAAGAATGACTGTAGTCATTGATCATTTTAGATAGAAAGATATATTTAAAAAAATGTTGTCAAAGTACTCCTTTAGATAAATACTCGTTTCTTTTTTTTTTTTTTTTTTATGTTTATGTCTTCTTCTTGCTAATTTCTTTAACTATGCGTTTAACTGCTGAAATCTTCAACTTCGCTGTTTCTTCTCTTCCTACAATAGCACTTTACCAGAATGGAAGGATGCGAGGTAGACTGACGATCGCAAATCAAAATTATACGCTAGTTACCAATTCTTATCATCCTGTTATTATTGATCATATGATTAAAAACTTTAAAATTGGTTCGGCTCACTCAATCAAGGGTAAATATTGAGGGCTTATCACAAAGTAGTAGTCATTCTTAAAGATGTTGTCCTAGGTGCATATCTGTCAATAGCTGGATTGATAAAAGTGGAATGTTGCATGCACCTCTAAACGTAAATATTAGAGAAATTACAACAAAAGGTATCACAGTTAAGCTCGTATGTCGTATTTGACTACGTCTAATACTAATCTTTACGTGTGAGATTACATTTGACTTAATTACATGTTCCTTAATTAGTACTCCGACCTCTTCCTCTTCTAATAAAAGGATAAAACAGAGACTCATCGCTTCTTTGCTTTTATTCTACACATTTACACGAGTACTAACAACAGCCCTAACTACAATCAATACCTCACCGCAGATTGTGACTAAGGATCACCTAAGATTTTTATTTACAGTCACTGTATCAGAAACTGGGGCGACAATGTCGTTGCGGAAGGATGCTCTACAGAAGAGATTGTCGAGCTACTGAACCATTATGTACGAATCGAAGGTATATATATGTATATATATGCGTGTGCGTGTGTGCGTGTTTGCTCATGGTAATAACTATGTCATGCTAGACGCAACTAAACAAGCACACTGTTTCCAAAAAGAGATGTCGCGCTGACTTGTCACTTTTACGTATAAATTGTATTATAAAAATTGTAAAAATACGATTCTACTTTCTGGTAACACTCCAGTATCTTTGGTAAACCCAAGCACTCTTTCGAAACGAGGTTTGAAGTGCCAACGACGAATGGGAGCAGCGTACTTAAAGTAAGTTTGCAAGGTTTGCAAACAACAAGTACTGCTGTAACAAGTGCTTCAACTAACATTGACAATAATACGGATAATACCATACGCTTTGGCAACTTAGATATGTATTCGGATCTCACATCCAGGAAGAGTGACGTGATGGATATAAAAGAGAATTAAATTGCACAATTTTTGCTGCTATTTTTGCTTTCATAAATATTATAGAACTTCAAAACGCCTTACATGTAAACCAAATTAAACCTCATTTATTTGCTTGTATATCTTTCAATAGCATTATCATTTTTCTCTTCCATAACTGTCTATAGTTTTCGACCTTGTTCTTATATTTGACAGTTGACAGCTTTTTTCTTTCTTTCTTTATTCCCATCCAAATGGATAGATATGTCATAACCACTGTTGTAACGGGGTTATATTTGCCAAACGCATGTATATGAATACTGAAGGTGAGGCCCCCATGTATCATACACTTGTCTTTTTCGAGGAATGTAATAAGACTTTGGTAGATAAATGATAGGAGTTTAATTATTTTGATAACTTAATGTAGAAGAACTACACTCTTCATCCATTGCGCATTTGCTTTGCTAATGGAAGCGATAGAAGCATTTCGAAGAAGTTTTAACTACAATCCAAGAGATCGCAACTACCCTGTAAACAAGGTTCAGGCTATGGTCGTGGAAGCTTCTGCTCTTCCTACAAATGAAGTTGTTCCTCTATCTCCTGTGATAGAAGTTCGCAATACGAACACGCCATAACTTGGATTTCACCACAATGTATTATGTAAGTAGCTTAGGTATTCCCTACATACGAAATATTGCATGTGATATTGATAGGTAAAGATACAAGTCGTGTTTAATGAGCTATCTGATTCTTTTGGCATAAAGATCACAATTTTCCCACATACATTCGACACCCGCCTTTGGATCTGCCTCGCTCGCTGCTTCTTCGATCTCAGTACTGGCAAACTTTATGGTCCTTGACTATACCTTCCAAGACCTTTACACCATGGTTTCGCCTGTTACATGGCTACATGCCTGGAATCCCAGCGTGACCACCTCTGCGTTGTGCAGGCTCTGTCAACAAGACATTGAAACATACCACCTCTTTGTGAGCTGCCCTCTCAAACTCAACTTTTGGCTCTCCATTTTCGAGAGAGATTCTCTGCCGGACAAATTTCTTACTGCAGATGAAATATGATCTGTGCTCACTTCTTTTGTCCTGGTAGACGAACAAACCATTGGCGATACGAACGTTCTTTGTTTCTTTGGCGCGGGTATCGCAACAGTCTGGAAATTAAGTCCACACTTTCATAAAAAAAAAAAGTGTTAGTGATAATCTAATTCGCATAAAGTGACGTTTAAATTATGGACTTGCCTGTTTCAGTAAAAGCGATCTTTTTTTTTCTTTTATTTATTGTCACGATTAAGAACCATTTTGACATGTCAGAACAACAATCAACTTCACAACATGACAGTCAAACAACTAAACCTACTGCTTCCAAAGAACAATTGAAAGTGAGTTGTAACATGGACTGGACACACTGTATCTCACAAATACAAATAGTTAATTGAAGCCAAAACAGCAGTGATATTATTAAAGACACCTAAACTATGTACAAAGAATGAATATACCCAATGGCTACTCAAAATGCTCTATCAGCCATACTCAAGACAAGACACTGAGGTAGATTTTAATATGTAATGGAGTCATACCTAATTGATAAATATAGCAAATGAATATAATTTATCTATCAAGAAGTAGAAGAAGAATTTGGAATCCTGATTTTTCCATAAATCAAGGTTTGTCTTATTGTGTCACATACTGAATAAGTCGTAACCTTATTTTGACAGAACAAAGTAAAGGACAGACTGTCAATAAAAATAAAGATCAACTCTATGTCATCACGCCTCAGACAACATTGATGACCATTTCACAACATAACCGTATCGTGTACATTGTTGATCTCAGTTCTAGTTTGGCTACTATTGGTGATAGCCAATGTAATATTTTATTATCTGAAGTATATCAAACGTAAGTATATATACACAAATAGATGGTATTCTTGAATGATTAATGATATCATTCTAGTCTACATAACTCATTAGAAGGCTTGGTTCAGCCATTCTCGATGCAGATATCTCCAACAGAGAAAGCAGTGGTAAATGACAAGGAATGATGATAGTAGACCATATTTCTTAAGATTTCCCTAGTTTCGACCGTCCATTCGAACAACAATCATCGCTGATTATTCGCAGTTTGCTTCAAACGTTAATCTTATCCCTATACTTACCAAGCATCCAACGATGAGAGTATTCTTACAAAATGCTATTATTACCGCAACTAATATTCCTACGATACTGAAGAGACTAAGAGCCGAGTTCATTGCCTTTCAAGAGGACATTGCTGCCTTTAGGAGATTTATTAGAGAACATCGGATCAATATGGACTATGACTTGGACGTAGGAAGCAAGACTGACCCTGCCGCTCCTGATGTATTGAATGCGACTTCATTTCCTTCAAAGGGAGACATTAATAAGGACAAACCAAATGAATCACATGTAGATACGGCCATTGAGAAAGACAAGGACACTGGTTATCATTCATCCAAGAAGGAGGTTTGGGGTGTTGGTAAATCAGGAGCCAGTCTTTCACGTATCCTCCACGCTGGTCATTTCGCCCTCAAGCTGTTGCCAAGAGAAGGATCATCTCATTTGGTCCTCATCACGGATGGCGCCATGAAATCCAATATACATGACAATACTTTTGTTCGTCAATTTGCTGAAGAGGATATCAACTGTCATGTTATCCAGGTGGGTAGTAAGAGTGGCTTCATCCCAGGCAAGAACTTTGGTTTCGTTCCTGATACTGAAGTACTCAAGTTTCTCGCACGTGCAACCAGTGGCTCGTTTCTGTACTCTGAGAAATGCGTACCTGTAGCAAGCGCATCTCGTGAGGCTACAGAACCATTACAGGAGAACAATCAAGCCGTGGTCCAGCTCGTCAGTATCAATCAAGCCAAGCAGATAGTGAGCCCCAACATTTATCATTATCATTTCCTGTTCAGAGAGGCTACCTTTTCAAAGATTGGTAATGAGACTAGATTGGCAGAGAACGATTCAAGAATGTATTTGAGTAGACGAAATCTTGATGGTGAACACATAGAATGGCCACTCAATTTCCCTTGGGATCCTAATGCCAAGTCTCCAGAAGAGGAGTGTAGACTCTTAAAGTACAAGGAATACAGTTTGCCATCTGAATTCTCACATATTGTCGCTGCTAGAGCAAGGGAAGGATTTTCTATTCAATCAGTTACCTTTGACGAAGGCAGTGGTACACGTGGTTTGGATCCCGGCATTCATGACTTGGAAGCAAATGACCTTTCATCTGTGAGAAAAGAGCGAGTTCAGATCTTGATGACGATGCATTGGCAACCCAATGTAGTGATAGAGTATAGAATCAGAGCTACTTGGCTACCTGTGATCATTGGAAATGCTGCTTCATACAATAATGAAACCCTCCTGATGTCTAGTGGACTATTCTATCGTGCAAAAGCTCCACGTGCTGAAATCCTTGTTCGTACAGATGCTAGCTTTGCCCATATGCTGCAAAACTGGGATGTTTTTAAAAGAAGAGCACAAATGATGGGCGTGGTGACTGGATACATATACTTTGGGGAGACCTATGCTGCACCTGTCTATTCCAAGATTGAGAAGCTGAAAAATTATTTGGTTGATATTTACGAAGGAGACGAAACTCAAAGGTCTATCATTGGCTTTCCAAACAAGTTCTGGGCCAATCTTACCGCTGCTGAATCCATGGCGCTGGCTTCACGCGTAGACTCCCCGTCTTATGCCGCTCGACATGTCTATATGCATCATCAACAATTGTACATAGACTCATTCAAATCCGTCTGGAACCGCATGAATGCAGCAGATACTAGAGCACGCACCAGGTGTTGGTACGATCCAGAGTGCATCGATCTGCTCATTGGTGATGTATCTCCCTTTATGGACCCCAAGCTTCTGTCCCCTTACAATCAGGAATTTATTTATAATGCGCAAGAGAACATAGCGGATATGCTAGAAAACGTGCGAACTGTGCTGAAAGAGTGGGCAGATTTTGAAGGAGATGATGGAACCCTGGTGAAGATGCTACATAGAAACATACCTGCTATTGTCACTGGTCATGATGATATTATAAAAGAAACCTTTGTGCCTTCTCCATTCAAACTGTCTCCTTCCTTCTGTGAACTGCGCATTCGACATGAATATGGCCGCTTGATCACGCTAAGGCTACTATTTTTCAATACAGAAGTGTCAGCAAGAAGAAGAGTTAGAGAACATCTGTTACACCTCTTGAAGACCTCGCCGCTCACTGCACTTCCATACAACATAGCCTGCCAACGTCCATTCTCAAGTCTGCTGATGAGAGATTCCAAGCACTTTTCAGATAGCTATCCGAATGTTCAGAATGGGAAAACACTAGGAAATATAACAAAGCATCAGGGCAGAGGTAAAGCTTGGTATTTACCTTTCGCCACATGGTTAACCAGTGAGTACATCGTTCGTGATTATCTCCATCACATTACCTGGACCTGGCAGACAGATAGTCACGATGATACCTATCACAGAAATAACAAAATGATGCCCATTCATGACCTGGCATTCCAGTTTTTATGTCAGACGCGTCTTGATCAAGTATACTATCACTTTTTTTGATCTTTAGCTTGCATACTTACATTTATTTTTAATAGGGTTATCAACTTGTATCTCCTCGCCCGGATAGTACTCAGTTCTACCAAGAGATCGCACTCCCTGCTGCCACTGGTAACCGCACTTGTCGCTGCGCAATCCAGTACTTCATCTGGAAGGATTCTGCCACTGGAAAAATCACGACTGAACTATGGATGGAGCCTGCTGGAGAATTTGACACAAGTCAGTATGACCGTATCAAGAACTGGGCGTTTGAGCCAGACAGAAGAACGATCTCCGAGTTGGTCACGTTTGATCAGATACATGCGGTTGGCAGGTCCAGGGGGATAGGCGAACTTCGGGAAAAAAGAAAGAATTCGCAAACGGTGGATGGTCAAGTGGACAAAGATAATGTGATGCTCCTTCCTCAGCTATTTGACGTCGCTCTTGTTCTACGATCCAACCGATTTGCCATTGCTTCCTTCAAGTCGCCAGTATTTGAAAAGTCTGCACACCTGCAGCAGATCAGGCTACAGCTCATGCTTCCTCAATCAGGTGATAAGGTCCCTGATAGTAGTAGTGCCACCACAGTCAATTCTCCAGTTGTCAAGAACAAGAGTCTGATTAAAACGCACCGATATTTCAGGAGAACAGCAAACAGTAGCTCGGCAGACCTTGCGGCTCATTCGTCTGTACCATTGGAAGATCAGAATCCGTTCCTGTTGAAACCAGATCCGCTGTTGCTAAAGTCTGCCAAGACGATTGTAAAGCTAAGCACCGTGTTGCAAAACTATAGCATCCTCCATTATTTTGTCGAGCGCTCTTTGGAATATATTTCAAATGGTGAAATTAACATGGCGAATCATGATCTTGGCACGAGCTTTTGGAACGAACTGAAGGCTGCCCTCAAGAAAGTATGCGACTATCAAAAGGTATCAAGTACATCTCTGATCTCTGATTTGCGCAAGACACGTTGTTTTGTCAAAGTCTTTGATCCACGATCTTTTGTGATTATCCTGTTTCCAAGTCTAGAGTGTGCATCAAGTAGTCTTTTGAAGCTTCAAAAGGATGACCCAAGCGATGAACTCGTCTCTGGCCCTCCAATTAGTTATCACCTGGACGTGTTCATGTTTGAGTGCACGCGACAAAAGCCAATGAAACCTGTCAAGGAATCGTCAACCCATGGAACCTCTTATTCCTTTTCGGAAGAAGACCTTACAGATGACTTGGACAATGTGACCATTCAACCCATCGAATACCTCATTCACGAGTTTGATGGTGTGGGACGAACCCTTAGACCAACACTTTATCGAGGTTACTTTAGCAGTTGTCAAAGCAATGCTCAACTGACAGAAAGGGTCCTTCGTGTTGCCCAAGACATAGCAAGGGGTTACTCTAAGAGTTTCTTCAACTCTCTTTACTCGTGCCTTCTGAAAGGATTCATGGTGGATGACAATGATCTTGACAAAGTTCTCGAAGTGTGCAATGAATCTAGCATGGAAATAGATATAACCGAGTTTGTCAATATCATGGCTTTACAAGATAAAGACTCTGTTGGCTTGTAAGTTCTATATCATCTTTATGCTGGCTTTAACTAACTTTTTGATACTAGGGATGTACAAATGTCAGAAGCACAAGGAAAATTCAACGCCATATTCAATCAATATTTCCAGCCTGTTCATACAAAGAACGAATCAGCAAATCTGTTCTACTTTAAACCTTCGACAAACAAGTATAATACAGCCTTTTACTTTGAAGACACGTCTGAAGACAATAAAGTATCCTCTCTGCTTAGCTTGGCTGCTAATTCTCGAAGTCCTCTCCTGGTCAAGCTGTTCTGTGTATCAAGGACCACTGAGACCGACCCAGTTGATGGTAGACCTCGAAAAGTTGAAAAAAGTGTGCCTGTAAATACACTTCCTACTTTGGGCATGGATATATTAGAGAAGAATGGCGTACTGGATGGCCTTTGCCTAAATGGGTTCTTTACCAGCAAGAGTGAAGTACTGTTGCAGCTAGTATTCCTGAGTATGCCAAAGACAGAACTAGAGAAAAATGATTCAAAAGACAGTGATATACTCCCTGCAGGCATTGAGTAAAGTATTTATATTGACTCATTCGAATTACAACTAACGGATGCATAATAGGAAAATGCTTAGCTCTATGAAGTCTCAACCAGAGTGCTTTTCGGCATTGAATATAGAGCAACAGATCGCTCTGGTTGAAACAGAGTCTCGTGTACGCTGGCTACTTATAGAGGAGGCACTGCATGGATTACTAAAAGTACCAAACATTACGCCCTCTGTGCTGACCTACGTTGAACAGAATCTGAACAAGCCCAATCCTTATCTTGGCTACGAAACTTCAATCACAATGCCACTCTATTTTGTAAAAAACTGCACCAAGAGCAGATTGATATTTATGGATGAATTAGAAAAAGATGGTTACAGTAGTAAAAGAAAGTACAGTTTGAAACGCTTAGGAGATCATTTTTATGTCTCTGAAGATGCAATGTTCAACATGAGCGACGAATTGTCGTATTCAAACAGTGGTTCACCTGTAACTGGAGACATCCCAGGCACTGCAGATCCTGGTGTACAATGTGATAACTTTTGTGATGGATTAGGCATCACTTTGTTTGAAGCAACCAAGCCGACAAAGGATAAGAAAACAAATGAAGGAGAACCAAATACGTCACTAAGCAAGCGCCCGTTGTACTGGCTAATTCTAATTCCTTATGAAAGATATGTGCAAATCTATTATTACTCAAAAATGCAAATACTGGCTACAAATTCAGATGTACTAAACGCTCTTAAGGAAAGAGTCAAGTATACAGAAGAAAGAACGAATCGTATTATTTTATTAAATCATTTGCAGGAAACACGGGCTTGCAGGTAAAAAAATAAGCAGAAAAGAAACAGATACTCAACTCTTGTTTTATTATAGTAAATACCTTGAAGCGCCTTCTATAACAAATGAATCTGATTCGACTTCAGAAGAATCCAATGAAGAACTGACAAGCGACGATCTTTCTGACATTCAAACGCACGAAGCCAAAAGGACACCTCTAAATCAAGAACCACACTTTTCTTTTGGTCAGTTCGCTTGTCCTCTCCTCTTTACAAAACGAATACCTCTGCACTGGCGCCTTCAGCCAAATATCACTCTAAAAGTCTTGACATCGGATGTTTTGCGATTGTTTACAGTAACTAACCGCCCCAACATGTTTGTCGTTGAAAGGGATGGATCCATTGTCTATTGTAAGATATTTGAAGAGGTCGTTGAAAGTAATAGCCATGTATCTCCGAGCACCGTTTGCAGTTCTCCGGGATATACAGAAAAAACAAAGCTTGTGGAAGATGACGCTCGAACAGTAATCAGCTTTAGTGGGGAACAAGGCATAAAGCGTGATCTATCCATGCAAACGGACGCAGCTATAAAGAAGAAAATATCAACCAACTCTCGTCCTGCAGGCACAGAAACTAGAGAATTAGTCATTCAAATCTTTGGTATCGATCTTCCGAACTGGGTCGAAGCAGAATTTGTCAACATGATAGAAAATCGAGTGCTTACACAGATTACATTGACCGAAGTACAGCAATTCTTTGCTAGAAATACTACATCAAAGCCTACTTTAGCGGTAATGTAAATCGTTTTTTAATATGCTTATTAACTAATATTTAATCAAAGGATGTGGAATTTATTTTACCAGTTTGGAAGGCACCAACGGCCAGAGATGTTCTACGAATTCCAAGCATTGTTACGGATCCCATTCTACTTTTATATTGCCTTAATCAAATCACTGCAACAGACAACATCAAATCTCTACAAGGCCCAGATGTTACGGAAGCAATCAGGTTTTATCATGAAAATGTGTTTTATAATGAAAATCATCACGCTATTCGTGTGACCTCCCCGGATCAGTCAAATAGGTGATACATAGTTTGAAAGGAAAAAAAAAGGCTATAAACATAAATTCTAATACTTTTATATACACTAGCCGAGGCAAAGATGGGCTAGCAAATACCCTTTGCTTTTATTACAACTGCACCAAACGCGTACCTGGTTCCTCAACATCTGTTGAGTTACTCGTTGGCCAAGGCATGGCTGGCATATGCATTACACTTCTTGATGAAGCAGGTGAACCTGTAGTGAATAGTCATACTCAAGCATCTAGCGATGATAAGTTTGATCCTTCTTCAATTCCCTACTGTTTTGAACACAGCTTCCGTGAATTTACTTTTGAAGATACGAAGTATTACCTCTGGATAGATATTTGGTCTATTGGAACAGTAGACAGCAGTGCTTTAATTCAACACTTGTATGCATGTTACCAGCAAAGTTTGTGCGATTACTTTATTGAAAAGACAGTTACGATAAATATTGGCTCTATATTGACGGATCAAACAGGCCCACTACAAATTTCTGCTGCAAAGCCAAAAGGACGTCTAAGAGCTGCACTGCGAAGTAAATTTATCGATTCCGTGCTGTATATATTGAACAGGTCGCCGCAGATAAATAATCCAACTGTGCTATGTATGAACAAGAAGATCCAAGCGAGTCCTTGGTATATAAGCGACCTTTTACGCTTTTTGGATGCAAAATTACGTAAACTGGATATCTCGTTCCGTCCAGTTGTTGCTTGCACGTTTTTGGATAAAGAACCTTGGGATAATACAAACAGCCAATCTAAGCCAAGCAATGACTGGTTACTGTACAAGGAGCACGAGTATCTTAGCCAAAGCTTTAGGGACAATATTCGTTTAGTTGCCATTAGTGGGTTACAAGAGTTTGTAGAAAAATTTGAGAATAATTCAGTGCAATCAAGACGTCTTAGCGTTGCCAGTACAGTCGACAGTCAAGCATCGAAATCCAGAAGAGATTCTGAAGACTCAGTCATGACAGACAACAGTAGCAGGCAAAAGAACGCAAAGAGCATTAAGCAAGAAAGGTCCAGGGCGTCTAGCACTATCTCTAGTTCTACAAATGCACACAAGAATGGCCCACAACTGGATGGACGAAAGCATTGTTTTTTGATGTTAAACCTGGATGCGAATAATTTATCAGTTTACACCTACAACTGGTCTCAATCGTTTTCGGCTGATTTATTCAAAAGTATCGATTCAATCATCAACAGACAAGAAGCAAGGAATGATATACTTGCCAACATATTGCATCAAAAGATGGGTTTATTCCACCACACGAACTCAATCAAGCATACTGTAGAAAAGTATAATGCTGCAGTTGGGAATATATCGAAAGCTACGAACGTGTCATCATCCCTTCTTCAAAATCATTCTGCCTCTCCTGTCTTTAAAAAGCCTGTACAAGCAGACCACTTGAATCCCAAAGGATCCAACCAGCGCACCTCAGAGAATAATGGATCACCTCCAGCGAACATGCTTGATCTTAAAGATTTGATAGTATATGCTTCCAAAACACAGCTAGAAGCTCATAAGCATATCGAGCCGTCGCCTTCATCTATTGCGGCAAGACTAAAAGATCAAGAAGCGCATGTTAATATGCTTCTTCAAAAGTCCTTGTTGAAAAATGCTGAATTGGAAAGAGCTCTCATGGATTCAATTACTGATTCAGTCGCTGATGGTCTACTTGGGAAAGATACTGATGTCCTACGTCGCCATGGCCAAACGTTTATGGAAGCGCTCATGAGACGATCCAAGGTTCAATCCGCACATCGAAAAGCATTGAAAGTATATATAAAGTGGAGGAACCGTTATGGAAATCTAAAGGTAGAGCCGGAGACGGCAGAAAAGCTAACGAGACAAGAAGTATCTACTATTATAAGATCATCAAGAATTCTCCATTTCTGTAGAGCGCCATTGATATTCTGCGATCCAGAAAAAGACTGGCGAAGTGTATCCCAAGGTCAAGCAACACAGGCCATTGTGGATTGGTACGTGAAAATGGCCAATTCTCTAATAACCGAATATGCAACGTACCTTGAAGGAGCAGACATGCAACTACTGGAATTTGCCAAATCAGAAGATGATGAAGCAGAACGAGTCATGAAATCATCGGAGTTTGTTGTAGGCAAACAACTGACAGCAAGCTGTTCTCCAGTATACCTACTTAGTGTGTTTGAAGGAGGCTCAATTATTTGTGAAGTTCGATTGACTGGAATCTTTTTATCAGTAACACTGTATAGTCTCCACCGGCAATATGGACGTCTGGATTATCGAAGGTTTCATCCAGAAACTCGTAACAAGAAACGAGAAAACTTTCGAAAGTTTGAAGAGAATTGCGGTCGTTTTAAACAACTTATACACATCAATTCCTTTGTATATGATTTCCATATACGTTATTTTAGCCGTGCTTTAGAAGCGCCAGAGACACTGCCATCTGATTTTGATATTGTATTTTTTATGCGACGCTTCTCTCAGCCGGATCATCCGCCGCCACCTTTCTGTAAAGATCGATTGGTACATGGAATGGTTCACATCAAAACTTCTAGTGTCTCATTGTCAACATTTTTCGAAAACCTGCTTAAAATTTGTACCCGAAGTGGTTGGAACAGTTTATTATCCAGGAATAGCTTTTTAGCTGCAAGTATCTCATGCAGTAATTCTTCGTTCAATATACTTGAGGAAAGTAACAGAGACTCAGAGACACAGTGGAAGTACACGCTAGCTATATCTCCTGGAAGCAAAAGCATGCATACAAAGAGATCAGATAACCATACAGAGCATGACGCTGTCATCAAATACTTTATACTTGTCTCAAATCAAGAAAAACTTGCACCGGACAGTATGGCTCGTACAAGTTGGTATACAAAAAACAATTCATCCGATAAACCTGAAGATATGGTCGTAGTCAAGGCTACAGAGGAACGGTATAGCCTAAAAAACGTCATATCCGGTGCAAAGGCAAAGATAGATAGCATTGCTGCAGAGGTATAATAGAATTCTATAAATCTATCAAGAGACTAAAGTAGATTATATAGGCTATTACAATGAGCAAACAAATACAGGACTGGAACAAGCTGTATTCTGCCAACATCAACAAGAATACCAGCAGTCAAAAGATGGAGCATCCAGAACTCATTACTTTACTAAACCAGTTTGAACGAATTGATGTCACAGAATTAGATGATGGTATTGCGTCTATTTTTAAACTAAAACTGAACTGGGACAATGCATTAAACATGATCACCACAATGGCTCGCAACAATGCAAAAGATTTTTACGCAAATGGAGCAAGACATGTATTATTATATAATGCAAGATATATGGACTTTATGATCGTTTTGACGCTTGATTCAAGCAAGGCCATCCAAGGGTGGTTGGTGACTCGAGAGAAGAGGACTAAACAGGTCGGTATCAGAGGGCCTGAGCAGGAACAGGTTGTTAGCTTGGCGAAAAATTTGTATTATTATATATGGAGAGTGGTTTCAAACAAGGATACCTAGAATTTTAATAAAAGAAGCATATTTATTACCACATTCTTTAAAAACGCATTAAGATCCTTGACTTGTCGTCATCTGCCAAAACTGACAATACATAAATAAGTAAAAGAAGTACTTGTTGCTGTTGTTGATGTTTTCTCCTCATAAACAAGTAGCTAAAGAAACAAAGTGTACAAATGTACCTGCTATTATATAGAATAAATGCGAACCTTCAGAACTTATACTCTATTTATTGTTATGATAGAAATATATAGTTATATAAGCTACTTAGATTCATATCATCTGGTACACCCCAGAATGAGCTATTTAGGTCGTTTCCAAAGAATTCCATCGAATTATGATATATTAAAGGTGCATGCTGTACAGCATTATTAGTCCGCGTATCACCAGGAAAGCAGTTAATATCTGTCAGCATGTTTACATTACTTATATTCGTTTGGTCTGCCAAGTTGGATGCATTAAAGGAAAGCAGATTACTATCATAAAGCAAGCTTGGCGCTATATTGTGAATAGGCACAGCTTGTAAAGGATCCTGAGCGCTTTCATTATAAAGTAGATAATTTGTATGTGACTGCAGTGTTAAGCCTTGGTCCGTTGTATTGAAACCAAACTGTCGAATTGAATGCATGTCCAAGGGTTGTTGTTGTTGTGTAGAGTAATCCATTATCAGATTGCTTGGCATAGGAAAGACGCCTTGTTGTATATTTTGCTGTGAAGAGGTATAAAGGCCATCCAACCATTCCAAGCCATCCGTTACTATAGAGGTAGCTTGGTCCGGAGACTCTTTTAGCTCGCTAAGCGAGTTACTCGGTGATGGTCCTCTAGAGTTTTTACAAGTTTTGTCTACTCTTTTCTTTTTTGTCGCTTTTTTACGTAGATTCGTGTCTTTGTTTTGACTCTGTAGTTTTTGAGCAAACTCTGGATCTTCAGAACATAGTTTGCTTTTCAAAATGTTCTTTCTTATTGAAATTTCATCTTCTTCCTTAGAAGAAAGTGCTGTGCTTAATTTATCAATTATAGCCAAGCTTCGTAAAAGGTTTGATTTAGCATATTGTGAAACTGTTTTTTCTGGATTACAGGCATTAAAAATATGGATGAATGTAGCAGTAGTAATCGGATAAAACACATAGCTCCATGATATGAGAAGGAAGTCCTTATAGTTCATTTTCTCAGAGATCTCTACAATTTTTGTTGCTGCGTTGGTGCAAATTGCTAAAGAAGTCTGTGCTGATATTTTTGCATTTGCGCTACTGTCTCTACTAATTGTTATAAAAGTTCGATGCAAGAGGATTAAAAGTGTGTAATAAGCAAGACAGATGATTCCTAGAGATATGCATATTGGTAAATCACTTACTTGTTAAACGTTATTCATTACCTGAAGTCGATATTACATCATTGTGGGCTTTGTTGGACGAATTGCTCTGATTAGCTGATACGATTTCTGAAAGAGGGGGAAATGATGCTCTCCAGCTGGATAATTCATTATCTATACGACTAATGATAGCATCACTACCATGCTCTTTACAGTGCTGTCTGGCCCTGGGGGTATACAGATTATGCAAGACCGTGCTTAGTATTCGCGACAGCTTTATCATATGAACAAAGGATCTGTATAAGGGAATGTTCTTTGATTTGTACTGTTGCGCGGTTTTTTCGTCAAGCGAAGGGAAACGGGGTAAATGCTGATCTTTTTCTGTCATAATGTCCATCACTTCGTCATAGTCGGCATATTCTGATGGATATAGTTCGTTACAATCCTAAAGTCGACATTAACTCATTGTTAAAGCTATATTATTTTTTCATTACCTCATCAAGCGTATTCGCTGAACGACCAATCTCTGCCGCGTACCATCGATCGAGCATGTAAACAGACCACCATACCCTTCGTCTAGTTTCTTTCTCATCTTGGGGAATATTAAGAATATCACTTGATCTATAAAGTCCCAAATCTTGACACTATTATAGACCGTATAAAAAGTCAAACATTTACAAATAAAAACAAAACGTTACCATTCGAATTGCCTAAAGGAAACCAACATGAGTCACAGCGCTTGTATTGTTGTTAAAATTACTTACACCGGTGTTTACAAAACTGTGTTTTTCCCATCTTAATCCTTGATAAGGGCAAATTTGCACAAGTACAGCCGCTTGGGCTACATGTATACTGCTGCCGGATCTTTTAATAGTATACTGTATAACTCTGTCATAAAGCTGTCGTAGTATATCTTTTGGATAATTCCAGGGTTTACCATCATTTAGAACCTCGGCATCGCCAAATCTTTCACACACTTGAAGGTAGGAGATAGCTGAGATATATACTGCGAGAAGCAGAGGAGCAAAAGGGAAGCTTGAGCCAATGCCACGATACTCTTGAAGAAAAGCCTTTTTGTTGAGCACAGGCACAACTGGGTGGATACAAGCAAAATAGCTATAAAAACCAAGTTTAGAAAAAGAATTGACATTTAATGACAGTTACACTTTGAGCAGACGGTCGCTTAAATCTTTGTCGATGCCAGCAATGCTTTGAACCCAGTCTTCTATACTTTTAATGCTACTTTTAGATTCGATGACAGCTGCTGTTACCGCGTCTTCAATAGAGTCAAATTCTTTGTCCAAGTCAGCATACTCCAGCTTTCGAATAATCAAGCGCTCTTTGCTTTCATTTTCCTGTAAATAGACTCCATAAGGCAAGAACGTCCGCGTGAGGTTAATGAACAAATTTTTGTCTAATGAAAATCCATTATTGCTGTTTTTTCCTTCTTGCTCTTTAAAGAATCTGCGTTGTATGACCTCCTTTATTGGGTCTTTGGAGACGTCATTGTCGTCATTAGAATTATTTTTGTTTTGATCATTATGCTGTGTCTTTGATAATATAGCTTCTATTCTTCGTATTTTACTCATAATGGCATTAGTGTATCTATAAAAGCTCAATTAGCTTTGGTATAAAATTAGATAAATCACTTTACCCTACTGGCGGACCTCGCTTTCTAACTCTTTGTGTAATAGTCAACAGCATTGTATATTTATGACAATAGTAATAAAACTTACGGTAAATCATACGTACATCCTTCTGATGACAATATACAGCTTCTACATGTTTTGTAGCCTTGGATGGTCTCACATTTCACTTTCTTTACCCTACAGGCATCGCTTCAAGAATAAAATATAACATGATCTTAGTTACTGCTGGATCACTCCATATGTAAGTAGTACCAAGCTCGTATCGTTCGAGGCTTATCTTCTGATACGCCAGATGCATCTTTTTTATTAGGAGCGATTGTTGTATAACTACGACCAACTCTTGGCTCTATTATCCTCTTAGTTGACATTATGAAGAAAGTAAAGAAAAAGTAAAACACAAGAAGATTGTCAGCTGTAAAACTGTATAATATCGCAGTTTTAAAAATTGATGTGGTTCAAAAAATCTTGGAATTGTTAAGCGTACGTCAGGGGATGTATATGGGTGTGTATAGGATAACTGCTGGTGATAGCGTCCTTCAGGTCAAAGCTCTATGTTGCTCTGAACGAGTCTAAAACGTAGGTATCATTTAAGCAGTAAAGTTTACGCGCTTCAATTTCAACTATTTATTATCATTAAGAGTGAAGAAAATATCTTACTGTCGAGCTTACCAAAAACTACAGTTCTTGCTTTGCTAATTCATTTCAGAACGGAAAAAAAGAAGAAGAAGCGAGCTGCGACAAAGGTCGGATGTCCTTGCGCTATACATGCTAGGTTTTATATAGCTGACCACAAGCATTGTTTTGAACTTAATCACTCCATTTACTAGATGTATCGTAAGCAAGAGTATAGCGATTTTGGGCATGCAATAAAAAATTTGGACAACCATTCTCTAGCAGACATTAACTTTATCAATTGCTTGAACTTGTGTAGGTAATCCAAATAATAAGAACAGCGGTGAAATAAAAAAGTTACTTAATGAAGAACAACCCCTATATTCTACTTTTTACTTGTTTACAAGGGTAACAAAAAGCTGATAAACAAGCTCCATACAATAAAGCCTGTACTAATAATAGCACCACAACATCCAATTTATTCTTTCATGCAAATTAAGGGAGTTTCACGGATTTCAAATGCTTAGATATTTACGCGGTAGTAGTGATAGCATTTCATCCCTCATATTGCCCTTACTTAGCTTTCTTCTTGTGGCTTAGATGAACAGTTTTCAATTTTGATTGGCTATATTTTGACCACTTTTCCTCTGGACTGGGCATACTTATTTTTAGAACCAGCTGTAGGCAACCCCCAGTGTTTCTAACAGTTTGCACCAATGCCTCGCATTCACGACGTTTGTGCAAGAATTCAGAATGGCTTCCGTGCCAAACTTCAAACAATTGCGATACCAGAGACAAAGATGAATTTAGCCATTTCCAACATTCTTTACAAGGAAGGTTTCATTGCCTCCGTCAGCCGTGGAAATCACCTTGGCCCTGATCAAAATTATACCCCTACCACCAATGAAAATGTGGCTACTCGACGTCTTTGGCTTACATTAAAATATAAAGAGAACTCACCTGTCTTGTCTCAATTAGCCGTTATTAGCAAGCCTTCACAGAAAGTTTATTTTACAGTCAATGATCTTAAAAATCTTGCCAATGGAAGAAGAGCACAATTCATTAAACCACTTCAACCTGGAGAAGTTGCCATCATAAATACTAATCGTGGTGTGTTGGAACTTCAAGACGCTATTGAAAAGAATGTAGGCGGTGAACTTATTTGCCGTGCCTCATAAAAAACAAGTTCTCCCATTTGCTGCTAAAGCATAAATTCTTTTTGTTGTATCATACTTGTTTATTTTACTGGAATAAAATAGATCTTTTTTTTATACTTGATAAAAAGGGGAAGCCTGCTTTGCGTTATATTGCGTAAATCAAACACGAGACATTGACCCTGTGTCGTTATTCCTGGGCAACAACAAGAAATGATAATGCATCAGCAGGTACTTTATTCTCGTTTTTAACTTGCATAAACATTAGTGGAAAAAGATATAAAAGGAGCAACGCATTTCTATCTGTTTTGCCTTCTCTTCATTATTCAAACATGTCCTCAAGCATTAACTCTCGAAACCTTTGTGTTGTTACCAATGGCGACTCTTACCCTGGCTACGTCTCTTCTTACCGTATCCTCTGTGCTATGAAAAAACGTGAAGATAGATTTTCCAATGAGTGCAAGCTTCGTGTTCTCTGCCGTGACAAAGAAAGCCATAGAATGCGTCTTCTCAAAGAAATGGGCGCTGAAGTAATCAAGGTTGACTACCGTGATGAAAACAAGCTGCGTGAAATGATGAAGGATGCCGCCCACGTCTGCCTTATTCCTGAACACTCCAGAGAACTTGTTGAAGAAGCCCAATGCGTGATCAAGGCTGCTAAGCATCAAGGTGTTGAACATATTAGTATGCACTCAGTGTAAGATAAACTAGCATTAGATATACTCCTAGCCTAACCTTTGTTCGTTGCAATAGTGTTGGTTGTGACCGTGCTGGTGAGCATAGCTCTGGCGAAGAACAAAAATACCGTCATCTTACTCAATACTACCAAATCGAAAAGATGATCAAGGAACAATTTGGCAATAACCACTGCATCGTCCGTATCTGTCTCTTTAATCAAATGTTCTATTTTATGGCTCCTCAAATCGAAGGTGAAGGTATCCTCGCCCTTCCTGTAAAGGAAGATGCCAAGTGGGGCTGTATTGACCTCAATGACTGGGTAAATGCTATCTATAATTTGGCTCGCAAGCAACATGAGAAGCGAGGAAGAAGCATCGGTTTTACTGGTAAGAAGCAACTCTATCAGTTCACACCTCAGCATGTGATATCCTCCAAGGAAATTGCCCGTGAAATTAGTGAAGGCTTAGGATCCCAGGAGCTTCGTTACAAGCACATCCCTGACGACGAGATGAGACAGTATCTCCAAAAGATGAGAGACGATGAACGTTTCAGAGAAGAACCTAAGCATGAAAAGGAACCCAAGTGGGATCAAGATGGTCCTTGGTCTTACCCTATTGGCAAATATCTTAATGATCATCTTATTGAATTGTTGCTTGAATACTGGCGTATGGCTAATGATGGAAAGCAAGAAATTCATACCAATGACCTTAAGGAAGTACTAGAGACTGAGCCTCGTTCTGTAAAGGATTACTTCCACAAGAACCGTAACCAGTTCAGAGAATTCAAGTAAATTCAACAAACGACCAAAGGATATTCTCATCTTTCCTTGCCATTCTCTATCAAAAAAAAGTCATCTTATCTTTGAATAAATATTGATTTTACTTTAAAAATACTCATGTTTTATAAATGCGTGTGAAAATCAACATTGTGTACTATTTTATCTTGTATAAAAAAACAACTATTTGCCTGGAAAAGACAGGATATAATGTTTTTTATCTTGTTTTTATTAAAATTTTTATACAAGCGAATACTTGTAATAGACTGATTGATAATATTGAAAAAGAATGTCCACTACTTCTGTCTGATGTAGTAATATTTTGTATACCAGTAAAGCCAAAGGATGCTTTCCTAAACAGCTGTTACATTTATTTTTACTCCTAACAAAATGACCACTGTTGTTGAATAGAATTTGGCACAGGAAGGATATGGCGGATGATAAATGCTTGCTGTTTTCAAAGCTCAATATACAAAGGCACGCAAAAATTGACAATATGTTTGATAGATTTACTTTCTTCTTCTATCAAGCCAAGGATTATTAAATGCTGTAAAAACAGTAGCAAGAGAGCGAATGTCAAGAGTCTTGTTTATATTTTTTGTATGCTTTTTGAACGTTTGCGAAATAAATTGAGGCTCCCTTTTTATAAACGTTAGTAAAGTTTAAGCTAAATTAACAGATGCAGAAAGCAGATACAAGAAAAGCGGTAAAATACATATGGCATCATCAAGGGTGGGGTTTCTAAGAAGAGGGTCGGATACCTTTAGCTCTGATACAGAAACATGTATAGAGAGGGAACATTTGGCCTTGGTCACTTATTACTGTTTATTGGATATTTATTAGACTGGTGAGTGAAGCAGAGCCTCGTTAACATTTCACTGTATTGTCTATATGTTAATGTTTTTTATGGATGAGTATTTTAATTTATAAAGAATAAAGATAGAGGACACTGCAAAAGGGCACTATTATAGTGTCCTAGTGTTACTCGTAGTTTATATGTCCAGTCTTGTTTTTACATTAGCGTGATCTGACATATACTAAGCTAATAGTAACTTAGAGAATCTTTAGACCAAGCTCTTTGCCTAGCAGAGATATGCAACATTCTCCGTCGCCAGTATCGCATAACCTCAGTACTAGCATTTTTGGACATCAAGTCAGTATATGACACTGTGGACCGCTGCCAAATACGACACACACGAGAAAAAACAGCACCTGCGGCGCTCATTAGTCTACTACGAAACTTATTCGACGAGGTCTAAATAGAAGTGCCACTCAACAATACAACATTTACCCGCTTCTCGCCAGTCACCGGTGTACTACAAGGGTCAATCCTCTCTCCGTTTTTGTATTCTATATATATTAACGAGTTACCTCGCCTTCTGCGTCCACAACCTATAACCACAGAAATTTCTCCTACCGAACTTATCCTCCGGTTAAACTGCCTCCTCTATGCTGACGAGGTGGTTTTCATAGCTGATAAGGTCGACTTGCCAGCCCTCCTTAAGTCTTGTAAAGATCATAGCTACAAGCTTGGGTACTGATGGGACCCAAGTAAATGCGTCATATTAGATCCAATACAACAGTCTCCAAGCTACATCCTCTATGGTGAACCAATTCCAAAACAATCTTCCTTTCCTTATCTCGGAATTCCCTTTCGTCCTGATGGCTATCTCGATGCTATTGCATTAATCAATCAAAACAAGACCAAAGCCCTTACCACTATGAATCAACTCTCAGATATTGGTGTTCACCCTAACGGATTTTCTTCTCTCCTTGGTACCCGCTTTTACAGCCACGTTGTTCGTACCCAACTGGAATACGGCCTGGTCATTACCAAGACCATCACATTCCTTAGCAAACAACTAGAAGATGCCCAAAACATCTGTTTGCGTCGGATTTTCGGTGGCTCTCACATATCTTCTACCACGGTAATGCTACATATGTCGAAGCTACCAACCATGCAGGAACGTGCTTATACTTTGCAATCTCAGTTCCTCTTACGCTCCCTTACTCTTCCAGAAGATGCTCTGTTACACCACCTTCGTCCACTTATCCGCCAGCCCGAAGCCACTCTCAATGGTATAAGCTCTCTAGCTCTCCCATTTGGAAGCGATGCTCCTGAGGTATTGGTTGTTGCTGTTGTTAGCACTCGGTAATGTGTAGAATAAAAGCAAAGAAGTGATAAGTCTCTGTTTTATCCTTTTATTAGAAGTAAGAGAGGAAGAGCTCATAGCAAAAAGAAATTAAGTTATTTTAAAAGGGGCTGGAGTACTAACTAAGGTATATGTAATTAAGTCAAATGTAATCTCAAACGTAAAAATTAGTATTAGACATGGTCAAATACGACAGCTCCTCCAGCCCAGAGTCATTGGATCGTCGCTCTTTACGGTCGATACAACGAGGATACCGCCAAGGCAATCTCAACAATAAACGTTCTACGCATACCCCGTTCTCCTTACCCATTGTCGCCCAACTATCTCTTTCAACCCTGTCCTATGGCTACCTATGTCCAAGTCTGAAAGAAGTCGCTGCATACGTTGGCGTCTTGGCTGGCTTCCTAGTGATCGATACAAAACCTACCCTCGACGCCCTGGCCAACCCTTTACAAAAATCCATACCATTCAATGCCTCCAAATGCCCCAAACCATTCCTGACCCATTGTCCTTCCTTTTAAATATGCTACCTACCAGGAAACCTCGCTCTTCTAACACAACACGCTCGTGGATCATCCGCTGGCCAACCATATGCAGAATCCTATATGAGCTCGATTATCTATATCACGCTAAGCCTCCGCCTACTCTGCTCATTCACCTCGGGCAAAGGCTCTTAAAATGGCTCCTCTCTTCTCTTTCTCACTAGTGTATCTTACACTTGACCCCATTCACTCCTTCCAAAACATTTTTACCCTTGATCCCAAAAGGATTTTTAGTTACCATTATCCTTTCTTTCTGAACTATCTCGAGCGGAAAAGATGTAATATTAAAATCGTGCCCCCATTGGAGAGAGGTTTATAATTATTTATATATCAAATGGACCTCTTCAGACGTAATACTTTTTAATTTCAACGATTTTTTCTGTTTTGGGAAAAATTCTTTCTCCATCCAGAAAGACGACGTCCTTGCAAAGCAACAACTTGTTCGGACCGGATTATGATACTTGCGATACTTGCGGTACTTGCCAGTCCGAACAAATGTCTTCACTAAATCAAAGTGCGAATTCACTCAAAATGCAGGGGCAAAATGTCGTCTTCATATTGGAGCTAAAATATGCTTAGAGACTTTAAAAAGAGTTTATTATAATAATTAAAGCTTTGGTGTTATGAATGGTTTATCAAATCATACACGTCATTTGATAAAATTGCTTATTGTTGTAAACAGAGTGTGGTGTTTTAGTGTTTTTAGTGTAAGTAGATGGAAAAAATTATAGAGTACGTTGAAACTGTTTTAAGAGTTTTATTAAGTCTGTTAAAGTAACCAAAAAGATCAAGAAGAATTCATCTACATTCATTATAGCCAGATTGATAATATCAAATGTCTGAACTTGATTGACTTCTAATCAGTAATTACAGGGTAAATTGATATATTTCAGCGTCAGATTTAAACATATGTGCTCAGATTATCATACAGAGCAATAATTACTGACTCTCACTACACACAACTATATACTTTTAATATGAATCACCAGTAGCATCTGCTCTTACTGTAATTTCTACTGTTTTATTAAAAATAAATTTCAGAAAGAGGATAAAATTATGACATGTATGAAAAAAATAATTGGCGTATATTAAAAAAAGTATTTACGCAAAGGTTAAAAATAAAATGCGTGCAAAAGGAAACGACATACAAATGAAAGTAATAAGTACCAAGGAAAGAGTATAAAGAATTATACAGTTAGTTATGTAAGAAAATTATTATATGTATACAACTTACCCCGAAGGCATCTAGATGTGTCCTAGCGATAACTAGGAAGGAGAATCATCGTCTAAGCGTATCCTAGTTCTTGGTTGCTCCTGATCGTCCACTCTTCTTCGACGTCTTGTAGGAGCAACAGCAACCCGGCGAAACCTATGAGGAACCATGCCATTACGTCGAAGCTCACGAAGGATGTGCATGTAGTTGAGACAAGCAGCAACATCCCTGTTCCATAAGCGATATCTATCTGGAGCTGCCATGGCGGGTCTACAGTATAGTTTGGTGCATCTACAAGCAACGTTTAATCAGTATAAAGTTATCCAAGTGGTTCATGTATTATTACCTTAAAAGGCCATGGCAGACAACAGCAGGAGATCGCTCACGTTGATACGGTCGTGGATTTGGAATACGACGGAACGTGTGGAGGCTCTCGTTGTGGCATGTTGGACAGCACCCACTGGTCTTGTACTCGTCTATAAGATAGACTTGTAACCCATGTTTCTTGAGGAGTCTTCGGAAACCAAGGCCATGGATGGGCTCATGATACGTAGCATGGGGAGTGGGCCAGTTTCCCATCACAAACACGGCGCCTTCTCCAAACTTGGTGCGTAAGTCTTGAATAAGCTTTTGATCGGCACGTTGTTTGTTGAAGTACGTTGAAAGACGGACCTTGCGAAAGAGGGGGTATCCATTATCATAGTTTGTGATGGTATGTCCATAGAATCGACTGAGGACGGCAGACTGTTCAGATCTGGCTTGAAGGAAGCGGCCAAAGCCTTCTACGGGTACGGTGCTGCTTGGCTGTTGAGAAAGGGCTTGCTCAGCTTGAACGACGTCAGGATCCTGGGCTTTGAGATCTTACAAGATTCGACGGTACTTTTTGGTTTTCCACGTCTTGTCTTGCTGTTATTTAGTGTGTAGTATCCACGCTACTATTCAGTGCTTAAATACAATATCTAGAGTTGAACCTAATGCTGCTATAAGATCTGTTACACCTTAATCAAATATAGCCAACTCAGTTTAAATACCTCAGCTTCTTAATATATAATTATAGATTGTGCTATCACCTCTTTTCTTTTCACTTTATTCTGAATAAAGATACAACACAGTCTCATCGTATTCTCTACTTTGTTTAAACCTATCCAAATCCAAATACAACATAGTGTACTGAAATTTCACTGGTTGCTCTGGTGTAGAGTTTTCATGTACACAATACAACATATCTCTTCTTCCTGGGTCCACAGCGACGCATCGACCAGAAATCTCTTGATGATTTCGGCGAGTTAGATTGGTGATGTAGGAGGTAGCTTCATACTCCACTGTGAACCTTGCCGTGTATCTTGTTTGCCTGTCGAACCTCTCCTTGAGAACCGTGACACCAACGCCATCAGTTTGAATAGTGCCATGGAATCTAAGTTGTCCACCTTCTTGCGGCTTGAGGACTTTTGAATCAAGGTTGACAACTCGGCGCCAGTAGTCCAGTTTATCGGCAGCATTAAACCATTTAATTTCCAGAATGTTTTGGCAGAGAATCTTGCTGTCGATAGTAACGTAACAAGGAGACCATGAGCGCCGGAGAGGAAAACAATTGAAGACGGGCAAACCAAGATGTACAAAGAGACGAGAGAGTTGATAGAAGGCCTTAAAGTGGTTGACAGGGTTACGCTTGACATCATAATAAAGCCCCTGTTCGCCAAAGTTGTAGCCTCTGTCATAAGCATCAAAAACAGGCCGAAGAGTGTTAAGAGCTTCCATATAAATAGGTTCTTGAGGGATTTGTTCCATATCTATAGGTTGCTGCGAAATAGCCTGCTTGAATGTCTGCGCTGGTAAAAAGATGTCTTGACGGATACGATGCTTGATTTCGTCATCATCCATACCTTGTGCAGACAAATCTCGTCTCAAATCTGCTGTTCGTTGCCGTATGCGAAGTAATGCGCTGACGGCACATCGAAGGTGCTGGCCAAATCTAAGGTGAACGTTGTTGACATAAGCTGTGTAGATTTTGGTGCCTTCGGTTATAGCAGATTGCTGAGCATATACGAAATTGGGCCTCTGGTAGCTGGTGATTGTAAGGCAATCACCCAAGTACTGATCGATTACGGCGCGATAGCGAATGATGTTTTGCGCGCGAGCTCGGCCTCTTGAGTAATCGACCAATGAGAGCCATACTTCTTTAAAAAAAATCCTTGTTGATATATTCTTGTATGTCAAAATTCATGTCTTGCAACTCCCGAAGGAAGATGAATTTTGAGAAAGAATAGGCGTGCATGGTGGTAGTGTGTACACGTTGGACAAAGCTTTCGAGTGTTTCACGATAGAGATCGTTCCAACCAATGCCATCAACAGAGGATTTAACAGCTAAAATACGGCCGCCGGGCGCGAGGGAACTAGAAGTACTATAGCCGATGAATAGAAGGAGCTTGGAGTGGAGCCTTCATCCATGGTGAGATGCCTATTGAATATATATATGGTTAATAAAGATTGTCTCTAGTAGCTTAAAGAGAATTTTACTTACTTCTAGTTAAATGAATATATATGTTTATAAAAAGATTGATATAAAGAACTAGAAAAATGATAGACGTGAACCTACAAGATATGTTGTTAGATAACGATGTATCTAATCGTTTAGATAAGCTTTTACTTACTGAAAGTGCTTGATGTGTAGATTTAAAAATATAGAGATTGATTTTAGAAAATAAAGAGCCAAAGAGATGCATCTATTATATGTGTTATTAGTTACAGACTACATCCAACAGTTTAACCACGCTTTTACTTACTTGAGTAAAAAGATGATTATAAGCTTTTTTTTTAATAAAGAAAAAAAGAATGAAATGATAGTGAAATGAGTGATTTCTTAGCTAAAACAGTGTCCTTTTTATAATGAAATTCATAATGTTGTCAGTAGCACAAAAAATCAGGTAGTATTCATGAATGTATTCAGGAGAATGAGCATGTATTTATTCTCAGCCTAAACTAATTGATGCGAAACCTTTAGACATGGTTAAAGCTAAGCTGTAAAAAGAATGTGAAGTATACCTCTTGAAATCTCAGCCTATTATTGTAAAATGAGACTGAGAGCAGTACCTTGAATATATTACGATCAAGCACATCACATAATTTAGCCATAGTTCATCATTCCACGAATCGTTTTTAGAGCGAGAATCTAAGAAGAAGTACTTCTCTCATATGACAAAAAGTTAAACCATACGTGGTATTGCATGCAACTTCATATCCTAATTCAAGAGGCGCGATGTATGGTTTTAAAGTGCGTAAAAAAACTTCTTGATATCTCTTTGTCGTTCAATTATCAAATAGAGAGAGAAATGGCTAATTGTTAAAGCATTTACCAGTGTGATTACTATCATCTGATGGATAGTTTTAATGACTTTTAGTTTCTTTAGCTAAAAGATTGCTATTTCTTTTGATTGCAAAAAAAAAAAAAAATAAGAATACTTTTACTTGTAGTACATAACATTATAGTAATCACAACACATCGCCTGGATAATCAAACGTTTTCTCATTAATCTATGCTTGCTTCTATTTCTATTTTGTTCCTAAACTTAAATATATAGAATATTCCTTTTTTTTTTCTTTTTTGAATCGCAAGTGAACAAACGAGTACCAAACATTTTCCTGATCTGGCCCTCTTTTTGGATAATTATACAAAATTTGAAATGTGGGATTAATACGCAAGGAAAGGCAGGCGCGCGTCTGTCATATTTTAGCATTGATATGATATTCACTTAAAAAGAGCATTCAAAGAGCATATTTACCTGTCTAAATATACTGTATAAGAGAATCTGTCCTACGGTGCGGCGTATATTGTTGTAGTGTATAATTCTCCACGTCTTATTTTACACAAAAGTAAAAAGATATCATTGGAAGCTATCGTTTATATCTAATCCATTCCTAAGTCAAATTATCAACTAACTCTTCAGATATGCGTAATACTATTGAACCTAGGGGCGTTTATATACACAGCATGTATTATGTTAAATGGCTAAATATTACTGTATAAAAGAAATATAATGCACTGAAAATACGGTAAATGGGTTCTATAAATAAGGCTAAGATGAGTCATATAACTAAGGTATAAATGCGTATGCTTTAAGATGGATTTAAAGATGTTCTCTGTTGCGGCATTTGGCCAAACATTTATATGAATGTCGAACAAAGCCTTTGAAGTCACTTACTTTTAAGCTATTGGACGTCTCACTAATTCTCATCGTCAGAGTCTCTTTTTCCAATAATCTATTGCGCTTTACTTTGCTCTTAACAACTGATCAGAATTGCTCAATTGGATTAAGTTCAGGGGAGTATGACGGTAAATAAGCATAACGGTAACCGCGGGATATAATATATTTAGCAATATCTCCAGATTTATGAATAGGAGCGTTATCCATAATAAGGAAGTGCCCTTTCACATGTGGGTACCGATCCATTTCATCCATCATGGCCTTCAGAAAGCTAAAATAATGACCAGTTACTGTCCCTGTGCTCGTTAACTCAACATAACCTTCTCTTTTTCTTTTCTTGGCTGGCGGCTGCGGTAATTTCAGGCTACACTTTATTAATCCTGAAGCAGAGATCGTACCTAAAATTGTTGTTGTTTGTGCTTGAGTTTTGGGCACTGTGACCACAGCAGGCAATTCTTTTTTTTGACCAGACCATACTATGTTTTAAATTAATGTGAAATGCAGACTCATCGAGAAAGACGCAATTAGTTCTGAAGTCCATGTCCGTACACTCCCACTTATGAACCCAGTCAAAACGCTCCTAAATTTTTTCTTCACTGTTCCTATCTACAGGCTGAAATTGGGCTTTTTTTTTTTGAGTGACAAGTTACATTCAGTTCTTACAAAATTGTAGACAGTGCTTTTAGAGACCTTGAGATCCTGAAAATTTTGAAGTAGTCGCTCCGTTACTTGTTCCAAGGCGACTGAAGGATTCTCATCTACGTACTCCAAGATCACTTGCTTGTGTTCTTCTTGAAGTATACGCGAGCGACCGGTTTTCTTATGCTTTATAAAAACACTATCAGGATCCGTTTTGTACATTTGAGCCCATCTTTGAGCTGTGCGAACATGAATACCTAGTTGTTTTGCAGCAGCTGAAGCACTCATAACTTTCTCAAATATCAGTTTAAATAATCTAACTTTGTCTTGATCCGTATAGAGTGCGTACGCTCGCTTACTCGACGCCTCCTTCATGCAAACATCTGGGTCATCTTTTGCATCTTCACCTGCCACAGAGCCTACATCGAAATTATTCTCCTGAGGCTGATTATGCAAATACTGAGTGTGTGAACTAACTGTTTCTAAAGCATACTGCTCTTCATCAATGATGTAATCCATAGGCTTAGATCTACCGTATTCATCAACTGCATTACCGTGTCCGTCTTCGTAGAAAATTTGAAAGCTCATATTGTAATACTCGGTTTTTAATGAGAAAGGAAGTAAAAGAAAAAAAAAATAATTTTTATTATATGTTATCTGAAAATAAAGCGTGGCACGAAAGAGCCTTTACCACCTCATCGGAACCTGGAACGGAGGCAACAATGATTGGGATAAGTATGACTTCCAATTAAGGTTATAAATTATTGAGGACGCGATATTTCTTTGTTTATATACTCAATTCATTGCCGTTGTTAATAAAGTAACCTTTTTTCCAGCCTTGTTTAATTTTATTGACTTTTTATATAAGTCTTCATGTATCCAAGAACTTCATTTACATCACTTATGTGCATCTCTAATTCCACTGGATTGAGTTCGAGTGGGTATACTGTCAAGTAAATATACTCGTAACTTCTTCTCAGGATTTTGTTTTGCACAAGTAGTTTAGATTTCTGAACAGAGAGGTTGGTCATATCGAGGCAAAACCCTTTCATATTA